TTTGTGGATTGCTTGGTGGGTTGCTTACAAGTGGAGTATTTCTTGGATGACAGCTTCAATGATCGATGCCCGGCCCAACAAACTCGCAGGTGACAGGCAACAGGAATAAAAAGAAATGAGCAAAAATGAAGACAACGACAGATAAGGGATCGCCCGATAATCCACGGCCCGTAAATCCAACCTGTCGGGTCTTTGATCGTCCTCCCCTTTGGATTTACGTTTTTACGGCGTACATTCCCCCCTGAACCTGGATTACAGTCTAACATAACGAAACATTCTTTTTTATTTTACCCTTGGCAAATGGATCGAGCCATACACAGTACAATGTGAACACTTGCCATCGAGGATCCACAATGTGTACCGAGATGTGTATTCTTAGCGGCCTATCGGCTTCTCCGTCAACTTCCGCTATACCCACCCGTTAATGTTTTCAGCGCCAACTCATACAGGAGTCTTATCTTTTTTTCTCATTGCATGCCTTGGAGTTAAAATATAGACATTAGAGTAAATCAAGAGGCTGGGTGAATCCCCCTAGACGTCATATTAGGAAAAGGGAGAGACCTCTCGGGATTTGCTCTTCAAGCCACTTTGATATGTATCAGTACCTGGATTTGCCCCCTTGCAAATCATGCGGCGTTGAGGCTTTAATGGATCTACTGGATCTACTTCATCCATGTCTTGCTTCATGCATTATAACAAGCTTAGAAAATTCAAAGATCACCTAGGCAGGGCTAGGAACCTCCAGGGCTCTGGCTACACTCAATACTGTGTGTAGCCTTAGACATTCCCTTATCCCTAGGTATCTTCCAAGGTTCACACAGATCTAGTCGACGTGAGCATCCTCAAAGGTAGGTTTCCGATCTTCTTCCCGATCGCCAGTTCTCTATCAAGTGAAGCAGTCGCGTTTGACTTGAAAGATGATCCACCAACCTTAGAGGTGGGGAATTAGGGGCGCGGGGAGACGGATTCTACCCAGCTGCAAGCTGCAAGATGCATGCGAGATGCGAGATGCAGGCTGTCGAATCTGACATAGGCTAGTTGACGCATCATAATCATTCTTCCCGTCGTGGCGACCAATACCGACTCACTGATCTTCGTTGAGAACTGCAGAGATTGATTACAGTACTTGTGCAGAATTTGAAGAATTTGAAGTGAAATGACAAAACATCACACATCACTACACAGCACGGAGTACTATGTAAGATAAGAGATCCATACATTTGTACTTAATGATTTGTACTTAATGATTTGTACTTAATGTACTGTGTATCCTACTTCCTGAACGGCATATCTGATCTAAATGCGAACTTGTTACATCACATTTCGAGCAGATCGAGCCCTCCTGATTTGACTTAGGTTGAAATAAGACAGCTCAAGATCTCGATCAAACAGTCTTTCCATTTCAAACTTATATGATTTGTTTTTCTGATCAAACAATCTCTTCCCGCTCTATTCTCGGGAAGGCAAGCAAACTTACATGTTCGCCGGATGCCCTCCCGAGGCTCCTTGCCGTCTCACTGGAGATATCATAACTGACCACCGTCTGGATCAGACCATCTCTCGCCTCCCAATCGCCATGCCTAGACTCTGGCATTTCTCGGAGAGTATACCCGTAACGCGCTCTTCTACCCAATTCCGTCGGCAGCTACGCATCTAACCCCCCTTCCTGTTCCGCTTCAGATATTAACTGCCGTAGTCCAGATTCCGATCGTTGGAAATACCAAATGCGAACTTGTGGGTCTGTACTCCTTAGCTGGATTCCTGACTACTATCTCGGCAAGGTCGGTTGTCGCGGTGGGGGACTTTTGTTAATGGCTTCTTTCGCTTTGACAGGAAGTGTCGGTTGGTGCGGGTTCTACATGCAAGGCCTAAGGGCACAATGATATTGGAGGCGTACTCATGTGATTTGCATGTTCTTCGTGCTGGACTTAGTTTTTCTGTTTCTATTATGAACACGAGGGTCTCTCCCATCAAGTTGTTCAGGACATAATTGCTTCTTGTTGCACTACATAATCGTATCAGGGAAGTTAGTGCTATCTTGTTTGCATATGCTACTGCAATCATGTCGGTTTTCAATACCGTGTATGAAGAATCTGGGAATCGAAAGCGAACGAGTACCTTGATAGTTCCGTAACCAGCGCAGCTTTCTGATCGATGGAATATACCCACGGATGAAAGGGCAGCATCTGGTCCAACTTTGGAAGTGGCAATCAGAATAAGCAATACTAATGATATGTCAAAGTCCCAAGATTCTAAATAATTTCCAAGGTTGTCACATGCAATAGACCTTAATTGATTTGGAATACTCCGTACCTAGGGCTATGTCAAAACTTTATTCCACATACAGAGTATGTTTACGCCAGTTGGTATATGCAAGACACTTCTAATTTGTAATTAACTAGTCAGGTAATAGACCTTCTTTAACTTCCAATGATTATTTATTATGACCACATTCCAAGGTTACACTACACGAGATAGTGAGTAGGTATCTAGGTATTTAGCTGTCGATATACACTATTCTTCCAAGGTTATCACTAGTGCCTACATATCCATAGATGTAGTACCTATATATCTTAGTAAGTAGTAACCTTGGGAGCATCGCCGCCATCTCCAGGGCTGGAACCATACATTGCTCAAACTCTTTAAAATGAACTCTTAATGGGTGCTTAGTTACAAGGGGCAGTTTTCCTAGACAAGGTCCTCTTCTTGAAGTTTATCTTCATCGAGCACCACTATATAGGTAATATTTGAGAACATAACTACCTAGGTTATTAATGGAGCCCTGGAGGCTTAGTTCACAAACCTGCTTCGAATGGACAGAAAGTAACCAGCAGGCAGATATGAGATATATCTTATCCATCGCAGCCTGCTCCAACATTAATATAATTCTCGTTTCATCATCCATATGACATTTTAATGTATATATATATATATCATCTGACAAGCTACAAGTGATTCAAGGCTTTCGGAGATTACTGGCTCAAGCTGAAAAGAAGAACTAGTATGTGGAAACTTGTGGAGGAAAACCCTGAAGAGAGACTACAGACTCCACCTAAATATAATCCAGAACATTTGACACTTCACTGCAACATCATTTATCAGTATCACAAAGTTCTGCCTTAGCTATTTGATAGCTAGTGTATACTGGCAGTTGATGGGCTAAAGCTTATACATAATCAATAGAACTGTAGTAAGAGATTTGGGACCTAAGTACGATACGTTAAGGTTCACTTTGACCTCGGGAGGCCTGTTTTCAAGCCTTGGAAGTCTAGTCAACCTCCAGGGCCTGGAATATTCTAGACTTCCAATAATAGCGTCATGGCTTGCTCATCCAAGGATACATCTTGGCTAGCCGCGTGTTTATATGACAGATGTCTATTAGTGAGTCAGCATTTTGATTTTGACTAGGTATACACACCATCTGACATCACTGTAGGCCTGGACAACTCATAAGTAATACGTACTCCGAACTAGGATTCAATTCACCAAGACAACTTCGGGGTGATGACTTCTTAAATTGTTCATGTTCCACAAGTTCGTGAACTCATAACTGTACGTGTAACTTTCCGGGCATATCTAGACGAACACATCAGGGCCGAAGCCTTTTGCTAAACTTAGGGGACCATTAAGATCGGGGACAGCCTCAAGCTTCCGGGGAAGGCTCCAAAGTTATTGAACGTGAGACGATGGCTAACTTCTGACCGGATGTCGCCTATTAAGATTCATCATGCGATCTCGAAAGCTAGGCTTCGCTTACCCAGTTCCCGGCTGAAATAGTTTCTATAATGGCTGACGTGCATGTTGGAAACTCGGCTTGACGATATCCGATCCCTTTAGCTTACACATTCCCCATGTGTTTTGTTTCCAAGAAACAGCTTTTTGGTCCGAGGTGTATACAGCAGAATAAAAATTTCAAAGTTCCAACATTTAAAGCCACACTGATATGCATTTATCATTAGTATGTGTTACATATGTAGATACTTAGGTTTCAGATTTTGAAAGGCCCGGTCGAGAACTCGAAAACCTTAGGTAGGAATGATACTCAGAATCATACCTAGGCTTCTCACAGCTAGCTCTTAATGACGCCTCATGTACCCTCCATTTCCTTTCGAAATAATACTGAATAGACTCCAGTTATGACCTTCAGCTGAAGCTTTAATCAAATTCAAACAACCCGAGCAGCGACGCCCGATCTCCTGCAAGTCAGCACAGTCAAAAAGACCATATACGGTGTTAGTAGGGAATTTTGCTTTACGGAAGTTTCAAGTGCCAACAACCGAACGAGTCACAGAGGAGTCAAGGAGTCAAAGCGAACAAATTCTCAGCTCTGGCAATCATGTAAAAGTTGTATATTAGACCGGAATTCGGAATGTTCAGAGACGCCGAACCAAACCAAGTATCAGTTCTTATTAATTCATAACTTTGGTATACCCCACCTCCACCGACGCTAAACCTGAAATGGAGGACCTTGCGAGATCAAAATGTACAAATTTGGTATTAACTAGCGGATTTCTCCGGCGGAAGGGAATTTATATCAGATCTAGGCGGTTTTCACACAATTCGCTTGCATGTCACTTCTTATAGGGCGGATTACACACACTTGTTACTTTATAGGAATTCGGGTTCCTCCACTAAATAGCTTTGGATGGTTCAACAAAGATATCGTTCAAACGGAGCAATCGACTAGTCAGGTAACTAGCCCTTTTTAGCGTTCGGTTTCTCAGCCCATAACTAGAGGACGATTGTGAACTATCAACGGTCTTATTTAATCTTAGCCGTGGTACCTGTTTTCTATTTCTCTTATATTTTGAACCTCGTCCTCTAATTCAAATACTTTCTTTTTGAGGTTCATATATCGTACCTCGCCCTTATCAACGCACTTACTCCTTATATCTTCTAGTCTACGGCATTACCGGCTTCTCTATCTCCACTGCTCAATCCACCTTTCGAACACGCGTTAATTTCGTTTGGTATATGTCTTCTTGGTCGTGAGATTCTCCATGTCGTACAACCAAAGTATATACGAAGGCTGTCAAGCCATCATCCCGGGTATCAACACTGATTATAACTATGTTCCATCACGGGGAGCTGGTATCGCCTTCTGTGTGCTCTTCGGACTGTCGATGATCATCCACACTGTTCAACTTTGTTGGACGCGAACATGGTGGGCCAGTGTTTTCAGCATTGGTGCGATGGGTAAGTACTTCGCACGAAGGATTGGACTACAGTACTTTTACTAATATATGGTAGTGGAATTGATTGGATGGGCTGGAAGAGCCTGGTCATCTAGTTGCCCATATAATACAACAGCATTCTTAATGCAAATTTCCACCCTGATCATCGGTATGTCATGATCCGAACCATAAAAACATTTCTATCAACAAGGGTCTTGCTAACCCTAAATCTAGCTCCAACCTTCTTCACAGCAGGCATCTACGTGATCCTAGGTCGCTTCATCCAAATTCTAGGCCCAGAATCCTCCTTACTCAGTCCATCCCTATACCTCTGGATCTTCTGCACCTGCGACATCCTCTCACTCGTCATCCAAGCTATTGGCGGCGGTATCGCCTCCGTCCAAGCAACAGCAGTTAACGGAAACACCGCGCCAGGCACGCATATCATGGTTGCTGGTATCGTCTTCCAGCTTTTCTCCATCAGTGTCTTCGTCATTTGCGCTTTGGACTTCACTCGCCGTTGCATGCGCCGCGGCCTCTGGAATCAATTGGATAAGAAGTCCTATGCGCTTTTCGCCGCTACGACTTTCTCTGTGCTCTGCATCTATGTTCGAAGTATCTATCGTACTGTTGAGCTTTCAGAGGGTTGGTCCGGTTTCTTGATTACCCATGAGAGTTATTTTATTGGACTCGATGGTGCTATGATGATTCTTGCTGTGGCTGTCTTCAATTTTCTGAATCCTGGCTGGCTGATCCCTAAGAGTAAGATCATGCACAATACGGATGAAATGGATATGGCTCAATCTTGATCTCGCTATCTAATCTGGCATTCTTACCGCCTCAACATCTTATTATCTCTGTTTTTCCTAGCGCATGGCGAATGATTGGTGCCCCGTTTGATATGGTGTTGTATATTCCCTGTTGTTTAATTTTTATTGATAATTCAATATCCGGTTGTTGCAGATAGACAGATATTGGGTTCTTAAGCTATAATGAATATAGAATTTTAATTGAGCCGAGTCTAGTATCTGTTCGAGAAATCGTATCAAGCGGCCCCTTGAGTTAGAACATGATAATTATAAGAAGACAAGGTAGACCGAAGTAATGTGCACTGAAAAAGACGACCACATGAACAGAGGACTAAAAACCAAGCATCAACTGGAATTACACATCAGTCCTCACCACCTTCTGTACAGGGCATATTCGATATCACTTTTCAAGGGTTTCAACTGCTTCAATCCAGCCAAAGGCAGCACCTGCAACCAATGTTGAAAGCGCAAAAAGCGCACCCAAGCCGGCCGCACCCTCGACAGAAACATTTTTGATTGTACCTGCCAGTTGCACAATTGTAGTGAGCAGTACCCCAGTTGCGAGAGGGACGATGCGAGAAATTAATATCCGACCTTTTGGTGCTGTCTTCTCAGTAGCCGAGTGGGCAGCGGAGCTAACGAACAAGAAGTCGCGAGTAGCAAAGCCTGCTAGGACCAATGGTATGAGGAGAGCGCGAATGCTGGCAGACCCTTCATGCACAATGCTGATATCCACAATTGTCCCAAAGTGTAGAACAAGATGAGTTGGGAGCCATGTCGCGAAACTGGCGAAGAGAATGACAGTGTAGATGGAAGTCGCAGTGAGAGTGGTGGAGATTGTAGTGCCAATGTCTTGTAGGATGGCGCGGTTGGCAACTGCGGGGGATGCACCGGACATTTTATGAGCAGGCCATGGTTGGCGCAACAAGGCAAACGGAATCGCCGTCGATATAATTGTAATAGCAGACGAAAGCAATACCGCTGTTGGGCGTATATCGTAGAATGCCGATAAGAGCACATTGGTGGGTAGGTGAGTAAGGTATACGAATGACGCGACATCGAAGCCTGCGCGTATAAATTAGCATCATGTAAATGTGAAAATAATCTGATTGAAGTATGGAGGACTGCACCTACCGTCAAATCCTAGTACCCAAGCCAGACCGACCTCCGCAACGCGCCATGCCAGTAAACCTGCCACTTCCCACCATTCTTCAAGATGTTTGCTAACGTGACCAATGTGATTGCCGACAAGGCTAGAAGAAAAGGTAAACAGAGCCGAGCTTAAGACCAAGCTGCTCAAAACAGCGAGGCAAAAGCGCACGGGTGAGGGGCTGCGCGCGAGGGTCCCTGACAGAGACATTGTTAAGTTTGAGGAGAGTTAAGGGGTGGGGCTGAAGCAAAGGTGAGGATAGATGTGAAGGAGAGAAATTGAGTCGAGAAAAGGAGAGATAATTGATCTGGAAGGCAAGAGCCCTTTCTACCTACTAAAAACCTGAAAGGCAAGAGTGGAAGAGGAAGTCTTGGTCGGCGGTGTGTGATGATGTCACTATTTACAGCTTCAAGGTCGGGTTCACGTTCCACCAAAATTCTTGAGCATACGACATAATATGCTTGACATAAGAGTACATTTCCGCAATTTAAATTTCTAATTATCCTCATCGTCACCCTCACGCTCTGCCACAGAGAATTCCACCGTCCCACTCTCCCTTCCCTTGGTATCTTTCACGACGACCCGATACTTGCCCTGGTTCCAGAGATCCTTGATCGTCAGCTCGCGCGTACGTCCGAGACTCTCAATATCGCCAATGCGCTCCAAGGTGAGTTCGAGATGCTTGTCAAATCCATCGGCAGCACAGATCTGTCGGAACGCATGTTGCATCGGGACGGAGTCGGCGCGAACCATAGCCCGCGAATCGATGGTAAAGATGTTTTCGTGATCGTATGATTGAATAAAGTCGGCGCGGGTCATGATTTCGCGTGCTTCATGGAGCGGAATGGCAGGTAAGATATGGCCACTTTCTGGGTCGTAGGTCTGATCCATATCCTTTTCGCGCTCCACCAGGGCCTGGGCCAGGACCATAGCTGCGGAAGAGAATTTCTGCTCATCCATCACATCATCGTCCATCTCCATTCCGAGGATCCAGCATTTGTTGAGGAACCAAGTTTTCTCAGCCTCACAAATTTCCGCGCAGGTCTTCAGGACGTTGCTGGACTTGGCGACTCGATTGAGGAAGGACAAACGACCTCCCACTTTATCGTAGACTTGCTCGAGAACTGAGGATGGTAGCTCCTCATGGCAGAACCGTTGGCGATATCTTTTTAAAGCAGATATCGCCTTGTGTTTGGGTAGATCGGTGATGGCAATGACTTCCATTCGGGTTGCATAACGCTTCAGGCGCTCGTATACCCAGTAGTCATCACTGTTAAAAACTGATTCATGTTAGGAGCGTGTTTATATAATTGGAGGTGAAGACCTACTGGTGGTGACCAGGCCACTAGCAGCCCACTGTTCAGCACGCTGCTGGATTAGTTCAAGCAAGTCTTGTCCATCGTGATCATCCCGAACCAAATGGGTGCCGTTGATGATAAGAATTAGCGGCGGTGAGTGCTTGCGTCTTCTTGACAGAGCGACCTTCTCTAGCTTGTTGAAGGCTCGTTCGATATCCAAAAGTGCGGTGGTATCTCGTGGGCCCCGGATGCTAAATAGACTGCCGATATAACTGTACTTTGTGAATAATTACCTTCAACACAATAAGTATAGAAATAACACTTACTCCTCGTGGAATTCGTAGTCCAAAGCCTTGCCAAGTCTAATCCGGAAGATTTCAAGATCACCATGCGCTTCCAACATAGAGCAGCCGTCGCCATTGATCTTCCGCATTGACTCGAGAAGCATGGAAGTTTTTCCAGTGCCCTTTTCACCGACTATTAAATAGTAGTGACCAGTGGTCCGCCCGGCCACAATATCATCGATTCGAGGCTGCTCGTCGCGAACTATCCAATGCTCCTCATGGTTGTACTGGTGTTTTCCAGCCAGAACACCGGCGACTTCCAGAGCCGGATCACCTGGACTGAAGGCATTGTCCATTTTATCCAGAATCAAGTACTTGTAATACTGATGGTATGAGTAACCCGCCGCTCTGTGTAATATTAGCTCAACATGTTGCTATACTGTATGAGATAATTCTTACCCCAGAATAAAAATTGAAGCAGCCGTTGTGGCGGCAGTCTCAAGCATCTTTAGAATGGTAGATTTGAAGTTGGGGTCGTTAGACTCCTTCTTGGAACCCTTATCCTGTCCCTCTTCCCCATCATTTTGATCAGTGGGATCAGGGGTATACTGGCCAGTGTTTCGAGGGTCAGTAGCATTGAACCGTCTGAGAGCATATGGCACAAGTTGTGGCGTAGATCGAGTGGGTCTAGATATGCTCAGTTTGGCGTAGGATGAAAGGGGTTGCAACCGCCTCCATAGCATGTTGGCGATTTAGTTGGATAAAAGAGTGATGGATTGCTCTAAGATAAGGGCTAAAGCTTTAACCTTTCCACTTGGTTCTCCGATCAATTCGAGTACAGGTGGAGCGGTAATGCTGATATAACACGGCCACAGAAGATGATGCTATACGGAGTACTCCGATTGCGCCACACAAGGGATGTGTTAGAAAATAACAAAGAGTGGACAGGCAAGAAGCCTAAAAGTGTTGACAGTGTTGTCAAAACCTCGAATAGCGAGAGGAAAGATCTAAAAAAGAAAAGAAAAGAAAAGAAGAGAACGAAAGATGTTGAGAGAGTGAAAAGTATGAAGGGAAGTGGAAATAATCCCACCGTTCGTTAGTGATGTGGCGTATATCTAGCCGTTGTGGAGCCCGATCCAGAGACTTTCTACTTAGGCACAACATCAAAATTATGGTAGATATCAATTGATACTAAATCATACTACAGCTTGCTTTTTCTTGTCAAGCTTGTAGGTAACCCGTAATTTGCATTTTTTTAGTCTGTTTTCATACATACTACTAATTCCATCATTTGTTTCGTATACTTCGTATGCTATATACGAAACGTTGCCTGAAACAACGTCCTAGATATGTGCCCAGGTATTTCTCAACTGAAATGATCTTTGAAATGTATACCAAGGTACCTAATAAGCTATTTATTTAGCTTATCAGATTAGATTAGCTAACCACCAGGGTCCAGATATAGCAAATACCTATTGAGTTTTCCTGTCGGCATATAATCTGGGGAGCCGAAGCTATACGAAAGGTCTTTGAGTCTAAGGTTAGAATAATGGAGACAGAAGAACAACTAAGCGAGATTTGGAAGGTTCCTTTACATTTTACTCGGGTACATAAGTCTGCAGTCTGATTGGCCTAATCTGGGCAATGAAAGAATTAATTAGGGCAGTAGACCAACTGTGTATTCTGGCCGTAGTGAAGCCACGAGCAGCATTGATTTCCTATTCAACTACACTTTTCAATATCCAAGGTCATTTCAATAAATTAAACCCTTGCAGCATTGTAATACCTGTGAGGATATTTGTGTGGAGAATACGCTCGCCGCTATTCTTCCCCGAAAACCCACCGCCCGAGCACTTCCGCTAGCATGCCTGCGAAAATTTCTCCTCCGCAACACACCCCCATTTACTTGATTCCTCTGCATTTTCTTCTATCTGGGGTACGGGGGTTTTATCTGATTCCAATTGAACCTTCCTACCTTCTTGTACCATAGCGACTTATTTTTCTTCCGACGAAATTTCCCCGGTTCTCGTCGTTTCTACCTTCTATCCGTCCTACCGTGATATAGCCTCTTGTCGCAAATAGACCTTGCCTAGTGCTATTATATCAACTGATTATCTATAATGGCTCAAACCAATGGAGAGTTGGAGGCCCCGAAAGGTACATCTTTCCCTCTTCATCATCCCCGATGGTCACACGATTAGATTCGGAATCGCAGCATACATATTCATTCAATGGTCAATGGCTTTATATGGCAAATATTCTGACGATAAATATAGAGGTTGCTCCCGTCTCTCAAGATCAGCTCAATGGCGAAGATGAAAATGCTGGTGGTATGTGTGACATCAATTCATGGCAATTGCCGTGATTTTCTGACTCATGTCAAGGTCTTTTCCAAATCTCCGTGAAGCTTCCTCATGAGCCACACAAGATTCAGGTCATGGTGTGTATTTCGAACCATACCGCAAATTACTGCAAATTCTCTCTAACGCCATGTCTCCTCACGTAGGTATCGAGCCAAGAACAGGTGCAAGATGTTCGCCAATCCATTGTCGAACTGCCCGGCACTTTCCAGTACACCTGCTTCCACCTCGAGTTCAACGGAAAACGCATCAACGATTTCATCGAGCTTTCCGAGGTTGAGGACTTGAAGGCGGACTCTGAAATTTTGCTGGTGGAGGATCCCTACACCGAGAAGGAGGCTCGCATGCATGTTGTGCGCATGCGGGAGTTGGTCGGCGCTGCTGGTAACCGTGTAGATAACCTCTATGGTATCTCCGCCGGTTTGTCACTCCATGATGCCATCTCTGCCGAAGCTGCAAAGGCTGCTGAATCGGAGAAGGATCATTCGCTCACCAAGTACAACTTGAACAGCCCTTCCTCGCTACAGACTATCTTGCCCCAGCCTGAGCCTCCTCTTCCTAAGACCGTGAAGTCTATCTCGCTCTCTCCATGGAATCCTGTCCCTTACAACTTGCGCCAAAAGGGCCATCTGCTCTACTTGCAGGTCCTCACTGAGGAGGGCGATCAGTTCCAGATAACCTCTCACGTTTCAGGTTTCTTTGTAAACAAGTCCTCGAACAGCCGCTTCGATCCTTTCCCGAAGACCATTGCCAAAAATGGCAAAGCCCACTCTCTCCTCACCCTGCTTTCTCTGCTGTCGCCCTCGTTCAACTCCGCCTTCGAGGCTCTGCAAGAATCCAACAATCAAAAGGATCTACTGACCACTTTCCCCTTCCAAAATGCTATTCCAAACAGCCCATGGCTGGTTGCCCCTACTTCATCGAGCCTCAACTCTCACCAGGCCGATATTACTCGCTCTCAGGAGAGCTACTTGATTTCTGGCGCTGATAATGCCGAGACTCTGCGCGACTGGAACGAGGAGTTCCAGACCACTCGCGAACTGCCTCGTGACACTGTTCAGGACCGCGTATTCCGGGAACGCTTGACATCTAAGCTGTTCGCTGACTACAACGAGGCTGCTGCCCGCGGTGCGGTGTTGGTTGCTCGTGGCGAGGTCGCTCCTTTGAACCCAACTGAAGCACGTGATGCTCAGATCTTCGTCTATAACAACATCTTCTACTCATTCGGTGCCGACGGCGTTGGTACTTTCACTTCCGAGGGCGGTGACGAAGCTGCTCGTGTGGCCGTGGGCAAGGATGTTCTGGGAATCAAGGCTGTGAACCAGCTCGATATCCCAGGACTGTTCACCCCTGGTACCGTTGTTGTTGATTACTTGGGCAAGCGCATTGTTGGACAGAGTATTGTTCCTGGTATTTTCAAGCAGCGCGAGCCTGGTGAGCACCAGATCGATTACGGCGGCGTTGAAGGCAAGGAGGTTGTGGCGACCCACGAAGACTTTGTCCCTGTCTTCGAGAAGCTGTCCAAGGCTCTTCGTATTAAGCAGCACCCTGTTTGGGACAAGGACGGCAAGCGTCACGATCTCGAGGGCAGTGTTGAGACCAAGGGTCTTTTGGGTACCGATGGTCGCAAGTATGTTCTGGATCTGTACCGCGTGGCTCCACTGGATGCTCTCTGGCAGGAGGAGGATGGTAGTGATGTCTACCCCCACCGCATGTCAGTACTCCGATTGGAGCTTGTTGAGGCTTACTGGCGCCTCAAGATGAGCGAGTATGTTAAGGCCGAAGTCGAGCGCCGCCGTGCTGCTAAGGCCGAGGAAGCCCCTAAGGAGGTCAAGGCTAAGGAGAGCAAGGTTGACGAAAAGTCTGAGGAGAAGATTGAGGAGAATGAGGAGAAGACCGAGGATGCTGCAGATGAGCGTGTTGACATTTCAGGATTCAACTTGTCTCTCAATCCCGATGTTTTCAGTGGCCAGGCTCCCCAGACCAAGGAGGAGAAGGAGCAGTGGGCTAAGGATGAACAGGAAGTCCGCGACGCCTGCAACCACCTGCGATCTAAGGTTATCCCAGATCTGATTCAGGACCTGCACGATGGCGACGTTGGCTTCCCCATGGACGGCCAATCTTTGACCCAGCTCCTGCACAAGCGTGGTATCAACATCCGCTACCTGGGCAAGTTGGCGCACCTGTCTAGCGAGAAGGGTGCCCGCCTCCAAGCTCTGTCTACTCTTCTCGTGCAGGAGATGATCGTCCGTTCCTTCAAGCATGTTGCTAACAAGTACCTAAGCAACGTTCCTGCTCCCTTCGTCGCTTCTTGCATTTCTCACCTGCTGAACTGCCTCTTGGGCTCTGATGTGAACGCTGCTCCTCGTGCCGAGATTGAGAAGTCATTGCGTGAGATTTATCCCGAGGGCGACTTCTCCTTCGAGAATGTGACCCCTGAGACTCTCCGTACCGAGATTGAGCAGCAGGTTAACACCCGCTATCGTTTCACTCTCCAGAAGGAGTGGGTTAGCTCTCTGAGACACATGCAAATCCTGCGTGATATCTCTATCAAGTTAGGTCTCCAGCTGGGTGCCCGTGAATTCGCTTTCACCAAGGACCAGGTGAAGGCTCCTGCTCCGGCTCCAGCCCCAGCCACCAACGGCGCTAATGGCCACAACGACGATGGCAAGAATAAGAAGAAGAAGAAGGGTGCTGCCGCTACTTCTACCCCTAATCGTGCCGCTGTTGAAACCAAGCTCGCTACTTCTATCGTCGCCGACGATATTCTCAACATCGTGCCCTTGGTTCGTGACGCTTCTCCCCGTAGCGCCTTGGCTGAGGAGGCTTTGGAGGCCGGTCGCATCTCCCTCATGCAGAACCAGAAGCAACTGGGCCAGGAGCTCATTCTGGAATCTCTCTCCCTCCACGAGCAGATCTATGGTATCCTCCACCCTGAGGTTGCCAAGCTCTACCACCAACTCTCCATGCTATACTACCAGACTGATGAGAAGGAGGCTGCTGTAGAGCTGGCTCGCAAGGCTGTCATTGTGACTGAGCGCACTCTGGGTGTTGACTCCGCAGACACCATCCTGGCCTACCTTAACCTGAGCTTGTTCGAGCATGCATCTGGCAACACCAAGACTGCCCTCGTTTACATTAAACACGCCATGGACCTCTGGAAGATCATCTACGGTCCTGCCCACCCCGACTCCATCACAACCATGAACAACGCTGCCGTGATGCTGCAACACCTGAAGCAGTATGCGGACTCGCGCATGTGGTTTGAAGCTTCTCTCTCTGTGTGCGAGGAGCTGTTTGGCAAGCAGTCTATCAACACTGCCACAATCCTCTTCCAGCTCGCCCAGGCTCTGGCTTTAGACCAAGATTCCAAGGCTGCTGTTGGTAAGATGCGTGATGCTTACAACATCTTCCTTTCCCAGTTGGGTCCCGAGGACCGCAACACCAAGGAGGCTGAAACCTGGCTGGAGCAGCTGACCCAGAATGCGGTCTCCATTGCCAAGCACGCAAAGGACATCCAGGCCCGTCGCCTGCGCCGTATCAATGTCAACCCGCGCGCGTCCACCATGGGCACCCGCATCCAGCCCCAGGTTGGCCAGACTGCTCCAGAGGCTGTTGGTGTGACTGGTGCTTCTGGTTCGATGGACTCACGCAATATTGATGAGCTGCTGAAGTTCATCGAGGGTGGTGACACCAACTCCTCCCGCACTAAGCAGAAGAAGCGAACTGCTACCAACCCCAAGCTACGGGGCACTAAGCAGCCCAAGGCTTAATTGAATTCTGTCTATACGGTATTATACAGTTTTTCTCCGCTTTGTCATAAGCCTTTTCCTTTTCCTGACCACCTTTTTGTCTCCAAAAATAAATTCTTTTCATTTGGTCTTTTGCTCGGACGCCTGGAAAAATGTTGTATTTTAGAGAATATTCTCAATATCTCCCCTCTCTGTCTATTTTTTTATATTTTTATTTTTTGAATCCGGTGGTCTTGTACTGGGCATTGCATGGATTGGAGGTTCATGGATTCGGTTGTACACTATATGGCCTTATATTTTCATGCATTGACGACATGACTACCTAAAATATTTACGTCCGAATTGGGTCATGAAAACGTTAAAGTCTCCATTGTTCGGCATAACAAGTGGTCCATTCTTTCTGTTCACGCTGTAGTTATCATATGGTGGGATCTTTCAAGTTTCTAGGTTTGTAGACATCCTACATTTGGACTATTCATATTGCAACCGAATAACCTTGGAACTTCTATGTTGACCTCACTCTAGTACTAGTAGTAAGATAGCTGCATCCAGGGCTCACATATAAATACCTAGTTTTAATTTGACGTCTAATTATCCTTAAAGAACCATAAAGCTTACTTGAACTCCTCCCAATCGAGAAGCAAGCAAGCCCTTTCCAATATGGTAAGCGGTCAACCATTATCTGACGTTATCTTACTTTAAGATAATGCGCTAGTCCGCATTGGAGATAGTCTCCCCTCATTATTTGTTGTTCTGCCGCGTCTCCATCTTTCTACACCATAACACTCCTGCGTCTATCGTCATATATTGTATGAGGTTCCAGCCCCAAAGATATCTAAGCAGCTTCACTAACGAACTTTGTTAAAAGTTCATTCCGCAGAAAGTATATCCTTACTCCCATCCCTCCAATGGAGGACCCGCTGCCCACCGCAAGATGGGCGGCGCGAATTCTGCGCCCACTGACCTCGATCTACAATCGGCTGGAGAAGCACCAAAGAACCCTGACTGAAATATCCATGAAGTCTAAGCCTCGAGAACAGTCCCGGAATTCTATCAGGGCTGCGCCAGATATTGCCGAGTCTGGCTTTAACTATCAGGATTCGGACGCCGACGACAATAATGACCCTGGTTGGATTCCCGGAAAGAAGCCAGCACGACGTGTGAAGAAGTACAGTGCTCGAACAGGAGCGACAAAAAAAAACCGACGCGCAAGATTGTCGGTGCACAATTCTGAAGCACTTCCCCTTCCTGGAGCAATCCAACTTTCAACACCCTTGCTCGGCAAAAAGCGGTGGAAATCTCCGAATACTACACGATCAAATTCTTGCGTGCAGAATCTTGAATATTCTGAAGATAGAAGGAACAAAAGGAAGAGTCTTACAAAACATCAAGACCAAAAGACATACTATGCTAGGAGTGGATGGCATGGGCTGCTCAATGAGACCGGTGACCCCGTTTTTGCAGAGATAGTCCGCAATTTGGATATTGTTCTTGAACAGCTTCTCTCGAACTGCGAAATTGGCAGGTCTGATGATTCCGGTCGTGGCGCACGGTCGTTGTTCAGTATGGTCGTACGCTCTCTACCTAAGTTCATCGCAATTGAGCAAGAAGAGCAGAATGAAAAAGATCCAAGTAGTAATGAGAACATGTGCTCTCACTATTTTACGGAATTGCAGCTGCTTTATGCACCCAATTGCAAAGGATGGAAGCCGCTCCGTGAAGCTGCTCGTGCTCAGGGAATTCATCTTGTATCCCAAATGATTCGGCACGGGTGGATTCCAACTTCGATTAAATTCGCAGTCGTTGCAATTTGCTCTCGTCATCCTGATGCGTGTGAACCACTCCTTACAACCATATTCTCTACCCTTACATTTTTACCTCACCCTTTATCCTTACATTTTGTTGCTGAGCGAAATGAGGATAAGCCCATCTTATTCTTACGCTCATACGGTCTTAACGGGTCGTCAAGCGCGAGTTATGTTTCCAACGAACTCGCCAAGCTTCTTATGCGTGGTGTGATACCCGCAGAATGGATGGCTACTAAGTTGTGGAATACCTGGATGACCTATGCTATCATATCGGTTTCAAATGAAGACGAGAACTACGTTGCCGCTGAACGACTGGTTAAATCTGTAATCTTAGCTGCAAGCGATATTGCTCCCCTCAAACCTTCAAAACAGGCCTTGCAAACCCCAGAGAAGAAATTGAGATTACAAGAACCTGAACCTGACCGGGCGTGCCCGGTTCCAGTGAGCGATGCCCTAGACAACCACGTCACTAGTCTTTTAGCGAGACTTTGTGATGTGCACATTCACTCATCTAGAGTCAGTGCGGCATACCACGATGAAGGTCCAACTGAAGCTTGGCACATGATCAGATATCTTTCAGACTGCTTAGCTCTGAGACCAGGTTTTCCTCAGACTAGTCTTAACACACATATAACGTTGAGACGTGGTTGTATTCTGATCGCGATGCTTTTATTAGAGTGCAACGATACAATTTTAACAGGAGGCCATCCGATACATTTCGCACCCAATCTCGAAGAACATGCCTATCTTCTAGCGTCCCGTCCTGGACTGATCAAAGAGCTAGCACTGTTTGTGCGACAGGCCTTGAGGTGCTTGAGCTCCTCAGACTACCGTCTTATGGTGTCACGACTACTCCATGTAGTTGAATACAGGGGTATATCCAAACTCCTGGGTCGAGTCGCAATGGATGCTGCTATGAACTTTGCAGAAGAAACATCTGAGCCAGATGACCATGTGTGGGCTTTGGAGATCCAGGAGACAGTCATTTCTTTCCAAAAAGAGCAGGAGAATAGTGTGCTGTCTCCAGTGAACCTGGAAGCCAAAAACCGCAATCTACTGTATCGATGGGAGGAGAGCATAAACGAGTGGATAGCTCGTACGCCGAAGAATGCCAATGCTGCATCGGTTGATGAAACACCTTATTCATCAGATAGTGATGCACCTGAAAATGCCCTGCTTCAATTGGACGACGGAAAAGTTCATCAAAACCAGGCCAGAACAGAAAAGATTTCTACGACACTCCGCTCCAAAACCTCGTCGCCTTATACCACGGACAGTGACAGTGATAGTGACTCCTCAGCCAAACAGGACTTTACACCTTCACGAAAAGGAAGGAGCTGTCCAAATGGCTCATGCTTCTTGAAGAGGCGGTCTCCTGAGCGCAAGAGAATCCCATTTTCAGTCGTATCAGAGCTAGAGGACCTATCGGCAAGGCAGCGGCAATATCTGGACGAAACAGAAGAGTCGTGTTCAGATTCGTCGACATCTGAGTTTCAATGGCGTCCGAGCAATCCTCCGCGTGACACGTATGAATGCATTAGCTCCTCATTTGAGATCTGTTCCGATGAAGGGGAGCAATCGCCTCCCCCACGCAGGGGAAAGTCTCAAGCCAATCAACAAGCCTCTCCCTCTTTGACCGACCGACCACCAAATGTCCCTAACTACGGACGAGGACCTTTACCAACTATTCCAAAGCGTAAGCTTTTTGATGAACATGACGATATGCCGGTAAAACGGCCAAGAGATACCCCTCCCCCGGACGAGCCCATCAGCTCCTCCGAGGACGAGCTTTCATTTTTTTAGATCTTCCAATGTGCTAACTAATTTCCTACTTTGCCGTTTGATCTTCCATCATATATGATAGGTTTACTATGTTCCATTCTAATTTATTCAACCTAATCACAAGATTGAATCAAGGTTACAGCAGTCTGAAAATGGATCCTGATATCCCTCCATCGCTCTATACTCAACCTCCAAATTTCTAAGTATTGGCCGTTTGATCAGTCTTGGAGTTATTCATCGGTAGCATAACTTAGGTAGCTGTAGCCCGCTTTCTATTTTCGAACTCTTTTCAAATATTTTTTCGCTATTATTCCCTGGGTATATTGATACCTTATACTTATTACATCTGTTTCAGCCATATTAATCTTGGAGTCTATTACAGATGACAGCTGGGACTAATAATGTCTTGCGGGACCGAAACTTCAATGATTCGCTAAGCAGGAGCTAAAGTCTGGGATAAATGAGCGGGTCAGGGCTCGGATCTCAAGACATCGAATTACTGAACAACACTTTCAATACAAAACCTTGGAAACTGATCGAGGATGGATGTCTCACAAATTCAGTGCCATTTGCATGATCTGAGGGCTCGTCAGAGAATTTCAATTGCCGGAGTTGCGTAATTCACACAAATGCACCGGATTGGATCATAGGTTTCCCTACTAAACCAATCCTCTCAGACTATAAAATATTCATCCGCACGGATGTTGACATTGACACTGGACGAGTCGGCGGCTAGAAACATGATTGATGCACGTCTGAAGTATGGTTGTTTCAGCTTGAGCAAGTCACACGTCCCCACATAATATCTTAGGTGTCGTATGTTCGCTTGGCGTTCTCTGGTCAAAACATTCCAGTTCTGCTATTCGATAGATAAAGTGTTTTTAGGTTTTGACTAACAATTGACTATTTAATTGACTAATTGACTAATACTTCGACATTTGACAAGTCTTCGAGTCCCGGTATCACTCCGGAGAGAAACATCCGATCTATGCAGGGGGTGGGCGCTAAAGTACATTGACGAAGCTCATGATGATATACCAATATGATTTTGATTTTGCGCCACTTTGGCCTTTATCCTTGTATTCACATGTCTGATTTGTCTCATATCTTTCCCCCGTCTTTCAGGAAAGGGTTGCAGGGACAATAAGAGCTGTGTCTCCTCGATGGAAATTCACTGCCTTTCTTTCTTTTCAATTTGACTGCCATTGTCTTTTTCTTTTTTTTTTTTTCTTCTTTCATTCAATTACAATAGCCATTCACTGTGAACTGGTTTCGCTTCAATTGGGCTTTTTGATATTTACTTCAGCATTCCTTTCGTTGCCCACCAACCACAAGATCCTGATAGATTCTGAGATTTACATATCTGACTCAAACTTCCATTCCTGGGCTGGCCCTGAGCTCATTTGAATCGGAGGAATTAATCATCAATTGATGCTGTTTCCTTCTACCAAAGCTTGACTATAAGCATTCACCCTAGGCAGGCCCTGTCTTCAGTATCAACCATCGAACACCAGATCTTTGAGTTGTTCCTTCTTTTAATATTTCTCGGATTGCCGTCTTTCCGCTTTCCAAAGCAACCTGGTGTTGTTTTGGCGTTATCGCCATTAGTAAACGAACCATAAGCAGCTCCGAGTTTGGGATATCAAATCCATCCACCATTTTCAATATAAGACAAGCTGGTCTTGCCCGACAAAAAAATACAGTATCCAGTCCCTAGAAATCATGCAGCTCTTCATATCCCTTCTCCTCGCTGGACTGAGCAGTGCAAACGAAATTGAGAAACGGAATGGTGGTTCAACTGCTCCTACTGCCATGGAACTCCTCTATGAAGCCATCAACGATGAGTTGGCACGGTATACAATATTGGCTCTAGGCTGCGCTGCCGCCGCCATGTATGTCTGGAAACTTACAATTCAGTTCAACAACCACCTACGAAGGCTGTCTACTTTCAGCGATGACACACAGCGGTACTTCGTTTCTGGCCACGAAACTTTTTCTTGGATCAAGAACCACATTATCTATGCTCCATTTTTCCGCGCACGGCACAATCGAGAATTCCAGCTCTCGTCGGCTATCAACATGGGTACTCTCCCAAGTCGCTTTCATGGATTCCTCGTTGCTGGAGTCATTGCCATGAACGTCATTCTCTGTGTGGTAACTGTTCCTTACGGCTCTATGGAAGTCTCTGCGGCTCAGGTTGTGCGCAACCGTACTGGCACGATGGCCACCGTGAATCTTATTCCCCTTGTCCTGATGGCTGGCCGGAACAACCCTCTTATAGCTATGCTTCATGTCCCATTTGATACTTGGAATTTGCTACATCGATGGCTCGGGCGTATAGTAGTCCTGGAAGCCCTTGCACATACTTTTGCTTGGGCCATCCCCAAAGCTCAAGAAGGTAAGAAATTCCGAAGTCCTCCATATCAAGCAAAAGCTAACCCTTATTCCCAGCTGGCTGGGACATTGTTGGAAAGGCAATGACAAAAAGCAGCTTCCTGGCATCAGGTTTGGTGGTATGGTTTTTTCTCTCTTGCCGCTCAAAATAAGAATGGCCTGTTAATTGAATCTTTAGGCCGTCTGTGCAATGGTAGCGATTTTACTACAATCTCCATCGCCTATTCGTCATGCTTTCTATGAAATATTCCTACACTTGCACATTGCCCTCGCAGTTGTCTTCTTAGCCTTGCTATGGGTACATTTGAATGGCCTTGCTGCGCAGACCTACCTGCTCGTTGCTATCATCTTTTGGGCCCTCGAGCGAACCACTCGTCTTTTCATCATTCTGTACCGTAATGTTGGTCGCGAGCCCACCACTGCAGTCGTTGAGGCGATGCCTGGAGATGCGATGCGCATCACATTGAAAATGGCCCGGCCCTGGACCTGTCGACCTGGTCAACACCTATATCTCTACATCCCAGCCGTCGGGTGGTGGACTTCACACCCGTTCTCTGTTGGGTGGAGTGAAACACAAGAGGTGAACACAGACGAAAAGTCCCTGCCGATTTCCCATCAAGATCTCCTTGGCATACCGCAGAAGACAAGTATATCGCTTGTTGTCCGCCGCCGAACAGGACTGACCGACAAACTCTACCAACGTGCTGCCGACTCTATCGGATCCCGCATCACCCTGCGGGCTTTCGCCGAGGGGCCGTATGGAAACATCCATTCCATGGATTCATACGGCACAGTCATGCTTTTTGCCGGTGGTGTCGGTATCACGCACCATGTCCCCTTTGTCCAGCATCTTGTAGCCGGCTTTGCCGAGGGCACGGTAGCCACCCGCCGACTCACTCTAGTTTGGATCATCCAGTCTCCCGAACACTTGGAGTGGATCCGTCCTTGGATGACCAACATTCTGGGAATGGATCGCCGTCGAGAAATCCTGCGTATCATGCTGTTCATTACCCGTCCACGCAATACTAAGGAGATCCAGAGCCCTTCAGCAACTGTACAGATGTTCCCTGGTCGGCCGCAGATCGATACTCTCATCGGGATGGAAGCGGAGAACCAGGTTGGCGCAATGGGTGTGATGGTTTGTGGCAATGGAGGCTTGAGTGATGATGTCCGTCGCGTCTGCCGGAAAAGACAAGACAAGTCTAATCTGGACTACATTGAGGAAAGTTTCTCCTGGTAGTCAGGATCTTCTTGTTCTCCTAGATCTCCTTGGACCTCTTCGCCTTTTTTTTCTTTACAAGGGTAAGATTTCAGACTTCTAGATGGATTTTGGATTTCCTTTTCAGTTCTTTCCTGCTTTACAGCTGGCTTTTTCTTGTGTATATTTTTTTAACTTGTCCGTTACGACCTGCTATTTTCTCCGATGTTTACCATACATACTTTCAAAGTTCCCTTTTTGCGAATGAATTCATTCCCAAATTGTGAACATCGGGGCTCCATCACACTCGTATTTTGGGCCGATAGATTATCTAGATCATATTCCACACCCTCTTATGTTGCATCTAGTCCGAAGTCTTGGCCCGGCCTTGATTTCACTCAGTATACATTGTATCCCGTTGTCATAAACTATAGACCTTCAGGGCGAAAGCTTCCAGTTGAAAGAAGACGTTATCTTCACCGGGAGTGAGTCGAGAATTCCAGGGTAACGTAATGTACGAACAGTCATCGCATGGATTATTCAGCCGGGGTTAACTTCGGTGCGATTAGAAATTCATGTGGGGAACGTTTTCAACTTCAAAACTCTCCAGGCTCAATCGACTCGTTCAATTCATATATAATTTGACATCTGGAAGTTTCAATTTCTGATTCTCACAAGTAGCACCATCTGGGACTCGTTCATCCTTTTATTATCAATATGAGTCAGCCGAACATTACCCTCTACACGGCCCAGACCCCCAATGGGATCAAGATCTCCATTGCCCTGGAAGAGTTATCGTAAGTAAGCTAATATATATCTGGGACTGTCTCTAATAAAAAAATACAGACTACCATACAATGTAGAGAAAATTGACATGACAAAGAGTGTTCAGAAGGAGGAGTACGCTCCCCACAATTGCCCCACTGGACATGACGCTGACGGATGAGCAGGTGGTTCCTCAAAATCAACCCAAACGGCCGCATCCCAGCTCTCACTGATACCTTCAGTGATGGCCAACAGATTAATTTGTTTGAGTCGGGCAGCATCCTGCAGTATCTCGCAGATCAATATGACCCAGATCACAAAATCTCCTTCCCCAAGGGATCCCGGGAGTACTACGAGGTGAACAACTGGCTCTTCTTCCAGAATGCAGGCGTCGGTCCCATGCAGGGCCAGGCAAACCACTTCTCTCGGTATGCGCCCGAGCGTATTGAGTACGGTGTCAACCGTTACGTCAATGAAACACGCCGACTGTATGGTGTCCTTGACAAGCACCTGGCACAGTCTAAGTCCGGGTACTTGGTTGGTGACCATATCTCCATAGCCGATATCTCGCACTGGGGCTGGGTGGCATCTGCTGGTTGGGCTGGTATCGATATCGATGAGTTTCCTAACCTAAAGGCGTGGGAGGAGCTTTTGGCTCAGCGACCCGGTATTAAGAAGGGCCGTGATGTCCCATCACCTCACAATGTCAAGGAACTGATCAAAGACAAGGACACTGCGAAGAAGTTTGCAGCTGAAGGTCAGAAATGGGTACAAGCAGGAATGAAGGAGGACTCGAAGAACTAGAGCGAATACAGTAGCCCGTATTAGGTCTAGTACTTACACCGCTTTGGCAATAATATACCCCACGTGACGTATCCGCCACTTTTCTTCCGCTCTCACCTTCCCGTAACTTGTTCCTTACACCACCCCTTCACTAATCTACAGGCCGCAACCTTGACTTTAAAGTTATGGCGTGGCGTAATCAAGGAATAACAGGTTCTAATAATATTCCCTTGGGCCGTCGCCGTATGGGCGAAGAAGATGAGGACGAGAGTCGCACCGTGACCCCTTCATCGACTACTGACGCCAAACGCGGTCGCAGCCCTACGAAAGGTATGCTTTACTATCATATTAACTTTACCATTAATCCCAACTAACCTTTGACCCGTTTTATTCACAGAGGAACCCGCTGAGGATGGCGTTAAGAAGCGCAAGAAGCGCAACCGCTGGGGTGATCAACAGGACAACAAAGCCGCCGGTCTGATGGGCTTACCCACAATGATCATGGCAAACTTCACCGCCGAGCAACTTGAAGCTTACGCTCTGCACCTGCGCATTGAGGAGATCAGCCAGAAGCTTCGGATCAACGACGTTGTCCCTGCTGACGGCGACCGGTAAGATACTTCCTACTATTCCCGTTATGTGGTAAATTTCTCATAATATGATAGATCTCCTCCCCCCGCTCCGCAGTACGATAATTTCGGTCGACGTGTGAATACTCGCGAGTTTCGTTACCGCAAGAAACTCGAGGACGAACGCCATAAGCTGGTTGAGCAGGCCATGAGGATTATTCCGAAATACAATCCACCTTCCGATTACAGACGCCCTACTAAGACTCAAGAAAAGGTCTACGTCCCAGTGAACGACTATCCCGAAATTAACTTCAGTATGCATAAAACTAACCCTCTAACTCATGACTGCTCCCCCATTCCTTCCCCACTCCTTGCTCGACTCGAGCTGACGAGGCATCTTTTTGGATGTCCTCGGCCCGTTTCTTGCTAACCCTTACTGTGGATAATACAGCTGCGTGATCATCTCTTTTTAACATTAAGGGCCATACACTAACACAGGTTATCTTTTTAGTCGGCTTACTCATAGGACCTCGCGGAAACACCTTGAAGAAAATGGAGACCGAGTCTGGAGCCAAAATCGCTATCCGAGGCAAGGGTTCCGTCAAGGAAGGAAAGGGTCGGTCCGATGCAGCTCATGCCAGCAATCAGGAAGAGGATCTTCACTGTCTTATCATGGCTGACACAGAGGAGAAGGTCAATAAGGCAAAGAAACTTGTTCACAACGTCATCGAGACGGTAAGCCATATCATTTTCTACATTCCCTTCATATATTGCGGTGATAGGATACTAACAAGCTAACTAGGCCGCATCTATTCCCGAGGGTCAGAACGAGCTGAAGCGTAACCAACTTCGTGAGCTGGCTGCTCTCAACGGTACACTCCGGGACGACGAAAACCAAGCCTGCCAGAACTGTAAGTGATTTTTCTTTCCTGACATACAAGAATCCAGATTTATAAATTTGCTACAGGTGGTCAAATCGGACATCGAAAGTATGACTGCCCCGAGCAGCGCAACTTCACCACAAACATCATCTGTCGTGTCTGTGGTAACGCTGGTCATATGCAACGTGATTGTCCTGACCGCCCGAGAGGCAGCGACTGGCGTAATAACAGTGGCCCTGGCTTCGCTGGACGCGGTACTCCTCGTGCTGGTGGTGCTGGCGACGCCGTGGATCGTGAAATGGAGGTAGGTCTCTACAAGAGATTTCTCTAAAAAAATATGCTGCTTTCAAGAAATCATTGATACTAACATATATTATAGTTGCTCATGAATGAGCTCTCTGGAGGCGCTCCTAGCGACAATCCGCCTCGCCGTATCGAAGCCCGTCCCGACCAGGGTTACCCTGATGACCGTAACCGTGATGCTAAGCCATGGCAACAGCGTGATCAGCGTGAGCAGCCCTCCGGTGATGTGGTAGCTCCCTGGCACCAGCGACGCGAGCATCGCCCTCGTGATGACTACGGATCCCGCGATCATGGATCCCGCGATCACGGATCCCGCGATCACGGATCCCGGGATCACGGTGGCCCACCCCCTTGGGCGAACCAGAACCAAAGCCACAGTCGCGGCGGTGGTGGCGGCGAGTACGGCGGCTATGGATCCCAAGGTGGATATGGAGCACCTGCCACGGCTCCTGGTGCCCCTCCACCTCCATCTGCTGCTCCTTGGAATCAGCGCGCGCCTGCTCCTGCTCCTGCTTCCGCTCCCGCTGCCCAGCCCAGCTACGGCGGATACGCTGGATACGCTGGATATGGTTACCCCCCGGCATGTCTGCGGCTCCTCCCGGAATGGCCCCATGGTCTTATGGCGCTCCTGGTGGAGCAGGAAATCCTCCTCCCCCTCCTCCCCCGCCAGCCGATGGACCCCCTCCTCCTCCTCCAAGCGATCAACCTCCTCCCCCTCCTCCGGGAGCGTAATCAACTTTACTAACAAGTTGCTGAATTCAATGTTCCGATGTAGAGGGAACAGGAGGATAATTGAAGGAGAATCAGCGAGTATTTTGCTAACAAGTTCGCTGAATCAGGGAACATAAGGATAATTGAGGATAGTTTTTAGTCATGATCTTTCACAAAAAGTCTCTCTACCAAATTCTCGCCCTGCCTCCCGTCGTGGCCTTAAAAACCCCAGGAAAGAAAAATACGTACTTAAGTGATAGATCTCTGAGCCATGTCTTTTATAACTACTCTCACAACGATAAGTGTATAATATCTCTTTCAGGAGACCCCAATGGAAGGGGCAATATTTGACCCTATTCTAGCTAATCAATGTCGGCATTTCCTTTGCATGGAGAGAGACAAGGCTTCATTAAAATAAGTTTCATCATAGATCAAACTTTCCAACGTAATTTTTAGAGCAATCAAGCTCAAGAAATAATTTATAGTTCCACTCTGTTCCAATAGACTCTAGGGCTAAGTCTAGCCCTCGTTAGGTTGTTTCGGAATCTCAGGTTCAGGCTGTTAAGGTGTCTTAGATGAAGAAAATCTCTTCTATTAGAATTGGAAAAAAAATAATAAGCCAAAAAAGGATGACAAGAGTGGGATTTGAACCCACGCCTACAATGTAGATCAGGACCTTAACCTGACGCCTTAGACCAACTCGGCCATCTTGCCATTGGATTATTTTAAACGCTAATTTTTGCATATATCAACCAAAAACCACTTTCTACGGGCCGTAACACCTTAATTACAAGGCACCATAACTCCCCACCGCCAGATCAGATATCTTTTTTTCTGCCGCAAAATTATTTCTCAAGATCAAGGCGACAGGAACAATGGTGACCTCAGAAGAAGACCAGATGACCGAGAACTCATATGTATCTGATTCCGGTGGTTCAGATGAGGAAAAACCTGAGGTTCAAGACCGTGCGCCTAAACGACGTCGTCTCTCAGAGTCCTCCACCGATTCATATGTTGCTCCAGCGCCGCTCCCCACACTCTCCCGTATCAAGAAGAAAGACGACACCGAAAAACAAACCGAGTCTACAGAAGAAGACCCTGTGACAATTCGCGATGCTCTCGAGATTGGGTTACGCAGTGAACAATCCACATTCGGAGCGTTGAACGTTTCGCCATGGCTGGTTGGCTCGCTGACCACTATGGCCATTCGACGACCCACGGCCATTCAGAAAGCATGTATCCCGGAGATCCTGAACGGAAGAGATTGTATTGGTGGAAGTCGCACTGGTTCCGGAAAAACAATGGCTTTTGCAGTTCCTATCTTACAAAAATGGGCTGAGGATCCGTTTGGTATCTTCGCATTGGTCTTAACGCCGACAAGGTAGGCCACATACCCTAGCAACAATTTTAAACAAATGCATACTGATACTACAATTTTACAGAGAGCTTGCTCTTCAGATTTATGAGCAATTCAAGGCCGTCTCTGCACCACAGAGCATGAAGCCGATTCTCATTACGGGTGGCACAGAAATGCGGCCGCAAGCAATCGCCCTCGCGCAACGACCACATGTCGTAATTGCAACACCAGGACGATTGGCAGATCATATTAGCACATCTGGCGAAGACACAATAGCTGGATTACGCCGAGTTAAGATGGTCGTGCTCGATGAAGCTGATCGGCTGCTTGCAAGTGGACAGGGCAGCATGCTCCCGGACGTGGAAACCTGTCTCTCCGTTCTACCACCATCATCAGAGCGACAGACCCTTCTCTTCACAGCCACTTTGACCGCCGAAGTACGAGCACTGAAGGATTTGCCTCGCACAGGCAACAAACCCCCCATTTTTGTCACCGAGATCGCCACCGAAAACCAAGGCAACATCCCACCTACTCTTAAGCAGACTTACGTCAAAGTGCCTATGACACATCGTGAAGCGTTCTTGCATGTCCTGCTGTCTACTGATGAGAATATCTCCAAGCCCGTTATCATCTTCTGCAACCATACCAAGACGGCCGATCTGCTGGAGCGTACGTTGCGCCGGCTAGGTCACCGTGCCACCTCCCTCCACAGTCTTCTCCCTCAGTCTGAGCGTACTTCTAACCTTGCCCGCTTCCGCGCTGGCGCAGCTCGAGTTCTGGTTGCTACAGATGTTGCCTCGCGTGGTCTTGATATCCCATCCGTTGCACTGGTGATTAATTTCGACGTGCCTCGTAACCCAGATGATTATGTCCACCGTGTTGGTCGTACGGCTCGTGCTGGACGGACTGGTGAAGCCGTCACCATGGTTGGACAGCGTGATGTTGAGCTTGTGCTTGCAATTGAGGAGCGCGTGGGTCGGCAGATGGATGAATACGCCGAGGAGGGTGTCAACCTTGAGAGCCGTGTTGTTCGGACAGGAGTGCTGAAAGAAGTAGGCGCTGCGAAGCGCGAGGCTATTGGTGAAATTGGCGAGGGCCGTGATGTACTGGGACGGAAGAGAAACAAGCTTAAGAAAGTCCGCTAAAGGAATATATATTGTTGTACATATTGACCTGTCTACTTGATACCATAAATTTCCAAGGTTCAAAAGTAAAAATGATTATTCTAGCGCTACCTACTCCTGTAAAAACGCACATGTAGCTCATTGAATGAATTGAGCCTCGCCTCCTATTCCTCCAAGTGTGTAGGCGAAACTCTGATCTGACTGGTATTCAGGCATATTCTGTCGCCAACCACTGGGCTGTGTAGTTGTAGTGTTGGCTAACTTCGGTATCTCGAAAGTCGTTACATCAGGTAGAATAGCCGGGGCATCGAAGAGTGTATCGAATGGGGACGTAGAATACAAATCCAGTGGCGAGGGTAAGGCAGAGCCAGATAGCCACGGCGAGGGCGAAGAGCTTGAAGAATGAGAAGAAGGCATAAGACGTGGCGTGGTTAGCTTGCTCAGCTCAGCACTGTGAACTAGAGAACAAAAGTCGCCCATCCAAGGGGTTGATTCCGCCAGTGGTGTCAGAGTATTGAGATCAAATTCTGACTGATTAAATGTCGGCTGTGCTGGGGCAGCGAGATCCAAGGCTCCACTAGGAGTAAGTGGAGGTTCCACCATCTGGTTGACCGATAGACTAGGAACTACAGTTGGGATAAATGCGTTTGGAGTGACATCCATTGGAGGAAAATTGAAGATTTCAGGATCAGGTATATTTCCCAATGAGAAGCCCGCTGAAGACTTGGGCACCACTGCTGCTGCTCTATCGGGATAGATATCGAACGGATGAGGCAACCCTAGTGCCGATATATGCTGCAAAGGTCGTTTATTCTTATTGACTCTCCCCTGGCTGGAAGAGCGTACGCTTTGACCTGCGTTTCTCTTCCATTTCAGAGCCATGAGTTATCTGAAGTCGACGGCAAAGGTATGAGAGGGTATGCGTACCTTCTGACGACAGTGCTCACAGGCCCAGTTATAGATCATATTGTGGAACAAGAAGGGAGATCGTGGGTAGTATCGGTATTCTTAGTAAGGATGAGAAAAGGATCTTAAGCTCTAGAGAGGAGGGGAGGGGAAGGGAAGAAAGTAAACTCTTATACGATCACACAATCATTACTTAATATTGTACTAAGATTGCTGTGAACATGGAGGCTGACAACGTGAAATTCGTCATTTAACCGAGAAGATTGTTCGCTCTTCCTCAAAAGCACGCATCCGGACCTATCAAGTCTTATATCGAGTCAGTTACACGAGAATAATAGCCTCTAGCAGGCCGACAATTGGCCTGTGCAGTAAAACAAACGGGTGATAGGCTAACCGAGTCTTCAGATTAGGAAAACACAAGTCATTGGGTTATCTGAGATCAAGTCTCCCTGTAGACTGGCTGTAGTGTAACGCTTTGAAGAGGGACCCGTCGTCAGCATGATGTGAATTAGGGCTATAATCTTGATACACCGGAGAACGTCATAACCTTGAAACTACTGAAGAACATAGATCAGCTGATGATCTGAGTAGATTAAGTCAATCAAGCCGTTCTTTCGGATTCCCTTGGTATCAATGTGGACTTCATGTTGCTGCCCTGCGTAACCCCCTACTCCCACATATTACCAGATTGGGCGATGGACAGTATTCCGACGCCACACAAATTATGTTGTATTCTCCGAGTTGGATTCACCGGTAGCCCTGCATAATTGCACCACTTTTCCGATAGCAATTGATCTTTTTTTCGATAGGTAAAAAAAAGGAACAAAAAATTGTGGTATCATTGATTGCATGTTGGAACAATATCATTTAACCCGTACACCTTAAGCCGTTTTCATAAGTTTTAGCAGCCCGTCTACTGCATCACCTCGCTGTGACGGCGACAAATCGTCGTTCATTTCTGCCTCTGCCCCAGTATCTGCCTCTTCTAGCTCACGAGTACGTTGACGAGTGGCTGTCGCTGTAGGGCTACTTAACTGCATTGGAGATCCCAATCTGCGCGGAGTGTGCTGAAATGCCTTGGGTCGTTCTGCGGAATCAACAATCGAGGACGATCGTATTGGAAGATCAGGAGTCTGTTGGAAAGGTGTAGAGATTATAAATCCTGAGGTGCCAATTCGGGGTGTTTGGAATGGATTTGTGGCGGGCTTTCTCATGGAAGAAGTCGAAGACAGAGCGGAGAAGGAGATTCTGGGACAATTTCGGCTGTGGTCCTCCAGGTTTGAAACGCGACGATCGATATGGTGATTGGTGACATTACGCATGGCGGTTTGTAGGGTACTTCGGAGAAGGGCTGCTTTCTAGACGATCTGTTAGCCACATACCACCAACACGTGGAATGAAGAAGAGCTCCGCTTACTTTTCGAATGAAGATTTTTCGCGCATCTGGGTCCTCAGGTACTGTTTGTGTTTCTTGGATACTAGGAGATACTGCAGAAGACCCTTGTGAATCCATCTGTTGTTGGGATTGATCGGGTTCTGTTTTTGGTGGTGTTGAGACGCGGACGTCCATCGCATCTGTTTCTTGGTTTTGCTATTCACGCAGGCACCAATTAGTCACGTTCTTTCTGGTTATACGTTGTCTCAAAAAGTCTCGGACAGCTTACATGTTCACAATTATTGTCGTTGACGGGCGACTGACTACTCTCCAGCTTCACCCCCGCCTGCACGTGTCCGGGGTTAACATCGACTTCATCAACCTGGTCCCTCGTCCGTTTTTGACCTGCAAATATAGGTGAGGGCAGAAGCACTTTAGAAGATGCCGGCGTGAAAGGTGTTCGCTTGACGGGTGACTCGGAGAGAGATTGTTTGTTTCGGTGGGCTGGTGTCAGACACGCGTTGGCGTCTTTGTCCCCAAGAACCCGACGTCCCTCCTTGGGGGTGAATTGGATTGATGTGGAATCCATAATGGGGAAGAAATCGCTCTAAAAGGAGGAATGGAGGGGAGGGAGAGGTGTAGGGTTGTAGGTAGAGAAAAAAGTGAGAAGATCAAAAGATACCAAATACCGAGTATCGGGGATTCGGGTAACTCCTTAGCGTCGAGAGATTAAAACTCCACAAATCTTCCAAGAATTTGAGTAAGAGTTGAGAAATGTGAAAGTAATGGGGAAAGGGAAGAAGAGGAAGGAAGCGAGATCGAAGGATGTGTTTAGCACGCGTCAATCGCGTATAGTCTAGTAGATAGCTTGTATAAGAAAGCACGGACTCGGGGTCCACACAACCACGCGTTTTGCTGGCCAAATTTGGGCCTTACTAAATGCGATTTAGACTGCTTTTCTTTTCTTCTTATTCCTTCAGAACTTGAGTGTCCAGTTGTTTCTTCTTCACCGCCATATATTGAAGCCTCTCGTGCTCACGCTAGAATTCAAGTAACAAGTCTCATTGGGGCCTCTAAACAGACTCTGAGTAGTCTCTAAGCAGACTGTCGGACATACTAACTTCTTAAGGTAGCATAGAGTCGATCTATATTCGAATATTCGAATATTCGACATGACGAAACCTCCAAATTCAAGCTTACTTAATAACTCGAAGTTAACTGGCTAGTTGTTATTGGGTAGGGAAGCCCTAATTCGCGCTCTTGTTGCTACCGACATTCCAAGTCAATTGGCTTCCAAGGACCTCTCCATCCATGTTGATTGTTTGTGTAGATACTAAGATGAAAAAGGAGAGTATTAGTAGTTACTTTGTATAGTAACTGAACATATGATCAGCATGTATGACATCATCGCCAAACCTGAAACTCTTATTAACTATAACCTCGGATGACTTAATCACTTGAACTACTGCAAAGGGTGCAGAAAAAGGTACGGAAACCAATGGGCATTCACTGCTTACTCTTTCTTCATCTTACGTACGACAAATTACAAACTTGAATGTTTCCATACTGGTCGATTGTATACTAGCTGAGTCGACTTCCCCGCATTTCGCTTTCTCGAGCCCCTTCATTTCATCCAGCGTTTGTCGCACATCTCCGGACTTCCCTGGTGACACTAGTTGGTGTTAAAACATTGTCGCCATTTCCTGAAATAGCTGCCGTAATGCAGCTATCCTTTGCTGTTCTGGCAGCTGTCAGCCAGGCTGCTATCATCACAGCCTCGTCCCTCACTCCCCCGGTTCTTCCGTTGATCGTGCGCACCCCTTATCTGAGCACCTGGCTAGGTAATGCCCGCGATGAACCTTGGCTAAAATGGCCCATGTTCTATACCGGGCAGGAGGTGGGACTCTCGTTGATGGCCCATGTCCCGAGCCAGGATTCAATTTACCCGCTGTTGGGCAAGCCCCAGGATTCTCTAGGCTCACATCAAGGGTATGATTGTTGTAGAATCATGATTATATGACTGTTTCACTAACCAAAGACTTTACAGCCACCAAGTGCAGTTTCCTGAGTACATTGGAACCAATTATGACGCTTCCGCAACCAACTTTACCTATCGTATTCCCACCAATGATTCCACTCCTCTTGATATCACAGTCTCTTTTCTCTCCCCTATCACGCCGACATCGACTTTGCGACAGTCTATTCCGGCCTCCTATATTACAATTGACGTTCATGGCGAGGTAGAAGTCAATGTATACATCGATGTTGATGGTCGTTGGGTCAGCGGTAACGCAGACAGTCAAATAAAATGGCAGCGGGACGATGTGGATGTCAAAAGTCATAATAATGAAAAGTCTACACTGCAAAGATGGCGAATTCAAAGAGAAACTGAACTTCTCTTTTCCGAGATTGCCGATCGTGCAGAATGGGGCACCCTCCATTTCACCGGACCTGCAAATGCCCGATACGAGTCCGGCGAGGCCGACAGGGTGAGGAGAGGGTTTGCTAGTACTGGCATACTTGGCAATGAAAATGACGAAAACCACCGAGCTGTTCATGACCGCACCCCCGTGTTTGCATTTTCCAAGTCTTTCAACCTCAGTCGCACTGCGAAGTATACTTCCGATAGCGTCACATTCACCATCGCCTTCATCCAAGCTCCGGTAGTCCAGTATGCATCCGCTAGGGGTCTGACCCAGATGCGGCCTCTGTGGCAGTCTTGGTTCCCGACAACCGAGGAATTGTTAAAATTTCACTACTACGACTATGCAGCAGCTAGCTCCTTGGCATCAAACTACTCCCAGCAATTAGCTGCAGATGCGTATCTTTCTGGAGCAGATGACTATGTGGACATCGTTGCCCTCTCAGCGCGGCAGGTGTTGGGAGCGACCACCTTCTCCGGCACTTCGGACAACCCGATCTTGTTTCTGAAGGAGATCTCCTCAAATGGAAACTTCCAAACTATTGATGTCATTTTCCCTGCATTCCCCTTCTTCCTTTATACCAACCCGAGATGGTTAGCATACTTGCTGGAGCCTCTTATCGAGCATATGCTGAGTGGACAATACCCTAACACATACGCAATGCATGATCTAGGTACACATTTCCCCAATGCTACTGGTCATCCTGATGGTCGTGATGAATACATGCCAGTGGAAGAGTGCGGTAATATTTTGATCATGGGTCTTGCAATTGCCAACTCTCTACAATATGAAGACGCGGCTGATGCAGCTTCGATATGGTCAGCGCAGGGCTCTGACCCCTCTTCCTTCTCCAGCGAGTCCACCGGAATTTTCCCTCTTGATAATCTCCAGGTTCTTTCTGGAATTGAGCACCAGGATGGCAAGTGGGGTGGGGGCATCACCGGCAAGAATCTCGCAGAGAAATGGGTGAAGCGAAGCTACCGTCTATGGAAGCAATGGACCGGCTACCTAGTAGAGTTCTCTCTAGAGCCTGCTAACCAGCGTAAGACACAGACCTTATAAATTACATCCGACTATTCTGACAGATTCTGACATAACTCACACAGTTTCCACTGATGACTTTGCTGGCTGGTTAGCCCTACAGACCAACTTGGCCCTGAAGGGTATTATTGGCATCAATGCCATGGGCAAGCTTGCCGAACTGACAGGTCATGATGCTGACGCCTCCCACTTCAAGGTATGTAAAAACAACCCCAACCTTAAGAAGACAAACTCGAACTGACTTGGACAAGAAAATTGCCAGCAAGTACATCGCCAAGTGGGAAGAGTTCGGCATGTCTCGTGATGGATCTCACGCCAAACTAGCTTACGACTGGTACGGCTCCTGGACAAGTCTCTACAATCTCTACGCAGACGCCCAGCTCTGCTTCCACCTCGAAGGAACGAACCTCTCATCCAACGAATCAGCCGGCTTCGTACCACGTCACATCTACCAGAAGCAATCAATCTGGTACCACTACGTGCGTCAGAAATACGGGTTGCCGCTAGACAGCCGCCACCTCTACACAAAAACAGACTGGGAGTTCTTTTCAATGGCAGTAACCTCCAAGCCCGTACGCTCGGAAGTCCTCGAGTCCGTCGCGCGCTGGGTCAACGAAACTGTCACTGATAGACCATTCACTGACCTCCACCAAACAGAGGGCGATGGAAACTTCCCGGGACCAAACTTTTTCGCTCGCCCTGTCATTGGTGGTCACTTTGCCTTTTTGGCCTTGGAGCGCGCTTGTGGAGGGCGTGCAATGAAAGGTCTGTCCTTCTTGGATGATCTTGATCCGGAGACTTTGCAGGCTTGGGCTGAGAATGCTCAGGCTGCGGCTAGTAAGTTTGATGGTCTGTCGGAGAACCACCATGTTGGTGGAGAGCTGTAGGAAACTTGCGAGTACGGGTACACATAGTCTTGATTATATGTTGATAAGATTGAACTATGCCCAGATGTGTTCGGTATTCAAATTGAGAACCTCTATTTTGTACCACTTGGGCAGCTTTGTCGTGAAAGTGGCCCTTTCTACCTAGGTTGACGGCGCAACCCGAAAACACGTTCGATGGTGGTGTCACCTATTTAAGCCAGCAGCGTTAGCCGCCTACTAAATGCTTTTCAAGAGACTATGAGCGACGTAGGAACCCATGATTGACTGTATCCAGGGCAGTGGCTTCCGGAGGGCCAGCGGAGCGTAAGTGCTCAACAACCCCTAAGCATTATAGCCTGCGATGTGTGAAAGACTAGTAGTTACTAAACTAAATATGCAAATAATTGCCGCTAAACGATAGCAATTATAGAAAGTATGACATTTATCCCTGAATAATTACAGAAAGAAAATGTTAACTAGTCCTAATCAGAGGTCCACAGACGTGTTGTAGCCTCTAGTTCTAGGAGACTTCTTTGGCTCCATATCGATCAGCAACTTGATAAACGATCAGAAATTACATATAAGCTAAAAACCATGTGTAGCCCTTAGCTCTGAAAGACTTGTTAGGTGCTCGCTGGAACTTTTTTGCTTCTGAGTGACTATATACCTCCAGCCTAGAACACCTTTGTGTCTCATTCGCGCGTTCTAAAGCAAGAGGACTTTCAAAAAGAAATCGGTGCATTCATCTGTTCGTCAGTGATTTACAGGCAATCCTGGGGACGACAGATGGCCGGCGAACAATTATGGGATATTGCGGAGATCGTGTTGAAGATAAAAGGTCTCATCCAAAGTGCGGCCGATGGAGAAAGGCGGGATTATCGCAAGTCGCAAGATGCTCGAGATTCGAGAATCACATGATCGTCTGCCCAATCCATATTTGGGAGGTTTATTTAAGGAGAATATGTACTACAGCGATCACATAGATTTTCGGGAGTATGAAGTTCATGCGAACCTCTGCTAAATCCACTCCCAGGTTGTTCTTTGCCGGCACAACTGTATTTATCTGAATAAGGTCTTTCCGCGTAACCGATGCAGGAAATCTGAAGTCCTCCAGTCAAGAAAAGAGAAGGCTGTGCTTCCGCTGTAATGAAGTATTTTCGGGGAGGAAATATGTTTCTATTGTTTCCATGGATCTTCCTATCTGACTACACCACCCGAGATCCACAAATAGCTCTTTTGATCTCCTCTCCCTTGATTTCCTCCTCCCTGTTTACCTTCTCTCTCTATTATTGACGAAGAGGCAAAAGCGACTCCATCCTTTGGCGCCTACGTCCAACCCCCGAAAAACTGCTCAGCCTTCATTACCTACGGGTGAGTATGACTATGGGCGATGCTGTACGCCCAAGTGATGATCAATATAGCCAGGCCCTTCAGGATAGTTTCAAGACATGGTCATCCTATCTCGATGCCAGCAAGGATAACCTACTCCCCCATCATGCCATAGAGCTGAGACATCTCGTCAATCAAACCCCACCTTTTCTCGGTGGCCTTGCTAGCTTGAACAAGACCACGTCATTCGCTTACGAGGAGAAGCAATCACCACAGTCGAAGGGCAGTCTTCTCATAAATGGCCGATCAACTTGGAGAACGTCCGAAGGGAATTGTGATTCAAAGCTAAAGGTCATGTCTAAGCAACTTGTCCTGGCAGTTGATAGTTGATTAAATGTGAGTTTGTCAGATGACACTCCCTTTTCAGTCTGGCCCGGAGTCCAGGGACTTTCAAGTTATGACAAGGGAAATTATCTTTCAGTCCTTTTTCTTGCATGGGCATTTGTTCTATCTGCTCGATTGGTTGAGTTGCTAAGTCGATCTGCGGATCATGAATGTCATATGGCTTCTGTCTCGAGGAGTGTCGAATCTTTGTTGCCCACTTTTTGGTGTGTATTCAGGACAGATTCCGCACTAGTTAGGAAATTCAGTTTCATTCATTTGTGACATTTGCATGATTAGTCAGGTTAGATTCTCAAGTTGACAGGAACAAAGAAGTCATGTGGTCAAATCGTCGCTTTATATTAGCTAGCAAACCAAGAATGAAACTCAGACTTGACAACCACTTTAGAAGACACAAGATATTATAGGAGCGTAAAGCGTTGCCTGTAATAGGTATCCCTCCCATTCAGCTCCGATATTGAATAGCTATTCTACTAATGTACCGACAATTAGCTTTAGCCCTTCACAAATTCGATGTGCGCAAGGTAAACCCATTGACCTAGTGAATAAGTTAGTACATATAGATAAAGTCGCATCCTGAGCACTTATCTTAGCTATAGAAGCTTGTTCATGAATCTTTAGTATACAGAACAGCGATGTTTGTCTATATGGGTTTTTGGTAGAGAAAATTTGGACTAAGATGGAAAGCATTAGTCTGATCTTCTATCTCCTCAATTTTGATAGTATATAACTGTCATGGTGTACCTATCAATTCCCCCAATGTGCGGGAGTTATATAATGATTCCACAGCCACTTAAAGCTCGCATCTCCTTCGAACCTACCCCAAGAATCAGTCTTGGATACGATATACCTTCTTGGTATGATTTTGGCTTTATTGCATGGTATCGCCCCGGAGGATTCGTGAGTGGAGAAAGCTCCGAGGATTTAAGGGCCAATAATATCCGACAAGAATAGGCTATTGATCCTTCACGGGAGCGTTACTCCTAGTGGTTACTGCTGACTACTGTAAATCCTCCATGGGTTTCAAAGACTGCATATTGAATGCCTCGTGAGAAAAGAGGAGTTCGTTCACAGATAGGTTGTAATTCATGCAGGTATTCTAATTACTGTATGTATTTGCGGAGTACCCGGAGAAGAGTGGAAATTAGGAAGGAGTACTATACCTTGGCAGTACGTATACAAGGTTTCAACGAGCTCATTAGTGACTTAGATATTTGGACAAATTAGGAACGCTAGGTCTCTAAAAGCAAGCTAGAGAGATCTGAATATCCTCATCTAAGCCTAAAATGGAACAGAATTTGTCGATCTCATAATTCATCTCAGGATTCAGGGGTTTAGTTACTACTCTGTAGTAGTTGCAAGGTTTACTCCATACTCCGTAGACTGAGTGGACTTGTATGTACATTGTACTCCTATCTCCGTCTATCATATTAGCAGACCTTGAAGTATAATTTGAAGTCCCCACTTGGACGTTTTGAAATGAAGTCTATAGATTAGGAGGTTCAGACGTGAGACATCAATAAGTAAAATTTCCAATATCAAACCGAGGTAAAATGGCAGTTGGCTACCTGAATAGGCAAATTGATAGCCCTGGAGTGGATATGATGGCGAAGAATCTTGGAAGATCAGAGAGAATTGCAAGTTCAGGAAGAGTGCAGAGGTTTCAAAAGCAAAAGTCGCCGAGTTTTAATTCTCGGAAATTTGAGTAATGCCGCTTTGTGGAGAAATAACTCGGTTGCGGGATCTCATTCTCGCTTCTCGTTTGACGGAGATGGATCGGACTGATCGGACTAGATCCGGCTTTGCCGAAGTACTTACTCTTGATAGACAGCGATAGGCAAACTGTAAGATCCACCTCGGACTTCTCACGAGAGAAATAGCGGACACACTGGATCTGGATCCTGTTGCTTCGCTTTTGATGAGGAATCAAAAAAAAAGACAAAAGTAGAACCTCTGGTGGAACCAGTTGAAATGTCTTTAAATACCATACAATCGTCATTGATTAGTTTTCCCTGAGAAAAAAGAATTAAAAAATCTTATATCACTACCAATACTATAAAATGAGCGTCACATTTGATGTCTTCCGCGGTTCGAAGAAGGGAAAGATTGTCGCAGGCACCACTACTCGCACATTGCAACCCAATGAAGTGTTCATCGAAACCACTCATTCGGGTCTCTGCGGTACTGATGAGCACTACCTGAAGACTGAAATGGTCCTCGGCCATGAAGGTGTCGGCGTCATTCGTCAGATTGGCCCAGCTGTCACTAACGTGAAGGTTGGTGACCGTGTTGGATTCGGTTATACCCATTACGTATGTGGAAAGTGTGAGAAGTGCTTAACTGGTATGTTATTGAGAATATGTGATTCAGAAACCCTTGGAGTTATGAAGATAGCCGTTGACTGACCAAAATTGATTAGGGTGGGACCAGTACTGTGAGAACAAAAAAGAATACGGTTACGCTGATTTAGACATTGGGTCTTTTAGTAGCGGTTGTGTTTGGGATGCCGGATGTGTGGTTCCCATTCCTGAAGGATACGAGTCTGCTGACGCTGCTCCCTTGATGTGTGCTGGTGCAACCGTCTGGACTATCCTGACTGAATATGGTCTCAAATCCACAGATCGCATTGGTGTGATGGGTATTGGTGGCCTAGGCCACTTGGCCATTAAGCTTGCCTCAGCCATGGGATGCCATGTGGTTGTTCTCTCTAGTTCTGAGGCTAAGCGTGAAGAGGCTATGGCTTTCGGTGCCTCCGAGTACCATGTTTTCCGATCCGGTGACAAGTTGCCCGACTTTAAGCCTGTTAAGCATCTTCTACTCTGCGGAAGTGCCAATGTTGACTACCCTAGGTGAGTTTCTAGTTTCAGTCTACTACTGTGAGATTTGACTAACTTTTTAATTAGTCTTATGCCTTTGATGGATATCCACGGAGTTATCTACCCCTTGACTGTTGACATGAGCAACGCACCTATCCCTCTTCTATACATGAACCAACATGGCATTCGCGTCCAAGGCTCTCTTGTTGCATCTCGCAAAGCCCTCCGTTCACTGGTTGAGTTTGCTGCTGAGAAGAAAATTACTCCTACCTCAATGACATTCCCTCTAACTAAGGATGGCATCGAGGACGCAATGGAAACTCTTCGCTTTGGAAAGATGAGATACCGTGGCGTTCTTGTGCGATAGAAGGATATTGGAACAGCTTTCAAAATGTATCGGTGTAAAATTAATAGATATAGAAAGTTTTTATAGAATACCAATTTTGAATTGGTCATTCTAAAACCCCGAGCCCAAAGGTTACAAATTTCCTCCTATCAGATTCTAGAAATTGAGAATCAATTCATGCCAAATAAGTTAGAGCTTTTAATTTTTAATTTTTTTTAGTATATATCATGTTGAAGGATAGAAGAATTGAGCCTGTGGCCAAGATAACTAGGAGTGACTGGGCCTTCCAACCTGGGGGCCTTTTCTACATACAAAGTAATTAAATAGTGTATAAAGTACTATACGTAAATCATTATTAATAAATAAATAGTCTTTCTATTGACTAGGTGCTATCCTCAATTCGAGTCGGTAAAATGGCTATACTACGGTGATTATAGGCTATACAGTGAGAGGAGAAACCAGTTTTCCAGCGTTGGCGATTCGATATTCGCTAATATCAGGACTCTAGTGATATCACCGGGTGTTAGCTTCTACGAAGGGGGTATGGAGTTTGAATAAAGGAGAACTATGGCTGACAAGCTAAGTGCTATGATAGTTTCATAAGTAGGCTATTCATGGTGAGCCAGGGCATTAGTGTTTAGGTTTATCTTGGACAAAAATATTGTCGCGAAGAAAGATCAAATGCAGACTGGAGCACATCGGAGATTTTCAAATGAGTTCTGTTTAGTTATTAGGAAAATTGGATAAGAGGATGGATCCCAACCTGGTTGATGTCTGGGTGGTTTATGAGATGTGAGCGAAAATTCCTGGTAGAATATCAATACCAAGTCGGCCTTATGATGTGATGCATTCGTTTTAAAATTCCAATCAGAATAGATCAGCCTAGATCGAGCAGTAGACGGGTGTCTATTCAATGGAATGCTATAGAGGGATGGGATAATTACCCGACAAATAAACGTATGAATTTACTAAGGTAGGTAATGTTGATATGATAACTCATGGACCTGGGCAAAAAAACGCAATTGCCAGGCGCAATAGATTAGATTGTTCTTCTTTGCCGTTAAGAAATACAGATCTTTGAACCAACTATTGTACAATATTCACAGAACCCATCGAATGGAAATAAATGCCGTAAATAATCCACATATGCCACAGATATCGTGAACCCGTTATGTATCATGCATTCTATGAGCTTATATTAGAATTCTCGGCTTTCGCCAATATCGCACACATCAAAGACACCCTTCTCGGGCAGACCCAGTGTCTTCAAAGCGGTCTTTAACTTCTCAGGAGGCTCGAGGACATCCTCTTCAGTAAGAACCCAGGTTCCCCAGTGCATGCCAAGTGCATTCTTGCATTTTGTATCTTGGAGAATGTTGACTGCATCGTGCGGATCACCATGTGCGGGACTCCAGATATGACGAGGAGCATATGCGCCAATGGGAATCAAGCCAAGGTTAAATGGGCCTCGAAATTCGCCTATTTGCTTGAAAGCTGGGCATATGGGGAAGTCGTACTTTGGGTCATGGTCATCCTCTCCGGCAGGAAGCTCGGGGACGGGTCGGTATCCAGTATCTCTGTTCGAGCGAGTCAGCCTACATATATTCCCAACCTAATGAAAAGTCAGATGAGTGTGTACCCTGCGAAATAAACCTTGACACCGTTTGATTCAAGACCCCAACCACACCACAGAGTCTTGAATCGATCGAATGGAGTACGAGCGCTGTTATGCTGACTGGGCAAGCAGCTGACCCGTGCCGTGATCTCTGCCACTGTGGAAGCAGATTCTCCAGCGTTACCCAAATTTGCCTCCTCCTGCTGCAACGGAGACAGTGGAGACAATTTGATCTCGTTCTCGTCCCACCAGTCCAACTCTGTAACTTTACTTATGCCGCAGCTGTCAAACCAGGCCTTGACGCCCAATGGAACAAAGAAATGGCAGTTGGGATGTTTTTCCCACAGAGTCATAAGAGTCTTGTATGAGAGATGGTCGTAGTGGTTGTGGGAAATGAGAATTGCATCAATCACAGGAATATCTTCAGGCTTGCAAGGAGCATCCGTGAAGCGCTTCGGTCCCAACATGTTGTATGGTCCACAGCGCTCCTCAAGGACTGGATCAAAGAGGACTCGAAGACCGCTCGGAAACTCGACGTAGAAGCAGGCATGTCCTAACCATGTTGCGCGCAAATTGGGGGTAACTCGGCTAGGAAGAAATTCTGGCTTTCGAACAGGGACAGTTGGGCCGGTAGTGACTGGTACATTTGCTCGGCCGGTGACTCGGCGCCTGTATGAAGAGTCCAATATGAGCCCAGTAATAGATAAAGTGTGGATGAGTTGATTCTGAGAGGGGGGGGGGAGGGGGGAAAGAAGGGTAGTATAAGAGGTCGAGAACTTACATGAGAATATCCTGAGCTGATTTTAAATTAATATTGCGCCAAGAACTATAGAACAGGGGAGATGAGTGTCATTCAATGCTGATTAGCGTGTGCGAGAAGCTTCACATACTCCCAGGGGTTTCGAAACCCAGATTGGACATGGTGGCTCAGTTTTGAAGAATCTTCCGGGCCTAGTCTGGTCGGACCAGAAGCCACCGACAGCGCGTACAAGACTTCGGTTGTTGTTGAGCTCATGTTGCGAACATGAGTATGCCAGTTAATTGCCTGGTGACAAAACTGAGCGCGAAGTAGGGGGCGCATGGGGATATAAGACAGCAAAGGCACACACGTTAAAGCCCTTAAGCCCGAATCGGAGAGGGTAGAAATCCCGACGGACTACAGATTCCCCCGGTTTATACCAACTCCATTTCCGAACCCCGACTCATAAAGGGGACTAGAATGAGAACTATCCAGTGGATGTCAGGACTACATTGTCATCCTTGGTCCATCAGAAAGAGATAGAAAAATCCAGAAAAGAAGCCAGAAAAGAAAGCCAGAAAAGAAAGCCAAAATGAATGACGCTGTAGATCGAGTTGAGCCGTTGTCGGCCCGCTAGTAATTCCGATAATCAGATTTCTTATCGTCAATCGCGATTGTTCTTAACAACAACTCCCATTCCTAGATTCGGCTGGTATGGAGCCAAATGGGTCCAGTGCTGTGCCATCAGCGTCTGACTTGATTCTTCAGCAGAGGACTGAAGCCCTCAAGAGTGTGCAAGAGTCTGTGCAAAAGGGTGATGGTAGTCTTTTTTCGCAACTGACGAACAATCCATTGTTCACAGCGGTATGAGGCAATTGAGATCACGAAACTGATCCGGTCCACTAACGAATTTTTTCAAATAGGGATTTGGCCTTGCTGGTTTGGGCGCAGGGCTCACTTTCGCTCAGAAGGGCATCCGTCATGGTGCAGCTTTATTGCGACGTCGCATGCTTGTCGACGTCGAAATTAGCATCAAAGATGATTCATATCCGTGGTTTCTCCATTGGATGACCCTTTATCAACAGTCACAATTAGGTACTAGCCGTTCAGTTGCAAGCAATTCGGGTTTTATCAACCGTTTCCTCCAGAAAATGACACCCGGAATGCGTCACCTTTCTATTCAGACACAAAAGGTTGAGCACTCGAACGGTGCCATCCATACACATTTCTCCTTGATTCCTGGTCCCGGGAAACACGTTCTTCGCTACAAGAATGCGTTCATTTTCGTCAACCGCATGCGCGAATCAAAGTCACGCGATCTTCAGACTGGGAAACCGTGGGAGACTATCACCTTGACCACTCTCTACGCTCATCGCCATATCTTCGAAGACCTGTTTACTGAAGCCCACGCATATGCTGAAAAATCACATGAAGGAAAGACTACAATTTATAACAGTTGGGGCACGGAGTGGCGACCATTTGGGAATCCACGACGCAAGCGTCCGCTTGAGTCGGTGGTGCTCGATGAGGGCGTCAAGGAACGTATAGTGGAGGATGTGGAAGACTTTATCTCAAGCGCAGCTTGGTATCACGACCGCGGCATTCCGTACCGTCGTGGCTACCTATTATATGGACCACCAGGCACTGGAAAAAGTTCGTTTATCCAAGCGTTGGCTGGCGAGCTAGACTACGATATTGCTATTTTGAACCTGAGCGAGCGTGGACTAACTGACGATCGTTTAAATCATCTGTTAACAATTGTTCCGAACCGAACTCTAGTTCTGCTGGAGGATGTGGATGCGGCTTTCTCAAACAGGCGCGAGCAGTCAGACGCGGATGGGTACCGGGGCGCTAACGTGACCTTCTCTGGTCTACTGAATGCTCTTGATGGAGTCGCCAGTGCTGAGGAGCGTATTATCTTTTTAACTACCAATCACGTTGAGCGTCTTGACGAGGCCCTGGTCCGACCGGGGCGCGTGGATATGACTGTCCGCCTCGGAGAGGTAACGCGCTACCAGGTCAGCCGACTCTGGGATCGGTTTTACGAAGAGATTGACAAAGACGGATCTCACCGAAAACTGTTCATCAGCCGGCTTGAGGAGCTTGGCCTAATTGAGGATGCACAAGGCCATAAGCCCGACCGCTCGAAAAGCACCAGTGCAGCGGCGTTGCAAGGCCTATTTTTGTATAACAAGGGCAATATGGAGGGGGCAATTGCCATGTCCGAAGGACTCACTTATTCAGTCCACGGTGAGGCACTGGGACACAGCCAAGATTAAGGCTACGAACTACCCAGGTGTATAAAATGTAAATATTCCAATGTATAGATATCTCATTCCACTTGCACTCACTTGTATTTCTTCAGAATCTTCGACCAATGCTAAATGTTCTCGTTGTGCTGCCAAGCTCGTACGTGCGTTGGATTTCGAGCCAGTCCAACTCTAAGGTGAGCTATCTGCACTGGAATCCCACCAATTGCATCTGTGGATGACAGAGAACTGCAGATTTAGAGACCTCATTACTCCAATCAACTACCTTATTGCAGAGAAAATCATCGAGGTCGACGCGCCGTTCCCTGCAGTCGCTATTCCCCGTCCCATCAATAGACCAATCACAGCTGCCTTCTCCTAAGCGCTGGCCCTAAAAATAGGGCTGTCACATACGATACCATAGCGCATATGGAGGAGTCAGAAGAGTTTACGGTCAATAATGGGCTATATGTCAAGTCGAAACACCCCCTTGTCGCGTTCTCGCAACGTTTATCGAGAACGTCGAGGTGGGTCTATAGTCCTATTGTTGAACACACGAAGCCGGACTATATATGTCATACAGCTCCTACAACCATGAGTCAATTTCAGTTATTCCCGCCTCCTTCACCGGAGATAAAGGCTGCAAAGAACCCATTTCGCAGGGTTAAGAAGCCGATTCAAAAGGCTGAATCGGAACCCATCCCTCTCAATGAAATAAAGGATTCGTCTTCCAACACGGAATCGTTATTGCTTCAAATCATCGAAGATACCCATGATCTGCCGCCCCCACCACCACTACCAGCACATCTTGCACGGGGAAAGTCTCTGTCTACGGCAGACTCATCGCCTAATTCGAAGTCCACCCAATCTGCACGCAGCCGAAGTCGCCAGGGAAATCACACCAGCCAGCGATCTTTACCTTTGCAGAGCAGCTCGAGCAGTAGTAGCAGTAGCCCTTACACTGCCATTTCATCTGCATCTCCCCAGTCGCTACAGTCTTCTGCTACTCCACAAGTTCCTATGAAATCTATGTTTCCTCAATTTGATCCTAAAGTCCCGCTCAATCAACAGAAGTATCTCTCTCAAATGGTTAACGATGATCTGTCTACCAAGACCTCTCGTAAGCCACAGCTTACACTTTCGCCAACATCGAATATTGACCAGTTTCTTGGGCCCAAAACTGTCCCCGCAAGTATAGTTAACTTTCCGACTGGGGTAATGGAGCCAGAGGAGATCCAATATTCCTCTAATCAGGAGTTGGAATTACTCTGGGAAGCTGCCAATGGTCAACGGCCCCAGGATATTGACGGAGCCTTCAATCTACGCTTAACAAAGTAAGCTGCGATACCTATATATTGAGCATGTTCGACTGCTGACTACAGGGCGCAAGAACTGGACCTGCAACTTTCGCATTTGGGAATTCACAGAAGCCATTTTATACATTGCAAACCTACTCGAACAATGAAATATCTATATCTCGTGGAGTTCCATCGAAGCCTAATCACGATGTCCCTATCATGACCCTGAGCCTTGAGGACCGCAGACGCCGTGAGCACCCCCACGATGGGCTTGTCACACTACTCTTCCCCAGGCTAGCTGCCATGCTCGCTATCGAACAGGCCGAAGAGATCAGCAAATACCACCATCTCTCCGGGTCCCATGCATCAGAAATTGAAAGCAACGCTCTTAAGCGGGCAGCCGCTCAAGAATCCTGTCGTCTATCCTGGAATCGCAACCTTCGCCTTTACGAGTTTCGACATCCATCGCAGTCCAAACGACTTCCTCCGCCCCTAGTCGGGGCTGAAGGTATTCCACTATCTCCTGTGCAATCTCAATCATCGGGCATTTTATACATAACCGTTTCCGCACCTTCAAACGATGCGACACCTCACCAGCCGCCGACAATAATTGTCACTGGTCCCATGTCCTCCACAGCCATGGAAGCAGCGCAAGAAGCCGCTAACCCGCGTACATCCACAATGCCCGTCTCTGACCAAGATGAGCCGCTCGCAACTATGGATTTTGGAACGCGTACTTTGTCCATTTCTCCCGCTGCTGTTATCGCTACTATCCCATCGCTCTACGCTATTGACTCGCTGATCGCGGCTATCCTGGCAGTCGCCGTCTCTGACGAAGCCACAAATCCTATTCTCGCAGATATGGACCTTGGCTCACCTCAATCAGTGGGACCGAATGCGGTATCGGCGACTAAATCAGGAGCCGCAATGCCTTACCGTGGAGATCTTATAACAACATTGGCTGAGCGCGAAGACTACAATCAAAGTCTTGAGCTAGCGTCGCAAATAGAGGCTGCTGCAACATCAAAGCCAGCAAAGAGGAAAAGTTTCTTGAGATTCTGGGACCGGGGTAGCGCTGTTTCTACTCCTAAGGATAGCCACCGCAAGTCCAAGTCGAAAAAGAAGCAGATCGTGGTCGAAGAATTTGATTTAGAGAAATACGGCAGGTATGGTTCGAGCTCGTCTCGTGAGGGCGAGAAAGTACCCGGCATCACTCGGGGCTTACTGAAGATTCTATTCTTTGGATTGGATATACTTGTCAAGGGGTTGACACTCCTGGTCAAAATATTGGCTTGGTTGTTGGTGAATTCTACCCGCTGTGTTACAAGTGAGAAGTTTTAATTGATTCAGTATTGATTGTGAATGCGTTTTTCTTATGGACATATTTTGCCCTAGTCATAATACCCCTTGGATATATCGATCTCTTTTTCAAGTATCCAGGCTTACTTTTAGGAAAGCTTCTCTCAACGTTACTTTATAGTCATATTTAGATCCACGTGCTCACTTTTATCCCTCCGTAATTCAATCCTGTTTTTTTTTTGCCGACAAGGTTATCGATATTTGGTTTACATCAATATACCCTGTCTCTGCGGGTCATTCCGTAGTCTTTACTTGCTGAAACTTCCACAACTTGCCACATACATGGACGATTCTAGGTGTACTGACGTATATGAAGTAGGTCTAGTGTATCAACGTACCTAGGTAAAAAGCTGATTGCAATCCAATGAAGAGGTAGATAATATGCCTCTTTGGTGTGGACCTTGCGATCCATTAAAAGCCGGCCAGACTTTGGATTGAAACGTACTTGGAAGTTATTTAGGGTTAGGTAGAGAACTCGGGATTTTGCCTACCTACGCTACACTAGACATGGCTCTCACCCTTATTCAGGAGCTAGAATTGAAACTTCAATGCCTACGGGTAGATTCGGTAAGGGTCATCCTTCCAATGTTACTACATCAATATGAACATTCCATTGAGGGTAGGTAACTAGGGATGCTCGCACAAACATGAGATAGCAGTATAGCAACTGGCACATTCTTGAGGCATTCCAGAGTGATCAACAGGGGATCTGTTTATGTGAACTTTGCAATTGTTGTCCGAGTCAGATGCCTCCGAAAGCTTACTTCCACTGCTAGAGTAACGTCCCCTTCCCCGATGTACCAACATGCCGGGACATCGTCATAATCATACTTGACAAGCTTCAGTATGATCAAGGGATACATTCGGAGTAGATCGTTGTTGAGCTTGTTTACTCCATTACAAAGGCTTTGTATCTATAAGAACGTTTAATCCAGTCGTAAGGCCTCGCTTGTCTTGTCCTATTCCCATCTCTAACACTTAAATCGTTCTATTTCAAATAAACCCCTATACATCATTAAAATGCGTTCATTCATCGCTTCCTTCCTCATTGCTGGCACCGCTGCCATTGCCACTGTCGATGATTTCACAAGCTGTGCCGTAAGTTCCTAGTACACGTATAATAACAGTCAAGACAAAGCCCTAACGTCCCGCCAGACCGCCACTCTCAAAGTCGTAGGATGCGAGGCCTCCGACGCAGCATGCTTCTGCTCCAAAGTCAACAGCATCAATCAGCTATCCGACACCGCCGCAGCAGCTTGTGGCGCCGCCGGCCTAGACGTGAAAGACCTAGAGACAGCCCTCTGCTCAACCACAAGCCGTGTCGCAGCCCCATTCCGCCACGCCAGCAAACCAATGGAGCTAGCTTCCGTGAATGTCAAACGCGCCTACGCCCCTGAATCTGGCGACATCGCTATGGACCGCGTTGTATACGTAACCGCAACCCACACCGAGTACGCTTGCGCCAGCACCCCTGTCGCCGAGATGCCCAATGCCTCTTCGCCTGTGGGTTCTCACTCGCACGTCGCCATGATGGGTGCTTCATCTCCTACGCCCGTTTGGTCTGAATCTGCTGCTCCTTCATCCTGGTCTGAGTCTGCTGCTCCTTCATCTTGGTCTGAGTCTGCTGCTCCTTCATCTTGGTCTGAATCTGCTGCTCCTTCATCTTGGTCTGAATCTGCTGCTCCTTCATCCTGGTCCGAATCCGCTGCTCCTTCATCTTGGTCTGAATCTTCGCCTGCGGCTTCTAACTCACGCGTTGCTATGATTGGTGCTTCATCTCCTACGCCCGTTTGGTCTGAATCTGCTGCTGCTCCTTCATCCTGGTCTGATTCTGCTGCTCCCTCATCCTGGTCTGATTCTGCTACTCCTTCATCCTGGTCTGATTCTGCTGCTCCTTCATCTTGGTCTGCTTCACCTTCGGCCCCTGCTTGGTCTCACGGTTTGATGGGAACACCCTCTGCCTCTGTGCGCTTCGCTCCTAAGTTGTCGGCCTACCCTACTCCTTCTGGGGCTAGTGCCAACCGCTTCAACACTTTCAAGGGCGCTGCTCCTCAGGTCAGCGCTGCGTACAGCGGTGTTGTTGCTGTCGGTGTTGCGGCTGTTATGGGTCTGATGATTGTCTGGTAAGATGTTAAACACGTTCCAACGTTATTGTTTGAGATTTTATGATCTGTGTCGCGATATGATTCTTCTTCCTATTCTTTTCTTCATTTTTCCCTTTCTCTTCGTTGGCAGTGTCAAGGTTTTTGGTGTGTATTTGTAGTTAATATCAGTGTACGAGTGGAACAAACTCATTAATTACCTAGCCAGGTAGCAAGGTACCTAGACCAAGGCCGCAGCGATTAAAGGAAAGAAAATTTATTACATTAAGTATCAATCAATTTATTCACTAGAAACCTGAAGTTCCTAAACATGTCATATCTGGCATCAAGGGCAACAAGGCTCCTTTGGAAAACAAATTGGCGTTCGGCAGAAGAAGATAAAACTGCCAATGTGCTTAATTAGGTAGTAAACTCACGAAACTCATATATCCATGGCCCTCAACTCATTTAAGCATGAATTGCTTGTTGCACCCGTGGGTACAGCTCCACAAGCTTGTAGTATATTTCCGGGTGATCATTGATCATAACCTGAGGATCCCAGCCCATAGCAACAAAGATAGTTTCAACACCACTACCAATAGGCGTCATGAAGATCTGGCAGATCTGCAAACCAATCAAGAACGAAAACGCCATGATGACAGGGGTGAAAGTACCGTCCGCGTTGTATGCAGGGTGCGTGTATTGCAGATAGAGGTAAGAGAGCAGAGCACAGACGTAGGAGACGAACACAGATCCCATGGTCAGCACCGGACCCATCAGACAATCCTGGACCAAGGCATCGACGCCGCGATCACGCATCATTTTCCAGGTGTCTTTCGCCGCAGGAATATAGGCCTTGCCATAGAGTGCAATATGGCAGAATGCGTAGCGGTTGAAAAGTGTTACGAGCCAGTCGAGCATTGAGATGAAACAACCCAGAATCCAGAACATGATGCTGCCGAACATACTTCCCTGCGCGGCCTCGTTGCGCTGTGCGATTGAGCATGCCTGGCGCAGCATCTGGATGATTGCGATAATCAAGCTGCCGAAACTGATACTACCGAAGGAATAGGTTGTTGCACGGCGGAATGCGCCGCGGGTTGCGCCTCGGGGCATGCCACCTGGTGACTTGCTGTAAAAGTACCAGGAGCCATAGACGCCGGCGATAGTTGTGTGTATTGTGTTTTTGAGCCATTCGCTAAACCAGTACATGGCGAAGGTTACGTATACAATCAGTCCAATGACCTTTGCGGAGCTACAACCGCCATTCTGACAGGATGGGTTCACACCAGTGGAGTCCGGCTCGTAGGCGACGTATATCGCAACCAGAGTGACGGAGAACCAGGCCGAAAAGGCCATGGCGACAATCCCACCAATCGCGCTGACCAAGAAGACATGTCCATAGCCACGGGCAACATCCATCGTGGTCTGCAACATGAAAGCTGTGAATGGGATACGTGGAATCCAGCTGATAAAGCACAGGATAGCGAAGACCCCGAAGATCAGGAATACAATTCCACCACCATATTGCTTTTTGGCAATGTAGTAGATTCCAGTGGCCAATGCAAACACAATATTCAGGATGCCCGTGACCCAGATGAAGGTCTTAGTAAAGTATCGCGCGCCGAGGAAATACAGCCAGGAGAGGACGAGGGCAACGCAAAGGACAAATACGAATAATATGAGTGTGTTTGTGTTCAAGGAGAAATCGTTTCCGGAGTCGTAAATGCCACCGCCACTGAACCCTTTATGGGTCGCATACTTGTGGATTGTCAAACCCGATATAGCGGCATAGCCAAGGAATACCGCGATGAGCTAGGAATAGGGTCAGATTTCTATGGTATATAAAATTTCTGCGCACGAGGAAGGACTTGGGGCAGCTTACCAAAAGACCTGCCCAAAGATCATTGTACTTTGGCCGGTCTACCTTGAAAACCTCCTCATAACTGGGAGGAGGATCGCTGTAACCACCATGCGGCGGTGCAACATTAGGTGCAACATCATCAGGGTATGGGGGAGGCTTAGGCTCTGAAGCTTGCTGGTAATTGTCGTTTTGCTGGTAAATATCATTTGGGTTATTGTACTGAGAATTGCTGTACTGACCCTCCTCGTAGCCGCGATTCGGGTCGTAGTAATTAGCAGCCTGTCCACTCATTGTGAAAGGCTGAGGGGTTGACAAGGGAAAAAACCTCGAAAGGGGAATGCAAGGTTTTGGTATTTCCTTCCGCATTTGAATCCATGACGACACGGGTGCTCAGCTGGGATGAACCCTGATCGGCCAATCGGTAATTAAGCTAATAAGGGTCCAGACCCAAATCGAGGTCGATCTTGTACCCGTTCCAGGGTTCAACTGAAGAACTATTAGTTAAGTATGACTAAAGTATTTCACCACTGAACGGGTCACACTACTGAACGGGTCAGTTTGACCCACTTATTTTTATGAATCCCAATAACTCCATTATTTACTATGTAATATAGTAAAAAAAAACTACTGAATGGGCCTACTAGGACAGGTTTCCCTCCTATGTCCAGGTGTCTTACATATCCCACACCGGCGTTGGGTTACAGGCGCCCTTACAGGCGCCTGGCCCTCTTGTAAATTGGCATCATTAAGTTTAGGGCCACCATTCGACGCGTCAACCAGGTCTAATCCCTCCTGAATTGTAAGACCCCCTACTACTGTTAATTGACGATTCGGACGTTCTTTTTGTTTTTTCTTTTTCTCATGGGCGGCGCGTAAATCTCTGTTTTCCAGGCGTAAGAGAGCATTCTCTTGATATAGGTAATTTGCACCCTTTACTATCTGGTCTAATGCTCTCTTAGATGGTGTTGGTGGCGTTCGAGATACAGTGCGTAATATAGCTTGGTGTTGACGTCGTAAATCTTTCTGCGTCCTAGGCGTCTTAGGTGTCCAATTTCGACTTGAATCGCTTCCTATAGAGGGTGGTGGTGGTGGTGTATCGACGCGCATAGTAAGCTTTTTTAACACCCTAGTAGGGTCAAGTGGCACGATTCCAGTTGCAGCAAACGCATTAGAAGCAGATGCAAATGCTTCAATACGCGCAGTAGGATATATCTCTAGGAAATCTCCTTTACTAATGTGGGAAAAACCAAGCTCTACTCTAGACTCAACCAGCCGAGAATAAGAGCGTTTTAACACCGCAAAACACCCAACATCAAGAGGTTGAAGAAGATGAGACGCATGCGCAGGCATACATAATGGTATAATATCATGCTCCTGGCAGATTTTGTCGAAATCAGGTGTTAAATGGCTACCATGGCCATCTAAGATCAGAAGGCGATACCGTCCTTTAGTACGAGCAGTAGCAGGTATAAAGAGCTTTTCAAGCCAACGGAGCCCTATTTGATTTGATGTCCAGCCATTAGGACTAATCTCAAGACGCCAATTAGGTGGTAAACCTAGATCAGGAGCAAACCAGCTCTGCATCATCACCTTACCCTTAAAGATAATACAGGGTGGAGGTGCGTAACCAGACGCGCCTAAACACTCTATCACAGTAACCCATTCCCGGTTACCAGGCTGTTTTTTTGCGCGTTTACCATAATAACCAGCTCTAGTAACCACTCTCGCGGTCGCACATCGTCCCATCGCAAACCCAGTCTCGTCAAAATTATAGATATCGTCGGTGGTGATACCATATTTTGCGATCGTGTTTTCAACCAGTTTGAACCAATTATTGATCACATTATAGTCCTCTTGACGCGCACGTGTAAAATCGCGCGGTGTTGAATAGGTCGTCTTAAGTTCAGGTAAACGCGTCGCAAACCTAGTAACCCAGTTTTTACCGATCGTAAGAGGAGGGTTGGTTCCGCGGTCGGCGAGTAGGATATTAGCCATTCTACCAACATCTTTAGTTCTAGGAGCACAGCCGCGATCATCTAGAGAGACGACCCATTGAAGTAATGAATCCTCTTCAGATTCAGTCAGTTTAGACTGCGGTGGGTGTGTTTCAAGACGAAATTGGACACCAGAATGGCGGCGTTGGAGGGTTGAAAATGGTATATTAAACATAGCTGCAGCTTTACGCATTGATGATATATCGCCATTCTTGTAAGCTTGGTAAGCTAATAAGACCCTATTCTCCTGATCCTGTTTGTCTTGGACATATAGAGCATTTAGGGGGGGCATGGTGGGTAGTTGAAAATGGAAACACCAGACTGACGCGTAAAATTGGTGGGGTGACCCGTTCAGTAGTGTGACCCGTTCAGTGGTGAAATACTTTACACCTTAAGTTTCAATAAGTGTATTTGGAACTAGTCTTGGCCTACTGAATTTACTCTGTACTCGATATACCTGTCTGTTACAACTACTTACTATATGACTATTTATTATTTATTCAGTTATTTAGTTAACTGGTTAACTAAAAATTTACATGATTAGGTAACACATTAGCTTAGAAATAGTCAAAAGTTAATTGTGATGCTAAGGAAGTCAATCAATTCCTTCCAATCAAATCCCAGATTTATGCTCGCTTCTTTTATATACAAATGTAGATCAACAAAACAAGAATCCAATATGCCAGGTATAATGCCATTTTCGAGAGACGCCCATAAATGCAAGGGAGGTTGGTTTCCGATGTCCTGCTAACGAGGACTAGGACAGTTATGATTATAGGGGTTAGTTGTTTGATTCACTTCATTAGCCTACAATACGTGCAGCTGCAGGTATTGCAGCTGCTTTTTCAGGCAAGATCGGCACAATAAATACCCAGATAGGTATCGATGATGCTTTCTTGAGGCTATCGAAATGCATGTGATTTTAGATGCCGCCAAGAATCGGCTACTCGGTGCTCAATACCAGGAGCTTCCTTTCGCCGATTAACGTGAAGATCATCTGTTGCCGATGGTTTGATTTCGCCCTTGCTCCAAGCAGCGGACCGTCGCAGCTTCTCCTGGCGGACGGCCGTTCGGCGAGCAGCCCGCAGGTCGTCAATTCGGCCTTGACCGACTCGGTGACGTCGTACGAAGCAATCTTCAAGCAGGGCGTTGGCATCTAGGAGTTTCTTGGGAACCGTTTGCACGACTTGAAAAACCTCCATCGGATCTGATACCGCTATGATGTCCCGTTCACAGGCCTTGAAGATGCCGAGCGACACGCGGAAAAAGGTTTTTGATCCTTCATAGAAGAAAATATCCCACACCCGAAGCGTAGTTTCAAGAGGTAGAGTTCCAATGAAAACAGACATGAGCCAATTGGTCAATCCCAGTGTAATATCCGGCAAACGCGAATTCACAGTCAATGGAGGCGATTTGCCATGTCCCGAAGTACCACCCATGCTAGCAATCTTGGTATAAGTGGCTGGCATAGAATCTCTAAGCAATACCATGAGAATCCAGAGGTCAATATTAGCACCCTCTAGGCTGATCTCATGGGTTCCAGGAAGGTAGACAGATGTGATAATGTGCAACATCCAGAATGTCTTTTCCTCTGGTAAGAAGAGAAGAAGCATGCCGGTGATGAAATTGAGTGACTGCGTATAACCAATTTTGGGATTGTGCAAAGCAAAGGCATACAACACGCGTCGAAGTGATTGGATCATCTGCGTCTCAGTTGTCACATTGCCTTGCTGGTCATTAGGAGATCCAGTCTCTACTGGATCCGGTTTGAAATGAATGTTGTCGGGGAAGGTCCGGTGGAGATCTCGCTCAATGTGCTCTTTGTCGTCATCGCTTTCTGAAGCCATGGCTTTCTCCACGAGTTGATCGTAAACACCAAAGTTGCCGTTCAGAAGCTGGTAGCCACCCGCATACCAAAACCACGCAGCACCCCGGAACTCGCCAGGGATTCCCTTTCTAACAAATCTCTTGACCTTGTTGGACGGTGCAGGGAATGTGCTCGGGTTTGTTGTTGGAAGGCCATGTTCATTTAGCAAAGCCATCCACTTGTCTTTGCGTTGGGCCGTGTAGTGCGAATACGGGCCCTTCCAGGCCTCGTATTGTTCCAATGTCACGTGGTGAGTAGCCTTGCGAAAGCCATACATGTCCCGTGCGTCATTTCCAGAAATGAGGGGAGGTGGGACCGGGCCTGGGATGAATATTTTTGACGGTTGTCGCTGATGAGCCGCTTGTACATTCGATGTAGTTGGCGAGGTAGAAAATTCCGAGGGTATCGGTTGTGGTGGGAGCGCGTCTGCTGAGTGCTCAGGCGTGGGTTCGGAAAATGGAGTTTCGGGTTCGAATTCAAATTCAGGGGTGAGGTACTCTGGCGTGGACTCCCACAGTACAGGCTCTTGCCTGGAGTGTGAAGTGCGTGGAATGGGTGGTACGTCGTCCAGCGATGTCGATCTTAAAGGAAAATCAAAGTCTAAATGGGTATCCCGGGAAGGCGGTGGTGTCATTGAGACGATCGAGGCAGCTTTACTACCTAGTCGAGACCTAGGCGAAGCAGGTTCTTCGGTCACGTCACTGAATCCGTCCAGATACATGGAGATGGCATCTTCCACGCTCATGCCCTCGTCCAGGCCACAGGGAGTATCAGGGGTGTCAGGTGAAAGATCTGTAATCGAGCTGCTCTTGGTCAACACACTGCTGCGCTCGGTGCCACTATTTTGTTCAATGCTGGATCTCGAAGTCAAGGTGGAATTGACGCTGGCTCTGAGGGTGTCGTCATCCAACCCATTTGGAGGAAATCGAGGTGGAGGGAGGGCGTAAGGATTTGTATTCTGGCGCCATTCTGGCTCAGGAAATCTCGGTCGCCTACTCTGCAACCTTGAAGTTGACATGGATATACGGAGACCACCCCTAGCTGGTAGAGCCTGTCGATGACTTTGCCTATCCCAACAGTTCTCCTGAGCAAACGCGTTCAAGGCATTTCGATCTTTCGGTGGTGTGAGCTGAGGACCAAAACCAGGCATTTTCAACGGCCAATCATCCGGCATGGGTCCAGGGGAGCCAGCACGCAAAGACTCTGGAAGCCATGGACGATCATCAAAGCCTGTTGCAGATGGAGGTAAGGGGGAGAGTGACCGATTGGGTGGAGAGTGAGGGGAACGAGGAGAGCGAGATGGAGACGGAGATGATAGGGCGGTTCGTGCCGCTCTTGGGTGCTCGATCTTCAGAGGATCCAACCGGTGAGTGATCTTTCGGCGACCGGCAAGATCAGATTCTAGGGGAGGCGAGTAACTCGCAGACCCATTCCCTGTGACCATGGCCACTAACTAGTATTGACCAGTTCCCGCTGGACATTGATTAAAGACAGAGAACAATGGCCCTTTGCACTTTTTGCACTAATTGAAATTGACTTTTGAATGGAAGGGGGTAACCAGAGAGAGAGAGAATGAGGTGCATGCAGTAGAGAAGTACAGCACTACACTAAACACATAAACAAAAGAAAGTAAAGCAGGGGGTATCTGATGAGGAAACCAAAAAAGAAGGACAATAACTAAAAAAAAGAAATAGAAAGATAGAAGGAAATAGGGAAATTAACAGAATGAAGAACAAAAAATCAACATAGCCCGAAATGGACTAGCGTGGCATGACGTAACAAGATTAAATTACGTTCGTTCTTAAACAAGTACTTAGTAAGATTATATTAAAGGTCAGTTAACTTATATTCTAGTTCGTTTCACCCCATGCGTGAACCGTGGATGCATCATCGTAGATCATAAGTTGAGTCTAGATGTATTTATTTGTTTACCATTTACTGCGGATAGTTCGGTAACTTCGTACTTTAATTTGTATATTGGTGGAGTACGGAGTATTTGTAACCCATAGACTAAATGATTATAATGGTTTTATGTTTTATTTTTATATATACATTTATTCAATTTTTTTCTGCTTTTGTTTCTTGTTCTTGTTCTTGTTCTTGTTCTTGTTCTCGTTTTTGTTCTTGTTCTTGTTCTTGTTCTTGTTCTTGTTCTCGTTTTTGTTCTCGTTCTCGGGTCCTGTGGAATCAATGCACTTCCGTCTTCAGCTTCACCTCACTTATTCCGTTGATAGTTAGACGCTTTCATCTATTCAAAATGAAGAACATATTTATCCATGGATATTTATCCTTTCCTCTCTTCCCTTCCCTATGGAACAGGACTGAAATATATTGATATTTGCCGAAATCAAGATCCGCAGGAATCCACTCTCTCTGCCTCAAAATGGCTGTTTTAAATGGAGTGTCGAAGAAATTACCCAACCGAGTTTGCCCCAGCACCTGGGCTGATGTAAGTCTAGACCAGACATTAAACGAACCAAACCTAAACTTGTTTTCGACTGTTCTTAGGGCCTTCGCGGACTTGCCGCTATTTTTGTCGTTGCTAGTCATACCTCACTGAGCTTTGCTACTTTCCTCATCCCGCCCTCTTTTGCAGAAACTGGGAAATCATCTCTATTTCAGCGCCCATTCTTTAGACTTGTCATTCAAGGTCAAGCATGGGTGGCCATATTCTTCATCTTACTAGGCTTCGTCAACTCGCTCAAAGCTGTCCATCTGGCCCGGACGGGAGCAATCTCTGAGGCTCTCAATTCTTTATCCAGTGGAGCGTTTCGGCGTACCGGGAGACTAGTGTTTCCTGCGGCGCTAATCACCTTTCTGACATGGCTTGCCTGCCAATTCGGTGCTTTTCAATTGGCTGGCAGTGTGGATGCATACTGGTTGCGATCGACAGCTCCAAAACCTAGTGCATCCTGGCTCATTGCTGTGCAAGATCTCCTTAGACAGCTGGTGGGGACCTGGCTGTATGGGGAAAATGCCTACGATCAGCCTCAATGGGCTCTACTGCCTCTCTTCCGGGGTTCGTTGTATGTATTCATGACCTTGCTTGCTCTGGTGAATACTACACCACAATTTCGGTTGTTAGCTGAAATGGCGTTGTACATGTGGTCCTGGGTTACTCTAGATGGTAAGAACCCGGTAGCGAAGATCCCAAGATATTGAACTTGAAACTTCCTTTCTACAGACGAGGTTCGAGCGCTAATTCTTGACAGGTGGTGTTGGCGTTAATATCTTTGCAGGCATGATCCTGGCCGAGTTGTCATTTTACAACCTTCACCATACGCATGGGGTGCCGCGCGTATTCAAGCTTATTCCATACGCGCTGGTTCTACTTGGCTTGTACATTTGTTCATTTCCAGATCAATACGCCGAACAAACAGCTTGGTCTGCCCAACTCGCCTATGTCGGTAAAACAATTTTCCCAGTAGGCTCGAATATGAGCCGTTACTATGCAAGTGTGGGAGCGCAGATGGTGTGCTTTGGAGTGATGCTTTCACCATCCATGCGACGAGCTCTCTCAAATCGATTCCTACTATGGATTGGATCCATCAGCTTCCCATTGTACCTACTGCATGGTCCCTTCATGCGTTCCGTCCTAGTCTACCTTTTGTACTTCCCCATGTCGATCGGGTTCAAGCCTGCCATGCAGACAGATGGTACGCCGGATCCGGAGTCATATATCCATACTCCGAATACGCTGCGCCTTGGTATTCTGATGACCGTGTTCTTCATGTTTTTGCTATACGTGGTTCGTCTTTGGGCGATCCATGTGGAACCGAAGATGGCGGCGGCTACTGATTCCTTTGAACGATTCTCCCGATGGTGGGGAAATAGCCGATCCAGACATGAGGATATCTTGCCAGTTGCTTACATCAAATAGGCCTAGTGCGTAAATATCCACAAAGTATATTATTTTAGCCATTGTTGGACCTAGCGAATTTCACCATATATATATACATGGTATTTTATTCAGAATAAATGTCAGAGCTCTTTTCCTCTATGCAGCAAGATCTTCTATTACCTATCTAGGATAGTTCCAGGGTAAATACCCTGACGAGTCACTTAACATGGGCCGTTGTTGCTGCGGCACGGAAGCATAAAACAAACTAGTTAACGCCCTAGTCTTTCAGGGGAAAAGACGTTCCAAAACTCGGGCTCAAACTAGACCTGTCTTATAACTTTCCTCCTTTATTAAATTATCAGACTGATTACTTTTTCTTGAACCAGTTATCATCCTTAATTTATAACTGGGACATGTATGGTGTTGACTTGGCTGGGCTGATTTGTCTTGAAAGATCGCAACTTCGTTCCCAGGGCCAGATGGTAGACAGTCCCTGGAGATGCAGGAATGGATTGCAACTCAACCTTGGAATAATTGCAGGTGGTTCTCTAGCGTTGGAGAGCAAATATGTTCAAGTGGATCAGTTGATGCTAAAGCTGTGGGCTCGAGTCCGTCAATAGATCCGAAAATTGAATAGTCGACGGTTTGGCCCCTTTAATTATTCGTAATTAACTTGGGTAATTAAAAACAGCCATTTGTTGATGACTATCACTTTTTTATCATTACTCACCCACGAATGCTTTAATATTGTCATCTTCATTATATCAACCATGGTTCTGGAATACCTCGAAGGCACTACGGTTAATATTACCACCAGAATCGCCTTTTGACGCCCCCGGGGCCTGGAAATTATCGGGAAGCTTTCTGAGCGTGTATTTGTCGCGACCCAGCTAGATGTGGACGATAGTATAGGCTCAAGTAAAGTATTATTTTTACTTGATAGGTGATGTGGTTGAATAAAGGATAGAGTGAAGCTTGGCGCTGGCAAAATCAAGATATAATTGAGCTCAGACAGAAGATTTCCATACCAAATTTGAGTCAAGTGAAATAAACTGGGAAGTATGGATGGTTCGCTAAAATGGTGAATATGATTATGAACCCTTGGTACTACCATTTGATATGAAATTCCTCCAGCATAGACAACAACGGCTCTCTTACCAACCTTGGAGCTCTCTAAATACCTCGACAATTGCAGTCTATTCTTCAGTTCCAGCTAGCTTTTGAGGTCCAGGGTCAGCGAAGGTCTTTGCAATATCAAAGTCAATCCTGCATACCCTCGCTTGACTGAGGAAAGAGCTCTTATGAGTAGTTCACACAATTGAATTTTTCTGCATTTGAGAGTTATGCCATTGATATTGTTTTAGGCTTAGAGCTATCTCGGGTGAATTCCAGGAATGTAGGATGTGTAGCCTCCTGTCGAGCGCTTCAAGAGCGCGAAACAAAGACTAGATGACGAGCACCATGTTCTGCCATGAATGTCGTTGCCTGGGCGCCGTAGCCCGCCAAGACCGCCGACTCGTAGGTAAGTCGCATCTAGCTTAAGGCTCAAGGGAGCCATATTTGGCGGCATAATTGATGCTCGAGATTCGGTCGTGAAGCGGAGAACCAGCTTACCGATATGAGAGCCATGCTGCATCTCCCGGAAAGCTTCTTTGACGTTAAGATTTGCCTGATTTAATTAAATGTTTAGCACCAAATTCAACAAGTATCTCAGTTTATGAATTAACATCACTGGCCATAGCTGATCCCCAAGCTCGTGCAGAATTCGTAGTGAGTCTTGTTGGCCACGGCAATCACACTTATTCTTCTTTTGATTCCTAGTATTTTTGATACGCCAAGGTCTCCTCTCGTAATTCTCTACCGCCATAGACTTCGTTGGCCTCTTTTGTGTGCTGGACCTGTATAATCCCGCAGGAGCGCTCTTACGGCCGTAGACACTTGAATGGAAGCAAGTCAATGTCGAGGCGTCGAGGTTGGGAACTATGTCGGCAATTCGCTGCCTGTACTCGTCACTGACGCTGTGCATCTACGGGATGTGATAGGCATTGTCTACGTGAAGTAGACGACAGAAGATGCCTTCGCTCTGGGAATTCTCCTGCAACTGCCCCAGGTGCGTTCTGTCGCCTGCCAGTGTCACGTTTCTGGGACTATTGATGCAGGCCAAGGTGATAGAGCCATCTAGATACGCTTGGATCTTTCTGGCAGACAGGGCGACAGCTATCATGCCGCCCCTGGACTGCGCTCCTGGGCCAAAATGGAGACTAGACCGCGATGAAGAGCTATTTTCAAGCAGGTCTTTCGAGATAGTGCCTCGGCAGCATATGCGGCGGCGATCTCACCTGATGAGTGACGGACTACGGCCATGGGGACGACACCCCAAGACCGCAGCAGATCAACAAGGGCAACTATACACGACAACTCGCCAACCGCCTGGGGCTTAAATTCAAGATCTGAAAAGTGATGTTTTGGGCAAAAGACAGACTGATTTCGCGACTACAATAGGTTGTAATTACTTGGGTCAATTTTGTATCGTAACATGCTAATACTAGCCTTCAGTGTTGTTACTATGAGATAGCTCTCAACAGCGATCTCACGGACAGCTCTTCAATCCAACCCAATCCAATCTTCTGAACGTACCATATTGTAGTGACCATACTGATGATTATCAGCATTGTGCTCCAGCAACCGTGGCTTACTGAATCCACTGAACACCAAAAACAACAGGCATAGCAGCTAAAGAAGATTTTCAGGCCAATACGCTTCTTAAAAGGACATAAACAAGAAAACCCTCGGAAGAGAAAGACATAGACTGGTTGATTCTTGAATCGCATTCTTATCAAGGCTTCGTAATGGTATGCGCTAAAATGGTCACAATGTGACGAGATAACCAAAGCCAGAGGCTTCATCCAGGCTTTTCATCATCTGTAAAGATGCGAGAGAGAGAACCCTCCCGCCAAAGCGTAGCGAGATTCTGACAGCCTCAGCTACTTCTTAAGTGCGTGGGTCTTGGTGAACTGACGAGCAATCTTATCGTAGTCCTTGCGATCATTCTTGTATTTCTCGGCGATCTGTGCTTCAATCGCATCGTCGGGCATCGGCTCAACGAGCAATTGGCGAACGAATTCCAAAACTGCAGCAAGCTTTGAGCTAGGCTTCCACTCGTCAGCACGCAACATTCCGAGACACATAGTTCCCTTTTCACAGTCAACGTTGGGGTGGTAGATTTTGGTGACGAAAGAAACAGTCGGAGGCTTGAAAGGATATGAGGTAGGCAATGAGATGTTCACGATGAATCGGCCATTCTGTTCTCGAAAAGGGATTTTAGTTTATATGCGTTAATGGATGCGGGGAAGCCCGCCGGTCTGTAGCACCTATAAATGGTGAAGCACTTTGGTTTCGAAACTCACTTACCTCATAGGGGGATCCCTCAGGACCATCCAAAGTCACTTTCCATTCATAGAGGTTGTCTTCGTTGGCCAATTCGACCTTGATGCCATCTGGTGGCGACTGGGTAAGCTCGGCAAGCTCCTTTTCAGCAATTTTAGTTAGCCAAGTCAGTGATTCAATGGTAGCAGGAGCTCCTGGTCAGATAAACTCGCCTTGCTGATACGCTTTCCACCGTTCATATTTGCGAGCGCGTGGGTGCGGGGCGCGTAATGATGGGTATGCGGGGTGTTGAAGAGACGCGGAGCTTTTGAACTCGAAGCCAAAAGATAAAAAATCGAAAAAGCGAGTGAAAACAAAATATTCTATCAATTGGAGACTGGACAAGTGGGGGGGGGGAGCTGATCAGGGAAGTGAGCATTGAATATGGAGGAAGCTCCTTAAGTGGGGTGTTGGGGAAATACGTCAGATGAAAAGTTTAGGCTGCAATTCTACCCGCAACATATCAATTAGACAAACAATTGCCACTTTTAAGGCTCATATCTTATTTCATCTCATTTGAATGGCTAATTTTACCGATTACTCTCGTTGAAGCATGACCATCAACCCCATTACACCAAGTAGGACAGTCTTGAGCCAAGGGTGTTCGCTCAGCATAATCGTCACATATCCGACCATGGGGATATAGCCGCGCACGCTGCCAACGATATCTTCGTAACGGTTGAGATGATCCTGATTCCGAGCATACAACTCAGTGTCATCGGCAAGGTTGTTATCGCCCTATAGAAGAATAAGAACATATTAGCCTCAATAGTGAAGTTGTTCATATTGATCGCACTTACCTTGGTCAAGAGCATGTGGGAGTCCGGAGCAGAGTTACTTTGATTACAGTCAGTATACAAACGCAAAATATCATACCGAGGTGTTTGACGTACACTGTAATCTCCTTCACTTTCTTCGTCCTGCCTTCTAGCTCAGGGTACGTTCGCAGCACCCGGTGAACAATTGGGATATCCTTCCCTCGCACATTATAGACAACAACTTCTCCGACCTCCGCACGAGGGCTCCGGTTCCAGAGGAACAGCAGGTCACCACGCTGGAATGCGGGCTCCATTGACCTTGGCAGTGGTATTAGATAATGGATTTTTCCAAGATTCGGAAAACGTAGCGCTTACCCGGACAGAACGACGACAATAGGCGAGCTGGACGCGGAGAATATGGAGAGACCTTTCCATAGCATAAATGCTGTAGAAAGAACGAGCGCAAAGTTCAAAGCTTGTGCAACTGTTTGGCGCACATTTGTGACGCCGAGTGATGAGAGCATGGCGTATGGCAGTCTTAGGATTGGAGCAAGGCGCGGAGAACTGGCGAGTGACGATATGGAGTAATCTATATTGAGAGAATTTAGCACAGAACAATAAGCTCATAACAAAATGAGTGCTCACAATTGGTCAGCAGAGCTGGATGTCTTTACTGTTGAATATAATTGTGGAGAGGTCAAGGTGGCCTAAACCTCGGCGCGTCAATAAAGCCGCGCCTTGGCACTATCTAGTATAGATCAACTCCCCGAGTTCCAACAACGCCAGGTTTGTTGCAAGCAAAAAATTTTTTGCGCATCCAATGTGAAATTGATCGGGTATCTAGTTAACGACTGTTTGTTTGTAATAAGAATCGGTGCTGAGAGAACTCAGACAGTTGGTTCCTGCGATATAATCTTCTGAATGGTTTTCTGCGTCTCCCGGTCTGTGCTACTGTTGACCTCGTCAAGGACTAGGACACCACCATCACGTTGCGGCTGTACTAAAGAAGATTTTAACTCTAGGTAATTTTCCCCAACCTCAGCATTCAGTAGATGAGAACGAATTCGCCGACGTAAAACCGCTCTGGCAAAACTGAATAGCTGTTTCTGGCCTTGGCTTAATGTGTTGGCAGTCAGTCCGGCGTTAATACCTCCATGACTAGACACAGATGCCCAAATTTCTGTCATCTCGAGCACTTGCTGGCACTCATCTTCCCCGATTTCGTTGAATGGATCGAGGTTCTTTTTGAATGAAGTGCCATCAGGAAAAAATGTTGGATCCTGGGGTACTGCGATTATACGCTCGCGCAAAGTAGAGCGATCTATTCTCAGGAGGGAGACGTCATCGATGATCAAGTCGCCCTCACATATAGAAAGTGGATCCAAGAGGCGTAGAAGGAGGAGGACGATGGAAGACTTACCACTATCAATAAACATAAGTATCTAGATCAAACTATACTAATGTTTAAATATCATATATAGGTTTCAAACTCACCTTCCTATTCTTCCGCAAATTACTACCTTCTGGCCAGCTTCGATTATGAATGTAAGGTCCCGTAGAGCAAGATTTTCCGATTTTGCTATATCTACAGCTAGCTCTGCACCATAGTATGATGCAGAAATATTTTGGACTTTAATTCTGCCTTTCTCTGGCCATAAAGCTGGTGGGCGAATATCCTCACTAGGTAGATCTTCTAGAGGAGTTTGCTCGCTGAAAGATTTCAAACGAGAAACGGCGCCTATTGAAGTTTCCAACAAAGTATATATTTGCATAAGACTCGATAGAGTCTTACCTAGGCTTATGATTGACACCATACTCGCACCTATAAAGCCAGTGCTTGGGCGAAGTTGCGTAGCAAGAACAACTACTAGCAATGCAATTACTGCTACTATAGTGCTAAGTACAAAAGCAAGATATCGAGTAGGTCATTATTAATAGAAATATAATTTTCCGTCCAATTAAAGGCTCTAATAGTAGCTAAACCCTTGATTATATCAAGAAAATGGGTACTAAATCCCACAAAAATTAGCAACTAACTTCATCATTCTGACTAGTGTAGATCTTACTAGAGCGGACTCTTGGCCTCTAAGTCTAAGAGTCGGATTTGACGGGACGTGCGAAGGTAGAATCTTTGAACCATATAGAGAATCAAGATGACGAAGGGATAAGTGGTGATGATATAGGGAGATGGCGTTGCAGCAACTACAGCTCCTCCTATGGCAATCCAGGTCTGCAAGGATGTATTAATTAAGGCCTATGGAAGCTCCCCGTCGAGAAGTGTCATATCTTGGGAGAATAAATTGGTCACGGTTCCGGTTTCAGTTTGAGAAAAGAAGCTTAGCGGCGCGGAAACAACTGTACGCAGAGCAGTCTCATGTAGACGGAACCCAGAATTGCGAATAATCAATATTAAGCTAATCAGTGCCTCGCCTAGTATTACAGTCAAGGCCAGGACTTGGAAGAGGGCATATATACCAATATAGAGAGATCTGGGTCTGTTGAAAGAGTCTGAGCTCTAATAACTTAACCATATCATCGGGAAATTGAAGAGGAACCCGCAAATTATACTTAAAGAGAGGAATGTAGTCAGCCAGAAAGCACCGATATTTCGGCCATAGTGTGAAAAAACGGTCAAGTCGCCTATAGCTCTGTTTAATGCACCGATTTGGGGTTCAGCCATGGATGACTCCTCGCTTTTGGTACTATAGAGAGGTGATTCTGCTTGAATCTGAACCTCGGTCTCGATTTTAGACTATCTAACAACTATTGAACTAGGAATGTGGTGGACATCAGCTCGGATGCCAAGACTGAAGATATATTGTGAAGGACTAAAGCTAATCTTGAATTCAGAACTAGCTAGGCACATGCTATTTACAAAATCCTTGAAGAACGTGAACAATTCGGGGTGGAATCGTGAGGTATGCGGTTGGTGGGTCACGTGGTACAACCACGTGATAGTTCACCAGGATTCAACCTGTTACAAAGCACATTTGCTGTAATTGATAATGACGGCAGCTCGAATGACTAGAAGCAGCTAAGAATGAGGATAGCCAGCTGCAAAATCGTGTAAACTGCTGCTGCCACCTTCCCGACCCCATGTTTTATTAGTTTTGAGAAGTTTATGAAAGGAGGGAGGACAGACAAGCTTAATAAATTAGAACACGATACCATCCACTAGTTTGACATGAAGAGCAAGGAAGATGATCCTGGGCACTGAAATTCCAATGAACACAGCCAAGGGCAGTATCGATAGAATGATCTTTTCGAACTTAAGGGTGAAGTCAAAGTCACTCCGACAACCCTGAACGACAGGGCCAAAGGAGGCATCATCAACACAAAATATTGCCATATCGATGGACATATGATCCGAACAGTTTTTATATGTCTATCAATGCAATGGACCTTCAAGGTCAAGATAGAGAATCAACGATTTGTATAAACTACATGTACGGCAACATGAATTGAAAGGTTGAAATTGATTCCGGGTTTATTCCAAGGTTAAGTATTAAGCCATATGACGAGACTATCGGTAATTCGTGGGAGATAACTAGCACTAGACCAGGATTATTATGTGAATGGCGCTACCTATCGGGGGTTTATAACCTCAGAATGTAACCAAACTAAGTACCAAATATTTATTTCTCAAATTTGCAATGCTAGTTGACACCTCTATCTAGACAAGTCACTTTTTGCAGCCTTGAGAGATATTCCTTACTATTTCAAGCAAACTGTCGCTCCACCAGGACTTATCTTCTCCACAATCTTACATTATCTTCAGTACTGGCTCGCGCACCTCATCGCATAAATTAATATGTCGGCCCCCGGACTATATATTGCTAGAAATCTTGATCAGATTCCATTCTTCTTAATTGCAATTTACAATAATGAAAAGCCATCGGGGTTACTCTCGGACGGGCACAGACGATAAATTCAACGAGGATGATGGGATCTCCGAGCTGCAAGAGATGGGCACATTTGATCACAGGTTTCGTCTCGCATGGAACTTGATCAGCATGTTGATGTTTTTATCGGGGGTAGTCATGATACTAGTCGCTAAGGATAGAAAAATGTCCGACAAAGAGTGCGCTGCACAGCTCAGCGTCTGGTGTGCGTAACTTGCTTGAAGCAGTTGAGTATGAGGAGCACGACTCAGCATCTTCGCCACTCAGAATTCTGGCTTCACGGGAACTCCCTTAAAAGGAGATGGAGGATAAATGGAAACAGTTGGTCAATGGTGTTTATTCCAACTTATATACGCCTGTTTATGCCTAGTTCTCTCCGAGTGAGCAAAATTTCCCCCTAACCCCTTCATGATCAACAATATAGACCCATTCAAATTTTTGCGTCATCTTCTATTTATTTAGAGGGAAAGATTTAAACAACTCTGTAACCTTGTTTCCACTAGTCCTCTTTCGGTGTAGCGTGAGAAAAGACTCAACAGATGGCACTGATCGATCTCTAAGTAAGCAGGGAGCAGCCAATCATGCTCACTGAGTGTTCATTGGGCCTCAGTTGTCAAAGGAAGTGATTTGGGACCCACTCTTCGGTGTGTATTTAAGCCAGATTACACTCTAGTTAGAAAATTCAGTTTCATTCATTTGTGGCATTTGAATGATTGGCCAGTCTGAACCAGTCGACTTGACATCAGTGATATATCACGTGACGAGACCTGAGCCTGAGCCTGGACTGAAATTTACTCACTGAGCTTGACTCTGAGCGTCCTCATTAAAGCGGCGGTAGCTGTTTTAAGAAAGCCCCACCGTGGAAAGGAAATCTGCTACATAGAGCTACCTGTGTAGATCAACTCAAGAGAACCACACCAGTGCACTGGATAGATTTCATTTTTGATTTTACTTGTGAGTGGTTTGCGAATGACATGAGGAAGAATTCTGAGGCTTTTTATTTGGATATACATGTCTACGGGTCTATTCTTGCGAAGAAATGGCAAAAGATACCTAAGCCATCAAAAAGAATCTTGGAATCTTAGAAGCCCTGACTAGCTAGATAGCTTTAGTAAGAACAATCGATTCCAAGGGACTTATAATTATTGTCTTTTTCTTAATCAGGGCTCTAAGAGTGACAGATTATCTAATTATTGTATTGGATGGGTAAAGGCTATTCGACTGATGCAAAGCTCGTAGGCATATGAATAACCTTGAAACCAGGTGGTGGACAAATATAACGACATGTGCAACCTTCAAGGAAAGTAGATTATTCTTCAGATGTGGAGTCTACTGAGTTGGAAAAGCACTGGTAATACTGGTACTTCAAATCATGAGCTAAAAAAAAAAACTTCCAATGTAAACGAGTAGAACGTTGAGGTTGCGGTTGATTCAAAATTGCCAGGCTAACGAGATGATTTCGTGCACTCCGTAGTAGAAGAAGAATTTTAGAATTCTTCTGAGTGGCTGAGTGTTCAAGCCGCACTCAGCATGTTCCTATTGCCTACTGGATTATTCGAATACCTATGTTTGTAGACCTGGAAGAGATTAACGAGATTCACGATGAGGGGTGGCTGGAATTCCAAAGATATGTAAGGAATGCCACCAGCCCCATCGTAAAATTGAGAGTGATAGCCGTTCATGTCTTCAATAGTCGAGTGAAAGGTTTTAGCTGGAAATTGGAGTAAAAAATCGCGCGGGTGAGGAAAAATATTGTCGAAACATAGGTTGCAACTTCATTGGCGACGATGATTGTTCTACTCATCTATTGCAAATAGTGTGCAAAGGCTGTCTAATGCAAATTAAAGCTTCAAATAGCGCTATATTTGACTTCGGTTGCATATTGTAAGGGGGTTGGAATTCCTCGGAGAATTGCCCCTTGTAACCCACAGCAACGAATGCGTGCAAAGGAGCTTAACTCGAGAAGCATAGAATAACACGAGAATCTGGCAAAATTCTGGATATTCTTGTGGGCAGAATTTGAGATTGACTCCTACCTATACACGGTAAAGTATGGATTCTCCAAGCAGCGGCAGAAAGTCAGTTATCGTCGACGCAGAAGACGAACTCAAGTTTCCTTTGCAGAATCATTTGCGAAATGAACATCATCTTGAGATTACCAAAGATGGAAAGTTCGTAAGGTGGTATCGCGAAAATCCGAAGCACCCAAGGAACTGGAGTACAAGTCGGAAAATCTACGATGTTGGACTTGTATGCCTTCTGGATCTTATTATGTACGGCGAGTCCTATATCAGTGAAATCTCTCGAACGAAAGGCTAACTAAGTTTTCCAGAACTGCTAGTAGTACTGCAGGCGCAGCGGCAGCAAAAGCAGCAGAGCAGGATTACCATGTTACCCCGACCTATGCGACATTTTGCTTCGTGACATTGTATGAGCCCTAATATCTCCCAAATACTGCAGACTGAGCCATATCTAACCAGTGCATGATCGACAGATTCTTGCTTAGCCAAGCTGTCGGCAGTATTATATTCCCTCCATGGTCTGAATCCTTCGGCCGCAAGTATACGTACATTTTCTGCAGCGCTCTTAGCTGTATCTGCTGCTTGGTGATCGGAGTGGTGGAGTCGAACTCTGCGGCTATCACCATGAGAATAATCGCCGGATTTTTGGCTTCTATCCCGGCCACTGTGGTGGGCGGAAGTATTGAAGACATGTTCAATTCCCAAGACCGAATCTGGGTGATGTTCTTCTGGACAGTTGCATCAAATATTGGCATGATTATTGGACCTATCATGAGCAGCCATTTGATTGAACTGCTTAACTGGTAAGCTGGAATGTCTTATTTTCTGTTTCCTCACTCTAACGAACTATCTAGGCGATGGGTTTTCTATGTGTATGCAATCGCTCTTGGTATTACAACTGGCGCTCTCTGGTTTATCCGCGAGTCGCGATCTTCCTTGCTCCTCACACGCGAAGTGAATATACTCCGAAATGAGATATTGTCACTTCCTCCAGCATTGAGCCATGATCATTCCATGGACTTTGCAACTTTTACCAAAGAAGCCCTCTTCCGCCCTGCTCAATTTTTCTTCAGAGAGCCCATAATATTTGTCACCGCCATCATGATTTCGGTTTCTAATTCCATCATATTCATTTTTACCGAGGCATTGCAACCAATCTATCAAAATTTGGGGTTTTCTGCCGCTCAGGCATCCCTTATATTCATGGCTATCGGGTTGGGTGTCTGCTTCAGCACATTGACCCGCATTCTGGACACCCACATTTTTAACAAAAAGCGTCGCCAAGGCCTAACCACCAAGCCAGAAGACAAACTTTTGGGACTAATCATTGGTTCTCCGGCCTTGGCAATTGGTCTCTGGTGGTTTGCCTGGACGATCCCTCCCATCCTAAAGAGTGCGAACATCCCGTGGATCGTTCCCACCATGTCTCTGGTCCTGGTTGGATACGCTTTAACCGAGATAGACACTTTGATGTATGGGTACATAGCCGACAGCTATCTGACTTATTCAGCTAGTGCTACTGCTGCAGTGGCATTCCTGCGCGGAGTGCTCTGTGGGACTTTCCCTCTCTTCACAAACCAAATGTTCCATTGGATGGGGGCGAACATTGCTGTTTCTGTTTTGGCAAGTGTGGCAACCGTTTTTTGCGCTGTACTGCCCTTGTTTATGTGCTATGGAGAGCGAATAAGACGACGAAGTCGCTTCGCAAACCACAGCTGGGAGATCCAGAAAGAGATTGGAAACGACGATGATGATCTATGATCTAGTTGTTTGTTCTCGTTAATTTTCCGTGACAGGTCCGGTTTACAAGGCGCTGCCACTTGGGTATGCGTGGGCAGTATCCAAGCTTGTTCTTGCCTATTGACTTTTCTTGTATTTATGTGTCATCAGATGCAAGTTGTCTATTAATTTTGAAGCATTTCCGTATAAAATATGATAAAGTAATAGCAAACATTGCGGTATATAAGTAACCAGGTACCCAAGTAGTAGATAACTACTACCCGCCAGAAGTGAGGTGATGTAACAGAGGTTGAGTCAGATATGTATGATGTTGAATCGAGGTGTCTTTAGAACTCGCCTTGAAGGAGAGATTTGTCAAGAATGGAAAAATAGAAGGAGGAGAGTGCTACGAATAGTGATTCCAAGGTTGCTGAAATCACCTTCGGGTGTGGTATGTGAATGTTGAACGATATTCCAAAACCACGTCCCAGATTCATGCCCAGTTAAGAAGAGCTGGCGTATTACCACTCTACACAGCCTGTGCAGTCTTGTAATGAACATCAGTAGGCTGAAGGACTTCACTGACCTCCCAGTACTTCTCTTTCTTGCCCTTGTTGACAATCATGCCGAAAATATCGAATGGATCAATAAATGTCATATACAAGGGACGATCATCTTTGAACCCAGGACCCTTGATCTCTGTTTGACCGTCTTGGGCCAAATAAACCTTGTTCGATCGAGGAAGTGCCTTCATCGGATGAAAGACATTAAGCAAAGTGGTGTTGCCGTACATGAAAACCACTTCAAAAACCCAGAAGAACCACTCTTGTTTAATAATAGGACTGATATTCTGAGCATCGCTGGAAGCACTCAAACTGGCAGCAGTGAAATACTCGACTGTGCGGTAGATGGTTCGGATAGTGATGAGTGTGCAGCTGACGTACAGCACACGCAGACAGCGTTTAACTTTATAGTTTAGTACCCCTCCTCGAGCGCAGTTGAATTGGAACCGGGAAGCTAGTGTCACGAAGCCCGCCATCAGAGCAAGCTGCATGATAAGAGCCGCCTTCAGTAATGCCTTTCCAACGTTTTGGTCAGCGACTGTTGAGTTGTCGTTGGCGATTTTAACACCACCATTTGCAGTGATAACTTCAATCGCTATGCCCATAGCAATAAAGGTTGTATACACGCGGCCTGGGTGGATGGGCGAGTGATACGGAATATAGTAGAGTATGCGGCCCAGGATAAAGTAGTTGGCACTTTCATATACAGGACTGTTGCTCAGAGGGTCAGCGGATTAAAAAAAAAATAGCCCTAGAGAGAAGATTTAACTTACGGTCCGGCGAGAAGACAGACCGTACTCGCAATATAAACTCCAACATTTTCCCATTGATAGAATGCACCAATAGTGCGCGTTATGAATCCAGCAGTAAACAAAAGAGCAGACCATGGCAGTAGACCTGTCACTTTCCAGGAATGATATTTACTGCCATCAATATTAGTAGCTGTATACGACTGTGTTAAAAGTTCAAGTGTCTTACAAGCATTGAAAGAAATGGATCGCTCCTGAAATGAAAAAGAGAGCAGCGAAGGCGATGGGGGCACCCTGGTTCGGTGCATAGTACCACAGACTTCCTTCTTCTACTTGACATTAGTTTCGCTGATGAGTCCCCCGAGGTAAAGTAAAGAACTTACGATAAGATCGGGTCTCTATCATTGTTGATGTATTTGTGGATATTTATGTGAAATATTGATAATATGGAGAAAAGATATGTCGTAAAGCAATCCAAAGCTGATGGAAAAAGCAGTTCTTAAGGAAACATGATAAGATTATATAGGAGGCCCTTGAATTAGAATTTGAGTAAACCTCTTCACATTCACTGTTCAGCGTACAGACAAGCGAAAACGAGATTCCCGATTAGGTCGAGGTTGCGGACGAATCACAGGCGCTCTGTAGAGCTAAAAAGGTGGGATTTGTGGCAGTGGCATATGTACTTACGGCAGCCATAGCGCATGGATCTGCTGGGCACCAATATAAGGCTTGCAGGAAATCTTGGAGCATCTCGGCCCCTTTCCGATCCATGGCTCATGCGTGGGTTCTCGTGGGCTGGCAATGCTTGACTATTAGCCGAAAAGGGTAATATTCGTACTCGGGGTCTTGGCGGTGCGGTGGGTCAGATTTTTGGCAAGCCTCTGAGCCTCACAACGACGTGACAGTGGAGTCAAGAACCAGGAGAAAGAAATCTAAGACATTGGTGGAGTAATTGCCCAAAGCGAAGGTATCAGATGAGCCTTATGATACTGCCATATGAAACAACATGAGAAGGAAAAACAAGGTTAATTGCTACCGTAGATCACGTGATATCAAAATATTGTTGTCACAGCAACAATATGCTATTCCAGATCGGGCAATGTGATCGATGATCTGTGGACACCGAATTGGCTCGACGCTGCCGGTCTTCAATCCTACACATCACTTTGGAGCCTCACATACGGACAGCTCAAAATGTTGTCAAAGCAGCCGCAGACATCGCTGTTTCAAGTTTATCTTCGTTTACGCCCTCCAATCACAAACAAGCGCGATGAATCCGAATCCGAACGGTTTCTCATGGTCGAGCTGCCAGAAATATCCGAAAGTGACAGGGAAATTGCTGTACCTGTTCCAACACATGTCACTCTGCAGCCACCCAGTGACTCGCGAAAGCGCGCTATCGAGAAATTTGGATTCACAAAAATCTTTGAAGAGATCGCGTCCCAATTAGATGTCTTCCACGATACCGGCATGGGATCACTAGTGCGAGGCGTCTTGAAAGAAGGGCGAGATGGATTGGTAGCAACTTTAGGCGTTACCGGCAGTGGAAAGGTCTGTAAGCTCCATAAATCTATTCTATGGGTGATAGCTTACCGGGAACATAATTACAGAGCCATACTATTCTAGGATCCAGATCCGAACGAGGAATGACCCAAATGGCCCTAGATATCATCTTTCGATCACTGGAACCAACTCTCAAGACCGAGGATAATAGCATAAGTCCAATGCTACTCGCTTCCCTGGCAGCATCAGACACCTCCGAGGCCCAGTTATTCTCCGCCCAAACTTTCCTGGAAGCGGTATATGGTGATTTCAATGGTCGTAGCTCAAGGGCTCAAACGCCCATGAGCCCATCTCGTGCAAATACCCCACTCACGGTACGGACACCCCAAATCCCTATTACCCATGAAGGATCGCCAATCGTGCGTCTGTCTATTCCTGGACGTAGCCATCCCAGACTACACAATGCCCCTGGAAGCCTAAGCAAGGATCGACAGACCTTTGGCCTATCGTCGACTGAGCGACCTGTATCTTTCAACTCTATTCCCTTCACCCATCCCAATTCTTTTGAAGCAAACTTGGCTAAATCACAACTTATTGTTTTAAAGGAACCGACCCCTGCATTGGTTTTTCCCCGCCGTCAACCTCGCGAACGTCCTACCGCACCCCCCAGACTCCCCGATATCAGCCATCTCGCAGTTGAGCTTAGCCCGACATCTAACTACATGGTACTTGTTTCCATGTATGAAGTCTACAATGACCGAATCTACGACCTCTTATCCCCGGCTATCAACACTGGACAAGGTAACATGTCTCGCGGAAATGCCCAAAAAGACCGTCGACGCCCGTTACTGTTCAAATACACTGAATCCTCCCCGGAACAGAAGCTTGTATCAGGTCTCCGGAAGATTGCTTGCAGCACGTATGAGGATGCACTACACATTCTTGACATAGGCTTGACAGAGCGTAAAGTTACCGGCACAGGTGCCAATAGTGTGAGTTCCCGAAGTCACGGCTTTTTCTGTCTGGAGGTCAAGAGAAAGTCACACAGCAAACGAGACGGCGAAGCCACATGGGTAGGCAACACTCTCACAGTTGTGGACTTGGCAGGTAAGTTATTCTATCAAAGATAGTTATCTATCAAACGGGTTATTGACAAAATCAGGTTCTGAACGAGCAAGAACCGCTAAAACAGCCGGGGCTACTCTCGCAGAGGCTGGCAAAATCAATGAAAGTCTGATGTATCTTGGTCAATGCCTTCAAATGCAAAGTCACTTCCAAGATGGCGCAAAGGTAAAGATTTTTGTCTTCCAATATCCCTTGGATCCATTGCTAATCTAAAGTAGACTGCTCTTGTTCCCTTCCGCCAGTGTAAACTGACCGAACTCCTGTTCTCTAATTCTTTCCCATCTTCGAATCAAATGTCCCGAGGACTCCACCCGCAGAAGGCCATCATGATTGTTACGGCCGATCCTCTGGGCGATTTCAACGCTACATCCCAGATTTTGCGCTATTCTGCACTTGCTCGTGAGGTAACCGTGCCTCGTGTTCCATCCATCACCGGGTCCATAATTTCTGTCGCCTCTGGTAAAGACCGACGTTCTGCTGCTACTTCTACTAGCGGCCGTACAACACCTCTTTATCCATCCTCCGAGGAAATGGAGCAGGCCATGGCCGAGATCGCACGTCTCACAAAGGACTGCCACAGTTTCGCTGTACGACTTGCTGAGGAGGAGATTGCCCGTTCTGAGATCGAAATGAGACTGAGAGCAGCTGAAAATCGCGCAATGAACATTGAACAAGATGTTCGAGAAGAGTGTTGGGCCGAAATGGATGAGATGATGGAGCAGGAACGGCGGCGATGGCAGAATGCGTGGGATGAACAGGTTAGTAAAAAGCTGCCTTGAAATGATCGCCTAGATACTGAAAACTTCTAGATTGGTCGCAACAACGAACATGTAGATCGAAAGATCGAGCTTGTATCGAGGGGATTTAACAGTGAGTTGTCCATCCCACCAACGCCCGAAGTATTACAACGACTCTAACAGCGTGTGCAGTTTACGAAGACCCTGAGCCTTCCACAAGCGAGCGCATAGAAGAACTTGAAGATGAGAATGACCGTCTTCGAAGCCGCCTTGCTACTCTGGAGCGTGAGATGAATTCTCAATCCCCTACTCGCAAGCCCAGGTCGCACGCTCCTGGCCCCCGCTCAGCCAACATACTCGGTCGTGAGAGTGATGTTCAAAATGCCATACAACGTATGAATCAACTGCGCCTCACAGATACCATGTTCACCACTTCATCCAAAACCCCCTCGCCGGACAAGAAGCCAAGAAAGATGGCTACCAGAAAGTACGACCTAGGTCCTGAAAACGAGATCTAAGCAACACCCACCCTACCCCAAATCATGACCGTTACGACTTTTTTTCTAGCATAGGTCCAAGGGCTTGCTTTTTTGTCTTTGCGTTTCAATCCAGAGATTGAATTGTTTAAATACACCCAAAAGGCGACGATATCCTTGATTAAGGTGCTTGGAGTATCCTCTGTGGTGATCAGAAAATATGACTTTTAATTCATGACTCGCCTTGTGTATTTTATTGTTTAGATGTTGGAACTAAATACAGGTTGAATTCCTGATGCTGCCGGAAATTACACCATACCTCGGTACGACGTTGAGGTGTTTCATTAATATTTAAATACCCCAAAACCCATGTCGTCACTCCGGTTTTTCACACCCCTCTCCCTTGGTTCCCCCTTTGGAGGACTGGAACCCTGTAATGCCACTCTCTTTCCATTTATAAACCGCGCTCCCCTCCAAACTGATTTTTCTCTCCCCATATCTCATACTCCAATCTCATACTCCTTTGATTGATATCAAGTTCTCTCATACCATCCAAATTCCACAATGACAACTCGCAAGAGAAAGGATACTGCGGAGAAGCTTGTAGCTCTTCCCAGTGACGAGAGTGAAGAGGAAGAAGAGTCAGTAGCTCTATTCTTGCGTCTACATTGGTTTTATCCAATTCGCCCGTGCCATTATGCGCAGAACCTTATTGCGATTGTGCTTACGTTGGATGATGGCGCATTGATCGCATTACCTTGCGCAGCCAATAACCTTGCGTAAAATGCCGAAGAGGTCCAAGTGATCCCTGCTAACTCGATGCGCATATTGTAGATACGAAGATTCCGAGCCCGAGATCGTGAGTGGCGAGGACGGAGAAGAAGATGAAGAGGATGCCTCTGACGATGATGATGACGATGAGGAAGAGGAAGTGCCTGAAGGTATGTGCTTGTCTCATTTATTTCTCTTTATGAATTCACGCTAAAATTATCTCTCGCAATAGCACCCCCGGCTGCTAAAAAGCAGAAAACGAAGCCTGTTGCCGATGAAGATGCCAAGGTTGATAATGAAGGAAAATATGAGCCCACTGGGGAAAAGGATGAATTGGAAGAAGAAGAGGAAGAAGAAGAAGAAGAGGGCAACGAGGAGGAGAGTGAGACTGTTGAAATTAGCGGTCCTGCCAAAGCCGCAGTTGAGGCCAAAGGCCATGTTGTTCCCAAGGAATCGGATCTTCCTGAGATTGAGGATGCCTTGGAGGACTAATTGTTGCGACAACGGACATACTGTCATCAATCAATTGAAACAATTGGCCCTTTGGTGCTTTAGCTTTACTATTGGACGAATTGTCCATGTGTCATTGCCCCTTCTTAAAAGATCGCTTGCTAGGAAATGATAACTAGTTATATGTTAGTTTCTTTTTGTATTGAAGATAACTCTATGATCTAGCGCCGAATCGTCCAAGTTCTTAAAATTTCGGATAAGTAGAGTTGTACCTGAGCCCTAATTTAATTACAGTCAAAGCGTTTCAGTGATTGCGCGATTACACCCCCGCATCTTCTTTCCATTCCTTATCTACCAATGTAATTGGAATTATACACTGATATGCATTACATAACATGGATCTGAAATACAGAGACAATCGAGGGACAGGATGATTAAAGGAATATAAGTCTCATGAATAATGGTCATTTACCAGGCGCGTCGCATCTATTTCAGCCGGGGAGATAAAGCAGGAATAAGAGCCTACAATCCGCCGGTCGACACCCTATACTTAACAAGGATTTAGGCGTCACTTCCGCTGCTACGGAAAGTAGCGCAGAGCTGACAGTATTGATGTGTGAGATCCAGAACAGATTGGGGCAGGTTGGTAGCCTGAACGATGCTGCGAACCTTAACAGCACCTTCGTCTTCGATGAGCTTGCGCATCATGTATAGAAGCTCCGGAGAGAACTATATAACAAAAAGTCAGTATCTACTGTGAATGGGCAGGGGGGATATTTAGTGCTCTTACCTCAGAGTACCAGCGATATTGCCATGCGATCAGACGAATCAAGGCACCCAGCATGGCCCTGGTATCGTTCCTTTGCTCGAACAACTTCAAAATGCCACGTGTGGCTTTGGGAGAAAAGCGAATCGCAAGGCAGCTCTGATATGCCTCAATACTCTCATCAAAGTGGTGAAGTCGATTTGCGAGCTCACCAAGGATTTCCCATTCCGTTGCTGATTTTTTGTATTCCATCGCCTGCTGACGGAACTGGGCCATCTCGGTTCGCCAGATAGTGTAAATGCGAAGATCTTCATACAAAACCATGAAAAGGTTATCCAGCCATCGCTCACACAGGCGCTTATTGCGGAAATGCGTGTAATCGTTGTGTGATGGATCAGGCTGTTGAAGGATTGTTAGTAAGCAATTACAAGTGACTTCTTTATGGGAAATCTTACAACATCATTTCCGGGCTTAGCAACCTCGGAGGCCACTGTTTGCTCAGGGCGCTCAATAGTGTTCTCGCCGGTATTCTCATTTCCGTCGCCATTGGTAGTGGGCTCAGCGCGATCGACAACAGAACCGGAACCATCATCCTCATCCGCGGTATCTCCGTTAGTTTCGGCATCCAGTGACTGTGCAGGCTTGGGCACATGATGTCTCTCGACACGATATTCTTCTTCCATTACGAAGACCTCACTGCGAATTTTCAGAAGCTGATCCCATCCAATTGCGGCAGCAACTTTCGTCAACAGATTGTAGGCCTTCAAGAATGTTCCCTGGTATCCTGCAGCATGTAGCTTCCGGAGAGAAGGGTGAACATAGTCATGAGGATCTCCTTGCTTGGGCTGACCTTCGTCAATCTCGTCCAGAATGCTCTCGGCGAGAATCGGAAGCATAATGCGGGATGGCTGAGGCATGCGTGGTGTATCTTTGTCCTGGTAAGTGAACATAGGACACGAGTTCAAGGTGAGAAGTGCCAAGTCCCATTGTTCCATCCCAACATAAACCTCGGCCAGACGAGCCCAAGTGCTGAACTCGCTTGGGGCGGCGGTTACCGCGCGTTTGGCACACTCCAAGGCCATTTCACCCTCACCTTTGCTTTGACAGAAATCGGCTTGGCAATCGAGCAAAGCGTAGTCCATCGGAACATCTTGGAGAGCGTCGTACATCAACCGCACGGCTTGTACTTCCTCATCAGCCATAATTTGTACCCGGGCCAGCAGGGACGACACCTCAACATCACGCGTGCGCAGCTTCTCAAACAAATTGATGCCGGATGTGTAACGACCAGTTGTATAGATATACTTAAGGATACCTGAAGTCAGGTGGTTGCTTACGGTGTTAGGAACTTGGGTTTCAGGGTCAGAGCTGAGCTGGCGGCCTGTAGTATTGTCAGATATACAGAAAGAAGAAGAGTGAGTGGGAAGTTGTCGGTACCAAGGAAGAACAGCTTGCCAGCCGCATCTAAGAACTTGTGCTCCATTTCTGTGTTCGTCACGGGGTTGAAGCGTCGCACGCCGACAATCTTCTTAATAGCATCTCCACTTCCATCATCAGCATACAAATAGGCGCGCAAGACTCCGCAAAGGAATGTTTCTAGCCAAAGGGCCTCGGTAGCCACGCGCTTGTCACCTCGCTCATCGATGCAGTAGCTTTCTAAGCTTCCGGGAATTTTGACCTCGACTCGCATATCCAGATGGGAGAAGGCATTGTAGCAACTGCATAGATATTAGAGATGGAACTAGTGTCGCCAGACGGGTGAGCTCACCAGTAGATTCCAGATACAACTTTGTGTGTCTTGTCGAGGGGGGAGAACGTGAGGGTGTTGACGTATGCAGCTAGGCTGGCTGACGAGGAGGCATCGATTCCAGTGACATGATGGTAAACGCCGGTCTATAAGAAGATCACTATTTAGGAACATTATTTCAAAGGACGCTGTGGATAGTAAAAATACGAACCTGGCGAGTAGAATTGGCCTTTGGTTGCTTCACCAGGTATACCAGATCCGGGGGCCTAGTTCTCGCAAGCTCTGCAATGACTCTGTTCGCGCATCGACGGCAACAAAGATGTCCTCCTCCTCATGGATCCTATATCATTAATCTGAGGTCAGTCACATATCAAGTGACTTGTGCAGCTCTAATCCCACCAGCGGGTCTTAATGAGCATGCGCAAGGATCCCGAGAAACACGTATCTGGGGAATCAGGGGAACATACTCAGGAACAGCGGGCGCGACCATAACGGCTGCACATGGGCAGCGTAATTAAGCTAGTGTGGGTATCCGGTTCAAAAACAATCAATTGCCAAAGCGAGGGGATAAACACAAAATGAAGAAGGCGAGGACGAGTGTACATAACCTAACATCCGAAGAACTTCAGGCCATCAGGCAACAAAGAATCTCCTCTCCGCCTTTACCCAATCAGGAAGCTATCGCGCGTCTGGCCTTGACCTTACGCGTTCCGTACTCTTGATCTCCAAAAATTCACTGTTGTTCCATTATTTTCATGAGGGTGGCCTTGATGTCACATTATTAATCCTATCATCCTGGGTCTTACATTTGGAAACGCCCCCCGTGGGGAGCTCCCACCATGTCAGGCTGGGTCGCATTGAATGTTGAGCTGGACGATGGTGAAGATGAAGTTGACGACACTAAGGAGCTTCAGATTGAAGAAGCTTTGAAACTTTACACTAATGCCCTGAAGATTCACTCACAAGGCCCGAACTCTTTTTCTCATGCCGGAGAAGCTTACGATGCTCTTTTTAAGTCGGACATTTTCAAATACCCCGAATCGATCTCGGATTTCAAACAAGCCGAACCATCAAATGTCCAATCTGGAGGCGCCTCCGAAGAAAGTGTTACTGATGCGATAGTGGAATTTAATGTCAACGATTCAACGTCCAGCCTATTCCAAACACTCTACCTCTCCCACAAGAATCACGGCCGATACCTTCTCGATGTTTTGCAAGAATCCCTGAAAGATGAGCCAGAATCCACACAAAAGATACACGATGCATCAACAAGAGCGCTGGGGTCATTTGCAGACGCCCTGGAACGAGATGATACCGACCTTCACCTATGGAGACAGAGCGCGAGACTCAGCGGCGCTTTGAAAAGCTTTCGTCTGAGCCGTTTCTGTTTAGAGAGCGCTCTAGTAGACGACGAGAATCGACTGGAATCTCAATCAGCGCACATGGGTATCGAGGAAATGTTTTCGGAGGAATCCTTGCTAGCAACACTCAAGTCCCTCGGCGATGAACTCTCAGCCTCACAAGTTCCGGTCAAGAAACCTAAGAAAGCATTGGCACGATATCTCAAGCATCATGATGACCCTTTCCCGTATCTGCCCAATCTCCCAGGCGATTTACAAAACCTCAGCCCATCTCAAGGTCCTCTCGCCCTGTCTACCTCTCGCCGGGAAATTTATCCGTCATCGCCAACATGGGAATCCGTCGGGAAAGCAATTGTTCAGGCATTTGATGAAGAAGAGCATGCCAGTTATGCTGCAGCTCCAAGCCGATCAATTCGAGTCATTCTTCCGCACAGGGACTCCGAAATGTCCGAGACCGCATCCTTGAAAGAAACGGATGTCGCAGATACTGCTCCTGACGATAATGTTGTGGTTCAAGCTGAAAACCAAGATGTCGAAATTCTGGCTGACAGTTCACCACAAGACGTGGAGCTCGAGAACGATGCTACGGGCAGTCCCAAGGCTGCTCCTGAGTCAGTGGAGGAACAGAACGCGGAAAAAGCGCCCACGGAATCTCCTCAAATAAATTCCGCTCAACCGAACGAGAGCCACCCAGCAGATAACGACATCACTCACCAAGAGGATGAACCGAAGTCGCCTACTGAAGTTCGTAAAAGATCATCAGCATCGGCGGCGAACGAAGAACAGCCAGAAAACGGGCGAATGAAAAGTAGACGGACTCGAGCTCGAGAATCCAACGCTGATGGACTAGTGGTACCAGAGGAAATTGCATTTGATCAAGAAAAGTATTACGGTAATTGTCTCGAAGTCTACGTACATGCTGATGAGTGGATGTTCAATACTCTCGGTTCTCTGCTTTCAAGAGTGAGCATTGAAGCACCAGGTTCTATAGAGAGTCTAAGAGAAAAATTGACCACTGGAATGGACTCAAGCGACACCCCAAAGGATTCTGAGACCAGACTATTCCAGGATCTTCGTGGCCTGGTCAGAACTTGGAACGATGGGAAATCTCGGGCCATGGTACAAAAAGATGACGTTTCTGCATTGAAAGATATTCGAGGAACCAGCAAGTCTGGACTAGCTGTGTTCCTGGAGCACTCAAGGAAGACAGCCCGAAAGCCACTTTCTCACAAAGAATTGCCATCTGGTGAGGAGATGTATCATTTCACGAACACTGTCAATGATGGCTGGCTCCATCCTCATGACACTTCATACGAGTGGATTAAGTGTCTTCTGATGCCACAATTCGGCGAAATTGTCTTGGACTGGCCAGTCATGAAGTCAGCATACGAATCATTCCTATGGCCTGGACAACTCAAGGAAACAGTTGTGAGTCTGTTAGTTCGTGAAGATGAATTCATTTTCGCCAAACTGTGTGGATCAGTGGAAAATCTCGAGCGTCGCATGCTCAGCTCGAGTACCCCCTTCGAGTACCACGCCACAGACTTTTACGACCTGGAAATGATACAATCTATCTTCGAACTTCATCTGGACGTTTTTGCCATGGTTGAAACCCTTGGTAGCGATGCTAGCCAAAATGAAAGAATTCCACAAAGAGATCGTCTTGGCAGATGGAGCATGCTCGCTCGATCGTCTCTCAATCACTTTTTTGACTTTTGCCCATCCGAAGAGTGTCAACAGAACATGTCTCTTCGCCACTTGTGGGCAACGGTATTCCAAATGAACCTTGTTGGCGAGACAGAGCGTGAGCATGTCTTGCTTTGTCTCCAGGATCTGAAGCACGTCATTCAAACAATGGGCGGTCCTGTTACTTGTCTTGTGAACAACTCAGTCATGTCTGAACTATCGACAGCAGCCATCGATCAGGAAGTACTCAAGCTCAAGTGTATGGATTTCTTTGCCAAAGTCTTCAGCTCTGAGGACGAAAAACCCGTGTCGCTTATCGAAGCCATCGAGCCGATTCTCGAGCCCTCGTCAATCGAGTATGTGGAGGATTCAAACATGCAAAACGCTCCTTCACACTCCAGCGAAATGGCATCTTTTCTTGATCGCGGGGATGCCACCCTGCGACTATTCCTATGGCGGAGGCTCTACGAAGCATACCAGGCTATTGACTACCCCCCGAAGGTGGTCTGCTGCTATTTGCGAAGTATTGAGACTGTCATGTCAGAGCTTGAAGATGCGAAACACATCGAAGAGTCAAGTGAACACCGCCAGGTCACTTTGTTAGGTTGGCTCAAATCACTCGATGTTATCATGGCAAAGGCCATTCCCCTTGTGCTACAGCAGGGAGAAAAGGCATATGAGTGCGTGGATATGGACCACCTCCAAGCTTCTATATCTGCGATAGCTCGACTCGTTCGGCTTCTCCATAGTTTCATCCTGTACGAGGATTCAGTACGCGTGGGTCAGACATCCGAACGTGACCTCCGTGCAAATCACGCAAAGTCACTCGGAAACTTCAAGGAGAGGATGCGAGAGCTATATGTCAGTTGCTGGATTATGCTGTATACATTGCTATTGGAAGCAATATCTCAGAACAAGGATAAGTTCAACGAGCCACTGAATGATCGCATCCATGTTCTTCGATCCGTCCATCATGCGTTGGGAGTTCGGTCCATGTGCAAGTACTCGAACAAGCGGTTCTTGAAGCTCGTCAAATCTGAATTGTCTGACCTTGAGACAAAAGGAGATTACGAGACGGACGTTTGCCAGGTGCTTTTCGACCTCTATGGGATCAAATTCTCTTCTAATGACTGGATCTCCGATCATGGATGCCCCCCTGAGAATTTGGATCAGCCCACAGCCATCACAATGATCGACTTCGTAATCAAACAGGCCCGTAAAATGAATATGAAAGATCTATCGAAGTCTGAGTTGAAAACAACAATTGAAAAGATGCAGCAGGCAATTGGCGCCGCAAAGCTTTCCTCCGCGTCACCCCAGCTGTCTTTCAACCGCCGTCTTTTCTTAGCATACATCAAATCTCCGATCAATTCCTCCAATTTGCTCCGTGCTTTTCAGGGGGCGGCAGCAGAGCTTCCAATGGTACCTGTACCCGGCGAAAAGGCTAAAATCGCTTCCAAGGGCTGGTTTTTCCTTCTTGGCCATGCCACTCTCACAAAGTTTCGTTCGCAAAAACGCACCAGTCCTGGGTCAACCTCAGAGCTTGACGATGCGATCAGTTTCTTTAGACAGGATATCGACCATGGAACCGGAAGATGGGAAACTTGGTACCGGCTTGCGCAGGTATACGACGCTAAAGTGGATGAAGACATCACATGGACTGCAGACAAGATCAACAACAATCGTCCAGAACTGGCAACATTGCAGCGATTTGCCATACACTGTTATGCAATGGCTGTTTCAACCGCAGTTCGAACTATCGCACCAACAGCCGAAAACCGGGAGGTACTATCAGACTTGTACACTGACTTCGGAATTCGCCTCTACTGCTCCTCTCGAGAACCTCTCTCCATGGGTGCTTTCAGCCTAGAAGACTTTATCCGACACTTCAGCCACGGAGATAGTCAGGCAATGTACAAAGCACAGCCTTTCAAGGAGATGCCCCTTTACTCAGTATGGGGCTTGGCCAGTCGTCTTCTCAGAAAAGCGATCGCTATTGGAAACAAGCGAAAGAAGTGGATGTAAGTGATTAAGAGAAGCATTTCAATTGCCATAATTAACTGGCTGATGATTAGGACACATTACTTTCTCGGCAAATGTCTATGGAAGATGCTAAATTGCGAGGATTCTTTGCGCACATCTTCAAAGAATGTTGAAACGCACGATGTGCTAGATGCTCTTCGCGATGCTATCTTGGCCCTTCCTCAGCGCAGAGACTCGCGATCTGAGCCAATATTCGAACCTCATTTCAAGCTTTTGACCGTGGTGCAGAAACTTGTGGCTCAAGGCAAGATGACGGTAAGTAGAGCAATTCCCTTCACCAAAAATATTGTGCTAACATACTATCAGCCCATCGACGCAAGCAAAGCCCTCCTTGCAACTCCATGGGCACGTAAAGTGGATTCACCCAAGGATAGCGAAGGATGGACGCCATATATCCTGGAAGTCATCAAGAAGTTCAAGAGCGCTGACAAATCAAACTGGCATCACCGCATGAGTGCAAAAGCCGCACATATCATCTACGATGATGAGAAGAATGCCACGACGGCCGCTGCTGCTAAGCATGAAATGTCACAAATTTTTACTAAGACACTGACTATTCAAGTTTGGAGGCCCGAGTTTGAGCGACCTGGTAGACATTTCGTTTACACCACACGTTATGTTTATTTCTTTGCGAGTCTTCTCGACCAGCTCGATGATCGTGCCAGCTTGGATCAATTATTGCGCCGTGTGAAAAAGAAGCCGGGTGATTTCCTCGACCACATCAAACTGTGGGGCGATCTCTGCCTGGTATTTGCAAAGGTGACTCGTAGAGCTGGCAATATCCAGGAGGGCCACGAAGAGAGCGTGTTCAAGCCTATGAGCTGGGACGAGTTTAGCTCGAACACAGCCCGACTGGAAGGTTTGGCCCAGCTTGCACCGGAAAGCCTCCCAATTCTGGAATTGCTCCGTGATTCCGTGGAGATGAGGAAATGCAACAACAACCTCATGAAGGTTACAATGTTCGAAGATCTCATTGCGGACCTTTACGCTCGTGTTTACGAATTGAACATGCCCTTGATCATTGAACAAACTAACGAGGAAAATAAAGAGAAGATGAAGGTCGATCATCTGCTCATGGCAGGCGATGTCACTACGGAACCTTCTACTCCAGCGACTCCTGTACCAGCGTCAGACACTCCAGCTCCCCGCGGTCGTACCAAGGGTATTGCTCGCCGAGACGTTCAAAAGAGAGCTGACAACATTGTCAACCTCAAACTTCCTCGAACGGCCGTTGGTAAGTCTTCTGCAGCCGCAGAGACTGAAAATTCCGCTTCAGATCGGCGTGATTCTACCTCGGCTGCAGCATTGGGGCAACCTTCTGCTCCCAATGAGACAAACAATTCAATTTCCACTGCAGATGGAAGCAATGGGCATTCTAAAATCAGCGTGGTTATTGAGATGGACAGTGACGATGGAGATGAGAAACCACTCACAACTTCACCACTGCAAAATCTTTCCAAGAACGAATCAGCCGTGGAAACTGAGGATGATGATGTTGGCAGTGGAGAAGAAGCTGCTGACGAAGGTGACGGAGAAGACGAGGAAGGCGCAAACTATTATGAAGCTGAAGGGGATGGCGAAGACCCCAATGCCACCGAGATTGAGAATGAGGATTACGACATGCCAGATGTCGATGATGGTGCAACTATTGATGAAACCGTTATTGACGAAACTATTATCGATGAAACTATTATCGATGAAACCATCATTGACGAAACTGACAACGATGAGGAAAAAGCTCAAGATCAGCTTGTTGGTAACGACTCGGGTTTCTCTACGACGAGTTAAGATACCGAAAGACCCGACATGGATGCCACAGTAGCTTTATGTTTGACATTTCATATTGATGGGTAGTTTTGATGACTATCTTTTTATAGGCGCTCTAAGGTCATTCCACGGTGTATTTGCTGCTTTATCGGATACCATTAATGTATTTCTAGGGCCAGAAGGCCAGATATGTGTCTTGTTTTACCTCTTTTAACAGAATCTGTATTTGATAAGAAAGACAGTACCTTTCCGGATTTAGTACCTTGTCATTTGTTGCGCTGATAAACTTATTCACTCCAGGGCTATGCATAACCATGCCACGACACTTCTGCTTAAAGCAGTAACCAACCTTGGAGGCCTATCTATTAGTCAGAGACCGAGTCCATTAGCATTATGGAGGAAATGAGCGATAAAGGTTCTGTAATCATATCGGATGCTCATCTTTAAGGTAAAATATGCAATTCAAGCGTGAGCCTGAATCATATACAAAAATTCCGGCCAAGTGATCAACAATTTTGCCGTCATCCTTATATATGTCTTCAGCGTCTAATCAGAGACTCAAGTAGATCCGCGTGAGTGCTTGTCTGATGCAATATAGAGAGAGAGGATACGGTGATCCGCAAGGCAATATTCAGGATCGGTCTTTATATTGCGTTCGATAAGCATACTCCATCCAACTTCAATAATAACCCAGTCGTCAAGCTGCAAAGGTGATGTTTTCGGGGCTTGTGTATGCCCCCAGTAATAGTTTCGTTATTGAGAGGTCGATTCAGATTATTTTCACCGATTTTTAGCTGAACTCAAGTTATCGTGTATCGTACGAAACGCATCATGTTAAATTTCAGCATCACTCTCCCTTCGTGGCCTTCTTCCATGCAGCCTTCTTCTTTGACCGTTAGTCGACGCAATTTCGAACTATAGTGCCATTCCTCGCTTTTTTCTTTTCTTTTCTTTTCTTGGTTTGTGGCGACTCCCTTTAGCAATATTGTCATCTCTTGCAGTAACTTGCACCAAATATTCAGCTTTTGTTCATGTTCCGGCCGCTTAGTTTCCAATCAGCTAAAGTAAAATCTCATCATTTCTTCTTCCCGCCTTAAGACTCTCTCATGTTTTTTCAATCGTGAGTAGGAATAGAGCAAGGGGAAAGCAAGGCTTCAGGGCTGTCCCTAAGTCCTAACATTCATGCCCGGGTAGATGGTACATTGCTCTAGGAAAGTGAGGTCACTCAAACATACCTAGGCAAGGACATGGATGAATACTGACACCTGGGCACCTCACTAGGTATGTGCTCTGTATAATTCCGGGAATAGGCTAGCTGCTAGCATGAGATTTTGTGGGGATTGGCCCAGTTTGCTGGCACTAATAGATATAGCACAAAAGATATGAGAGGAGTTTTCCTAGGCCTGAGTATCTTCGACTTCTTCACCACTTCGCGACTAAAAGCTAATCTAACTTACTGGGCGGCGGTGCGGGCAGTCCCGGTAGACATGATCGCCCTCGCAAGCGAAACACTTGCCTTCACGCAAAAAAATATGTTTTTGCTCCGAAGTTAAAATGGGTATCGGGGTTCCATCACGGAGTGTCGTTTGCGTACCAGAAGTTCTATCATTAGAAACCGGCTTCTGGTCCTTCATGATAGTCTGTTTAACTGCTGGAGCCAATACCTTCTTCGTCTCTTTAGTATTGGCCATAGTATTGAACTGAAGAGTAATGTCACTCGGTATTTCCTGACATTTTTCAACGAATATGTCGAACGGAGTCGACAACGAAGTGAATGCTTCCAGCATCAAGGTTTGCATTTGTCGAGGTAACTTACTGTAAATATCTCGCTTTCTGTTGATTTCAGGTCGCTTCGTTTCATCGGACAGTCGAAGGAAGGTGGCCAAGAAGACTTGAAAGTTATCTCCATAGTTCATGAACAATTCTTTGTAATGAACTTGGGCTTGAGTCCGTCGGTTCGCGAAAATAATAGAAAGATGCTTGAGGATGTCATCTGCGTCTTGGTAAGGACAAATAGCGCCCTCGCAAAGGCGAGGGTCAATATGCCGCTTTGCAAATCCTTCACATCGGCTAGAGACGTAGATCAATCGATGAATTGCAGTGGGGTAATACCCACTGTCAGCGGCAAGCTTTCGTCGGATCTCGGATTTCCAGGTATTGAATTCGACATTGTTTCCATCGGAAAGAATGGCAGGATGGGAAGAAGCTCCTTCTGCTTGTTTAAGCATTCGGGCGACATAATCTACGATCGTGTTGCGGGCCTGGTCTCGCTCAGAGGTGACCTGGGCATTTTCTTTGAAGAGGGAGTCGCGCTCTCCCGTAATCACAGCTAGACTGGCTTTGGTTGCCGCCAAATCATCTACGAGATCTTTGTGGTTTCTCTCACCTCGGTCCGTACCTGCTTCGTAAGCCATTGCTTCTTTAGCTGCCGCTTGAAGTCGTATAATTTCCTGGGCTAGCTGGTCTCTCTCGGCTTTAGTCTCCTCCCACAGAGCCTCGATTTTGGCCAGTTCTCCAGTAAGTTTGTAAGAGGAGCTCTGTAGTGACTCGTACTTTCGACAGAACCTTTCCCAAACTTGCTCAGGTTTTTCGCGAATTAGGCGGTATAGTTTCTCACGATTGTGGCGGATTCCCTTTATCGCGGGATCGTCCGTAAGAGAACAGATGGGCATTGAATCTCGGCGGTCATCAGATTTGAAGAATTCCTTTGCTTCAGGGTTCAAAGGAGTGGCTGGGCGAAACATTTTGTAGGTTTTTTTTTGGAAATCCAATCTGCCTCCAAAGAACGGATCTTTTAGAGAGGCTCCCGCTGTGTGATACCGCTGTGGGATAAGTAGGGAGTGAGGAGAATATACTGTCAAGGCAATAATGGTGTGAAGGTGATAATAACGTCAAGGTGAGAATAGCTTGAAGAGAGGGAACAAGAGAAGAATACCGTCAAGCGAAGGATGGTCGTATAGCTGAGACTCAACCAATCAGAGGATAAGAGACATTATAGTGTAACTCAACCAATCAGAGGATAAGAGACATTATAGTGTAACTCAACTAGGCTAGGCGGTGCCTGACTTATGGTATATTTCTGGTTATGTAATATTCGGAACTAAAACAAAACTTCAAGGCTGCCAAGTCCCTATCTTACCTCTCAGGAAGCGGGGTTGCTCAGACATCAATACTGTATTATTTGGGGACTGGGCTAAGCACTAGCATTGGGCTTCGGGAATCAGGCTACCAGGCTATCGAAAACACGCATCATTCATAGTACAACCGAGGAGGGTTTAATTTATGATCTAGAATTTTCCTCTTAAAAGAAGCTATTTCTAGAATCCAATGCAGGTGGCATCTGACATATGAGGTTCTAACACTTCACGTATTTAAATAGTGTTGGGTACATTTAGCGTAACAATACCTGTATTAGTACTAGCCCTAATACTAATTATTAAGAAGCATCTTTATATGGATACATTCTTACACAGTAATATTATTCTTGTACTTTCACTCTCACTTTTACTTCTACTTTTACATTTATTTTTTTACCTTTACCTTTACTCTCAAACTTGGACTCTTACTTGCGCATGTTTAGCAATAAACGGTGTGTGTACAGGGCTTGGAAGCCTTGATAATACTCGAGCTAGGGAATAAGCACATATTTATCAGCTGATTGTTTATCAGTTCCCTGTTTTGGTAACCCGTGTATTCTCAATAAGTCCGTACTTTTTCGTACTTTCTCACATATTGACCTCTGTAGATACAAAATACAATACGGGTTCAGACCCTGACTAAGGGGGTTGACCCTGTTAGGACCCACTGGACCCTCAAAAACAGAACTCTATGATCGTACTTTTCTTCTCCTTATTAGTCTTGACCCTGCAGGAATCCCTAATTCCCTCCCTTTCCGACCCACCGGATTATCTTATGTGGAATGGGAATGCTCGGAAAAAAAGGAAATAAAATAATCGAGTTGTTTATGTTGTACCCCTTGGCCTGTGTCCTTCCATTCCCCGAGAGATCCGTTTCTTTCACATTGGCGTTTCTGTTCTTGGTATTTTCTTTTTCTGTCTAACTTTCGTCTAATCCTTCCTACTTTCTCCATTTGAACCTCTCTTTCCCGGTTCTTTTCAGACTCCACTTGGGTGGACGGACCCATTTTCAAGGTAGCCTTCGCCATCGGGTTTAAGACCCAGTTTTCCTGTCAATTTCCATTTGACCCTTGTTTCTCTCTCCGACATCTATCCGACATCACTCCCGAGCATGAAGTCACTGCTTTGACCTGTTCCTCTTCATTTTCACACATCTGAGGGCCTTCGCGGTCACTCTTGTGGACTTCACCCTTCGGTCTTTATCCATGGCATTTCCAGGGTTTTCTTTGATCCGATCATGGATTCTGTTAGTGTTGGCTTGCCAGTCTAGCGCCCAGTTCTGCTCCTTCTGGAATGGTGCCTGCATCGACCCTCTTGCCCAAACTGCCGTCAAATTCAACTTCAGTCCTCTCTTCATCAATCCAATCACCCTCTATTATGGCTTTGACGCGAGCCTATCCGGTAAAGGCAACGGCCCCATGACCAAGACCGCTTTCTGGCTTCGGTATCAGAATTCAAATATTGATCCTTCCGTTGTGGACATGAACAGGACATCTGAAATCGCCCTACGTGTTGGGAATTTAACTGGTATCCCTTCAGGGTCAAATAATGCGTGTGATGGAATATGGGGCCGACAGTGCACCAATGGGATTAAGATGGCCCTAAAGACTGGCATCTTCCATCTCGCCAGATCGGGTGAATATTACAGCAAACCGCTGGAAACGGTTCTATCACAATTGATGATGGTTCAGCCTGAGTTGTTGTGTGGCGCGCCTATTTTCGATGTTGCCAGCATCCCTGTCCAAGGTATGTCTTTCGACGTGTCATACTGTTTCAACCGACGCTTATCTAACTCCCTAACAGATTTCGCTTTTGAGAGTAAAACTGATCAGGATGTCTCTGTGTATCCCTCGGGGTCTTTAGGCCATCCATGGCAGGTGTGGTATCTGGACGATATGACGCCACAGCAACAGGCTTCACAAGTCGCCGTGGGAATCATCAGTCGTGCTCCTTCCTACGGCAGTCCGCTGCCTCGAACCCCTGACGACATTCAAATCGAGCTTGTCTGTATGCAAGCGCCACAAGCACCGCCAAGTGGATCAATGGGAAACGACTAACTGATACTGCATTAGACCATCCTACGGATAGTCTATGAACTTCTTTATCACTCGACCAGCCCAGCCACGTCACTTCGGACATGCCACTCGTTTATCCTACTGCGACATACACGACTGTAATTAGGCCTCGCTCACTTGGTGAAGCTTGAGCGGGTGCGATAAAATGTGCGGAGATGGCTCTTGACCTGACTGGTCAACTCAACCAAGCATTGAACATGCCAAGTCTCGCGCTACCCTCATTGAACCATAACTCTCAAAACAGGGATTATTCAACGGCCATGGGAAATTTCCGATCGGAACAAACGCCCTTCTGATTAAATTCATGTCTAGTGGATTATTAAACAAGATGATTGCCATTATTAATCCAAAAATCATGGCAACCCAATATCATGTCTCGCTCTTCACCGACTCTAAATCCGAACTCATTATTACCTCTGGCCTGCTCACAGAGTAGGGGCGTTGGGGTCAGAGGGCTTCAGGTCACCAGGGCCACGGAAGTCCTCCAGGATATCAGCCTGCTCACTCAGCATGTGGCGATCGGTCTGACTCTCTCCAACCCTGGCCAATCCACGCCAGCGCTCCAGATCTTCATGGTTGCGCTTGTCGCCATGGGCATCTTCAGCCTGAGTCCAGTGGCCTTTGGAGAATCCCAGCAGGGTGGTAATCTTCTTATTCGGTATATCGTACACCAGAGAACAGATGGTGCCGGTCTCCTCCAGCCAATTGCACTGCCACAACTCTCCAGGACGAATGCATTGGTAGTCCGCAGTCTGGTAGTTTATGCGACCTGCCATGGGCCCGCCGTGGATGGCATAGTTGATGCGGTTATCGCTCTCGAACCACATCTCATAGCGCCACTTCTCCGGGTTGCCCTCTGCGTCTTGTGCAGCATAGTCGTAAATCAAGTGCCGATCGCGAATGTCGGCATCGAAGGTGGTTGCTTCCAGCGAGGGATAAACGGTCATTTTGGTATTGCGGATGAACTCGGAATGGATTAAGGGGCGGCTGTTGGGAATTGATTTTAGGGAGTACTGGGCTGAGATCCGGGCTATATAGTATTCCTGTTGGTGCCACATATTAGATGTCAGAAATCCAGGAGTCGGGATCTCGGCAACCATTGACATCATGCCATTTTGCTTTATCATGTAAACCAGGCTGTATTAAACTTGGCTGTGTTATGTTGTGAACGATCTACTCTTGGTCTCAGGAGCCATAGCTTCAATGACATCATGATCCGGCCCCATAACGCCGAACAGGATTCCGAACAGGATTCCGAACAGGATTCCGAACGTAGAAATTGTAGGGCTGCTTCAAGCCTCGATCTTGGAAGGCGTAGATACAGGATCGGGATCTCAACACGGAGACGTCCAGGTCGTACAGTACCTAGATTACCTGGATATCAGAATAACTCCTCATCAGAAAGTACCTATAATCAGCCCCATTTATGATTGTCTAGACTCTAGAGTTATAATGCTCGTAGCTAAAATGGATGTGAATTAATATTATCTTTTCCTTTTCGATCACCATTTTGCTCCATAATAGACGCATCTTCCCCACGTGACCTCGCCAAAGTTGGACCATCAACGCTTACTCTGACCAATGAGGCTTCCTTGTACAGCCTTCCTAGTCCACAGGCATATCCTGTTTATAGCCTAGAATTCGGGAACGACGGAAAGGATGCAAGTCGTTCTTGGAGTTGGGCTGCTAGTGAATGCCACGGTGGTTTCGAATGTGCTTCCAGGGGCTTCGTCGTATATCGCCGCAGCGGGGTTTCCAACTTCAGCCTTTGAGTATGTTTTACACCCGATCCTTGCTCTGGGGACTGAGTCCACATGAGTAGTATTGATTTCCCATCAGATCTTACTATGAAGCCCCAGCCTTACCAACCAGGGAGCCTCAGCCCATAATTCATGATCCAGTGCTGAATATCACTTTTCCCTATGAGCTGACCAATCCCGATGTCATTCACGAGGGCAAAGATGCAGTTTACTTCCCTGATCCCCGGGAAAACCTGCATCCTGACCAGCAAGTTGCATTGATCGATGAAATCGTGGCTAATGTCACTGCCATTATCAACTCGATCACGCCAGACGACGATCCATGTTCAAAGTGCAAGCAGGCTTTGGCTGCGGCCAAGCCCGCAGCGCTGTTGACGCCGACTAGGGTCCCTGACGCTATGGTCAGCATGTGTAAGTCGTTTGAATTCAAACCTGGTGAAGGCTGCGAAGAAAAGTTCGCAGAAAAGACGTTTGGCGCTATCTGGACTCAAGTGCTTGCGCTGGCTGATGTCGAAGGCTCTGATGGTCAATATATCTGCCATTCAATTTTAAAGGAATTTTGTCCTCAACCTGAGACTCTTCCGCTTGATACGACTGGCCTATTTCCAAAGCCCAAGCCTGAGAATACTATGGTTCCAAAGGCAAGTGGCGAGCGCGTGAAGGTTCTCCACATGTCTGATTTCCACTTGGATGCTCGATTTATGGTCAATTCCGAGGCGAACTGTACGGCTGGAATGTGCTGTCGCAGAGACAGCCATAATGAACTCTCAGATGACGTTCTTATTCCCGCCTCTGCGTATGGCGCCTTCAAGTGCGATACGCCGTATGATCTAGCTCTTGCGGCATTGCAGGCTGTAGGACCTCTCACTGGCACTGGTAAGGGTGATTCCGAGGAGTCCCTGGCATTTACTATGTACACTGGTGACTTAGGGTCGCATGATCCTGAAAAACAAGATTCTAGGGCATATCTCGAATACATCGAGACAAGTGTCTTCGGAATGTTCAAGCAGTATCTCACCGGCCCTGTATTTGCCGCTTTGGGAAACCATGACTCAAGTCCGTCTAATATTGCCTCCCCATACAGTCTCCCAGGACGTTTGGGAGAGCAGTCTAGTTGGAACTATAAGCATGTGGCTGATCTCTGGAAACATGAGGGGTGGATTAGCCATGAGACAAGTGAAGAGGCAGCGACACACTATGGTGGTTACTCCATAAAAACCCACTATGGATTAAGGATTATCGTATTCAATACTGGTTTGTATTATCTCCAATATAACACAATTACCGGGCTAACATCTTCTAGACTTCTGGTATAAAGGCAACATCCTCAACTTTATCAACACGAAAAACCCCGACAACTCGGGAATTTTTTCATGGATGGTTAACGAGTTACAAAAGGCCGAGGATGCAGGCGAGCGCGTCTGGATAATAGGCCACGTACTCAGCGGCTGGGACGGTGCGAACCCACTGCCAAATCCCACAGACCTCTTCTACCAAATAGTGGAACGCTACTCGCCGCATGTAATAGCCAACATATTCTGGGGTCACAACCACGAAGACCAATTCACAATATACTACTCCAACAATGGCACGCTACAGACCTCAGAAACCGCCCTCTCGACAGGCTGGGTCGGGCCAAGCGTGACGCCCCTAACGAACGTGAATAGCGGCTTCCGTTTATATGAAGTCGACACAGGCGACTTCAACGTCTATGAGGCATACACTTTTTACAGTAATGTATCCGAATACACGCATCTATCCGACTCTGGCCCAACGTTCCAATTCGAATATTCTACCCGCGACACGTACGGCCCTGCTGCAGGGTGGGACGAAGATGCGCCGCTGAACGCAACCTTCTGGCATCGTGTTACTGAGGCTATGGAGGAGGACTTGGACTTGGTTTCTCTTCATAATACCTACCAGGGAAAGATGAGCGTTCACAGTCCTAACTGTACTACGCGTGTGTGTCAGCAGGCGAAGATTTGCTATATGCGTAGTGGCAGTTCGGCTCTTGGTTCGCTGTGTCCGCAAGGGTAAGTTTATTTTCAAGGCTATTTCGGTACTTCTATCGGTTGCTAATATTTAATCTTATTAGTTATGGCTCTGTACAAAGTCCGTTTAAGCCAGCGATATCGTGAGTTTTGTGTGATTACCTGCATACATACATACATGGAATGTTGTTAGATGACGTTTTGTTTTCCTGCATGGCATTTGTACATTGATTTGCACTATAGACTTCCTTGGATGCCGTCTGGAACCTTGAACCGTCGGTTTTCGAGAATTCCTAGAGAAACATATTATTACGTACATATGCTTTTTCTTCCAGGATTTGTGTTCAGCTACCTAGGTAGCCATTATAATTACATTTCAAAGTCTGAAACCTCAAGCTGGTTAAACCAATTTATCCACAACGCCTTGGAAATCAACTCAACTGAATTTGGAAATTTTTCCTCAAATAAGATACAACAGGGCCATAGGCGCAGAAAATGCAGTTTTTGGCAACATTAGACGAAAAAGTTAATTATACCGAATTCCGATTTTTTTTTTTTTCATAATTATAATGGTATTTTGATTCATAATAAGGTAAATACATGTTAAAACGCAGCACCGAAGTCTCAGAACCCTGATGCTTCCCAAATTAGAACTATCGGTTGTTGGAATGAAACCACCTGGACACCTGGGCAGCATATTGGAGATCAAGGCATTTCCAAGACCTCTCAGCATATATCCAAGTACTATCGGAAACATGCTTATTCAAGATTGTTTTGTACTAGATCCATGTCGACTTTGATCTGTTTTAGCAAACAGTGATGTAAAGACCAAGACTAGCAGCAGGTTGTAGATTAGCAGGTACTCAGAGACCTCGAGGTATGAAACAGACTTACGGAGATGGGTTATAATCCTCAAAGAACTCAAGGCTAGTGGTACCAGCATTCTTTAATTCAAATGCAACGGCTTCACCGGCGGGACAAGAGAAAGTCGAGACAATGTAAGAATTACCGGGTGAAATGGTAATATCACCCAGATCCTCTGTTACGGATGGAGCATTGCTGAAGGTAGTAGAGCTTGAAGCAGCAGAGGACAACTTCGCAACGTCGATCTTGCCATCACCACTAAAGGTATAGTCCGAAGTTTCGAGGTCGGCTTTGTTGGGGAACAGGAAGACCAAGCTGCAGGTCTTCCCAGAGTCGGACTGGGGGATATCAAAGTTGAAGATACTTGAGATGCTGGAAGTCACTTTACCATTGTATTGAGTGCCATAGGCCTTGTCTGGGGAGTTTGAGTCGACAGGGACGATGAGATGAGGGAACTCGTAGCTTCCCGACTTCAGTGTTGTACCGCAGTCTTTGCTAGCTGGAGGTACTGGCGGCGGGGCAGGAGCGTGACAGGAGTCAGCTGTGAGTGTGATGTCTTTGCAGTTTGAGAGCGCGGAACTGTCATAAGTGGTATAAATGTTCAAACCACCGTTCTGGCCAGTCTCGCAGGCAATGAACTTAGAGCTATCGTTGTACTCTAGTTCACCGGACGAGCTCACAGAGAATCCAGAAGTGGGAGTAGCACCTACATCACACTGGAGCTGTGTAGTTGGTGCTGAATTGTAATGAGTTAGACTAGTGATTCATGGAGTTGGTAGGCACCTTGTAGTACTCACGGGTCAGGATGCAACCGCGGCCATTGCTATCGGTGATAGAGTTACCCGAAATACAGTATTCGGCAGGAGAGAGACTGTTATCACCAATGCGGTTCTGACCGTCACCTAGCTGGCCGACAGAGCCGGACGCACCACCAGAGGCAGTCAGATGGAAGCAGCAGCTATCCCCGCGGGTAACGAGGGCATTGACTCCAGCAGCAGAGGCCATGACAACAGCAAGTCCTTTCATATTGACAAGTAATTGGATATCTCTTTAACGACGGATAGACAAGAAAGGGGATATTTGAAGAGCTGAGATGAGTGATTGATTGAAAGAATAGGATGCATTAGCTCCATGGGATACATGCCGCGTACTTATAGCCTGGTCAAGACACTGAAAGTGAGTATCTAGTAGACTGATCTACCCATTACTACCCTGATTATGGGCAATTCCAAGAGTCGTGACTTGAAAATAGAAAAACCGGATTGGAGATCTAAGCAGACAAGTACCATGGGCTTGAGAGGAGTTGGACATAGCGCTTTGACACAAAGAGGAGAGCATAGAGCATAGAGCATGAAATGGGGCACTGAACCAGTCAGGTATCAATGAAGGAGATATAGACGTCATGGTCAACCAAGGCTTATTCTTCTAATTGCGGAGAAAGTAGACCTGGAGAACTAGCTTACTCCACATGGCAGATGCACGAAACAAGTTTTATGAGATGACACCTTGATAGTAAGCATAATGTATAACGCCTTACCAGAAGAGGTTTGATCAGAGTACATCTGAAGTGGCAACATCTTTTTTTACCACTCACGGCTCTGTAGCTCTGACAAGAAGGAAGTCAAGCAAGCTCTCCACTTATACCCCGATTTGGATAGATGGAAACATAGACGACCATGGTTTCATTGTGATAATTCTTGGTTTTTTATTTATTTTTGAATCAGCTTCTAGTGATTGGTCAAGACAGTATACGGACTCGAACTAGAGAAGCCAAGGGTAAATATCGGGGTGGCTCTCAGACTGGGTATTGTATGTCAGCAACTCCCAAGGTTCCAAACTTGGACAGGACCCTGCATTGGACCCTGCATTAGATTCTGCATTAGATCCTGCATGATGTACTAAATTGATGATCTTCGCGGTAAGCTCGATGATATCGTGCGGTCTCGATTATAATAAGCGTTTGAGAACGGGTATGGAAAGGAAATTCAAACTTATAGAGACTACATTATTCAAGATAAAATGAAATAAAGGAATCTCTGAAATTGAAGATTTTCGACTTAGAAGTTACATGACGTTCTGTTAGTCAAGAATTCCAAGATTTGCATTTTGTCCATTGCGCATTGACGATGTGGAACCAGCATAACAATGCACCAAATGTAGGCGAAAATGAACTAGCATTACCTCGGAACTTGTGGATGCAATCTTGGAAGCGAGCAGTTCCGGCCAACAGTAGGCGTTCTATTTTTGTCATTTGGTAAGAACCATGGGTAACGTCCGGGACCATTATCAATTATAAAGCCCGTAACCAAATGTTCGTATTAACCTGGACAAAGCTAGTAGAGCACACAAATACATATATCACTCATATTAAAATACGTCATGACCTTTTCCACAAGAAGTAGTTCCTGAAACTTGTCATTTCATATACGCTCACATGATTTGTTCTCACCTCGGAAGCTTCTTTACCGAGTCGGCCCTTGGCTCATTTAAGACAGTCTTGATAAGATTTCTTATTTCTTTCCATGATATCATCAAGGCTATGTACAGTATGCCATGGGAGATAGCATTAATACGAGGTACAACAGTAGGATCTTCTTTCGGTCCGAGAAGCTCAAATAGTTGTTTAATGAAATATTCGATGTTCCGGGCAACTGTGCCACTAGTAGATAATATTAAGAATCTTCTAAAGACTCTAAGAATCGTGATTAAAGTTTTGCTAAGATCAGTCGGTCAGTTATCAGCCCCAGGTAAATCTAAAGAAGTCAAGAGACAGATAGGAGGGGAAAAAAGCATAATACAACGCTCATTTTAATTTCTCATTCCATTCCTCTTCTCCTTCCTTGAATCAACCCGAATAACTATTCGGTCAGGTCTGGTATTACCCGAAATAGAATGGAGAATAGTCATGAAATATCATCAAACTCTTTCAAAGGAGAAGATAGAGATATATAGCAACTCCATAGTCATCGTAGAACCAGAATCGAAGACTCCAAAAGAACTTTTAGAAAGAGGTTTGCAGTACCTATGCTAACAATTTTAGAAGCTAGAGTCGAGAGCCACTACCGAACAACAACATTGATATCAAACATCTTCCAGAAACATCTTCAACGATCATTTCATTTGACGATCACTTTCAGATTCACGTCCACTTACACTCTTACTAATTTCACTTTTTAATTTCTATCTACCTCTAGGTATACTTTATAGGGTTTGATTTTCTCACATCCGTTCCTACTCTTCCACCCACTCTCCATCAAGCAAGCTATAACGGACTGAAGACCCGTAGACAATCTCGGTACATGTCTCCCACCACTCGTTCTTAAGTGACCTTGGGACCTAGGTTACATCGAGTGACACTGTGAACATCAACCACATTGTCACAAAGTTGCCCAATAAGCTAAGTTATTTGAGCTAATTGCCTGCACGCCGACAAGGAATTAAGGATAAAGAATTATGAAACGCAACATCAGATAAGATTGATATCATCCATTGCATGAAATACGACACGGATACCCGTAAGAAGATCCCCAAGCATTTACTACCAAGGTTAGGAGGATTTTCACTACCTTGTGCACTGTGTTGATGCAGCCGACATCTTCAACTCCTCTTAAGAAGAAAAAAATTATCCTGGACATGCGGTCGTCAGATACTGGCAACGCTTTGAAGAAGACCCGGATCACAATTTCGAAGGATTTCTTGAGTGGTGTGTGAATATAGTAGGTGCGATAGAAACTAGGGCTAAAGGCCATTTTCGATAACAGGCCTGATAATTTGATTAATTATATATAATTATTCTCGAGTCACTATTTTTTACTAATATGCTAATTATCATTATCGACTTTCTATACCAATAACACTTCCAAGGTTCTTAGAGGAGTATAAATCAGTGTCTTGTGCTAGATTGGTGCTCCGCGACTGACTCGTATATATCGGAAGAGCTGTGTCGAAAGGAGAACAAATCTAACATTACCAGCTTCTCGCCACAAACTCATCCTTTTGTTTTTTAATTAAAAACGGAATCTTGAATCCTGTGGGAAATTCTTACTTTATGTGTAATATGTCTGATGGATTTTGCAATGTACTATAACCTTCTTAATAGGTGCCAGCTGGATAGACCCGATGAGACAGTAATAGGGGCTAAGAGACGGGAACATTGAATATAAAAAATGGCTCATACTCCAGGGAGTGGAACCGCCTAATAAGGGATTGCAGACTATGATTGGTGCTTGAAGAAGCTTAAATTCTTTAAATTCTTCTTTCGTAATGAAGATACGGATTATCGATAACATGGAGTAGTAGATAATCGGAGAATACCTTATAGAGAAGACTTGGCCATGTCAGGACTCAGTACGCAGCATGTTAAGCAATAAGCTGCAACACAGCCACTAATAGCTTTAAACATTGGAACCATCGATGTCCCTAGTATTCGACACAATCAATGACATATCCCGGCCGTGCACAGCATAGCACAGCCCCATAGCGAACCGAGCGGTGATAGGCGCATCTAGAGGGAACGGTCAATCGAGCGAATGACGGTTGCCTAGTTCCTGTGTGATGAGTTTTCCAGGATAATGGAGCAAGAGTATGTATGAGGGATTTTCCAGATGAAATCTAGCCTCGATCTGGTACAGAGAAGGAGAACCCCCCTTTTTTGAATGTGCGGGAAGTTGGATGAAATTTCAGTTGAGTGGTAAGAATAAATGCCGCATAACTCAATCCCGTAGCCGTTGAAAATTTCCCAAAAAAATGTAGAATTCTCCCACAGTGACCAACCGAGGTCTATTCATTAATTTTAGGCTTATATGTACAAAAAATACTGACCTAATCTCTTGGATTCATATTGTAACCAACCAAATTCCCTTGGGTTATCCTTGTGAACGCCCCGACGCTTATAGGTTCATTGGCTTCGATATTTTAGCCACAGACATCAGATATTGAAAAGTACAACAGAAATCCCCATAGTTGGAAGCTCCACCGTCGATCATGTGGCTATGAAATTGGGGGTCGTGGATCAGCATCTCCTAACTGGTATTCCTGCCATGTGTCATGTTAATCCGGTCATACCTTGAAATTTGATATGATTATTCCGAAAACGATTACAAAGAGAAAGCTATAAAGTCCGTTGCTGACCACTGACCGCTTCTCCCTTCATTCTATTTTACTCAAGGTATGCTTATCGACGGTCATAAGTGGGCTTGCGAAGCCTGCATACGCGGCCACCGAGTCTCTAGCTGCAAGCACCATGGTGCGTGAATTATGATCCTTATTAGAAAAATTCCTTTCACACGGATACCGAGTTAACACAGCCAGATCGACCGTTGATTCGCATTAAGCGCAAGGGGCGCCCCTTTGCAACTTGTTCTATATGTTGCTCGACGCCATGTTCGTCGCCAATGGAGCATGCGCGAATCAAGCGCGATGCAGAGATCAAGACTCCAAATTCAAAAGTAACGCAAATACACAAAAGCAAGCCTTTCTCGCTTCCGGAAAGGCTGGTCGCCAATCAAGGAAGAGATTCTGTGCGGACAGCCGGAGTTCGCTAATTTTTAGTGTTCTAGAAAGCAACGCATGGTAGACTCTTCCAGCGCCATAAGCCAGCCGATTACCTCCCTATTGCACCTCGGCCATTGGAGAGGGATGATTCGCGTCGCTTGTCCTCGACGTCGGCGTCGGCTTCAGGGCCCACATCATCTTCCCATACCCCTGCCCAGGAAGGCCTTTCTTCTCGACGCGAATCTGCGAACGAGATAGAGTGGTCTGGCTCAGAGGGGTCTGGTACTGGGTTGAGTCGTGTGCTGTCCTATGCAGAAGGTCTCAATGTTTCTATTTCTATCACCTGTGCTGAGTCTGATCATTCACCGGCATGCTCTGCTCCAGATCTCACTCTGGATCCTTTCGTTTCTGGTACTATATTTGATCCGACGTACTCCATGATGCCTTCTTTATCTGTCTCGGAGGCGCGTGTATCTCAGACAGGACCTTTGATTAGCCCACTCGAAGTGAATCAGTTTGATTTTCCTCTTGATCCTGCGCTGACGCTTGATGGAGACTTGGGCTATTTGGAGGATATAGACGTGAATATCACAGGGAGTTTGTCGGAGGAGATATTTCAGGTAGAGGATTGGTCACGGTACATGTGGTCACCAGAAACTGGCTTTGAGCATTTAGATACAGTCTATTCCTCGGCTCAATAACGTTTATTTTCGGAAATAAGACTTACGACTGATGAAGACGACAAGTTCCTAATAGATGATGGCGAAGCTTTCACCCTTGCCAAGTCACTCTTTCTGGGGCATCTATTTATGTATACTGAGATTTTCACCCCAAGCAGTGAAGTATTGAAATCTAGGAAGAGTTGAAAGAGAAAGCAGCCCAATTACTCGCCTGGCGGCTTTTTGTTGATGATTTGTCGAGAGTGCGCCAGAACAAAAAGGAGATATTTATCGCAATTCATGATATCGCCCCTGGTAAGCTTAGGTAGCATTATTTTGTTCGTTGTTGAACCGAATACTAATGCGATATCATAATAATTGTGTCTGTTGCAAAGGTGGCCCATTGGCAATAATGATTATTTAAAATTAAATAGATAATGTTCGATATCTCTTAGTAAGAACGCAGCATTTGTAAAAAATGAGAAAGCGCTACTTCTTCGTTTCAGATCCTTCAGTTTCAGACTGTATGACTTCCTGACCTGTGCTCTGTCCATCCAGGAAACTAACAGCACTGGGACCTGTGAAATCCTTTCGGCCAGTCGTGAACCAAGTTATTGTGCTGATAAGGGCAATCACACCAATGGCAGCACTAGTGTAGTTCATCGACTCGTGGTTGACAGGAGCAGTAGAAGGGAAATTGAAGGTTATGGCTGCGAAAAGAAGGAATAATAATCCCACAGTGTTAAGAGCGACTGACACGGGAGTTGACAAAGCGTATGGTCCTTCCATCTTTACCACGTGTCCAGAGAAATATCCAACTAGTCGGCTGAAGAGAGCCATTGCGTAAGAAAGATCTATGTCGCGAATCATTGTTAGTACAAATACTCTGTAATTGCAAAATGGGTGGCCAAAAAAATGACTTACAAAACCCTTCAGCTGAGATGGAGATAACAGTCTCAAATCCAGTTGTCGTTCCAAACTCAATCGCACCAAGAGCTAGCTGCACTAATAGTGCCAGTAGAACAGCGTTAACGGGGACCTGGCTCTTACCGTCGACCTTGCTGAGTAGCTTCGAGAAAGGCAGCCCATTGTCTCGAGCAAAGGCAAAAATGGAGCGAGATCCTTCAGCTAGGAGATTGTTTCCTGAAACGAGGACAATCACGGTGATCATGGTAGTTAAGATGCAAGTAGCCGCCTTACTGCCAGTGGAATTATAGAGGATCTGAATAACAGGGACTCCAGTACTCGTGTTGGCGACGGATGTGATGTCTCCAATGCAGAAGCACAAGACAATAAGAAAAATGAAACCAGTGACGCCACCCAGAACGACTGCAAGAATGATAGCCTTCGGGGCGTCTTTAGATGGCGCCTTCATCTCCTCTGTCATATGTGAGGGCGCATCATAGCAGCACATTCCGAAGCAGGCTTGTAAGATACCGATGATTGCAGCCATTCCAGTACCCCAGCCAGTGGTATTTTGGAAGTCTTTGAAAACAAAGGAAGCAGACTGCTTGTGATCATTTGTCGCAAGGAGCACGATGATAATGACAAAAAAGGAGACAAAATTCCAGACAAGAATGCCTTTTGCAATTTTATGTAGTAAATGAGACGCCCAGAGGTTAACTACGGTCGAGACAAAAGCCACGAGGTAGGCTACCAGGACTGTCTGCCATCGGGCAATTTCGTAATCTGGAAATACGAGGTTTGCCATTCCGGTGACAAAGTTGGACGCGATCGAGTTATTAGTTGCTCCCATTGCCAGAAGCCCTGTCTCAAAGTTAGCATCTACGCAGCATATGAGGAGAAGACCCAGGATATTCAGTCATACCAGTGAGCATAAACCACCCAGCCACATAAGATAATCCACGAGCATACTTTGGAGGTGTAAGAGCAGCAACCCATGAGTATTGACCACCTGCGACTGGCCATTGAGAACACATCTCGGCCATTGATGCTGCAACTGCTAGAGTTATAATAGAGACTGCTAGGAAGCTCCATATCATCACTGGTGCGCCGCCAGAGGTAATTCCGACAACTAAGACGCCGCTAAGAGCTGTCCATCTATAATTGAGTTAGACAGTTGCTTTTTGATATGGTATCATAACTGAAATGCTCACGATGTCACAATACTGAAACTGAAACCTATCATGCTAAACAAGCCGAAGGAGCGTTTAAGCTCTACAAGAAATGATATATTAGTAAATGACTCTGCAGCTTGATAGAACTGGTCTCGAAGTGCGTCATCTTACCTTGCTCATAACCCAGATCCTCCAATCGAACATCTTCACCAGTAGTGTCTTTGAACACCTGAGAGCCTTTATCGCCATCCATGGTAAAGGGTAATCTTGGTATGTTGATTCTTGAATTTAATCAATAATTTAGAACCAGCGGACAATGTCTTAAAAGAGCAAGCGGAATTGGACTATATCATCTCAATCGGCATTCCTGATGAAGAAGGTTTCTGCGACAGCGGTGGAACCCATAACCTTATAATTTTTTCGTAGCCTGCGTACTTCTAGAGCGGTTCATGCTGATAATGAAATCAGTATGTCTCATTCGTGGGCGGACTGCTATCAATGTGTGGGGAGATATGCCATGATAGTGAATAATGATAATCCTAAAACACTCTAGTGGCTCCTGGTGTTTCCCTTTTGGCCTTAGCGGAATAGGATATATTGATTACAGCTTTATTCTTGCTTCCGATCGGCGATAATGAATCTTGTTCTCAATTGGATTCATACTATTAATTAGAATTGTCGGATGATTCGCCCTCGTTTATTCAAAAGAGATAGAGCTTAGCCTGTTTCAGGCCGAATATTTGAAAACATACTACGACACCTGTGGTTAGTGCTTTATGTATATAGTAAAAATCACATAGCTAACTAATTCTTAGGGTTTCACCTAGTGTATAGTCTTATCTATCACCTCGGGCCTCGTCAATACGCTAAAATCCCGTCTTGTTAATTAGGGCAAGCTCTTAGGTACTTACATTCTCACAAGCTGATATCATCTTCACTGTCCGAGTTTCACTTGAACTTTTTGATTAATTACCCGTTTCTAAGCAACCTAGATATCTACTTTTGCATCTAGTAAGGAATCAAAGTTGTACCACCATTCTAATCTCCTGCGATGAATTGCTTCACGAACAGGTTCGGCATTGCATGTCCACTGCCACGGTGTCTATGGCCTTGGCTGATGATAGGGGTGTGCATTCTGTGCCTATTGAGGCCATTCAAGCATCTACGCCTAAGCCCGCGTATTTGTCTTGACCTTGACCCAGCAAACTCCTTGCAATCCCGGGTTATTAGAAGTGCAGTCAGTCTCTCTCCAACGACATTGTGATCCAATTCCCCTTTTTTGGACCTCAAAGTCTTGTTTTAGTTTCAACTTTTAGCAATTCAGTATACCTTCCTATAAGATTCTTCCGATTACAGTTTCCTTCCGAATCTTGGAAGTTTAGAGAACTCTGGATGTTATGCAGGCTTTTACTGCATTGGTCGACTCGATTCCAAACTGAGAGGCACTTCTATAAACCCTTGAAACTTATGAAAGCTACAAACTAGGCCCTAGAGGCTTCCGAGTAACAACAGCATGCAGCGAATACATATTCCAAAAGCTATTGATGAGAGAAAAAATAGTATGATATTTCAATTATCAACATGCATCAGAATAGAACAATAGGTGCAAAAAAAGTCCCACTTCCTCCATATATCGTAGGTCCTTCTCGCTATGTTCGAAAACATAGTGAGGTAGTCCAAATATGAAAAACTTCGTCCATCTGCACAAATGTTAGCTGTCTGTCAAAGTGATTGAAAGATATAACCTACCCTTCCAACATCAAGATCAAAATATATAGGTACAAGGATTATATCAAAATCACCGCTGGTCCATGTAACTCCCCTTGTGGATAGTGAAAAATAATTTGCAGTTGAATGCGCCACGGGTCCATGGAATCCCAGCCAAAACGCCTCCAGCTAAGAGGCAAGTAACACAAGAAACATCAGGAATCAAAGACACAAAGACACAGTAAAGACTATAAAAGACGGGCATGAGCGAGAGGCTCTAGACTTCCATGGAGTCTGCAATCTCCTCACTCATTGCTCGCACTTTCTCAGGGGTTTGCTGATCCTCGTCGCTGATCATGATCTCGTCGTCATCTACAACATGACGAGACTTCTTGGATTTGGCATCCATCTCATCACCATTCTCAAAGATCTCTCCCCGAGGTGAGAACCACCGGCTGCGCTTACCATCAGAGTCTGGTGTCAGGAAAGCATCGTCCATAGTAAATTGCTCGGTGGGCGTGTAGACTCCATCGTCTGGAGGGAGATGGAGGGGAACTGCACGTAGGTAGAGGTATGTGACGCGTTTGCGCTGCGGGTTGAAGAAAAAGTAGTGAAGGCTCCAGAGAGCTCCTTGGTCAGCCTCGAATGAATCCCCATCGGGCGCGTAAGAGTAGCAGACGCAGTCCTTCAGCGTCATGTGCGTATCGACTAATCTCCACATGCGCGGTCCACAAAGTGGACTATCGGTGTATGAACCGGACAGGGTTGCGGGAGATGAAGGTGAGAACGCGAAGGCATCGCAGGGCTTGAGATTTGACAAGGTTGAATTGAATTGCTCCATAATACGATTCAGATGGCGCTCATGACGGAAGTCTGCCGGTCGCAGCAAGTTTGAGAATTCGTAATCGGTATGGCTTGCGTTCAGAGTCGCAATCAGATAGGCAAACGTGCGGCGACTGGAGACCTCGCTCATAGGGCCAAATGGACTCGATCGGGAGAGGTTCAGGGCCGCGGCGGCGGCAGAGGCATTTGGTGGAGACAAAGAGGCAGAGAGGCGGAGGTTTGATTCATATTGGGCTTCGAGCGATTCTTCAATGTGTTGATGGAGTTTCCGATCTGCGCGGGCGGCCTTGATTGTGTACAGTTCACATGAACCAATAATATGGCAATCGGATGTATCAAAAGTCAAGGAGCTTGTAACATCTTCGTAATCGGGGAGTGGAAGGAACTATAATACATATTGCATGCGATGTTGAGAAGACCGATTGAGACGTGGTCCTGGTGACCAGGGGGGAGGCGCGTGGATATACCTTCATCTTGGCTTATTTGAAGTGGACTTCTCAAAGTTTAGAAAAACAAATTTAATTATATAGTCTGCGACTGTTGTGTCCACACAAATTGGAGTCGCGGGGTCAGATGGTGAGTGGTGAGTGGTGATAGAATGACGAGAGCGGTCGCGTCGGAGCCGGGGATAGTTAGCCCGATAACGGATGACGCAACCAGTATCAACAAGACTAACAAAGAATCAAAGAATCGAACTATCGGATTTCAAGACCAATAGAAAGGGGAAAAGTGAAGAAGTGAAGTTGTAGAGTAGAATAAAGAGTCGAAGCCACTGATATCTCTCCATGCGACGGGGGGTGAGGGGGTGCGATTAGTGAGTAGTATCACGTGAGATGGATAAGCCAGTGAGAAGCCACATAGACTTCACGGGCTCGAATCCCTTTTCCGTGGTTCCCCCTTCACTTCCCGGTTTCTGTGTCAGATTCATAGTCCAATTCGATCCAAATTGCGATTCACGTCTTCTGATTCCTGAATGGTAGTGGTATTGATCAGTAATGACAAATTAGAATCGCTAGTACAACAAGCAACAAGTAAAATAAGTAAAATAAGAACAAGAACAAGGAGCCAGTCCCGATCATTACATGATCTTAGTGACCACATCTTCCTCGACCTGGGGCAGAGAGCGTTAGCCCGATTGCACCTAGGAGTGAAACGGAAGGAATAGAAAGACCAGCGGTAAATTGGTAGAGAGATGTGCATCCCCTAGTTTTGGAAGACATACAGAATCCCTTCAAGCACCTAGCTCTAATGGGCAGAAATCACGGGGGGACTTACCTCCATATCTTCCAGGCTGTCTTGTTGACTGATGCAACGAAGGACATTCTTCTTGCTGCTCTCCTGCATCTCTCCTGCCAATAGCAATTCATCCAAGATGAAGTATGCCTTTTGGAAATTGAAGATGATGTCGAGCTCGCAAACATTTCCGTAGTATTTATCCATCTGCTCGACGTAGCGGTGCACGACCTCGAGTGAAATCAATTCGTTATCGGTGGAGGAGCATCCTGCGATGAAGAAGAGAGAGGCATAACGGCGATAGACGACTTTGGAGTCTAGAGGTCAAAGAGCTGTCAGCGAGGGTCCAATTATGAGTGTCCCAGAATTGAAGCCACCTTTGTACTCGAGGAAATTGCACATGCGTGTGCGGCGAGACAGAACCAGCTGAGTCACATCTTTGATAATCTTGGCCTTCTCCTTGGGAGAAAGGGTAGTGAACCACTTTGCGAGGCGCTGGGAGAAAATTCGGGTGAGCTTGGTTCAGATCAGTTCAATAATTAGGTGGGCGACGAGACGTACCACTTTCCCCTGTCGGGATAGCAGAATTAAATAGCTGGAAGCTTTGTTAACAGACCCAAATGCCTGAATATGATGTGCAAACTCACTGAATGGGCATTTTGGCTGGGATAGATAGGGAAGGTAAAGAAAGGGAGTTGAGGGGGCAGACGGATCCGAGCTCTTGATTCTGGAAATTCCTAGGGTGGAGCAGATTGCAGGCCCCGCAACTAAACCCTAGCTCTGAAATATGAATGAAGATGGAAGTTTCTCCAGGTCGGAGAATAAGGATCTGAACAGTATTCTACCACCTCGATTCAACTGTGAGTCAACTTGTGTCAGCAAAGACGCTAGTAGGTATAGTCCATACGCCACAAAACAAACTCCCTCTACATAAATCCATGGATATGCGGGCACTGTCATGTCTGCTATCCTGTACTTGAATCTAAATTAAATTTGCAAACCCATGCCCAGTAATATTTAGTAGGTTTGCCCGATTTTTTATTTCTAGCTCGTGCCTGGGGGTCGGTCCATTCGTGAAACTACAGCCCTGAAGTTAGCTAGGTACATAGCCAAAGTACTTATTTACTATTTAACTAATTACAAGGTAAGGTCCCTCAAGGTCGCGGGAGCAACGTCTTAGAAGTGCGAGGGAATAAAATCACATACCTTTTTGAAGATTACTGCAGGATGGATCTAAAGTAGGCCATATTTATACCAAAACTACTTTACTACGTTTGGCATAGAACTCCAAGAAAGTAATCAATATTATTAGAGACACGAGGACATTCCAAGTGCGCCGATTCCAATTAAAGAAGTATAATTCACCCGTTAAATCATTTTACTGTCGAAGAAGTCATGAGAGAGATTCTTTCAATCTCCCTCCACAGGTCATCAAGTCATACAATCGCCCGGTTAATTATGAACGGGATAGCCAAGAAGCTCCTAAGATGAGCACCTTGGAACACCAAGGCCAGATCGACTCCTAAATAGAGACCATAAGATTAGATATTTCTTCTAGGAGATTTTGTGACCTTGCTCCCAGTTGCGCTGTGTCTTTCTGGTTTAGACCTGAGCCATGTCAGGCCGACGGCTGGAAGAGCGACCGCGACTACCACCACCGCGCAAGTTAACATTGGCGGAGCGGGCCATCATGATCGAGATAAATACAGATGCCATGCATCCCGCCCAGGCAAACCAAAGGAAGGCAGTCGAGGCCTGGGCCTCGCGACAACGCTTTGCCGGGTTGAGAGAACCGTTGGTGATTTCATTGCGTAGAATGTAACGCTAGACAAGAATGAGTTAATTTAACAAAGGCCTTGGGTATGGAAGTTGGAACGAAACGTACTGCGTTACTGCACGAGTGAGCCCCCAACTTTGCAGCGAGCGCAATAGCGGCGCAGAAGAACAGGAGGCAGTTCAAGACATCAACAACGATCATGATGACTGGGTGAATGGCCCAGTCTGGGTTGAAAGAAGCCGGAATGAGGTAGAGTAGTGAAAGCATCGAGAAAGCCGCTACGAACATGGTATAGTTGATCGAGCTTGGGTTTCCAGCGAAAGCTTCGGAGATCATGTTACCAACAAGGGAAAGGATGAGGAGAGTCCATAAGAACTATACAAAAACCGCCTGATTAGCAGGAGTTATTCTAGTTCTCTTTAAGAGGTTTGATACATACCTGCCACGCACGGAGGACGATCTGGATGCCGTTTAAAGCCATTGCATCGATGGATTATGCAGGATGCAGGTAGATGCGGGGGTAAGTATTACCTGGAATATGGTAACTGGTTAAGATACAGCTGAGAAAAAAAACGGCAGTGTTCCAAAGCTGACAGGGGCTAGATCAAATACAGGGTTAGAATGGGTTTAAATGGGCGGATCCCTTGGACTATAGTGATGACGGTATAGAAAGCCAAAGCCTCAACTACGTCATGCACCGTTCGACTCGGCTGCTGTCGGCTGAAGACTTGATCGGATTAGGATAGAAAGTTAAAAAACTTTAATCCAACTTTCAATCAATGACAAGATGAACTTGGAGTAGTGTTGCGCCAAAACCTAAAGACGATTGAGATCGAAAATCTACTGTGGGGTGACGAAGTATGGAGTGCGGAATGTAGTAACTATGCAGAACTAGACTTCCAATTTTCAATTTTCATGAAGTTCCTCTTTCCAAGGTTCTTGCTTTAACTGTCTTTAGGACCAAAGAGATACATTTCTGATATTAATTTCCTTCGTGGATAAAATTTCCAGAAATCCTTGGAAATGTCAGGTCGTTTTTACAACAAGGTTCGTTCGTATAATCACGTTTGAAAAATAGCATAAAACATTTGACTTGTGCCTAACTATCTAAGAGTAAGAAAATAAATAAATCATCTAAATAATATCTTTGTCGATATTGATAGTTGTTGGTTGAGTAACAATTAGCTGGAGGTGGCGAAAAAAAATTAGAAGGCCCAAAAATACTGGTCCCAGAGGGGGTCGAACCCTCGACTTTGGCGTAGCACGGTTGAGTACGTCCTATTAGCACCACACTCTAACCAACTGAGTTATGGAACCATTCAATATAGCAAAGGTTTTAGAAATGATTTTAAGTCTCTTTATGACAATCGCCATCTTCACACGGTAGATGTTAATTATTTACATAGGTAAATAACTTGTTAATGTGTTTTTTTAACCAAAAATACTAAACTATAAAATTTGTCTCAGTCTATTTACAAATCCCATATCTATGTGGGCGATGGTAGTGTTGGAATGATATTGATTTTGATATCAAGATTTAGCCTGAATAACTTCTAGAGTAAATATCTGCTGACTTCTCTAGAAGCTGCTGAGCTTCTTGGGTAGTTAAATTATCTTGAGTGACTACTTGGCGATCCGGGCGAGCTATTTTTGGATATGTTTCTCATGTGCTGCGCGAAAAGCCTTATTGTCCGGGTGGAGATGTCAAGATCGGCTCAAACCGACTTATCAGGACAAGTACAAAACCACACCTAATAATTGCGGTATACCTCAGGATATGCAAAAAAGATACATTGATATAATCGGACGGGCGGCGACAGCTTTCAGAGTGAATGGCTTTCTTCGAAGAAGGACGAGTTGCGGGAGAAGCCTGAGTCGAAGTCGGACTCCTTTTGGGGTTGAGGCAACGATTCCCAGACGAAGACCAAGAGGTTGATTTTGAAAGTATGACTCCTATCGAATTGATACGACTCCTCCCAGGCTTAATCAAAGGATGGGGGAGTCCAGAGCCGGGAACTAGGGCTAATTTCAGGGTTGGTGACGAAAACCTTGGGATATGCGAAGTCTGGCTCCGAAAGTATGGCTTTCTTCAATACGACGTTACTCCATTTAGAGCTACAGATAGGCAAAGCCGGAGCTGAGTTATATGGCTCATTTCGGGGCTAGATATTCCCTATCTAGATATGCTGGAAAGGGAAACTTGAGAGTATAATGTCCCTCGGGGCTAGCTTCGGCTGCCTTCGGTGGCCAGCTAGAGCAAAGGGGAAGTTCGAGTCGAAGTACGATTCCTCCCGACTTGAGAGTCTACCAGGAGTAAAATAGTAAAAGGAGTGGTATAATCAAAGGAAGGTCGGGGCTAGAGTTCGAAAGAACCCGAGAGACCTTGAAGACGATGGTATTGTGAATAATCGTAGTAGGACCTATTTCGAAGGTCAGTGGTAATTTGGTTACAAGCTGCGAACATCATATCCTTCGTCCCATACTACTTCTTTAGACTCTGATAACACTGATTCTTAGCTTACCGAGACAATTCGGGAAAAGGAGATTCTTGCATGTGGGTAAGTTTTATAGAAAAATAAGTATACGTTGTATATTTTTAAAAAGCAGGTCCACATTATTTGAATACACTTTATATGAAGCGAAAAGATGTATATAGCTAACGGCATTTTTTGTACCAGTAACGTGATAGAGGAAGAAAATAAACAATACAACGCGCATTATGGGCCACAAAACTACAGTGGCAAACTCTCAGATATCCATCCTTGGTTGACATTGAATGAATTCAATTACTACCTAAAATCACAGTTCCTAGATGTTTAGAAACTCTTGAGTTAGATGAGTTATTACTATCGACGTTCTCTATATGCAAGTGACTACTCTACCTACATTAAACGGTTAAACTAGCTCCAAGCTTTTCTGAAGGAACTTCCACCTTTGAAAATGTTTATTGGACATTGATTTCCGAGGACAACTCTAGAGGTATTAGCAAAACATCATGCTAAATCCCTGAACCACCTACGTTTTTGATATGGCCTTATCTAGCTCTTCTCTGACAGAAAATCTATTTCACACCAGCATTCATCACCTTACCAGTTTATCCGATCGATTCCCGAATTTACAGTCTCTCGGTCTCGATATTGACTAAGTCAAATTAAATAACTCTGATAGCGAAGGCTAGCAACATGGGCTACACAAGCCCATCTTATCGCAGAAGTGGCAGAATGAATTTCCTTTCTCAAATTCTATCGGCATACAAGGACGACCCAATTAACTAGTCCTTACCGAAGTTCTGGATTTCACCAACATATTGTCTTCCCTCGCCGTTGTTTGCATATAATATCCCACTGCCGCGTTGGACATTATTAATCTGTGCTCCACCTCCGGTGCTGAAATTCATCGTTGAGCTGTCTTTATCTGGTGTAGAGATAAAAGACTTCATCTCCTCTATGATATCTTTTAGTTCAGCATTTTGACTCTGATTCGCAGACTTGACCGCATCGTGATTGATCACGAGCTGAACCTCTTCAGTAAGACTCAGCATGAGCTCTTCGACTTTGTTCCCTTTGCCGAGTCTGCTGAGGATTTTTGAATATCGTTGTTCTCTTGTGTCGTTTTCGCCGGGTATGGTCTTCTGAAAGATTTCCTCTAAGTTTCTTGCTTTTATCTTACAAACATAGAGGGTGGCGTCTAAAGCTTCACAAACATCTTCGGGAATCGAGTCTTTTCGCGTTTCGAGATTTTCTTTACATGTAGCGAGGGTCTGTAGAATGACAGGGAGCCGACGTCGAACCGTTTCGAATATCTCAGATAATTTGATATCCTTCTTAGCACTATCATAGATTTTTATGGAAGTTTCGATAAGTGTAATGACTGCAGAGATGGTACCGATCACTTCAGCCATTCTTGAAGGTTATAGTGATAAGGAATCGAAGCTGTCTGAATATGTCGGATGCTCAAAAGCGGTATCTTTGACAGCGAGAGAATAATTGATAGAGAAGAATAGGCGAAAATTCTTGACTAAGAATTCTATAGCTTCTTATAGACGGGTTGATCGCCCCTTTATAAGTGATTAGGACCCCGGGCGCTTCGACGGGCATATATGTGGATTGACTTTTCATGGGGTCATTGGATGTGATCACTTGCGCATTAGTCCGTGGCCTAAGACAGAGATAAATGTCATTCCGTAAGATTCTTGCGCTTTCGGCGGTGGCCATCTAAAATGCAGTCAGCAATGTGAGTAAGTCTCGTGATTGTATCACATGCCGATAGAAAACATTTCAATATACATTGCGACAAGCCCTTATAATAAATCTTGATATCCAAAACACATTATTACGGATATGGATTGATGTGCTTCAAAGTAGGATTTAAGAAAGAATCCAAGAAGGTAAAGTGGTGAAACTATTTTCGACTTATATTACATGTACATGACTCGAAACAAAAGAGACTGACCATCTCGCAGATTTCTAAGGACACCAAGAGAATAAGCGTTCAGTCATTAACATTCGTACGACCCTTTAGTAGCCATATATCTCCCTTGATATCCCCTGGCCTACCACCGGTCATCAACCTGCTAATGGTAGACCCCATTTGTGATCATCTAGCTGAAAAGTCTGACCCATATGTTGAGGAGATGACCATATTTATATAGAATGAATTTGATATGTTGTCATCATCGAGCGTTATTATTCTAGTTTGACGGGAAATAGCTATAATTAGCGTCAAATATCTTTTTATCATTCTGCTACATATCACCGCCTGCGGCATTATTGGTGCCTACAGGGTTCATAAAGTGCGCATTATCGACGCATCATTTATCACATTTGACAAGCCAATCATTAACATATGTAGTTTCGTAAGCGCTAGTATGCTACGCCAGTTACGAAAAAGGGCTGCCATGGTACGGCAAACTGCCTACCCCTCCTTTCTCTCAGTCAGTCCGACAACTCGCTCATAAAACCGATCACTACGGAGGTCTATTTCAAATTTTCAGCAGTTTTGCTTTTTTTTTAACTATACATAACTAAGACTAGCTGTTTTATTGACAGTGATATCTTGTATGATTTGATCTAGTGTTTTGTATGATCTCTGCCCTCCTTATACTCATTACTTCTTTCCAAGCGAATAATCTCTTCAATATGTCTCGGTATCCACTCAATCGACTGCTGAATTCGTTCCTGGGGTAGTTGATTCCATGCTTCATCTCACGCTCTTATTGCTTGAGCTCTTGATTTAGGTGCACCTCTCTTAGTAGTTTGGCGTTTCAAGAAGAACCATGTTGGCTCAATAGCATTCAAATCAGGCGAGTTTCCTAGCCAAAGAAGACGTTGTCGCTCGCTTAGCGAGCGTAGCTAGCTAGTCGCTCGTTACTGAGAACGGTGCTCGAGTTCTTACTGCAGTAAAAGGGAATTGGAGTTTACTGCAGTAGAAAGGAGTTGGTGAGCTTCAACAAACCACTACTCAACACCGTAGACAAACCACCAAGTGTAGTGGTCTCTATAGTACTGAATATTGTGGCTGTTGTGAAGTCTGCTTTTTCATTGATGAAAGAACTAGCTACTTATAGTATATGGGCGCCCCTCTGCTCTGGACGAATGTCATCATTCGTCCGAGACAGAAGAGACGGTGAAGACGGGACATTACTGTCGCGAATGCGCATCGCTCAAGGGTGTCGTTCGCGATGAATGCATATCGTTCAAGGATGCCGTGATATACTAATCCAGTTCCGGAGTCGCTGTCTCGGCAGAAGCTTTTTCGGTCGAAATACTTTCCGTCTGTTGATGGCCTTGTTTCTCGGCTGTCGCAACATACACGGTCACGGAATAGATAGATATTTTCCGTTACCAACACTAATTCGTAATTATCTGATGCCAACATCTCGAGAAACAGGAAACTTTTCCGCAATATATGGCACTAAGAGACTATCACCCTCAGAGTGTGATTTATCCACGATATGATACTGTTGGGATATCGGACAAACGACACATCACGAATCCCTGTTCAGAATGCATCGCAAACGAAAACCTTGAACAGTATACATATAACTGTGATGTCCTGTCTTTATCGACTATTCTGTCTTAGACGATGGAACACATTCGTCTCAGACAGAAGAGCAACTTGTAGGATAAATAGCTAGTCCTCACCATGAATGAAAGATCAGATTTTACAGCCACTTCAGAGACACAAGCTATTATAGGGGCGTAAAGCGTTACCTGTAATAGGTGTCAGAAGTGGGCGTTAGCCTCTCACCAACCTTGCTATACCCACCGATACTGAGGCATTTACTTATTGCACCTGAAATAGACGATGTAGCTGATTTTAGTAAGCGCTGGACGTGGACATCTGGCTGGGTAAGATGAGTAATACGCAACCAAATCTGTAATATTGTAACATGGTACGTGCCTTATAACCCTATATGCCGCCGCGATACGGAAGGGATAGATTTGGAAATATCTTAAAGAAGATAGGCGTCAAGAGTGCCCTTGACATTGGCAAGTCCAGGCCATTTTTAGTGACCTGAACCACTCTAAATCATTGTGATCATGTTTAGCCAACCCGCTCTGTTCCTCTTCCTGTAGCTCCCGTGCCTACAGTAACTTCGGCCTCTCTTCTCCTATAAGCTTTTCTGCGACTAGCCGCACTGCATCATCAGTGCTACGACTGTTTTTCGGGCTGCTCATTCTCTTGTGGCAGCAACTCCTGCTATGCTGCCTGCCATGCTACCTGCGGCTCTGCTATTCGGACCGCCTACCAGGCCACTCAAGCCCTCGTAGCAGCAAATTTTGCGCATGCGCTCCCTGGTGCGATTGAAATGTGCTCTCATTATTCGAGACTTCCAGCGTTCACAGAAAAATGACGATCACATGCGACAACCGCAATGTCTACTAGCATACATCGCCGACTTTGATCGCCTTGCAGTTGACTGACTTTCATAACTGTTGGGATATCGGATAAAGACGCCCTGGTTTAGACCACATCGCGAACCCCTGTTCGGAGTGCATCAAGCAACAACCTTGAACAATATACATACAAATAGGATGTCCCGTCTTCACTGGCTCTCCTATCTTAGACGATGGAACACATTCGTCTCAGACAGAAGAGCAACTTGTAAGATAAATATCTAGTCCTCACCATGAATGAAAAGCAGAATTTACAACCACTTCAAGAGAAAACAAGATATTATAGGGGTGTAAAGCACAACCTGTAATAGGTGTTAGAAGTGGGCGATAGCCTCTCATCACCTTCATCGAATTGCTATACCCACCGGTGTACCGACAGTAACCATCTTGCAGAGATCTTACAATTGAGAAGCTTCGAAGAGGTCTGTTTAGTATTTCTAGACGGCCTTCACTAGATTAAAGAAGGAGCAAATGCACCGACAATTGAGGGGCTTACACATACCCAGGATTCACTGATCTGTTTCAGTGTGTCTATATGATCATCTGGTAAAAGAAGGGGGGTGGTACTCTAGGCGTAACGGCCAAAACAAGTTTTCCATGTTTTAACCCTTTTCCAATTACGGGTTTATTCGGTCTCAAAAAGTCTGGATTTTATACAGAGAACAGCCTTCCAAGGGTTGGAATCTGAGAGCAAGGTACCGGGAATTTCCCCTTTCTTTCATCAAAGGACAAACTTGAACGGTCATAATAATTTCCCTCTATTAAAAAAAAGCGATATTCGCTAGTTCACAAAGTGATCAACGGACTAATCAACTTGAATAGCTTTTAATCGACCGAGGTTCCGGCAACGTGACGCCATTGACTTATCGCAATCCCTGTCTGAAAAGAAAGAAAAGAAAGAAAAGAGAGAAAAATAATAATACATTTTGATCCCTTGTCGAATGCCACGCTCCCTTTGAAATTTATCTTTTTTTAGTCGGTTGGGAACAATTAACGATCTCGATCTCTGTACTCCGTAGGCTAAAGTAAAATATATACGAGCGGGTAATTTGACTAGCTTTTAATTTTTGAACATCCTATTTTATACCAAAACTCCTTTGAGTTGTATGAAACTAATGAACTACAAAACCAGTCTATTTAGGCGTGTTTCTCTCCAGTGGCCAGTCTGTCTGCAAACACCACCTCTGTGTGCGTTGGCGATGTCGGAAAAGAGATTGACTCGGGTGGTGTTATTGGCGGATTCCACGGGATACCCCACGCGTATGTATCTTATTCTAACTAACGAAGTTTATGCACGATGACTTATACTTGATCTGAACAGCTACTTACGGAGTAGTGAGTCACTGGAGAGCCGAGTTCTTTTCATAATCTTGCCATGTGTCGGCCCTGGGCTTCAGCTGTGCAAGGTTCGTGCGAGATGTTGTATAGACGGCAACTCCGGAGAAGATTTGAGTTATCCCACGCGACATTCTACTGCAAGCCATGTAGGGTCTCGGACCATGTAAATTTCAAAAGCACTTGACACTAGATTACCTATTATCGTGACAAATCACCTACTGCATATAGGAAGGTGCTTGTAATTATTGAAATAGCGTGAAGCATTTCTCGGCAGTTGCATTCCAATTACGGTGGGGTACTAGGAATCTACGACGTAGGTAGGGCTGACACCTAATGCGTCTTTTTTTGAAAAATGATTATATAGTAATAAGCAGCAATTGAGCTCTGGCCGCTTTGGGCGCCCCGACTCATCTCGGCTGGAAGGACCGTGATATCCACTAGATCGATCGTGTCCGAAGATCTCCAGCATTTATATCAACTGCCTAGCTGATGTGACGAGTTTCAGATTGATGATAACTATATACGAATTCTGATAAGCATCATTCGAGAATCGAGCCCACTTTCACGGATAAATAAGCACTAGGGGTTGAAACCTAGGTATTAGATTATTTTAAGCAGATCGTACTATCTCGGTATCTGTGGATGTGATGTATCACAATAATAGAAGGCCAGGCGGGCACTTGGGCAGGTGCCAAGGTGGACTGAACTCAGCTTCCAGAGGATGGTTGAGCCTCCAGATGTCACGTTTGTCCACTTCCTCTCTCATTATTTGCTCCGTTCCAAGGTTGTCCATCGGACCCTCAGTCTGTTTCAAAATATACATGTGCATATGCAATAAGCTGATAAGCATCTCCGAAGCAGTTTTTCTTGCCGTATCAACTTATCGAAATTTCAAAGCTTTTAAGTTTCAGGAATGACTTGATACTGCAGGTTGTACGAAGTAAATGCAGCGGATGTAGGTACCAACGTGTAACTCCGGGCAATTCCAAGCGAATAGAATGATACTTAATCAAAAATTCAGGTACACTTTACATGTGTGAGCTTGTTTGTCTCAAAGTCAATTTGTTTTTTCTCGATTGCAAAGTTCAATCAGGTTGCCGAGATAAGGTTACTTAAGCGGGTATTGCGGTGATTCAATGATCCACATGTAAATACACTAAACCACGAACTAAGGATTTAGCCCTAAATAAAGTATTTCACCACTGAACGGGTCACACTACTGAACGGGTCAGTTTGACCCACTTATTTTTATGAATCCCAATAACTCCATTATTTACTATGTAATATAGTAAAAAAAAACTACTGAATGGGCCTACTAGGACAGGTTTCCCTCCTATGTCCAGGTGTCTTACATATCCCACACCGGCGTTGGGTTACAGGCGCCCTTACAGGCGCCTGGCCCTCTTGTAAATTGGCATCATTAAGTTTAGGGCCACCATTCGACGCGTCAACCAGGTCTAATCCCTCCTGAATTGTAAGACCCCCTACTACTGTTAATTGACGATTCGGACGTTCTTTTTGTTTTTTCTTTTTCTCATGGGCGGCGCGTAAATCTCTGTTTTCCAGGCGTAAGAGAGCATTCTCTTGATATAGGTAATTTGCACCCTTTACTATCTGGTCTAATGCTCTCTTAGATGGTGTTGGTGGCGTTCGAGATACAGTGCGTAATATAGCTTGGTGTTGACGTCGTAAATCTTTCTGCGTCCTAGGCGTCTTAGGTGTCCAATTTCGACTTGAATCGCTTCCTATAGAGGGTGGTGGTGGTGGTGTATCGACGCGCATAGTAAGCTTTTTTAACACCCTAGTAGGGTCAAGTGGCACGATTCCAGTTGCAGCAAACGCATTAGAAGCAGATGCAAATGCTTCAATACGCGCAGTAGGATATATCTCTAGGAAATCTCCTTTACTAATGTGGGAAAAACCAAGCTCTACTCTAGACTCAACCAGCCGAGAATAAGAGCGTTTTAACACCGCAAAACACCCAACATCAAGAGGTTGAAGAAGATGAGACGCATGCGCAGGCATACATAATGGTATAATATCATGCTCCTGGCAGATTTTGTCGAAATCAGGTGTTAAATGGCTACCATGGCCATCTAAGATCAGAAGGCGATACCGTCCTTTAGTACGAGCAGTAGCAGGTATAAAGAGCTTTTCAAGCCAACGGAGCCCTATTTGATTTGATGTCCAGCCATTAGGACTAATCTCAAGACGCCAATTAGGTGGTAAACCTAGATCAGGAGCAAACCAGCTCTGCATCATCACCTTACCCTTAAAGATAATACAGGGTGGAGGTGCGTAACCAGACGCGCCTAAACACTCTATCACAGTAACCCATTCCCGGTTACCAGGCTGTTTTTTTGCGCGTTTACCATAATAACCAGCTCTAGTAACCACTCTCGCGGTCGCACATCGTCCCATCGCAAACCCAGTCTCGTCAAAATTATAGATATCGTCGGTGGTGATACCATATTTTGCGATCGTGTTTTCAACCAGTTTGAACCAATTATTGATCACATTATAGTCCTCTTGACGCGCACGTGTAAAATCGCGCGGTGTTGAATAGGTCGTCTTAAGTTCAGGTAAACGCGTCGCAAACCTAGTAACCCAGTTTTTACCGATCGTAAGAGGAGGGTTGGTTCCGCGGTCGGCGAGTAGGATATTAGCCATTCTACCAACATCTTTAGTTCTAGGAGCACAGCCGCGATCATCTAGAGAGACGACCCATTGAAGTAATGAATCCTCTTCAGATTCAGTCAGTTTAGACTGCGGTGGGTGTGTTTCAAGACGAAATTGGACACCAGAATGGCGGCGTTGGAGGGTTGAAAATGGTATATTAAACATAGCTGCAGCTTTACGCATTGATGATATATCGCCATTCTTGTAAGCTTGGTAAGCTAATAAGACCCTATTCTCCTGATCCTGTTTGTCTTGGACATATAGAGCATTTAGGGGGGGCATGGTGGGTAGTTGAAAATGGAAACACCAGACTGACGCGTAAAATTGGTGGGGTGACCCGTTCAGTAGTGTGACCCGTTCAGTGGTGAAATACTTTAGATGGTGTAACTAGTGTCATTAGTTCAGGTAAGTGCCGATTCTACGCTCGATGATCTCGCTGGAAATTACCAAGAAAAATGACAGGTGGCGTTAAAACGACGTGGCCAGATGTTCGAGTGATTGGGTCCAATCATTATGCATGATGATATGGGTCATTTGTAGTATTGCCGGGGCATGAAGCAACCGTCGGGAATTGACTGTCGCAGAAGGGGGTTCTTGCAGTAATAGTCTACGTGAAAAGTTCAAAACAGGAATTTCATATTCCTAACTATCAACACTAACGAGGTACAACATAGTACTTTCTGACAAGAAGGCCCACGCCACAAAACAGCTATCCTCGTATCCATCGTCAACATCCTACAACATAGACCATGAATTCTCTACATTAGTCCCCCGCAATCCTGGTCGCTTATTCTACCTCATTCTTCAGCTGAGGACGGAATCGGTAGAGGGCGCGATAGTACGCAAGGTAACAATGATACCATCGCCCGATACATCCGTTGGGCTCCAGCACAGAGTGTAGTGGCCGGGAGTGTGCGCGACTGGCTCAGCATAGAAAGTTGCACTGTCCACATTCACTATGACAGACTGTCCATACAGCCAGAACACGTTGGTGAGTTTTCCTGACGTGCTGCTGGCAGATGTGAAGCCAACTTCAGTTGCAGTTGCTCCGTCGTCCTCCAGGTAAAGGGTCTTTGGGGCCCAGGTAACATTCCCAGATTGACTACTTGCAATCCAGGTATAGGACTTTGAGCTCGACACTTGGACTTAAATTTTGTATGTTAGTATAACAATCATACTGCTGGTACCTAATGTACATACATGTGACAGGAACCGCATTGCTTTTGGTATAAAGTGATGTATCAATGAGTTTAGCTTTGCCTGATCGAACAAGTCAGTCTATAAGCCAAGAATTCGCGGAAGATATTCTTACCATCGTCGTAGTGAACTTGAAGTCCACTGATACCAGTACCATAGGCGTAGATTTCAAATCCAGAATCGCGTTTATGCAAAGGCGTAGCTTGGCAGAGGAGACCAAAGATTGCAAAGAGGTGAAGCAAAAAGATTGACGATAGCATCTTGAAAGTATAATGAGTGAATAGTATTGAGAAGTTTACATAAAAAAGAGTAGAAAGGCAGATAGTCAACTTAGGGCTTTGGAGTTTCGTTATATCTTTTCTTCTCCAGGCTGATAAACTCATCTAAATGCAATGCATACGCGTTCACTCGCCTAGTAACCCCTGATTCCTTGTAGTAGCGTCCATTTCAGATCGTAATGTCAATATTCAGTCCGCGTATCCAAGGCGCTAGTACTGGAGCACGGACTCTGCTTACCACTTTGCTGTCTTTGTCTTAGCATGTCCGAATGTACCCCAAAGTTCCTTCCGATCCATAGGCTCGAGTGCTGTAAGTACATCAGTACCTAATAACAAGTATGCACAATGCAGACTCCACTCCCCCAGCCTCAGCCCAGGTGCCTGATACCTAGCTATAGAGTATGCGAACCAATTGAAATTCTCGCAAAGTCAGAAAATATGCATTATTTGGCTGGAAAACGGACAAGGCGCCCTTTCTGGCGTTGCTGAAGCTGTCATAGCACTTGCTTTCTCATGTACTCGAAAAAGATCGTCAAGAAACAACACGAGTGACTAACCTCATTCTAGCAAAAGTAACCGGGTATCAAGGGATCAGACCATAGATATCTTGCCTTGAAACGAGTTTAGATTTCTTTTTCGGGGTTAATTCTAGTGGAGGCCTCAAATCGGATTTTGGAGTTGGGGACCATGTAGCCTCAATCGAGGAAGAAGTAAATTCTCGATACGTCTTTTCCGATGCAGGTGAATTGGGCCTTGCTCACTCTGAATCAGCCTAGTGTCTGGTGCTTGGTCGCACTCCTAGGAAAGTGTATAAAGTGCTAGGGATAAGAAGGATCTTCAGAAAATGACAAGCTTCAACATTCGTTTTGTCATCTAGTCTTTGTACATTTTACTTTCTTAGTTCTTCACTATGAAGTTACAATCGTTCCTCATCTTATCTTATGTCCTTGGGGCAGCTGCATCTTCTATTCAAAATCCCCCTAAAAGGTGCTCTGGAAACACTGCCAACACGAGACAGAAGTGGTGTGACTATGACATCCATACCGACTATAATGAGGTTGTTCCCAACACAGGTGTCACCCGAGAATATTGGCTCTCTCTCAACGAGGTGACCGTCTCTCCAGATGGAGTTGCGCGTTCTGCAATGGCTGTCAATGGGTCTATTCCAGGTCCTACGATCTTTGCTGATTGGGGGGACAATGTCATTGTGCATGTCACCAACAATCTCACGACTTCTCATAACGGCACCAGTGTCCACTGGCATGGCATGCGCCAGAACTACACCAACCAAAATGATGGAGTCACAGCCATCACTCAATGTCCCACGGCACCTGGCTCATCGTATACCTACAGATGGCGTGCTGTGCAATACGGCTCATCGTGGTATCACGCACACATTGGCCTCCAAGCTTGGGAGGGTGTGTTCGGTGGCATCAACATCGCTGGACCTGCGAGTGCCAACTATGATGTCGACTTGGGATTGATGTTCCTTAACGATTGGTCTCATCAAACCGTGGATGAACTGTATCATCATGCCGAAACTGTTGGCCCGCCGACTTTGGACAACGGTCTCATCAACGGAACTAATGTCTGGAACGCCACTGCAAACAGCACTGTGACTGGATCTCGCTATACACGGCGAGCTACCAAGGGCAAATCCTATCGAATTCGACTTGTCAATGCCGCGATTGATACACACTGGAAGTTTATGATCGATAATCATCTACTCACAGTCATTGCGATAGATCTGGTGCCAATCAAGCCTTACACCACAGACTTCGTTGATATTGCAATGGGCCAGCGCTACGATGTGATCGTCACTGCCAACCAACATAAAGTGGCCAAGAACTTTTGGATCCGAGCCATTCCCCAAACGGCGTGCTCTGAGAACCTCAGCGTGAACAATATTAAAGGAATATTCCACTACGATTCTAATATCAGAGCTCCAACCACCAAGCCCTACATTTTTGTTGATGGTTGTGTTGATGAAGATCTGAAAAAACTTGTCCCAGTCGTACCTAAAACCGTCGAAGCTGCAGACTGGCAAGCACTGACTGACGTCACAATTGCCAAAAATTCCAATAATCTCTTCAAATGGTATCTCAACAGCACCTCTCTTGACGTGGAGTGGTCGGACCCTACCTTGCTGCAAGTCTACAATGGAGTTACCGACTTTTCCAACTCCAGCGGTGTGATTGAAGTGCCGAATCCAAACGAATGGGTTTATCTGTTGATTAACACCACGCTTCCCATTCCACATCCTGTTCATCTCCACGGACATGACTTCTTTGTTCTGGGGCAAGGGACAGGTAGCTGGGATGGAACTGTCAATACAGCCAATCCCCCGCGTCGAGATACCGCCCTGTTACCCGCTTCTGGCCATTTGCTTATTGCTTTTGTGACTGATAACCCTGGAACTTGGTTGATGCACTGCCATATTGGCTGGCATACTGCTGAAGGCTTTGCCTTGCAGTGGGTGGAACGCTACAATGAGATCAAACGTCTTGTCGATCCGAATGCTATGGATCAGAACTGTGCTGCGTGGAATAAGTATGACGCCCAATTTAATGTTCAGCAAGAAGACTCGGGAGTCTAATATAATGGGATATGTGGGGTCTGTACGGAGTATAGCTACTTAATTTCCTGATTTATCATTCTTTGTTCGAATTTATTCAATTGAAAGTATATTCTGGTTTTTAGTACTTCGTTCCAGTGTTTCAGTTTCAATATTTTCTTTTCTAATACCTCAAAATTCAAAGAACTATCTGTCAATGCGCAGTGCATTGAGTGCTTCCAAGGTTCCGTAGGTCATTGTTTTATTTTCGGATATCGTAGACCGCTACTTTAAATCATCCACCGATCTGACCTATCAAATTTTTCCTAGACAAAGTGTGCGCTGTCCAAAGCTTATCATGTAGGTTCGCTTCTCGGCTCTATGAACTCAAGTTGATGTATGCATCACGTCTGAAATAGATGGATCTGCATAATTAGCGCCAAACCGAGTGGGACGGCTACGAAGCTCTACCAAAAGAGTCAAGGTGATTACTCCGCACTTCATAAATATATATCCACCCCGTATCTAACCATGTAGGAGCCTCGAACTCCGCATGCACGTTTCAGATTCCCGCAGGATTGTGCAACAGGAGCTAAGTGCTCCGGCATCTGGAAATGTGAAGATGCAGATTTCATTCTGCAGTACTCGAAATCATCTCTCTTATTAGATTCTTTCCAATCATCGAATTCGTGAAGGCTTACAAATGGAATTTAGACAGATCCTCGGTATGTCTCCTGCAAAAAAAAAAAAGCCAGGGATAGTGGGGGAGGAAATGCGACAAGACTTTGTGTGTTTAGGGTTCATATTAATGCCGTGTGAAGGACTTCGCAAGAATAATCATCGATCAACATGATATCAAATGAAATGATTGCGTGTTTCTTACTAGGTAGTATTTTGGCCTATAGTCTGCTCATGACAGTCTATCGGTTGCATATACATCCACTTAAGGAGTACCCTGGCCCCTGCTGGGCTGCCTTGACAGGTTTATACGAAATCTACTTCGCTGCATGGGGACCTGATTACCTTGAGGATGAGATTGAAAGAATGCATCAGAGATATGGTGTGTACTACATTCCACTCTACCTGTAACAGTATCTAGAATACTGATCAGTGCAGGACCTGTGGTGCGCATCAATCCAAATGAGGTGCATATTCAAAAGCATTTCTTCAACACAAACTATGCCGATTGCTGGATAAAAGGCATCAAGTCTGAGGTTGAGCATTCTGGCCGTTACCAATCAGTTCAGATCAACCCGTGCTTCGTTCTCTTGAAACACTCCAAGGTGTTTAGTTCAAGGTTTCAACGACACATTCCCACACCCGAGCTTCGTGAGATCCGAGTGGACGGAGAAGAAAGTGAGTTGGACAATGGCCTGGCCTAATAGGCCTGGTTTATTGGCACCACGGCCGAACATTTTGTCTGTTCCCCGAAACTTAGAAGCTATTAGTATGACTGGCGTCGGAGATGGCCAGAATCTCATCCCCGTGCTCGGTACACGCCGTTGACGCGCTGACTGACAAATCATGTTGAAGAAACGAAGGGTGAAAGTTTGGAATGGCGCCACGGCCGTTACAGGTTCCAAGGGTCCAACCGACTCTACCAGTGTGGAAGTAGGAATTCTGTGAATACGAACAGATTATAGCAATAACATAGTTCCAGGACCCATGGGTCATAGTCTTGGAACCTGTCAAAGCCTGAAAGAAGTAAAAGAAGTATTGAGGGAAGTGAAAGGCGAAAGCCGACGGAGCGGGTAAAAACCGGGCTTTAAGGAGTACATACATATTACATAAATTACAGGTGCGCGGGAGGACCCAACACGTGTTTATACTCTTGAAATCACCTCTTAACCACAGTGTTATTAATAGCAAGACTTCTTTCAACATCAATATCTCGTCGGCGTAGACGGTCGCACTCGGGGGTAATGTTGAAGGAAACGTTTAACCAGTGTTTGCCGATTTATGGTGGTTTTGTTGTTCGGTCTAAATATGCTAAATATGCCTCTTCAATAATCGAAATAGTTGTAATTTAGATTTCCATTCCATGGATTAATACTTCTGCCTTATCGAAATAGTCGATTTATTCACGAAGACTTAATGGGTAGAATTGAGCTCACAACAAATAGCGATTTTCTATCATAGGGTCGAAGAAGTCGGCCGCGATGGACCGCGAATCTTTGCCCAATTTTCGCGATATCAGGTTTTAATCCAGTATAGAGGGATTCAAGGGCTTTAGTATTATGATATTCAATTTCTCTTTTATTCGTCAGTTTTGGTAGAATTGTTGATGAAAGAGGAGAAGTTTTCGGGATTTGAGGGTTCATTTGGGTGTGTAATTTATGTAATGTATGTAATGTATGTAATGTCCCGCTAGTGCTGCCATCTCTCCACTGCGGCTCAAACCTTGACTGAATGCCGATCAGAGCCAATTTTCACAATATAAGATACCGAGTCGCCTCGTGAATATCGACTCAGCTATACCTTCTCACAAGACAAAATCTCCATATCCTACATACTTGTCAATATGGTACGCTCTAGTCATTCCCTTGGATATTGTCGCGACCAAACCTGCGCGGATTATCGCATCTTCCACAAATATCAACTAACACTGAATCCTTCAGCCTCACGCTGACGCCTCATACTTCACCCCAGGCCAAACTAAAGCCGACATCTACACCCAAGTCCTCGAGCAAACAAAGGGTCTCCTAGACGGCCAACGGAACTGGGTCAGCAACCTCTCAAATGTCTCTTCCCTCCTCTGGCACGCCTATGCAGCTCTACCAAGCCCATCCTCATCTGTAAATTGGGCCGGTTTCTATATCCGCGATGACAAGTTCCCCGCGCTCGCCTCGCCCGTTTCTTCTCCGCCACTCGAAGGCTCCGATAGTCTGGGCAGCGTTACCATCTCAACTACATATGCCTCGCCAGAAGACCACCTTCTACTACTAGGTCCCTTCCAGGGAAAGCCAGCTTGCCAGCAGATCAATTTTGGTCGCGGTGTTTGCGGTACTGCGGCTGCTAGTCAGAAAACACTTGTTGTGCCTGATGTGTTGGAGTTCCCGGGCCATATTGCTTGTGACGCGGAGAGTCGGAGTGAGATTGTTGTTCCCATTATCGTTCGAGGCGAGGTGAGTGAGAATAAAATAGGGAATTTGGATCTTTTACTAATTTCGCCTAGACGGTTGCTATTATTGATATTGATTGCGCTGAGCCTGAAGGCTTTGATGATGAGGATAAGAAGTACCTTGAAAAGCTTGCGGAGTTCTTGGCCGATAGTTGCGATTGGTGATTTATCAATATACTGCTGTTATGCGATAAGAGATACATTATGAGGAATTGGGATTGATGATTTGGAAGTTGAGCTTCTGTTACGAGCTGAGTTTTGATTTAGTCGCATTTTCGAGTTAAAAGCTCAAGCTTTTAACATTAACAGGCTTCTGAGAAGACCTATGTAAGTTTTGTTTTGAATCAGGATTGATATCAATGTATATTTCTTGCGCTGGGAGATTTCAAAATTACTGCAACAAGCTATCTTCTTATTGAAGTGACAACTGTCTAATAATATAAAGCAGTTCCAAGGTTTCAACCGAAATGAACCAATCCCACAGGGATGTATGTTAAGTAGCGACCGCTAGTCTCCAACACCGGCCAACAAAAAAAACGGCACCAAAAAGACAGAGTCATGAATCTATGCGTGAAATGGTAAGGAATCAAATCCGGAAGGCTAATTATTATCGTCATAATGCCGAAATGAACGACGGCATTCCAAGTATATAAAGGTGTTTATAAGAGGGTGAGAAGAAATCACATATTGAGGAGACTCATTTGTCGCCGCATCGGATTGGGGCATAAAGAGTCGCCATCCTCGCTCGGACCGATGCCGCTATCGGTTTCAGGCGAGGGTTCAGTGTCAATGTCCCATTGTTCGTCTTCACCTTCTTCGGCATCGTCAGCGCGGCCGTCCCAGCTTTTCTGGACAGCTCCGCGGGTATTCCAGCGTAGAGCACGCTGCACGCTGGTGAACCATTCGCCGCCATCTGCGACGACTGTTGGGAAGGGATATTGGCTGGCTTCGACGGTGACATAGTCGCCTTGTGAGAGCTCGACGCGACCCTTACCATCAAAGGCGCAGTAGGCCGTAGAGCGCGAGGTATGGGGCACTAAGATGCGAAGAAGATGGGAGTCGGAGAGGACCATCGGGCGGAATGAGAGAGTATGGGGGCAAATGGGAGTGAGAAGGATTCCAGGAATGGATGGATGCATGAGAGAGCCACCAGCGGACAGAGAATAAGCGGTGGAACCTAGATACGGAGGTGAGTCAGATAAAAAGAATTAAAATGCGTTGGAGACCAATAAAGAGAGAACATACCGGTTGGAGTGGAGAAGATGACACCATCTGCTTGGACGACAGTCAACAAGTTATCGTCGGCGTATAGCTCTAAATTGGAAACATAGGGAGAAGGGCCACGGTCAATGACGACTTCATTGAGTACCTCAAACTGCTCTCCCTCAACCACTGCCCCCGCTTCTGCTCCCTTGCTCCGGTCTTTCCGGTAAACTGTACATGTGAAGCGCATGCGTAAGTTAACGCGCATGCCCACATCGCCCATCACTGCGCTGAGATGTGATTTATATTCAGAGAATTCAAAGTTCGTCAGGAAGCCCAAGCTGCCTAGAGAGAAACAGAGGACTGGGGGAACGACACGTTGGAAGAGCCAAGATGTATATAGAACGGTTCCGTCGCCTCCAAGTGTCAAGACCAGATCGAACTTTTCCGGTGAGGTCCAGCAGAGATCAGGAGTCCAAAAATGTAGCATCCTTAAGAAACGAGGGTCTTTCTGAAGAATACTAGCGGCATTGAACCGCTTCGAATCCCGTAATTTCGCGTCGACATAGACATTAACACCCACATCACTTCCATAGCGCGGAGTTGAAAGTAGCCAGTCGGCCACCTCTCGTGTCAAGTGTACAAGACTGTTATCGCGTGCCTTTGTAACTATCATGACATTCCGAACGGCACGTTTGATTGGCCGCCGTTGTAGTTGCTTGGATACCTCCCTCACGCCCGTTGCAGTTTGGACTAGTCGTGAATGCGACAGCCAGTCATCATCTGCAATCTCTTCCAGCACCTTCTTAATATTGACAGCGTCATCGAAGCGCTGGTGAAAGAAACAAGGCGACTGCAACACCAGTCGCGCCGAGGACGACGATCGTTCGAGGTAATCGCTCAGTTGAAGGTTAGATAAAGCGGCGGATAGTCGTCGGGAGGTATTGCTATTGCCGCGCTGCGGGTCCTTCTCCTCTGAAGATGTAGAGCCATTATTAGTGCTGCTACCACTGCCAGTGGGGCCGGAGTTGCCGGTGCTGTTATTCGAGATAAGACCCGACCAAGGGCTTTGGAACGTGCTGTTCTGAGCATTGCCAAAGCTAGATCTTGAAGCCAGGGCCTTCATGATTGTCTGGCGGGGGATACTATCGGTGGAGAGTGATTTTGGCGCGTTTCGCGGTCGACGACCAGAGAGGGACTTTTGACGAAACCGCTCAAGGGTCGAGCCGGACAGCGACCAGCCGGCGGTCTCCTCTTGAGTCGATTCAATCGGAGGTGCTAGAGCCTTGTTATCAGGTGCAACTGGAGTCGAAACTCGAGGTGAATGGATGCCGTGTGTTTGAGAGGGTTCTATATGGAGAGCGTAATCGTGAAGCAGTGCCTCGCTGACGGTTGAAGTGGATGGGGCAGGTGGGGCACTAGGACATAAGGGAGATAAAAGAGAACATTTCTGAGCGAGATCTGGTGTGTCAGCTCGGAGAGATTCGCTGCCTTGCGACGCCATGGTAATTATGTGCAGATCGGGGGTCGGACAGGGGATTGGAGCTCTCAAAGGAAAAGGTGAAGGCCGGGGCTTGGATGTAATGGGGTTAGTCCAATTCTTGTAGGGAAGGACCCGTAGGTTAGCCCTAAAAGCACCTATACTTTTTTTTTTTTTTTTTTTTTAATGCTGGAGATAAATAGTTAAGAACGTGTCATAGTCGAAACTGGGTTTGATCGGGAATAATTTTTTTTTCTTCTTTTTTCTATTTTCCTATTTTCTATTTTTCTATTTTTCAAGTCGTTAAGCCGACAACGGAGTTATTACTTCTCCCTTCATTTAATAGATGATAAAATGATAAGATGATAAAAAAAGATCAAACAGCGGAGTCTCCCCGTAACCTAATTAGGCGGAGAGAAAAGATAGTCCCAATTAGATCTGCGGAGACTTCCATAATCGGCTATGTGACGTTTACTTTGTACATCTCTAAGATTATTAAGCATAATTCTTACCTTTTCTTTTTCTTTGGCATCTTCTCACATCATATTCAATCCAGATCTCAAACACAGACGAAAATGAGGCATTTGATTGGACTTGGTGTCGCTTGCTTGAAGCTCTAACCTGTAACCAAGAAGAAAAGTTCCAGGAACCAAAGATCGTGGGTAGGCTAAGGTGCCACAGCAGGGGTGGACTCCATGATCACCCTCCAAACCAATAGTGGTTTGTGTATGAAAGTATAGACAGGTGATACAGCATTCGGTGTGCTACCAGCTGTCACACTTGCGTTCCCGAGTAGCAGCTTGAAGATCGTAAAGCCGAGGTAAAAAAAAAAAAAAAATGTCCAGTACTTTGTGGGGTATCGTGATCTCGTCAATTTTATTATGCTATCTCTCTCAGAGATCGTCAAGTTTCCATGAATAGTCCTTGTGTAGGGAATCCTCCACAGTCTCGCGAATAAACTCATCCAGGTGAGCCTTATCTGTCTCTTCGCCCATTGTGACATCTCCGTCAGAGCCAGTAGAAGCCTTCCGACAGATAGCGACAGCCTGTTGCCGGACCAGCTCCCATGTTTCAAAATCGAATCGTCCCTGGCTCTCATTGAGGAGCAGGTGGCCCTTGGAGGAAAATGCAAGAGCGTGAAGTGATGCCGCAGCCTTTGCATCACTTGTTGAGAGATCGCGAATGATGTCGCCAGATTGAGTCACACCGAGCAATGTTGTAGCGAAAGCCATGGACATGGGTACGGATGCCGAAAGCAAAGCGAGTAACGAAGCGTTCAAAAGAGCCGGGAGAAGAGTGATGTACTGTATATATGTAAGTTTATGGATTTCAAAATCATCCAGGGCATAGTGCCATCTGTTCTACTCACAGAGTCCCCACGCCCGATGGTTTCGCCTCCAAGAATCACTAGTGTGATGACAACTCCGCGGCGAGAGAATCCTTTTTCGCGTCCCAAGATCACCTCACTCAACACACTTCGCAAGATACCCTCGGCGTATCTCTCACCAACTCCAGCTGTGGCACTTCCTGGTTTCACAAACACCTCAACGGTAGCTTCTTCGGGCTTTTGGGCGTCGCGACGACCGGGAAGCTCAACTGGGGCATTGACGGCACCAAGCACATGAAAGCCGGTAGCCGGGCATTTGTAGGATACAGAGCCATCATTACGGCTCAAGTTAGAGAGTGACACTTCCGGGTCGACCATGGTGTGATGAATGTTGGTGGTTGAGAAGAGAAGAAATGGTTGTTGGAGCTTTTGATCAGTGATTTTTTAATGATGCGGGCCGCCTTGTGATTGGTCAACGTCGATCAAGATTGCTTACACTATTTTTGGCCAAAACAGTAGTTATCTATATATTCATAAATTATAAATGTAAACTCATACACTGAGAAGGAATTGCTTCCTTTTCATTAGCTAGTGAATCTTCAATCAAATTTACTGAATTCAACTTATAGCATTTGAAGTATAAATAGAGGATCTCAGCTTCAACCAGAACTTTTTACCACTGATCGACTTTCTTAACTTAGATTTCTTCAATTGCAAGGTTTCTTGCTCCATTGAGATTTGAGGATCCAAATATTCTCCTCAAGATTCAGATTATGAGACTATAGCTCAGTTCCGAGGTACTTGTGCTGAACAGTGGTATCTAAGTCTTGGACGTTCAGGCATTACACTCGGCCAGTTGTTGGATACTTCGGAGTCTGTGCATTCCTTTTGGATACTTTTAATTCGTACACTAAGTCAGATATCGGCATTTTAGATGGGTACAAAGTTGACAAATACACATAAGCACCCCGCGTGCGGGGCATTATTGGTCCGGCTGGTCCATACTTCACTTCATCATCTAGACCTCCGCATTTGAATAAGAATTCAGAACTTGATCTGACCTACTCGAGTGAATGAAAGCAGTTGACCATGTACGAGAAGGATGATGCGCTGGTCCTATGCGTAGCCTGTGGGACTCAGTACAGCACTTCGGATTCCTCCGAACAACCTAGCTGTTTCATTTGCGAGGTCCATATTCCCTTAAGTATCGAATTTTCTATTTTCAAGACCTCAGAATTGATGTGATGTTGTTTCTAGGACCCGCGACAATTCATTCCACCATCAGGACAGGCATATACCACCCTGAGATCGCTGAAAACCAAAAACTATCGCAATGAATGGACTCATCACTATCAAAGTGAGGATAGTTTATACAGCCTTTGGTCAATTTGCACAACACCCAAGGTAATACTTAATGCTATGTATCAAGGCTGTTTCTGACCAGGCTTAGTTTGCCATTGGACAACGCGCTTTCTTCCTGAAGACTCCACATCAGAATATACTGTGGGATCTGATCGCTTTTCTTGATGACGATACCGTCGAGAAGGTTCGTTTTATCTATTTTGAGAAGTGGAGAAGTCTCCTTAACCGATACATTACCCTAGATTCAAGCACTGGGCGGACTTTCGGCCATGGTGATATCTCATCCCCACTATTACACAACTTATGTGACTTGGGCACGCACCTTCAAGTGCCCAGTTTATGTCTCGCCTGAAGACACAGAATGGATGTCACGTATGGATGCCACAGATGTGAAGAGGGAACTCATTACTGAAACCACAAAATTGATCGTACCTGGCCTCACTGCTATCAAATGTGGCGGTCATTTCCCAGGCAGTCTTGTTCTGCACTGGGCCGAATACCAGGGAATGCTCTTCATTGCAGACACGATTGTGACCGTCCCGGTGAGAATGACTTCAACTTCAGGTACCTCTAAGGTCGTATCAGCGCTGATATTCTTTGATAGTCTGGGCTAAATCCATCGCCACGATTGCCATCACAGTCTACTTATACATTCATGTGGTCGATCCCGAATATGATCCCAATGCCTGCTGATGATATTTATCTGATCTGGAAAGCTATTAGACCATACAAATTTAGGAAGACATTCGGCGCTTTCAATGGCTTGACGGTTGAAACTGGCTGGCAGAAGATTGGGGGTGCTGTGGTACTTGAGGGAGGATTAGAGCAACGAATTTTGGATAGTATGAAGATTGTTGTTCGCGGACAGCTTGGAATGTCTCATCATCCTATCTTTGAGCAAACAGTCTCTGTTTAATTTAATACAAACAAGGGCTCTGACAACCTGAAAATGGCACAGTGAATTATATGCGAGCCAGAATCAAGATGGGCTGTGTCGATACAGAGTAAAGATTAAAATTTGGCCTCTCCATCAATCATGACAAAACCGTCTTTTAAGGAGTCTCATCAACATTATAAACCAGCTTCTCTCCGCTGACTTTGCCATCCTTCATCAGCTTAAGTCCTTCCAAAACACCCTTCAAGCCGTCCTTGCCAACCTTAGGAGGATGCACTTTGACCTTTCTATTGGCCAAGAACCATTCGCTCATCACTGTGAAAAGCTGTGCATGATCAAAGTCTTCGGATTTAGCGGGATAAGGGGTAGGTCCAACTGAGAAATCTTCACCCAAAGCAGTGTACCCCAGAGTAGAACGACTGCGGACATTCTTGCGGGCAATCTTGACGGGAAGGAGGGTGCTATAGTCACCACCACCGGTAGAAATGGCACCCTCACAGAAAGCAGTACTATCTTCGAGTGAAATACAGTCAAAAACGAGCTTCAAGTTATCGTTGGTAAGCTTGCGGATTTGGGCAGGAGACTCGGGGACATTGTAGTCGAAGACGTGATCAGCTCCGACGCTACGAACAAGGTTCACGTTGCGTGGAGAGCAAGTAGTGATGACAGTGTAGCCGGAATACTTGGCGAATTGAATAGCCAGTGTGCCAGTTGCTGTAGAACCACCGTAAATGAGGAGAGGAGTTTTATCCCAGGTCGGATCGGTGGGAAGAGCCAGTTTCAGGCTTTGGTAGAGACCTTGGCCAACTGTGGTGATACCAACACCTAGAGTGGCGGCCTCTTGGAAGGATAGGTGGTCGGGAATCTTCATCTGCACGCCAGCCTTGGCCACGATATATTGAGCAAAGCCACCGTCCTCAGGCTGAACGTCATTACAGCCGTGGACGAAGCCGCAGATACGATCACCCTTCTTGAAGGACTCGTGGACGTCTTTGCCAGTGGCCTCTACTGTACCGGCATAGTCGCAGCCTACTAGCACACCGGGGGATGCAACGTATTCGATGTGTTTCCAGTCGGTAGGGTTTAGACCCACAGCAACGGTCTTTACGAGGATGTAATCATCGCGAAGCTTAGGGATTGGTCTGTCAGTGACCAAACCTGCAACCTTTGGCGATATGATGACGACAGCCTTTTGCGTAGACATTGTGAATAAAGTGAAATGCAAGCTTGTAAAAAAAAGAAGAAGGAAGAAAAATTTGAAGACGCTTGATATATTCTGATTAATGAGCCCCGCAATACCTCCGTAGATGACAAATCTGATAGAACCTAGCAAGTTTAGGCATTTCATGTTCATTTCAAAAAAGTACGATCAGCATTTGGCCCCGCTTCACATATATTCACTTTAAATCATCAAACCCTTGGCTCCCAAGATTGATCCAGCGATACCCACATATATCACTTCTTAAATCAGTAGACTTATTTATACTTCTAGAATCCATGGAATATACCAGAGAATGAGATGCTATAGCTAGGGCTACTATACGTGATATGATTAAATTCTAGGTCTCATGTCTATGGGAATAATTTCGGGTTTTTCAAAATGTTTTTCAAAATGTTTTATATAATTTTCTTCTGTGGCCAACTCTAGGAGCCAACTCCTGCTGATTTTAGCGCGTCATTCGTTTCCCGGCTTCATTTGAGAGCCACCATGTCAAATAACGTAAATCCAGGATTATTCTCGTTTTATATTTTTACCGCTCAGAAGCCACAGAAACCTTGAATGTCAAGAGATTGAAAATATTTAGCTAGTCACCACGAAAACGCCTCTTCAAACAGATCAACCGTCTTCTCCCCTTGCACATTGCGCACAGCTTCACGGACACTATCACCGAGACAACCGGGGCCACAGACGCTGACTGCCAATGCACCAACCTGCTCCGTTTTTTCATTCTCTAACAATGTTCGTAAACACGGTTTCCCATATTGTACGCTGACGGACACGCTAGATGGGGCACATTCTGTCCACGGTGTCTCGGGTGTAGGTATATATTCTTCGACATTGTCTTTATGGTCTGTGACGTGAACTTCAATACATAGCCTCAAGCCTTGAAACTGAAAGTATGAAGTTCCGGTGGAATTGATGGAGCTCTTCAAGGCGTCGTGGCTTAATATCTCAATCATCCACGTTTGAACCCATGTTAAATGATCTAATAGCCCAAGTCAGTATTATCGTACATGTTGATAAAGGATGGTTCTTGGAATGCAACTTACCCAAACTTCGAATCATCCACACCAGGTGGACTTTGCGGATTGCCGTTTTACGAGAGGCAAAGTTTGATACCACCTCATGCAGGTAGGATATTGGATGAGTGATACCAATACCACCTGCAATCAGCAGAAGACTCCCATACGAAGCCAAAGAGTGAATCCCACCTAGACTAGTATTAGTATTTTTTTATGATAAAGAAACATTCATCCCTACCAAAGGGTCCCTCGGCTAATGCTAATACTTTGATTCTTCCCTCGGGCGACTCCTCAACTTTGCGAAGGAGTTTCTTGGTGAAGCCGTCTTGGCCCTTGATAAGAACCGACATTGTAGTCTTCTGTGAGCCGCCAATGAGAGAAGCGAATGAGTCACTGGAGCTCTGTTTCTCATTGAAGCTCTCTCCGTTTGATGTCCAGGCAACCGTGAAAGGGTGTGAGGTCCATAAGCCAAGGCAGGGAATGTAAAGATACATGTATTGTCCTGGACGGAAGTTCCAGGCTCGGGCAACCTCAACATCAACACGTGCAACTGATCCGGGAAGCGCTTCCACGGTAGCGGTTGTTGGACGCTTGCTGAAGTTTCTCCAGATAAGGATTCCGAGGCGACCGGCACGCTTTCAAAATCAGTAAATAGTTCAGAAGTTCGGGATTGGAATTGTGAACTTACATCGAGACCCCACAAAATCAGAGTACCTAGTAGCACCCGCTGCTGTGTCAAATTCTTGAGATGATACCACAGTGCCACGAAGGACATAATGGCTAGAGCAATATGACAGTGAAGAAAGAATTCGTAAAATGAGTGTCTGAGAGGCGATAATGATTGTATGCAGATGAAGACGAATCCAAGAATAGCCTAAAGTATGAGAGTCGCGTTAGAATACTCCATTTTTGGATCATCATGGATTGATATATACCATCAAACCGTATATGTAAAATGGCACTTGCCAAATTGAATAAAGAATGTAGTCGCTACCATCTGCAGAGAAGATAAATTAGCTAAAATATATCTTGTGCTCTAAAAATCGAGGGCACTCACTCATATAAGCTTGATTTGCCAGAACACTGCTCATGTGAATGATAGAATTCGCTGCAATAACACGCCCAACCCAGCGATGCATGAAGTTGAAGGAGTCAAAGGAAAGTCCTAGCATTGGAACCAATGGATTATTCCGGCCTGCACTCAGAACCAGTCCAGGGGTATTCATCACGGCCAGATGACCAGCGGCATACTTGAGTTGAAATAGCTTCAAAGAGAGATCATTTCGCCACCAATCAACTGTCACAATGATAAATATCAAATTCAGACACAGATAAATCACTAGGAATATCATCTCCATCCTCAATGGCACCGATCCCATATGCATTCTGAGAAATCGAAACTCTCGGCTGTGCCGATTACCCCAGAATGGTGCGTACAGCACATGCTTCTTCAGGCCAGCGATTCTCCCACTCGTCCGAGAGAGCTGAGTCTGGTCATTGGTCTGCATGGCTAGCTTTGAACGTCGGCGATGTTGAATTCGAATGATCGTTCTGTATATAAATATCAAGGCGATTAGTACCGCAATGACGAACAGAGGAACCGCAATCTCCGGGTTCATGGGCGGCTCATCATGGCCATTTCCTTTCAATTCAACGCCCATTTTGCCATCCGTATGCAAAATAGTTCCGCAAAGGATATAGATATGAGCCTTAGAAGACAAACAGCGAATAAATAGAAAGGAATATCGTCGTAAACCGCCCAACAGCACGGATATTCAACGACTCCTCGAAGTCTCAGACCGAACGAAGAACAAAGGACGTATCTGCAAAATATAAACGCTCTAAATACGGAGCACCTTTGCGTGGAGAAAAAGCCAATTCCATTTCAGGAAGTGGTATCCAACTTTCCGGATCTTGGACTCCATCCTGAATGCCGTCATAAGAACCGAGTGCCTTGAAGTTTATTACTGCTAAAATGAAAACATCACAAAGATTTAAAGATTTGCGTTATTGTCCAACGAAAGCGTGTTTCTTGAGGAATGTAACAAACCGAAATGGGTAAGTGAATCGAGGGGGCTTGAGCTTATCCACTGGTATGTCGTCTCAGTGCTCAGATCTATAAACAAACCACAGATTGAACGAACGCCACCCACTAAGTCCACGTTAAAACCTGGTAGCATGAGTAATACAATGAACGTCTATGACATTCTCAAGAATCCAAGCGGGAAGAGAGGTGTGGAAGAAACGTGTTGGCCTAGAAGCTGAATAGTGGTTGAAGCTTCCGAAAACGGAAATTTTATCCACTCCCCGTCTGCGGCATGGAAAGCCCATTTCCCCCTCCTGAACCGGAATTTAAATAACTTATTGTCTTGAATTCTTGATCCAATTCACTCAAAGACATCATTTTTCTTACCTGTAGATACTCAAATCGAAACGTGCTTGCAGAGTGCACGTCATATTGCTCTTCTATAAGCTTTGTGGCTTTGAGGAGAAAAACGCAACTGCAACGTTGATAAGGACAATAGTTTAGTGCATTGTGGAGTCGATGTAGTAGATTACGATACATGATGATGTATTGGTGTATTCCCATTGACATAAGTTTTTCTATACCACGTTGGGGTTTACTTAAAAAGGACAGAGCAGCATCCAATACTCATTGCCGATGATTACCGCACCACATCTTCACAATCTTAGTCTTCTCACGGCCGACAAAAGTACAGCTTGTGGATAGATGACCAATGCTTCTCGCCAGATTACCACACGACATCCCTTCGACTTCGAATATCCAATTAGACATCTTCGCTTGATCTCCGCGCCACTTCCCAGCTATCTTCTCGATACTTCCATGTCCTGACCAATGCGATAGAAGGGCTGACGATAAATACAAGGGCGGGACCAGAGATAATCTCTGTCCAGGAATAGCTGGTGGATATACGGACTCGTAGTAGGTCCCAATGAACAAAAATTGTGAAGATCGTGATTAGAATATCCAAAAGAAGTGTCTGAGCTTCAACTCCTTGAAGAAACCCAGATTCCCCCTTCAAAAGGCGAAATACCACATGGAATGGAGCTCGAGCTCCTAGTGATGAGAAAATGAAATGGATGGCAGAGACCATCTCCATAAAGTGTAATTGACTCACGGTAAAACGTCCAAATAATGCCTTAGGATTTGAGACAGATGCTGAAGGAAGTACTTTGTTGTAAAATCGAACGACCAATGGCATAATAGCATGAGCCATTGGCCACAGCTTTACTGGCAGCGTGGGAGATTTCAGAGAGTAAACGACCAAAGGAGTATAGACAGACCAGTAAGCCAAATTGATTGCCCTAGGTATTGACAAGTCCAAAGCTCTTGGAGACGGGAAGTAAAATGCTTTGGCTCCGGTAAACATGATGAAAAGGCTGAAGTAAATCGGCATCACAATGGTCCAGTCTAAAACCAAAGAGGCCATTCCAAATAAGAGCGCACTGGTTTCAGTTAGTTGCCAGGTTGCGAATGAACGGAAAACCGAAACACGTACCTGCCGAGTATACTCATAAAGAAGAACCGTCGGTAAGATTCGATGCACATAATCAGCATAACCACTGATATTCTCAATTGATCGAGGAGCTGATACATTTGTTCTTGTTCCAGATTTATCGACATGAAGAAGTAACTCTCACGCGTATGCTCGCCATGCAGATGAACACGGTCGAACTCAAGTTTTTGGAGAGGATAGAGCCACACTGTCGCAAACACAAGCAGCGAAATCCAGGCCATACTGGCCAATCGCGACCGAGATTTGGGCTTCAATTTGACTTCATCGTCGTAAAGGTGCATACCTGGTTTTGAGGGAATAGGAAGATGCTTCATCCGAACGCCCAAACTCATAAGATAGGCCACTCTACTCACAAATACCTCCATTGGAATCTTTGGGAGCAGGTATAACTGGAAGATCTTGTGTAGTGGGGTTGCCATAGCATCAGCTTTTTGCATCGCATGAGAAAGGTTTGCTGCAACTCGAGCTTGCTGTTCTCGAGACTGTTGATACGCGAGAAAAGCCTTTTCGATTCTGGCTTCATCAGGACTTGGTTCACGCCTCGCGAAGCATTCAAGCTCATCAGCAAGTGTGGCAGCGGAATTGATGCAACTATTTCCATTGAGCCCGGTCACTGGATTGCTCTTGTGCCAGGAATCACCGAGTAAGACCATACGTCGATAGAAGCATGTTTTCAAAACACCTTCCTCGATGGGGACCAGGGAAGACTTGATTTGATGCTTGATAACATCGCCAAACCTGACGCCTGGCCTGATGAAATCATCCGCATACCTGGCGATAAGTTCTTGAGCCTCTGCCTCAGTGAAGTGAGGGAAAGATGTTCCCTGGGCTGGTTCATCATTCTTCGCAAAAATGATCCAATACAGAATACCATCAGGTCCTCCTGCTGCAAGATAGCTGCGATCTGAGCCAAATGATCTGGAGGCTTCGTCTTGTCTCATCATACCCTTGGGCATGCGCGATGTGCCGAATAGCCCACGGTAGGTATGATGAAAAGATTCCTTGGTCGGGAATAGAATTCTGCCAGGTGTTTCGTCTGATGCGAGACGCTGCATCTCATTTCGAATAGAGCTTCGGACTCCATCTGCTCCGACAATGATATCTCCGTGGAAAACAGATCCGTCATCTGTTTCAACAGAGACACCATCTGAGCGGCATTCAATCTTGACAACCGCACTGTAAGCATGAACTTTTGTCTTGTCGCGAAGGTTGTCATAAATAGCCTGCACAGTCTGCCGCCTCTCCATGAAGCGCATCTTGTATCGAAAGCTGTAAAACGGTTAATACCTGCATAAAATTCAGAATGAAAAATTACCTACATCTCCTCAAACCAAGCTCCTGCTTCAGGGAATTCTCCTCGATGATTCCCATTCACATCATAGGTTGTGATCGTATTGACTGGCTCGTTGAATTTCACAATTGCATCATGGCACCCAAGTTGATCCAGTATCCGCGCGCCATGAGGCCAGATAGCGAGTCCAGCCCCAATATCAGGCGCAATTTCATATTTTTCTAACACGACAAAGTCGATACCGTATTGCTCGAGCGCATTGGCCAATGTTAGACCGCTGACACTGCCACCAATGATAATCACCCTAAAGGGAGCCATAATATGACGAGAATGTTGAATATTCTAGACAATTCACTCTTCTATTAAGTTTGATTCGAGAACATTCGACTGTCCAGCAACTGAGCACTGGGTAGCTTGGGGTGTTTTGTATTTGCTTGGAGATTCTCAAAGCAGGAAAGGTTCGGGCTCGTCTTACAAGGCAAACCTGGCAAGAGCTCCAGAAACCAATTCCAAATTAGGTTAGAACGTTCGGAGTACCATATGTATGCTTACGGAGTAGTGTCACCATGACTTTTGCCTTGATAATATCATGCCGAGGTATGAGACTTGAAGACAAGTATGCATAACCTCGGAAGGGTAACTGCCCGAACCTGGATGATACTGGGAGAAAAGTAAATGATTGGAAAATCTTCATTTTTATTATTTGACTGAAAGAGCAGCTCGGAATTCAAACACGAGGAGCGAATTTCTAAATGTATGTGTAAAAAACAAAATGCGCCAGTTAGTTTGACAATTCCTTATTTCCTTCTACTCCGAAGCCGCATAACACAAAGTAGACTTATGCTCAACCCAATACCGAAAAGAAACGCCAAAGTCATTATAAAATTTCCGTATACTAGACAGGAAGATTTGGCTCGAGTGTTCAACCCATAATGTCTAGTACCTTTTCAGTTAAATTAAGACGAGAATTTATCTCGTCGTTGGAGCTCAGGCTGCCATAACCCGTATCGTTGCTAGCTGATCGTTCATGTGGAAATGAAAGTATCTTTCCAATATGAGAACCGACTGCGTCTTGGTCAGCATCACTCTGGGGAGCCGGTTCAGAGTTCTCCCGACGACGTCTGTGCCGACGTTTCTTCACTGAGATAGGTTCGGAGGCGACTTGAAAGTAGTCATCCACGTTGATACCGGCATTTGCACAAACAGAGGTGCATGACTTTACAATGACCTCAACAAGAGCGGGAGAGAAGCCGTAGAAAATAGGGTTGTAGGCGTTTTGAGCCCAGTAAATCAACTGGGCAGCGACACGACCTAGATTGGGGATGTCTCGCGGGCAGATTAGAGGCTTGCGAACGGGACGAGGTGTTTCCTCGGCCTCGTCATCGGCGGAGCATGCGGTTTCACTGGTGGGGGAAGACGGAGCGGATGAATCGGACGAAGCAATGTAATCGACGTCAGATGCAAGGAGATGCAGCAAATGGTAGACTGCGGAAAATCCAAGTAGACTAAGTTCGACCGGGTCAATGGGGAGTTCGTTGAACCAATTGATTGCCTTTTGGATAGTGAATGACGCAGGAAAAGGTGAATCGTCCGAGGACCGCCCTGTCACCACTGCAGCAATCATTGCACAGCGTACAGTGAGTGCAATCTCATTCCGGACTGAGACTGGCAGTGACGAGTCAATGAAGTTGTCAGCACGACTCTGGTCGCTGCTGTTCTCCCTAGGAAGAGCGGCAAGAACGAAATCGATTTTCTTAATGCGATCGGTCTCAAAGAAAACTGATTTCATTACGAGAGCGCGGGTATACGCGGCTGAGAGACGCGGGGCAGATTCGAGAGCCATATGAATCCTTTTCTTAAAACAGTCACGGCTGGGCTTGGAGTTGAGACCGCCCCCGCTCGCCTCGAGATACTTCAAAAGAGAGGCCTGCAGAAGGTGGCATGAATACCAAGCGGCCAGGGCATCGACCGGGCACTGGATAGCCGGATCCTCGTCGACGACATCAAGTAGCACCTCGTCATCAAGAGTGCCTTCTTGAGTAGGTTGGTTCCAAACGAGATTGACAGCACGCTGAGTGATAGAATCGGTCATGACATCCTCGCAGTCGAGACTAATCAGAGCCGCAAGGTGAGGGGGAAGGCAATTGGGGTGATTTTCGGGCAATCTGTTGTTCATATCTCTTGCCATGGCCCACTGGTACCGGGCAAGCGTACGAGCTATATCGTTGGAGATATGGAAGGTCCAAGAGCCGGGTTCTCCCACTCTATATAAAAGGATGCGAACATGCAAAGCCTTAAGCATCATTCTTACTGGGCTCCGCGGAAGGGTTCCCGCCGCGAAAATGGTCAGCACAAGTCGACTCTTGCTAATTTCAGTATCACCACCGGTAAGCTGAGCATCAATAGCAATGTCCCAGGTCTTCACCCGGCCCTTTTCATCCTCCTCCGTAATACCAGTGGCCCATGAGTAAAGTTTCCAACCCATCAGGCATCGCAGAACGTATTCGAACCATCGTGATGTCACCACAGCCCATTCACGCCAGAATCTATGGCGCGGGACACCGGCTCGTTGCATGCTGGTAAGCCATGCTTGTTGGCGGAAGTTTGAGGTTTTTGGAGCAGCATTTTTCTCGGCAGCTATTTTCACTGGAGTTCGCGTTGTGATGGGCTGGGCATTGAAAAGGTAGAGGAAGATGATAAAGGCACTGGCAAGAATGAGGGTTGCAAGCACAAGGAATCCAATAATAGCTCGCAAATGCCACGTGTACCAAAAGTTCTTGATATAGTATTGCAGGTACGGAAGGTTGGGCGATTTTAAATGGCTCAATAAGTTCAAAGGAACGGCAAGCAGCCCCTTTGCTTCAGTATCGGATTTGTCTGACCCGAAACCCTCAAGCACCATGAGACCGGCAAGGGCGCCGAGCATGTATTTGTTAGGAAGCTTTGACCGTCGGCGCTCATTTTCCCGTTCATAACCATTGTTGGTTCGAGGTGTTGAAGTCATGTATGACTCAGCGAAAATTCCTTTCTTCCCTTCCTCTCTCATGCGTCGCCATGCATCGGGCACTTTGATAAGGCCCTCAGGAGGGTTCTGTGGAGAGGGAGAAGCATCGCTTGTATTACCAGAAGCCTCCTCAGCCTGAGAGAAAACACTGGGTGACGTGCCAGTATTTGATTCACCGGATACAGTATAGTTGCTAGGAGATGACACAGAAGCGCTCGAGGTGACAGCTTGATCTGCGGCCTTGTCCACTTGGCGAAGTTGATTCTTCAAAGCGGTGTTCTCATCTTCCAGGCGTTTGTTGCGAGTTTCGAGATGTTTAATATATTCGGTTGCCTTAGATAGAATAGAAGCCTTGTTGAGCTTGTTGGCTGGCAGGGTACCATCGGCGTCATCTTCATCGTCATTAGAATAACCGCTGAGGGGCTTCATCGCTCGGAGACTTGGTACACTATCACGTAGTTCGGCGATCTTTTCGTTCAAGTTGGCTCGATATCGTTTTTCGATAACATTGTGAGCACGTTTCTTGGCAGGCATCTTCTTACCTGGCTGTACAGGATCAATCCTCATCGTGGAATCGTCGTCGGTGCCATTCTTGCGCTTTCGGCCAACTCCCACGCTAGAAATAGGAGAGACCAGGCCAAAGTTCGAACCGATGGAGCCTTTTAGACCCAAGTTCCGGCTCCTGTCGTCGGAGAGTCCTGATGGGATTTGCATCATTCCAAGAGGGAGATTTGGGAAAACTTCGCTTTGCTGAACGGTATTCGGTGAACTCATTGTGGTGGGTGGAGAGACAAAAGGAAGGCCCATGTTGGTGTCAATTGGTTTATGGTTGTTCTCGTCCAAGATGGGTTCATCCCAACGCATCCACTGCGTCCAGTCTGAGTTGGTATTTTCGGCAGATATTATACCACGAGACTCATCCCCACCGGACTGGCGGTGGGGAGAGAAAAGCTGGAAGTCCGAGTCCATGACGGGTATATCAATATCAAAAAGTTGAATAGATAAGGAGCTAGGGCATCCAAGACGTCTTGTCTTAGGCCGGCACCAATGGATAAATTTGGAGGATGATTAGGCTAGTTGGCTGAAAACTATAGCCTGTCTTAGTTTTGTACAGAGAAGCAGTGGCTGCGAAAGATAGAGATCGCCCCCCTGCGCAGGCTTGGGATACGGATAGCTAGGCCAGTATAGGCTAGCGACGGTCAATCGACCATCGATAAGAATATCAAGAGACACTTACTCCTGGTAGATAGCAAGACTCAAAAGTGTTTTTAGGTAGGACAGCTCATGCATGAAACATCCAGGGACTGAGATGTAAGATGCAAGGTACTGAGGGGGTAGATGTTAGAGATGTAGCCTAGCAAGGAGAAGAAGTCTAGCCACATACCCACTTGAATAGGGTGTGCTTGAATGTGAGCGGGCCTCTAGAAAGGTTGGGAGTCTCGAATTAATTGGCCTCCAGTAAAAAGGCGATCACCATCAGGGTGTGGGATTGTGGGCCAGGATGCGCTCGCACCACACCAAATCACATCTAGTTAGGCTCTAGAAAAATAGAACGGTGGTGTTGTTACGGAGTTGCCAAAGAGCAAAGGTTTTGAACATCATACGACCCTCGGCTTCCTCACTTTCCGAGGCCTCAACAAATTATCTGATTGGTTGTAAATTCCCCAGATACCCCACCTGAGTCATCAAACCACGTGACTAGGAGTGATAATCAATATTTAAATATCAAGTCTTTTCTAATACCTATATTGGGTTCGATACAGAAGATTAAGAAGCACTTATCCTTGACATAAGCGAACATTACATTATGAGGTATCGCCAATTGATCACACTTCTCTCGATAAATGTTGAAGCAGTGAAAATTCCGGTGCCTAGATCTTATCTGATCGATCTTCTCGTGCAATAGCATTCTGACATGTGGAGGACCAGGATTACCCCTGAATGCCTCTGAGCAAGAGTTCATCTGTTCTCTAATTTGTGCATAAAATGGGCAGTTCTTTTTCTCGACCTCTTCGCAAGCTCATAGGCAACCAAGTAACCAATTTCGATTGCACCACGACGTTGAGTCACAGCGGTCTAGCCTCAGAATCCCATCAGACTACTTTCGGTGAATGGAATTGGTATCTGACAGCAATTTTTAACTTTGAATCTAGATTCCCTCAACGTTGACCACCTTCCCCGTCACTTTTTACTCCGTTTTCTTCTCCCTTTCATCGGTTTCTGATTACAGTGTGTGGGGCTTCATTTTCTGGTATCCTAAATTCTAACAGAAGATTGAGAACAGTGCAACATTGGATGTGGAGTACATATTGAGTATATATGATCTCATTCTTGCAAATACTCTCCTCTCTAGTAGTGCTGCAGCTCGCTGAAGCTCCAGTGCAGTAGCCCTATCGGCGTTATTAATCTTGTAGATTTTCAACTGGGTCTGGAGAGCGACATTCTAAAATGACAGGATACAGCTTTTCAATCAAGCCACTAAGCCTATGATGAGGTAACCACACTTTTCCTGAATGCAAAAATCTCGGCCTGGTCCGATGTTTGCTGCTAGTGGTGTGATCTTCAAGTTACCGACAGAGCGGCAAGGCAAATTGATGACAACTTTTGATACACTGTTTTGAACTCTTAGTAGCCGAGATATGATGACAATTATTGTGAATGTTCCTCCAGGCTGGCCCATAAAGTCATAGATCAGGTCCAGTAAGGATCTGTCGTGCCATAGCGGCCAAGAACTATTTCATGTCCCGTTGCCTTTGTATCGCCGAAATAGACAGGTGGAAGACCTAGCAACTCATTGGCTCCAGTTGCTGCAGACTTGCTGGTTTGATAGCTCAAGTCAACTGGTGATAGGCAACCACGGAAACTTTCTATCGTGTTTTCCGTGATAACACGATAGTGACGGGTCTGTATGATAGGACAACTACTTCCAAGTTTCTAAATATAATCTTTAAATACTTTTTTGCTGACTGTTTGAGTATCGGATCAACGTTTGACTAAAGTTGTCTGTCTTCATCTTAAAGATGAAGACAGAACGGATTCGATATCGGACTCAAGGGCTAATATAGTCACCTATATCATCATGACGCTGTAGAAATTCATTTGAGTAAGGAGATGATTGGCCTGATACAAGATCTGATATCGAAATTTCACCCAGGTAGTCGTCGAAAACCAATGAAAAGTGAGCCGAATCTCGGTTCCATCAGCCTTGCCCGATATTTATCGAAAAGCACATAAGCCAATCTCTGGATATCCAGGGGTTGAACATCCAACGTGATTGTGAACTTGATCGAAATTCATCTTATTCTCGTAGAAAGTTTCTTCTTCCACTTCTTGGCACAATATGCACCCCAGAAAAAACTCAGAAGGCTTCAAGTCGAGTCCTGTCTATTCTATTAACCGAGCTCAAGTTTGTGAGAATATTGCATTTCAGAAGAACATAGACCCACGGTACTTAGTAAGGGAATACTGCCCCTTATCTCTCTCAGTAGCCTATGGGATAAGATTAGTATTATGTCTTGTCTGTAAATTTGATATCCATGATCGACGTGCCAGTTCTTCAGCAGGATCGGAATTGTTAGACTAAAATCTTCCTGGGGGCTAACGTGTTTGATTCCTCCCCTGAGTAAAAAAAGTATCATTAATTTCCCTGAAGTAGACACACATACATATACCTTCGGTTCGCCGATTGTTCGAGTCTTGAAGCATAGGCCGGACGATCAAAAGAATATTCTTGTTCACATTCTGTTGATATGGCGGAGATCTGTATGTATATATGTATAAAAGGCTCGACCAGTATGCAAATTCCATTTAGGAGTCATTATCCATGATTTTGATGATGAGTTGCTGCCGACAGGAGCCATCAAACTCGGAGAAGATATTTTATCGTCGAACTCCGCTATTGTGAGTGACGTGCCGTGGTGAGGGAGGATGATAGTTGATGTTTGGAACAAAGTGATAGAACTTTCGAAGATGGATGGTGTTACGATATACCGGAAAAAGAGAAGATGTGACGGCTGGCCTGAGGATAGCTCTATCCAAGAAGAAAAGGGTAAATACTCAACGCAGCGACATCCACTTTTATACTGAGTGCTGACGAATCATGATGTTTGGTTATTTCTCCACTTTTAAGCCGGAGTTCTCGGCGTTCGAATTATGGACGGACTAGCGAACCCCGAATAAAGCTTCAACGTCAATGATATCATGCAGGAGACATCAATCTTGCTAATATAGTATATTTTCAATGAGGTTCGTCTTCGACTTTGATACTTTGAATAATGATTCTCGGTTAACTCAGATCAACAGTGCCCGTCGACGTAACGGCAAAGCTGCCTCATGCGAGCCTTGTCGACTGGACAAGGTGCGGTGCGACCACGCATTACCTGTTTGTACCCGGTGCAAGCACCGTGGAATTTCATCTCGATGTTTTTACCACCCGGCACCGCTTACTAAACGCCAGGGAGAACGCAAATTCCCATTGGCAGAAGGTGTACCTTTTGACCGCACTGCAGCGTCAACGTACGTGCATTTTAAATGCTTCAACTTCAAATTTGTCCGTATAAACACATAAGAAGTCAATCTTAACATGAAATCTAGTGTGTCTAAAAACTCTCAACCTAACAAGGAGTCTTTCAATTCTGAATTGACTGCATCTAGCGGCCTTGTACCAACAGCTGGGAGGTTATCCCGAAAGAAACCTATCTTATCCGGCTATTTTGGCCCTACAAGCTTTGTTTCTCCCTTGACAGATGCAGTCGATGTTGACCTAGCCTCGGATAGTCAAAGTTTAGAACTAGAGGCCACACAGCGTGTCCTACCTCCATATTGGGTACAGAAAATTTCCGAAATATTGTTGACTCTCGGTGACTTTGCCATCATTGAAAGCCTCATTCGGGATTACTATGTCCTAAATCAAAGTGCTGTTATACCAGCACCATTCGTGTTGAACAGTTTGGACCCTCTGAGAACTATGTGCAAGCAATGCATTTCAATCAAGAGTCTTGATGATTTAACAGCGAGCATTACCGTTCCCATCATTCAGAATACTGCTGAAATATTCTCAGTCCCTCCTTCAACAGCTGGGAAGGACTTTCATACTCTATTCACTGGCTCATCAATCCGGCTGGAAATTATTGGGGTTATATGCTCTCTTGCTGGTCGTGCCGGATATCATGGACTATCTCGTAGTCAATTGGATGATCCAACAGTACGATCGCAGTTTGCACAAAAGATGCTTGCAGCCAGTGATGCTGCTCTGTATATTTGCAAGATTTTAACCCCACTGAATGATCTAACGATATGGCTGGTTTATGAGAATCTGCTGCTCTCAGACATAGTAAATGGCGACTCCAGTGAGTTGATTCTTGATTACACAAATAATTTTTTGGCGTCTAAATTGGATATAGGTCCTCATGGTTGGAACCGACTGGGTGAGCTTTCTACTGACATATTCGCTCTTGGCATCCATCGTGACTTGAAAAGCTCAAGCGAGATGCCCGAATTTCTTCTCGAGTCTCGTCGCCGGCAATTTGCTGCAGCATATCAGCTAGATAAAACCATTGCCACATTTCTTGGCCGACCACCACGGATGCCGTTACGATATACTGATTGCAGGATGCCCCTTGATATCAGCGATGAAGCGCTTGCAACCGAAGATACAACCTTGACTTGTTTGACAGAAGACCTTGATTCAAATAATTGGAATCTACAGCCCCTATTTCAGCGATCATCATGGATAAGAGTACGATTTATCATATGCACTTTTCGTGATGAGGTTCTTGAGCTCTCACTGCAGAGAATGACACCTGAAATCACCAATTCTCTCAAGTATGGATCCTTGTCACCATTTCCCTATCATTAACTTCCCTAGGAATGCTGATAATATGCAGTGATATCTCCTGTCGCTGCCATGTAGCCTGGGAGTCACTACCTCCTCACCTACGCTATACTCCAGAATGTTGGAACAATGAATCTCCAGTAGTAGTGTGCCTGATGCTCATCATCTCTTTTCTCGCATACCTCTATAATGAATTCCTCGTTCAACGTCTGTTAGCAGGGAAGTACAACCCCCACGGAAGTAAAGCCCTGTTGTCCGTGAGCGCAAGAATTCTTTCAACCGTCCTCACCTTAGGAACACAACGCGAGCAGATGCTCGATCTTCGACCAGATTTTACATGGACTGTATGTACTTTAGGTTCCTTCCAAGAAACAGTCTACCTTGCTAAAATTTCCGAATTTTGTTAGATCTTACTCTATGGGTTTCCAAGTGCGAGTCTCCTGATCAAAGCCCTACAGCACCAAAAGAGAACAGGAGAGACATTTCTCTATGAAGGATCGAGGTCGGCTTTGATTCGAAACCTAAGCGTCTTCATCTCCCATCTTGAAACTACTGTTCGCCCTGATAATGCAAATTATGCTTTGTTTCAACGGGCAAGTCAGGTTTTCTCGAAAATTATCGATGAAATTTTAGAACCGGAGACCGCTATGGTGGATTCTGATCCTACAGGTGATTCTCTAATTAGGATTGATCAAATGAATAGTGTCGATGATATGGATCTATTAAATACGATGGACTTTGGGGCTGTATTCAATCAATGGCTCATTTGAAGGGTCATATCGGCAAAACACCGCACTAGCTACTTGTGTTTTCACTCGATTTTTGAAATTATAGACCTTTCTGGAATGTGCCAAGGTTTTCATCGAACTTTCGAATGTTTAGATCGGCTAGGACTCTCATCTAACTTGCACTTTCACTTTCACTTTCACTTCCCTACGTGGTGATGTTTCTGATTGAAGGAAATTCGTCTAATCATGGATATAGATAAAGCGACTCTCGTAGCAAGCAGATACATGGTGGATTGACCCGACAAGAGCGGAATTGCGATACGGAGTGAGATACAAAAGGGTTGCATAATAGTTGGTGGTAGGTCCCTAGTGCTCCAGACCTATCAACCCAAATCAAGAGGAAGAAAGAGAAAATGGCAAAGATGGGGGTTCGTAACTCTTCACACATAAACGTGAGGCGGTGACCTATGACAGGCCAGTCATCAAAGAGAGAGTGCATTGTACACCTAAATCTGGCCACCAGCAAAGTCGGAAGCGGCACGAGAACTTTTGATGACCTTCTTGAGGAAGTGAGCAGTTTCATCCCAGTCAGAGATTTCAAGGGATGCAATTTCGACTCCGAAGTGGTCCTGGATACCCTTCATCAACTGCCATTCCTCACGGTTCGAAACTAGAGTGATGGCAACACCAACACGGCCGAAACGTCCCGTGCGTCCGATACGGTGCAGGTAAGTCTGGAGGTCGGGCTGACGAGTACGACGACTTTGGCCATTCTGTTCAATGTACAGCTCGGGGACATCCTGCATGAGACGTAAATGTTAGTTGAAATCGATAGAATATTAGACTTCTCGAGGGTGAACTCACGTAGTTGATGACTAAAGAAACGGTCGAAACATCAATTCCGCGGGCAAGGACATTAGTAGTGATGAGAACTTTAGCAGCACCAACACGGAACGCATCTATGACGGTGTCACGTCGGGCACCCTCGATATTACCAGTCAGACATGCCACAGCATGGCCCTCCGAAGTCATGCGTTTTTCAATCATCTCAGCAGAGGCGCGAGTCTAAAACTTGTCAGAATGATATGCCAATTTGAGATAGTCTCGAAGATTTTTCTTACAGCGACAAAAATAATCGAAGACCCAACAGTAAGGGTTCCGTATAGGTTGACGAGGCAGTCGAACTTCTGCTGTTCGGAGTTGCAATCAATGTAGAGTTGCTTAATCCCTTCAACGGTCAACTCTTCATGCTGCAGAGTAATCTCGTTTGCATTAGGAGCAAATGTGTGAGCATATGAAAGAACGTGATCAGGGAATGTGGCCGAAAAGAGAACGACTTGAACTGTTGAGGGAAGAAATCTGCAGAATGTGAGCGAAAGTGTGCGATGAGGTTGAATAACTATAGCGGGTAACTTACTTGCGCACGCGCAGGCACTGATCACCCAATCCCTGCTGATCCATCATGTTATCGGCCTCATCCAAGACCAGAACTTTGATGTTGGTTGGGTTCAGGACCTTACGTCGGATTTGCTCCAGAACTGTACCGGGGGTACCAACTACGACGCTGACTTCCAACAGTTTGGGACGAGTAGCGATTTCGGTTGGGACTGACGTGCCGACAACCAAGCCATCAACGAATTGACCCATAAGTGAGATAACACCCGTAATCTGACGAGCGAGCTCACGAGTGGGCGCCAGAATCAGCGCCTGTGGGGTGCGACGTGCCTGCTCAGTCGAAAGGTCAAGACGGCTAAGGACGTTGAGAGTGAAAGCGGCAGTCTTTCCAGTACCAGACTGCGACTGTCCAATAAGGTTCTTAGGGGGATTGCTCATGAGGAGAGGCAGTGCGCGTTCCTGCACCTTCGAGGGCTTGCGGAAGTTCATAGCAAGGAGACCCTTGAGGATGCGCTCATCACTACCGCGTCAAATTTGTTAGCATGTACATACATAAGAAATATCATATACCTGGGGATACATACAGGCCAAGTTGATCGAATGACTTCACAGAGAACAAAGGGTTGGACGGATCAGCCTGCAGGTCACTGAGCTTTACATTGACCTGGTAGTCGGGCTCTTGGAGCTGAGAACCAAGCATGCCTTCGCTGGCGCCATCGACACTGGATTCGGTGTTGGGAATGGGAACGGATTCTGCTTGACATGAAGCACATAGGTTAGCCCATTGTATTCTGAAGAGGTAACTACACGACCACAGTAAGTCGCGAGGGAGCTTAGGACATACCAGTCTTAGACTCATCTGGCTTGGTGACGCGGTCGGCCAGAGAGGTTCCAGCCGGAACTTCAGTAGCCTCAGAAGACATGATGCTAATGAAAGGAAAGAAATGTTAAGGAAGAAAAAAGAAAGAGGATTGGAAAAGGCGAAGCGGAGGAGGGGGCCGCGGCGAATGCGGCGGGGTGAGGTTAATGTGAACAACAATTTTCCCCACAACAAATTCCACTCACGAAGTAAATCCGAATCGAAAAAATCAAGAAAGTCGAAGTCAATGAAAGGCTTCGAGAATGACTACCAATGGGAATGGGTGGGGGAATACAAGGCGGAAAAGATATCAATAGGATTAATTCTCCGCAAAAGAAGAAAACAAAATGACGAACCTCGAAGTAAGCCACTAAGCCTAAATAGGATAAACGTATTGTTACGGTATGAAAAGAGACACATTGCTAGTTAGCTCACCAAGAATATTGGGTATGGTATTGTCACATGCACTTGAATGCCCCCGCCTTCGAATTGCGTATCATCTATCTCTTGATACCCGATTGAACTTCTTCAATTATCTTCGAGCTTTATCAGAATCTCTAGTGAACAAGTCTAACTCTTGTAGTTGGAGGGTCCTATTCCCGCCAATTCCGACATCCCTATCCGGGTCTTTCTTTCAGCTTATGAGTGGCATATCCCTTTGCAGCTTAACCCAGCCATGGCAGCAGACGTGGCTCCCCAATTTGGAGCGGAGTTAAAGGTAGACCCGCAATCAGCTCTAAATTGCGTCGAGATTACTAAAGTTATTGGTCTCATATAGGATGCCTTCAAGCCTGTGAACTCTTGGGTATGTTTCCGGCATCGGTTCCCATCTTATCATAGAACCATGTTGGACCGAAGCTAGCTAATGCATCTATGTTGCACAGGTATCGAACGGCATATCTTGGCTGGAGGAAATCCAACAATTCTACCGGGAGCGCAGCGTGATTGAAAAAGAATACGCATCCAGGTTGACGGCGCTCTGCAAGAAATACCAAGATCGCAGATCGAAGAAGATCAGTCCATTGAGTGTCGGCGATACCCCCACCCTAACACCAGGATCACTCGAAAGTGCCTCCCTTACAACATGGGCTACCCAATTAAATGCTGTCGAGTCTCATGCCGCCGAGCGAGATAAATTTGGTACAGAGTTGGTCACCCATGTGGCCGAGCCATTGAAGCAAGCTGCGGTTCAATATGAGGAGATTCGCAAGTGTCACGTCGATTTCCATGCGAAGCTGGAGAAGGAACGCGATGCAGCATATGGGGAGCTCAAGAAGGCCAAGGGTAAATACGACGGGGTCTGCCAGGAGGTTGAATCGCGGCGAAAGAAGATGGAATCTTCCTTCGACCACGGCAAAACCAAAGCGCAGGGCGCTTATCAACAACAAATAATGGAGATGAATAACTACAAGGCATGTCACCAGCTCCTATGGCTTCTTACGATCTTGACTGACATTCTACAGAACCTTTATCTTATCAGCATCAATGTAACCAACAAATTGAAGGAGAAATTCTTTCACGAATATGTTCCCGAGGTTTTGGATGTGAGTTGAAGCCTTACTTCACTCAACGACAGTACTCACCATTGAATCTTTCAGGGTTTGCAAGATCTCAACGAAACCCGAGTGACAAGATTGAATGCATTATGGACTGTTGCTGCGCAGCTCGAACAATCGTCACTCACGAACAGCACGAGCCTTTTCGCTAATCTTCTGGTTGAGATCCCTCGAAACAATCCTAGCCTGGACTCTATGATGTTCCTCCAACACAACATCACGCAGGCACAGGAGCCTACAAATGTGGGCTTCGAGCCAAGTCCTGTCTGGCACGATGATGCGTCGATCATCACCGATGAGGCTGCTAAAGTGTTCTTGCGTAACATTCTTGGAAAAAGCAAGGAGCAGATACGCGAGCTACGAGTGGAGGCCGACCGACAGAAACGTGAAGTTACAGCTGGCCAGAAGATTCGGGAGAATATTCAACAAGGCAAGGACAACCGCAATGAGGTCGATATCGTGCGATCTATCTTCCGTTTACAGGAGAACTTGCACGATGTAGATCGCAAGTGGCTTACTGCCGAGGTCGAAACATCTACTATCATTGCTGTCGCGGGAGACTTGTCTCTAGGAGCCAAGAACCACAATTTTCGATCTCAGACGTTCAAGATACCCACAAACTGCGATCTTTGCGGAGATCGTATATGGGGTCTCTCAGCCAAGGGCTTTGACTGCCAGGACTGTGGATATACTTGTCACAGTAAATGTCAAATGAAAGTACCAGCAGAATGCCCAGGCGAGCAAACAAAGGAGGAGAAGAAGAAGCTTAAAGTGCAACGACAGGAATTGGCCGGTACTGCGCCACCAGCCATCGATCTCGAGTCTTCTGCGGCTTCAACAAACGCCCCATCACTTACGCGCCAGAACACCATGACTTCTCTTAGTTCCGAATATGCTGCTAGCACAACCCGGTCGCTGAACCAGTCCACTCCCGAACACCCGGGAGAAACACCCCCTCCCGTCATGGAGAACAAGCCCGTATCAGCTAAGAGACGTGTTTTGGCTCCACCCCCGACGTCGTATGCACCGCCTCCCATGGAATCTAGCTCACGATCCAAGTCGAGGGGAAAGATGCTATATGCGTATCAGGCAACTGGACATGATGAGGTTACCGTGCAAGACGGAGATGATGTGACCATCATCGAGTCAGATGGTAAGTCCTTCTAACCAAAGAAAATAATCCATGCCTTTTATCTAATATAATTGGTAGACGGATCTGGTTGGTTACGCGTTCGCTTCGGTTCCAACGAAGGTCTCGTCCCAGCCGCCTACGTGGAGGTCGCACCAATTCCATCACCGGTACCGTCAGTTAGCCCTGGTCTGCCCGATCGACCCGGCTCAACCTACTCCAACTCCTCAGCCTCGGTAGCAGGGAGTTTGGCGGCAAAGCGCGTGGGCCCAGCTGTGGCACCCCGCAGAGGCGCCAAGAAGTTGCAGTATGTAGAAGCCTTGTACGACTACGAAGCTCAAAGCGATGCGGAATGGTCAATGGCAGAGGGTGATCGATTTGTGCTGATCACTAGAGATACTGGGGATGGGTGGGCTGATGTTGAGCGTGGCGGAGTCACGAGAAGTGTTCCTGCAAATTATATTCAAGAGGTATAGAGCATGAGCCGATATATGTGTATTTAACCCAAGTACGCTTGTACAGTATATATGGACAGTAGGAGGATGCTTCTCACACTTTCTCTATTGCCATCAATAGCGTTTTTCTTTTGTGGTACTCTCAGCATACAATACCTCAGCAAGACCCTTGGAAGCCATTTTTAATTGAATCTTTTTGAATTGTGTTTCTCGAAATATTCCGAGATTCTGAACATACACATGATCCAGCGATATCATAGCTTTGAAACAGCGTGAGTGACCTCTCGCTTTACTCTTATTTACATCTCATCCGTCTCATCGTCTCACGCCCAGTCATGTCTCTCACTCTCATTTTTACTCTCTAGACTGTGTTTAATGAAGGTCCAGTGAGCCACTAGTGGGCCTCTGGAGGTAATGATGGGTGTGTATGAACCTACCCTTCTCGCTACAATCTGAATAATCGCAGAATTATAAGATATCTGGGTGTCACACTCTATTTTTGATTAAGCCTCTTAACTCAAATGAGGATAGCTTCAATGATAATGAGTTACACTATAGCTTTAGAAAGCAGGTCAAGAATGGCTTCAAAGTAGATATTCCTCTCTACTTTGTAACGCTTGCCAATTAAGCACGTCATTCACCCGTCCTCTCACTCTTCTCAACTACCCAAGTTCTACAATCTCTTATTTTTTGCTCTAAAAATCACATTTTACACTTTACTGATTCATCTCACCATAGAAAATTAACACATGATTTCGATGACGCACGCCATCAAGGACTCGTCCAGCAAATTCTGGAAAAGTACCCCAAGCTACAGTTGGGAGTCTGCCGATCGAACCTCATCGTTTCTTAATCAGGGGGGTCCAATCAGAAAACATTGAAGGAGTCTGATGATTCTGAATCATCTACGTCAGGAAGTTAAACGGACAGTCCGCCCTCAAGCAAGCGGCAATTCTACGACTTCCTGAGCTTGTGGCTGCAGATGTTGTGACAACACTAGTAAGTATATCATCAGAATGAGTTTCTATGGAGGCATTGTAATGCTAGTCTTAATATCATTTGAACTCTAAAGAAGAGATGACCAGCTCTTCCCTCTTATATCCCTTGTCAGCCCACCCTCGAATCCCATTCCCGTCCATCCAGCATCACGATCACGAACCCCTTTTCTGAAACGCACCAATTAAAGTAATATGGCTCACCTGTGTATATAGGGGCCTTCGAGCCACCTACGTTCCGATGCATCCCCTTTTTTCAAGGGGGCGGGCTTTTCGAGATGGCGTCCCATCTGCTCTGCTTTTCTATTACGGTTACGCATGTAAATAAGCTAAAATGGAAGGGAATACTGTCAGATTTTTCAGAATAAAACTGCCGAGTATCTTGACATTTGCCCTGCGCTATGCAGCGCCTTATCTGATAATAAGTCTCAAATACCGCATATAAGGAAGTCTCCTTGTGTTTTGAGTGCTCAAATCTATCTCTCACACTGGGGACTGGCTGTACTAAACTTGATACAAGAGTGACTCATATTAAAGACGGATCGAAATTTGGAAAACTTGGAATTGTATATTAGTTCTAAAAACCTTGGAAATACTACCGTTCTGTTCACTCTTCATCGCGAATTTAAAAGGAACTGAACGCGTTTTGTGGCTCTGCACGCTACTTTTGAATCTTGCGCAGTTTCCAGTCTTTCGGAGTTTACAAAAAATGATCCAGAAATAGACTCTCGAACTAAAGCCTTTCCTCCATTTTCAATTGACGAAAGTGGGGCCTATCAGGATTAACTGTGGGTCAGTTAAGGAACGGGCCGAAAAAGCTTAGTTTTGAGGGCCCTGACAAAAGTCCTAGTAGTCCTCGATATTCTCGCCATCATCACTCACCATGACTAGATTTGACGATCAAAATACTTCCTAGGAGCTCTATAATCCATATCACCAAGATCACATTGAGAAAATTATCCATAATGACTCCCGACTCGAGATCAGAGTACGCCGGATGGGACCTTTCCACCTTTCGTTTGCCGATAACTCCAATCTTGAAGCTTGAGCGCACGCGGAAGATAGTGTTACAATGCCCATTTGATATATAGGAATGGACGATTGCTCTTCTGATCTCTTCTAATTTGGCCGGAATCTGCACGTATCTCCGTGTGTCCATTTAACTAAACTGCATTCGTTCCTTCATTGGGAGCGGAAGCAAGTATGCCTGGGACGAGCCGATCTATAGTGTGTTTCTTATGCTCTGCTTCTTATTATATAACTCATAAGCTTACTATTGCGGATGGTGTGAAAAACTGGTACGTCGATAATGAATATGAATATATGGAGAGAAAATTATTCTAATCATAATATCTTGAATGCTCTAGAAAGAGTTCAAGTGAGGAGACCTCCTACTGACCGCAGCCAGCCTACTGTTGAAGTGGCGTATATTATTCCACAGAAATTTATCAAGCCAAAGGACTGCACTTCAGCTAGCCAAATTAGGCAATATTTGACTCGGGTTTCGCTGGGCAATTTCTGTGACGACTCTGTTGAGGAATGAAAGAATAAATTATCCCCGGGGGTAGAGAATGATAGGTATGAACCTTGAAGCTTTTCATTTGCGAGACATCGTATAAAATTTGACCAGGTCTGTGATCTCATCACTACCAAGGTACATTCCTAGGTACCGTTTTTTCTATGCATGAGTGGGGCTTTCCTATCTCAGGTGCCGCCGCTTTTATGAGGGCGGTCAAAAATCTTAGGCACATGATTGATTAGCAATAATTAAGTCTAACCGAGAAAGTGAGTATGGAGAAAATGGGGCTAGCCGCAACTTCTACATCCACCTTCCATTTCTGGAAAGATCAAATACATCCATTTTAGGAAAGATCAAGTATCTCCTCCTTGGATTCTAACTTCTCAGCTCGTCATGGGCTCTCTTCCAACTCAACTCCGCTCCCTGGGGCCAGACCCAACCATTTCGCTTGCGAACATGCGCTCTGTGCAAAAGGCATTCATCCTCGTCCAGAGCAATATCCCATCCAACGCTTCGCCATTCTTGGTGTTGACGAATGTATCGGAAAATCTTGCACCAGAGCTCTGGAAACTTCTCGAGGCCAGAAACCCCGGCTATAAATTAACGTCATTTCTTCAACAAAAGATAATCCATATCAGGATGCCGACATCACAACACGAAGGCGCAGTTATTTGGCTTAGTAGCCAGGTAGCCCGATGGCGCGCTGCAGGCATTCTCACTGTGGCTGAAGAAAGCGAGCTCTGTTATGGAGGGAATCCGATGATTGCCATGATTCAGCCACCCTATAGGGGCTCCACAAAGATTACAGATTTCGCGATTGAACCGTTTCAGTCTCCACATCAGTTGCCCACAATATCCATGGAGGTTGGATGGAGCGAGTCGTATCCCAACCTTGTGGCTAATGCCCGCCTACTCCTGGAGGGCGGGGCCCCTCACACACGGAAAGTGATACTTATCGACTTAGAAGACACCCGTGCGGGAGTTAAAGCAGACTTCGAGATTTGGCAAAGGGATGCAGCCGGAATTGCCAGATGTATCGGCAGCTGGGATATTTTTCCAGTTCCACTGCCTGGAACCGCTCAGTTTCAACAGGCGGGGCAGCCGTCCCTCCTTCGTGGCGATATTTTCGGTGCTTATATCCTAGCAAACCGAAACCCACTAGATAATCTACCGCTCAACCTGACTGAGCTCCGCCGTCGACTTACTCGACATCTCCTAAAGACTGGCCACCACCCTGTGTAATGACCAGGTGATTTGAGTCTTTCTCGCATTCTCGCATTCTACCCTTTATTACTCTTTACTACTCTTTACTACTCTCTTGCTTCATTTCTTCTTTCTGTTCTGTTTTACTATCGCTCAGAAGCATCATTAGCGCACGTATTAAACCCATTTTTATTTTCATCTTCATATTCTTTCTTTCCTTCTTTCCTTCCTTGCTTTTTGTTTCTTCATCAACGATTCCCTCTTTTGTGATCGTCTATTACTCGGAAGAATAGTTAGATCACAATCATATCGAGCTTTCTCTTCATACTTTATATCTCGGGGACAAGATGCGGTCACGCATACACTATGACTAGTCAAATAATATGGATAAACCACCTGTTTGATACGGTCATAGCTTTGAGGTGAAGATTCTCTTCTATTCATGGGAATTGGTAGCTGCGGGGCTAACTATTATGTGTCAAGTCCAAGGAAAAGGACATAACTCAGATTCTGTTATTACAAGTAGCATTATAGTTTAAAGGACTTCCAGCTACCCCTTCCATTCAGACTTCATCATTTGCTTCAAATTTGAAACTCATATTTCAAAATGACTCGAGCTAGAGAATATTTGCGAGCTCCTCAACATTCGCGAACTCCCCAGTATCCTCTAGTTTCTGATGCCACCACTTCTCCTGTAAATTCTCAGACGAGCGGTAGTTCCATATCAAGAAAGAGACAGAAGTGATGGAAGCAGAAATGCAGCCGAACGTAATGAGTAAGTATTCTATTCTAAGCCGTTCTAGGGAGCCTGATGCTAACAAAGTATAGAGTTACGCCAATAATGGTGCCATAATGTTTTAGTCAGCTACTCCAAGAAAACCTCCAATAGCGTCCGTTCTAGTTGAGCTTGTCGGGATAGCTCAGAACGCCCAGACTTCGCTGGAGAAGGTAGAATATACCCAACTCTATAATGCCTTACTACCTAGGTGTGTAAAGCTGACCTCTGGTATGAACACTCTACTGTGGTATGGCACAGTATAGTGACTAAGTAGCTTAGTCACCTTCCGCTATTTCCCCAGATCAGCTGGGAATTAGAATATCATCTTCCTTCACCCCATTCAGAACATCTGATATTCTCTACTACGTACGTAGAGACCTGAAGGTAACAGGTCAAGAAGAGTCTTAAAGAAGCTATCGAAGGAGAACGTAAACAAGACATTCCGAAGAAGGGAGGGACCATTTAATAATGATGATTATGAGTGGCTGCCAGAACTGTGAAGAGCTGTTAGTGCATCGGCTAGGTGGGATAAACATCATGTTTCAGATCTATTCAGCATTTCAGCCAATCGGGAATCGATGCTTCGTTCTGTAAGACTCCAGTGAATTTTGTTCAATTACTCATCTCAGCTCTACATAGCTTAGGCAAACATCTGTTCTTACGTCCCCGTAGATTCCTCGAAATAACTAGTCATTTAAGGATCATCAGGGATGGAAGCACGTGGATGGGCCAGAATGGCCCAGTCAATCCTTAGACCTTCAACCTTAATCTAAGTAAGGGTATTCCTATCTGCACTGGCTCTCTTTCATTAAAGAAACGGGCTATTTATTATGCATTGTGATGAAACTGGCGAAAAAGTACAGAATGGGTTCAGGTAAAGTGAGTGATATCGGGGGATAACACGCCACCCGCTATGAATAGATTAGGTAGGGTTCTAGACTTAAGAGTACAAAGTAATTGATTTGAATACGTCCCCACACTTGATCGGATTGTTTCTACTGCTGTAGACTTATTGAACTTCTGGCTCAATTTTGCATAGATTTCTAGTTCATCCCTGTAATTATTGTGATTGGCTTGAAATAACTAACTATCCCTGACGATCATAAGTTCTCCTGAGAAAATGGAAATTGAAAGTGACAAACACTTCGTCACCGCCAAGAAAATCCAGGGTCTCGCTTATACTCCGTAATCTTGGCTGTATTTGGTATTTGTATTTTATCTCTGTTCTCTTTTGGTCAGTAAATAAAAATTACATCTAAATATAGAGAAACAAACAGGAAAGAATTGAGAGAATTGGCTTTGTTTCATCGGACAAGCATACACTTTAAGACAGTAAGAAAGGATGTGATGAAATCAGGGTCAAATTGGCCCACCTCCACATCATATCCATAAATACCCACAGTCAAGCCCAATATATCCACAATAAATCCACTTCTGATTTGAAACGGAATCCCTTACAGTAAGATCGCCGAGTTGGACTGGTAATTATCCAATCATTTACTATAATGAGTTCCACTATGCGCACAGTCTTTTTGCCGTGTCCCTTCTCTTCTTCCCTTGGACGCCACCTTGTGTTGATCAAACTGGGGCTGAGTAAGAAGAAAGGACGGATTACAGAGTATAACACACTGTAATCTCCCCCCTTACCCATCCCTGCTTCTTCTTTCCTCCATCCTTCGTTCTTGCCATTCCTTGGTCTTTACATTCCTTGTCCATTCGTTTGCAAGGGTTTTCACTCGTTTCATACATTTAACTCACACGCGTCTTCCATCCATCCATACCCGTTTTATTCATTGTTTCCTCAGTTATCAACCATAATGAAGGTCACAACCTCCCTCGCAACCCTCATCCTGGGTGCCTCTACTGTCTTGGCTGCCCCAGCTATTGAAGAGAAGCGCTCCAGTGTTACCCCCATCACTGTCAAGGGTAACGCCTTCTTCAAGGGTGACGACCGCTTCTACATCCGTGGTGTCGACTACCAGCCTGGTGGTTCTTCGGACCTGGCTGATCCCATTGCGGACGCAACCGGCTGTAAGCGCGACATCAAGAAGTTCCAGGACCTGGGCCTAAACACTATTCGTGTTTACTCTGTTGATAACTCCGCCGACCACGATGAGTGCATGAACGCTCTGGCAGATGCTGGCATCTACCTCGTCTTGGACGTCAACACTCCCAAATACGCCATCAACCGAGCTGACCCCAGTCCCTCGTACAATGATGTTTACCTTCAGTACATCTTCGCCACTGTCGAAATGTTTGCTAAGTACGACAATACCCTCGCTTTCTTCTCCGGAAACGAGGTCATCAACGATGGTCCTTCGTCCAAGGCTGCTCCATACGTCAAGGCTGTCACCCGTGATCTCCGCTCATATCTGAAGGGTCGCAACCTGCGCCAGGTCCCCGTTGGCTATTCAGCTGCAGATATTAACACCAACCGTCTCGAGATGGCTGAGTACATGAACTGTGGTAGCGATGACGAGCGAAGTGACTTCTTCGCCTTCAACGACTACTCGTGGTGTGACCCCTCTTCCTTCACCACCTCTGGCTGGGATCAGAAGGTCAAGAACTTCACCGGCTACGGACTGCCCCTCTTCCTTTCCGAATACGGCTGCAACACCAACACCCGCAAGTTCGAGGAGGTCAGCTCGCTCTACTCTACCGACATGACCTCTGTCTACTCCGGTGGTCTGGTCTATGAGTACTCCCAAGAGTCTAGCAAGTATGGTCTGGTCTCCATCAGCGACGACAGCGTCAAGGAGTTGGACGACTACACTGCCCTCAAGACTGCCTTTGATAAGACTGCCAACCCCAAGGGTGATGGTGGCTACAACAGCACCGGTGGCGCCAGCGGTTGTCCTACCAAGAACGCTCCCAACTGGAACGTTGACAGCGATTCTCTTCCTGCTATCCCCGAGCCCGCCAAGAAGTATCTCACCGATGGCGCTGGCAAGGGTTCGGGTTTCAGCGGCAAGGGCAGCATGAACGCTGGCACTCAGTCCACTGCCACTGCCACCTCTGGCTCTGGCGACGTGACTGGCAGTGCTAGCACTTCCTCCAGCACTTCCACCACTTCCACGGGTGCCGCTCCTGGTCTGCAGATCCCTGCCCTCACCATTGGCCCCATTGCCGTTGGCCTAGTTACCATTCTGTCGTCCGTCTTCGGCGCCAGCTTCGTCCTTTTGTAATACCCTCAGTCTCCATTTGCATTCTCATAAGAAGCCCCCCTCTTCTTTGTCCCTGATGATTTGTGCTTCTTACTCTGTTGTGGTTTCGGCTCTATTTTTGTCGGTATGATTCGAGTCGATTTTAAAGTATCAAGGTATTCAGGTTGGAACATGTACATCGGCCTGGTACCAGTTTTTTTCATTCTTATTGAATACAACTACTTCTTGAGGTACTTCATAATATTATTGCATAACATCCCGCCCGATTGTACAGTCTAGACTCAATGTTTTTGCTTTATTTGTGAGTATTTCTAGCCTAGCTTCTGAACCCTGGGTCACAGTAGGCCGTGTACCTTCACCGCTATGTATGGTTACCTCGTGCCATCATGAAACAAAATTCAGAACGTCGACATCCTTGGCTTCTTCCTAGTAGCACATGGCTCGAACGTGTAAACAATTTTTCCTTTATTAATGAAGTTGTCTCATGTTATTCACGCCCTAATGAGTCGGGATTCTAATCCTTTAGCGTCGAAGCAGAACTCGTGATGGCTTCACCACCCAGCCCAATGCAGGATCATTTCATGTGAATTGTGACCCTGAAAGCGTTGCCCCATCGCCCTGGCAGGCTATTCTAAGACTTGATCTTTGAGTTGCAGCGTTTCGTCGAGTCCCTCTCGCTGGCTGGTGTGAAATTTATGCGACGATGTTGTTGAATATGACCGAAATATTGGAAATACAAACTGGCGCATTTAAACACTCTCGAGATCCAGCACTGTCCTCTCATCGCAAGATCTTAAGATTCACACCAGAACGATAAAGCCTCAATCTTTTCGCCTCAATGAAATCCCAAGAGATAGTCAAATCCCCATGATGCTCCCCAAGGAAAGCCATCTCTTTTCCCAAAATCGCAGGACCAACACGACTATGATTGACCGTTCCAAGAAGCCGCGAGATCCAATCACCAGTAACGGCCAATTTAGCCAAGTCAACGCCAGTCTCAATGCCCGCGTTATGGAACATATACACCACATCTTCCGATGCGACATTTCCCTTTGCGCCAGGTGCAAAGGGGCAACCACCCAACCCACTGACACTACTGTCGAACACGCGGATTCCGCACTGATATGCTTCCCACACATTGGCTACAGCTTGGCCATACGTGTCGTGGAAATGGCCAGCCAGCCTGTCGGGCGAAATGCCATGGCTTATCAGGTATTTCAAGAGCCTGCGCACGTCTGCCGGCGATCCGATGCCTAGCGTGTCCCCTAGACTTACTTCATAACATCCTGCGCCTAGAAGAGCCCGCGTTGAGCGGAGGACGGCTGCTGGTGATGTTTCACCATGATATGGATCTGAGAAGATACAAGAGACGTATCTACAGGAGTTAGCAGTTGACTTCGAAAGATCCATGCTCTACATTGGTTCCCGTACCCTCTTACAGCGATACAAGCCTTCGTAGCTAGCGCCACAACTCGGTTAACCCGCTCAATACTCTCAAGCACCGAGCAGTTGATATTCGCCTGACTAAAGCCATCCGTAGCGCTGATAAAGACCGAAATCTCCTTGACGCCATACTGCATCGCAATCTCAAGTCCCTTCAAGTTAGGAACAAGCACCGGGAAGCGCAGAGGCGATGTTCGCAGTCGGTGTTGAATCCCCGTGTCGCCGAGTATATCGCGACAGTCTGCTAATTGCGGCACTGCTTTCGGTGAGACGACCGATGTCATTTCGATTGTGCGTAGCCCGCTGTCTTCTAGGCGCTGGATCAATTCTAGTTTTGTCGTCGTCGATACGGGGCTTTTGTGGTTTTGTAGGCCATCTCGTGGTCCTACTTCTACTATTCGTACTGTCGGGGTTTGGCTTGTCATTCTGCGGCTGGATGGTCCGGATAGCCGACGAGGCGTAAATCACAAATGGTATAATATATGTCATAAATCATAAATCAGTGACACGTTGCGAGTGCTCGTGGAAAAAAATCGCCTTATATGGTTGCAGATAGGTTACACCTCGGTGTTTTGTTCCTCGGATCTTGAGTCCAAGTCCGGAGGCCGAGGTTAGATTTCCGACGTAATTGATATTGATCTATGATTCGTGTATTCCACTGAATGAAACCCTACAAGATCAGTTTCTTTAAATCTTGATTCATTCACTCAATGATTGTCTGGTTAGGGGCTATACCTAAATAAAGCTTGGTCGGCGAAAATCTGTCAACTCTGATATATCTAGAATAGCCTTATATTGTCCGGTGAACCCTTCAATAAATACATGGATCTAGCAAGCATGACTCTTAGTATCTATCAATGTCAAAACTCTGTTGTCGATTGCTTATCCCGTACACAGGTAACCTCCGGGTCTTTGTAAGAGTGAAGTGAGAGTGGAAGTGAGAAAAAGCCTAAGAGTAAGACGTGGACTAAGCGTGTGACAGTAGCGAATCTTGAAATTTTGAACGGTCAAGCACACCGTGAAGCACGAGAATCCGTAGCAATGACATTTAAGAATTATGTATATATCTGCGCAATTCCAGAGTCGATAGAAACCAAGCCTGATCAGAGGTTATATGATTTGATAAAGTACAAATCTCATAAATCACCACCACGATAAACGCCTACCATCGCGAAACATCTCATCATACACGAATTGAATTGGAAATGGAAAGCAGGAATGGAAAAAAGCAAAACATTCCTATAGGATACGAAACTGGAATGGCCTAAGAACTCAAGACGCCGATGGATGGGTTCTGCTTATTATCACCTTGATAGCTTGGCGAGGAATATTCAGGTCGGGCGCACAGCGCGCGACGGATGCAAGTATATTCATTCAAGAAATGGAGATCACTCGTTGTAGTGGTAGACCTAGTAGTCAGTTAGTCAAGTTCATGTAAGGGGGTAGTCAGGTGGAGCCATACAAAGTAATCTGGTAGTCCAAAGACTTGGTATCCGAGTCGACGGGCCATCTTGGCAAAGCCTTCTGTTTCAACGAGATGAAAGAAGGGGAATGCGGGAAACATGGCTCCGTCGCGGTGCACATCGGCCTTAACCATCAATGCTGTTCCACCCACTCCATCTAGAGCGACCATGCGGTGGGGGTCTAGGTTCTCCATGTCGGGTAGCTTCGCCATGAGTGTGCGGTACGTGGCCATTTCGGCGTATCCCTCCAACAGAATCTCATCGGGGCCCATATCGTTGGCTAAATTCTGAGCCGTGTCGCTGTCGATCCACGAGTTGTAGTCGTACTCCCGGATATCCCATTTCTGCTTCTTCGAGTCATAGTACCGCTGGAAACAGTTCGGCACGATGACGGGCTGGTCATGACTTGTCAGGTCTTGAATGAGCGAAGCCGGGGTTTCGACAATATCACCATCCAGCCACAACACCCACGAGGTCGCCGGTCCGAGGGTCGTGAATAGGAGGCTGTTTCGGGCCAGACTCATTGATTCGCGACGTTCCTTCTGAGCCGCCATCTGGTGCCGGACCTTTTCATCCTGCGATGATAGAGGCGGCTCAAAGTCTTGTCGCAGGATGGTGATGCTAGCAAAGCGGTCATCGATAGGGCCGGATTGCGTGCGCGAGATAGCTTGTTCCAGCGCCAGAACGGCCGTGTTTCCGTCCTTTGTCTTCGGGGCGATGAAGCCCAGTGATATCAGATCATGCGGGTAGCTCAGTTTCTCCAAGTTCTCCCAGTATTCTGTGTAGAAGCGAGCGAGCGGAGTGAGGATGAGGATCCGTTCGCCATTTGCGCGGGCGGTGCTCGTGCTGGTGAGATTGTTCAGATTGTAGTGGACTACGGGCGGGGCAGCCTGTACACCATCGCTGCGGATGGGCTGTGATTTGAGAAAGGGCTTCGTCGGCGGTGAGAGAGGGTGCTCAGCGGCATTTTCTTGTCGTTGACGCGAGGATGCTGCGGAGGCGGAGGCGGAGGGTGTGGAGGGGGAGAGCAAGAAGCAGATTAATCCAAATGCCAGCAGAGCAGCCAGGATGAGGCTGGTTGGACTCGTTCGTCGCATTGATATTGCGACGGCCATAGCCGTTCCACCAATTTATGATTGGTGAAGTTGTATATGTGTAGGGAGTTTGTCTGCGGCGGCAAAACGGTTGATCAATAAGGTTAGATGCCTCAGGCACAACAGGTTCTGGACTCAACACAGCCTCCTAGCCTCACAAGTGTCTTCCGAGATGTGGTTTTGGAATAAAAGACTTATAAGTAAAATTCCAGAGCACAGAAGATGGATAGTATTCCAGGAATGCATGACTAAATTTCCCCTTCTCTTTGCCGGAAAGGGTTATACCAGGTGGCTCACTATGCCATTATACTACGGACCTCGGACCAACCATTTCGATCGCGATCTACCAGACCAATGGCAGATCCCATGGCCCTATCAGAGGTCAATTACTTGGGGCTTTTTCGAGGAATTCCAGAAACAGCTGAGGTGCCCATGCTGACCGAACGCAGCCAAACATTCCAGAGCACGGACAAGAAGGCCTTGAGCAATTGTAACGGAATTTATATGCAATGGCTGTCAAATAATCTGTCAATGCTTCATCTGTGTATATGGCCTGCACATTTGGAGTTTCTGGAGATAGCGTGGAGAGGTGGAGATTGCATTCTTTAGTGTTTATCGCATCAAATGTGCCGAGAATGATTCCAGTGGCAGAAACTCCACTTTTCTTCCAGGGTTACAAACAAGGTCACCATGGACTAGTTCAGAAACAACCTTGGAAGTTAGAAAACTCAGCGATGAACAAGATGTGAAACTTTTCGTATGGTTTATCATTTTAAAGTCATGTTTGGTATAATAAAAAATCACAACTATCCTTCAATAAATGCGCTTGGCTCGATAATACTTTTAATTTAGCTTTCTGTCCCGTAGTATATCAACCGATATTTAAGAACTAGTAATTACTTTGAATTTTTCCTGGCTTCACAGGTATCCTAATCATGGCAGCTATTCAGGAGATCCTCTACTCAATTGTCCTTCGTTATGGAGGACCAGGTGGCGCTATTGCTGTTATCAAAGTTAGTGAGCTTGTCGCACAACGAGTTTGGGGACACGCAGATATGGACAAGCGCATTGCGATGACGTCGGAGATTCAAATGTCGATTTGCTCTATCTCTAAGCAGTTTATATGTGCATTGCTGTTGGATCTAAAGCGCAATCCAACTGCAGCTATGGCTGCCAAGGGGAATATTGAAGATCAGTTCCTAGAGAAATTCAACGCGTTACTGAACCCAGCTCTCACCAAGGACACGGGATTGACTCTTAAAAATATATGTGACACGCAGTCCGCCCTGCGTGACTACTGAGCTATAACTACACTACGGAGCGCAAAACCAGAAGGTGAGTTCCTAGTATATCGAGACATTCCCCCAATACTGGAACAGACCAAATCCTTCCATTTTCAGCCTGGTGTTGTTATATGTTTTGTCATTGGATGTCGGCTTGCGAGAAGAGTGGAATTTTGAAGATCCGGTAGTTGCAAGTGGAGAGAATATATCTACATAGCCTATAGCATCTATAAGATTCCACGGGCCTTATTCCGGCTTAATTCAATGTTTGTGCTCACTTTTACTTCTACTTCCACTTCACTTTAACTTTACTCTCTAATTCTGCTTTACTTTACCCTAGATATTCACTGCCCAGGCACTTTAAATCACAATTGCTCTTCATGCATTTATCAATATTGCATCAATCGCTCATAATATCTATCATACCTAAAACCGCGATGGCCTCTTGCAAGCCAGTTGTGCTACTCAGAGGGTCCATCGCAGATTGACTAGAACCGGGGCACATACTAAACATCCCGTTCGGTCATTACCAGCGGATATAGGAGAAGATATCCCAACCGTATCATTACGCCCACAACATCTCCAAGGAATAGTGAGTAGAGTGATATAGTCACGAAGGCTATACGTGTATATATACGTATATTTATCTATAATATTGACTATAGACACCTGTAGATATCCAGTTCCACAAAGAAAGCTAAAACGACTGCGATAAGTAGTCTTCCGGAAGAAAGAGAAAGCGTTGAACGAACAGGGTTGGCAGAAGAGATTTCGCAGCTACGAGAGCGCCTAGACACTGCTATCTCAGATAGTGGAAATCTCATATCTAGGGCAGAAATTCAAACTACATTAGTTGGTATCATTCCCGCCGCTCAAGGGTTTATAAGTCATTTGACGACAGCGATGGGTGAAAACGAAAATGCGCAGCTCTCTAGTCAGCTGCCGTTTTCCAATATGATCCAGGACACATGGGTTGACGCAAATGGTTCTTTTAATCTATCGAATCATCCTGAATAGGAGCAAGACTTCATGTTTCCTCCATAGAACACATAAGGCCTTTCACAATTCAACTCCTATGTTCATATGCCTTGAGACTGGACCAGTATTTGACAGCCTTTAGTCGCAAAGCTCATTGCATCTTTCCCACTTGATGTACTTTCTTTCTATATCTTATAGTTCAATTCAATATTCTTCTTTTTCCAATAGGTTTAATGATATATATCTTTAGGGAATGGGTACTCAGTTCGCCATGAAAAATGCCTTGAGTAGTAAAACCGTTGACTAATTCTTTCCACCATTTATGGTACATTATTCTATAACTATCATACCCGTTTAAACCGACAGAAAACTGTGTTAGGAATGTACGGAGCTCTGAAATATTGAGATGATATAGAACAAGTTTGGGACCTCGAGACTGGCTCTGTTATCATTAGCTCATAATGAATGACTAGATGATATTATGAGTTACAGCATGGATCGAAATCAGTTTTCTTAGGCCAATATTCTCTCTTTTGATCAAACGTGTGAATTCCGCAATTCTCGAATGCATTGGATTCTGCTCAGTTGCTCTATAGCTCTATAGGATGCCCTTCGATTCAACAACCCATATGTTATTCACACCTTAATCACGCGTAATGTTTGAGGTATTTGGTTTTTCATCACGTTTAGCTACTTCATAGGCCTAAGAAAGGTGGGATTAAGTACAATCGTCGGCTTTAGGCATGGTGCGTGGAAGATAATTGCTTTGAATAGGTTGGTGTTCAGAATTGGCGGTTATGGTGTGGCACGCATACACTCGACGCGCGAAGACACTGTTATGCTTATTTTTAGAGCGACTCGCGTGGCAGGATATTCTGTTATTATTTGTATTGGTACCAAACCGTAACGTAATTGATTTAATATAATCCTTAACTCGAAGAGATTTGACCCGCTGACATACATCGTGGACGAGTAATGTTGCGGAAATAGTCGCAAAGGAAGGTAGCCATGGCCCTAAGCTCCCAAGATCCGCTTCGCTGCCTACTCTAACCATATTTAGTCTATCCCCGGCCGCGACCGGTGTTAGGGCTCGGAAAGTAAGCTGAAGTAGCATAATAAAAGGAAACCTTGAAAGCACTTGACTTACTCGTTTTTTACTTCATTTTACACATATTTCTCTCCTATCTCCAAATATTTATGGAAAAAAAAATGAAAAAATCAGACATATTGGGTTCGATCGTCCAGAGTTTAGAGGCAATGCCCACTGAACTCGCTCATCAGATCATCGATGATTTGCGAGTATGGGATGTCCTTAAGCTACTCTGCTACAGAAGTGACCGAATCGACAGATGCATCATGTCTCATCCTATTTGCCGCACCCTCATCGGGTCTGACCCTGAGACCATTTCGAAGGTCAGGTTTGCGACCGAATTCTTTAGGCACTGCTTTTCAAAAATTCGGAAACGACCTATCCCTGAAAACTCACCACTATATTCCAACATCCATCACGTTAAAGGTTGGAGGAAAAACTCAATCTATAGCAACATGCATGCACGCCTCCGAGAAGAGTTGACACGGCAGTACAAGATATTGAATTGGTCTCAAGTTGAGGGTTACTGCGGTAATTTTGGTTACTGCGGCTGTATGAATGTCAAAAGCGCGCATGCGAGGTTCTCAGTCCAGCGTACTCTGGAGAGCGGATACTCTTTTGAAGAAATGAAAAGAGATTGGGAAAATATACAAACTCCCCTGGCTGCAGTTTCTGGACAGTTAGCCTTAGAGCTACGTTGGGCAGCCGATATGCTAGAGGCCAATCCAGATATACTTAAACGTACCTTGGATTCGGCGCAAAAGCGTCGACCTAATACAGCACATATCGTATCGCGTATGCGACATGGTGCAGAAAGATTCATGCGATACCCAAAGGCGAGGTTGGCTGCTTGCGAGCACTTTCGATACCTTTTTATGCCAGTCATTCCCTTCGACTCCGTGCTGGATGAACTGTTGGATTTAATGAAAACCAATGGCTTACTTGATGGGGATAAGATCATTAAAGATGGTTTTCCAGCTTTAGTAACGGGCTTAGCAGAAATTGTTGTCCGCGGGATTCCTCATGTCTATGTTTCCGATGATGAAATATGTGGTTTACACAGCGAATATAAATATGATGGGAAAATTCAACGAACTGGAAACACGCCCTGGAATACACCAATAATCCCGGTTACTATCGATGACGCCTTCTTCACTCCCTTCAGATTATGTCAGGGTCGCAATTTCCAACGGCAAAAGTGCTCTAGATGGGAGCCTCATAGCGAGAAGGAAAGAGAATGGCTCAAGTCTTTCGTGGAATTATATCGATACTTGAAGAGATAGAAAGAAGAAAGGGCCAGCACAGAATCAAATATATAGCTACTTGAACATTCATCTATTATTATTATTATTATTATTATTATTATTATTATTATTATAGCTAGACATTGATGAACAGATTGAACTAAATTGGGCCGCTTCTGGTCTGAGTCTAAGTATTCAATATGAATTGGAAAACGCTAAGAAATTCAAATTTTGCTCTAGAGAGTTATAGTATTTAATATGTATGGGAAAGGAAGAGCAAAAAGGATATCGGGTATATTATTATTAATTCATTGTTTGGTGAATTGATTGTAAAAAGGTTTCTGGGTCAAAATCTTGAAGTTGCAGAGCGTATATAGAAAATCATCTCCACTCCATCGAAGCTTGAGGTGGTTGAGATTCCTGGCCATCCATTGTCGAAGAATCCCGCCGGCTCAGTACGGGCAAGATTTTCATACGTTGCAGGTGCCCGTCCTATTAGTGAATGAACCAGTTTCTGTATCAGTTCCAGTATTATTCCTGTCGGAGCCTGCACCTTGACATTGTAAGGTAGTCGAGAAAAGATATATAGTTCTCACCCTCTCTACTCAAGATAAAAGTCGATAATCATATTTTTCAATTGGATCAATCCTTATAATAGTAGTTTTTATTCAATTCATTGCGGGTCTTCCTCACAGCTGTATCAGAAGACAATGAAACAGAGATGGAAGGTTTATCGATGACCACATTTGTGGTGACAGTGGAGTATTAGAGTTGAAATGTCAGCTCAAGCCACAATGTAGTGCCGGGGAATAATTTTCCTATTGGTGTATATATTTCGGGCTACTCCATTTTAGGACTAGATCCATAATACTAGCCAATAGGAAGACCATAACCTAACTGTGGGTCTCATTACGTTTGTAATGTCTGCACTCCAACCGCCCAAATGACTCAATTTCATGATATCAACTAGGAGCTAATATATCAATAGGACACTTTGGCCGAGTTGGTCTAAGGCGCGCCCCTGCTAAGGGCGTTCATTCGTGAGCGCAGGTTCGAATCCTGCAGGTGTCGTTTTCTTTGTACTATCTCGAATAGTTTTTTGATTCTTTTTATCTGTCAGGTGGCTTTCATGTTTCCATCATTATTTCGTGTCATGGCGGAAAAAAGAGATAAAGCTTTAGACCTATATAGAAAGCCTTAGAAACTCACGTACCTAGGCATAAATTCAAGGTCGCAGGCTATAGTTCAGGCTTATCGTTCTAACTCTAAGCTATCCCCCTTTCCAAGGCGTAGACGTAGTGGTCAGGCTCGTGGGTAGCCAGACAGGGGCTCGTGGGTAGCTAGATATAGGCTCATAAGATCTTTATATATCGTGGGGTCTTATATGAAAGCTGTAACGGATCAATACCCGACAATATGCCCAGTGTCTGGAAAGACTGCGCCCCTGGTTCCTGCCATAAGAGCATCCGATCCCAAGGACCCCTTTTCCTTCCTTAGTTAATTCTTCTTGTTTGACATTCGGATCTTGACAGCGTACAAATTCCTGCATTCATCCCATAACACCAGCAGAGTCAGCAACGACAAAAAGGAAAAATCGAAAATATTGACAAGGAGACTAAAAGTAAAACTACTAAGGTAGACGACATATTTGAGGATAACATATTAGTACTAAGAAACTTCTCGATGATTTCTGTTAGTGAGGATAGAAAGAGCTTTGCGATGCACCGACTTGTTCAGCTATCTATGCAACAGTGGCTCAAGACGCATAAATTATACGAAAGATGGCAAATGTAAAGACCTTACTCTAATGGAGAAAAGAGGTGGACGCTGAAATGGAATTCTAAGATAGAGAGGAAAAGAAAGAGAAGAGATGAGAGTGGAGCTATCTTCTGATGAAACTACATACGTCCTTATCGCTCCTTATTATCTCCATATGCTCTGGTCTGACTTTGTCACAGCAAAGAGACTTTATACAGCGTCTTTATGACAAGTTTCCGAATAGCGAGTTTGAGAACTGGCTGACTTGTCAGCTGCTATTCCCTCATGTGCTATATGATGTGGAGCAACAGCCAAAGACAGACTCTGTGCTAGAAGAATGGGCGTCTCTATTATATGATTCAGCATGGTTTGCATGGATACAAGGGAATTTCCTTGATGGGAAAGAATGACAGAGGAGTCAACCCAAGCGAGGAAAGAGTTATTTGGCCATGAAAGCCCGAAGACTCTTCATAATTTTTCGATGCTAGGGTTAGCATTAAGCCTTAGGGGTAAATTTAAGAAAGCTGAGGATGTTCAGGTACAGGTGATAAATACTAGCAAGCAGGTGCTTGGGCCAGAACATCCCTATACTCTGAGTAGTATGGCATTTTTATTATAGATAAAATATAATTAATCAAATTTTGCCTATACCTTAAAATTATTAGGCAACTTCGACACTGCTTTACAATTGATGACAGCATGCGCCCGACTACGCGGCCAAGTACTAGGTCCTGATCACCCGGATACCCTGTCTTCAATATCTATTTTCAATGACTGGTGTGAGAATAGGCATTCCTCATCTAGTCAGCCTCTTATAGAAACTATTGAAACAGCAGAGGAGTCTATCCAAAAGTCAACCCGTGCAACCTGTGGCCGGTATCGCAAACAAGCATTCTTTTCTCGCCTCTTCCGCAAAGTCTAGCGTTCTGCTTTTGTTTTTTTTTAAGACGGTTTTTATGTGTAAAGCGAGAAAACCAAAAATTTTATTACCTGCATAAACGATAGGGATTTAATGATTTTCAACCAATAAATGAGATCAGATACATTCCCAAGACTTGGAATTGATGAAAATTTCTCGAATTTGATTTTGGTATTTACAGTATTTTACACTTTGTATTTATGAAGTTGTCACTTAGTCGTGGTTCGTACAATGCAACAAAACTATACAAGAACAACTCTGCTATAGATACAGGATGGATCGAAACCAGTTTCACCACTTGCGTACAGAGATATTTTCTTTTGAAACGCACTTTTACTATTACGGCTGCCCCTGGCCCCCGCTCTTGGCAGTATTGCAGTACTTTGTAGATCTTTCGCTTGGACTCTAAAATGGTAAATCACTCCCAACAAAGTCGGGGTACACAGGTTCTACGCAATGGTAATACATAATTGAATTGTTAAGAGATGAGAGTAAGGTCTGGTAATTCTTGACCAGCGGGGGTATAGATACATAATTCATAAACACAAAATGGCCAAGGCAAAATACGCTCTTGTTCTCAAGAAAAGGATGCAAGCCTAAAGTAAACCACAGTATCAAAAAGGGAGAGAAGAAATATAGAAGAATAACCCCTATTCGAAAGAGGCCTTGGAGAAATCAAATCCTTCTCCTTCATGCACGAATACAACCATATAAAGTCTAATAAAAAGGCGAAAAAATAAGTTCAAAAAGGGTCTCCCAACTTCAAGTCCGTGCATAGGGTATGATTGGCGGAAATCTCATCGACCCTTGGTAGAGATGCGTCTCTGACGATCATTTTCATTTTTGCAGACAAGGAGTTTTTCGATCAAGTCGGGATGAGGGCCAGAATGCTGTGTTTTGGCATCCCGAGAGTTTGAAGGCTTGCTGACAGACCCAGCAGCCAGATAATCTCCAGACTCCAAAGCGAGTGGTGTCACCGGGCCAGGACTATTCAGGGGGTCCAAGCGTGGGGCCGACGGACTTTGATTCAAGTCCAGATCGCGATATCCGAATTGCCATTTCATGTCACGCGAACTGGAAGAAGGGCGGTAAGTTTGTTGGCGAGATTGACGTGGGGATGCAGGCTGCCCGGTAATTGAGTGGGACGAAGTGGGGTCTTGAAAGACTGCCGGGTGGAAGCGAGGTAGAGCGCCGAGGTGGAAGCCCGGGACCGACTTCGTTGGAGCCTGAGAGCGAGAGCGCGATGGCTGTGGGGAAGCAGTGCGCCGGGGGGACATAGTTGGCGATGCGACTGGCGAGTAGTAAGGAGAGTGATCGGACCGCATGCTGGAATGGTAATGGACACGGGGGAAGGCGTGTCGTGATTTGGCTGACAGTGAGGCACGTTCCCAATCTTCAATGTAGTCTTCTTTGTCGAAACGACCAGTGAGCGGTGTGACGGGGAGATGTTCGTCGTATATCGGACCTTGCCGTCTGGGGATCGGGATCGGCTTTGTGGGAGAAGATGAGTCAAGATGCTCAGGGGAGTCTGAACGAGAACGTCGAGGAGAAGGTGGGTTATATGCCGAAACAGTGGCAGTTAAATCTCGCAGCGAGGAAAGAGAGACGGGAGTGGGGTATCCGTGTTTGATGAACAATGTCTCTAGATGATCGCGCGGTTGATATTGTGACGAGGCTGAAGAGAAGCCTGGAAATTAAAGTTAGTGGAATGAATATGACTATGAACGATGGAATGTGGGAATGTTGGACTTACTGCCGTATGTACTGAGAGAAGAGGGGTAAAAGGAGGATGAAGAAGACTCCGGGGATGACGACTTTAAGGACACGGATTTTCGTGTTTTCTGCCAAAATAAAATAAATGTTAGACAATAACGGTATTTCAATCTCGGCTCCACAAATACATCACTTCCATGATTTGGAAGGAAGCGGATGATCCACTGTCTCCACTGATGCTTTTCCACGGATAACAGCGGAGGATACATGCCTCCATTTGATGCATTTCCTGCTTCAAGTTGAAGTTTTAGGACCCATTGCCTATTTCGCCGATTCTGGGACAATTTCTAAAGTGGAGTATAAAAAGAATGAAGAATGTGAGAAATGGGTCCTTTTATAAAATAACCTTGGAAGTGACAGGTACTTTACATACTTCCACGCGGCCAACCCCGGTGACCATTAAACATTTCAAGATTCAAGGCACAAATTCCTGATCATTACATTTCTAATGCTATAGAAGGGGTATTCAAGATCGACTTGATCATGCGTGTACATCCAGGCTTCAGCCTTCAGGTGATTCGCAGTTGACGAAGCTGAGCCACTTTTGTCATACTACAGACCAACCAGCTCTGGAGCTCTGGTCTCTTCATCAGCAGACCATCCTATCAAATCATAGGTAGGGATAGAATCATCCCCATTCATTGGCTAAGATCCATCCTAAGGTTATACTTTTGGATTTCTAAGTACGGCTGTCTCGGAACTCTGTACTATTTCCATACTCACGTACACTCCACTCCCTTTATCTCTTCACACGGATAAAGAGGCTGATGTGTTTGATTGGACCTTGATCAACCCTGTTCCGTTATGTTGCAGGAATGATACCGACCATGTGGGAAGATGGAGGTGCAGCCTTTCCGATGCCCCTGCATACAGTTCCTGTCAATGTCCATTCCTGTCAACTTCTCATGATTTCACCATCATACAGATGATGTGGGATAATATATTGGATAAAATATGCTTATAATTTTTACCTTGCTTTGGACAAGCTCAACATTCGAAGTTAAAGAGCCTCTATAACCGTGGGACTTACCTCGGTACCTTGGTAGAAATATACTCAAGCTAGTGAAATGTACCCACCTAGGTATATTTACTAGGAACTATATCTTACCTATATGAGACCCCCGCATTAAACTTGTCCCTCGGCAAGCATTGAAGTGAGAAAAAGACTCCGAGATTAAATGACGCATGATAAAGCGTCTCTGCTCAACAGAAGTCCAATAAAAGTCATGAAGTACCTTCCAAGGTTGGAACGGAAGCGACTCCGCAGGTCTGATTGATATTGAAGGACAAGCTGGTCCGATCATCAGGAGGAACCTCCTCATTGGATAAGTGTAAATAACCTTGGAAGTCTCTACGACTTTCCAAGGTTCAAGGTAACAAGGTACACCGCGCTGTATTTCCAAGGTTGACTCGGATGTGATCTACTGCCCAGGCATCCTTAATAATTATAGTTATTGTAAATCTAAATTAGATGCAAGTTGAACATTTAAATACACTTGATCTATATGGTTCCATTTAATTTGTGTGCGAACTGTATACCCAGGGCATTCTCACATCAGCTCAAATGGAGGCCCTCAGCCTCCCAACTTAACACATTGAACAAGCCACAAAGTCACCTATGCGATAAATTCCCATTCTGATCATACTAAAAATTAATTGTCTCAGGTCAGTAATTCCACATACGGAATCTAATTCGACCAGAGCTTGAACTTTGCGACCTTAAGCGGGTGTAACTTTCCAGGTTTCGGCATGAATAATCAGTCCAAGGTTGAGCCCGGCCGTGGACCCTTGATGGATCTTCAATTTGATCTCACAGATACAGTTATTTAATGGCCTCTATAATTAGTAGTATTGTTTCGGTTTGTCAGCAAACCCAGAAAACAACGCCCCTTATTTATAGGTAGATGTCTGAGATAGATCCCCGGATCCTCAATGCCTTAATGCGGTATACAGTACGCAAGTTTGTGGCTAGAACCACGGCTATTCCAAAAAGACAGAACACTTATTTGCTTCTTAAATTTTTGTAAATAAAAGGTGAGGACTAGTCCGTGTATGGATTCCATTCCAAGTTTTTAAGATCATTCCATCGACCTTAAACCCATCATGTCCCTTTCTGCATGCAATGCCGTTGTGAACCCATCCTTTGAATCTGGTGTTCTATACCCCTGGGTCCCTTCTGCTGTGAACGTAGCCAAAGTGAGCACTGGCACAAATGCCTACGGTGGTGAATACTACCTGTAAGATTTCACCCATAGCTCTGAATTTGTCTTCCAACTTTCAAGATCAGAATCTTGAACCAAGACTGACAAATGCAAATGCAGCAATCTTCAAACTAGCGTCGGCGGCCGCACAAACTCCATCTCCCAAACCCTCGATCACCTGACTCCTCACGCCGAATATGATTTCAACGTAGGAGTTCAGGCAGTATCAACAGGCGCGTCCTATTGCTCACTTTATGTCTTCATGGGCCACAATTCAACGACTGGCGAGATCAAAGACTCGATTTTGTTCAATTTTGGAGAATGGACGTCTCTTAGTGGAACGTTTGTGCCGAAGAAGTCGACGCAGACTTTGACTCTTATTGCTGGATGTGACTTTGAGGATTCCTCTCTTATAGGCAGTGTTCTGCTTGACGATGTTAGCTTTACTAAAGCTGGGCAGTGCGGATCTGCTTAGGCTTTAAGTTGAATACTTATGTACTCTATGACGGCTAAGAGACTTGGAGAGATGAGGTGTGAGTGGGATCATTGTTTGTATGCGAGGTGATTTGATTTTTGTACCATATCATCACTCCTTTACTCTTTCTATTAGCACTTATTATACACTCAAATTTCACGAAAAGTAATTGAGTCTACTGACCTATTTCAGCCTTCTGAAACAATGCCCACCGAACAGCTAGACGAGATCATGACTGAATCAACCCCCCACGCTCCGGAGCCTGTATCGGACGAAATGGAAATGAGATTTCATCCGAGCGAAAGATAATGGACAGGACTCTTTACAAACTCGAAGGTAACGATGATGATATGCTTTCACAAAGCACCATCCGCCGCCAGCGACCTCGGACGACCAATCATGGCTCAATACCCTGCCCAAACTGTTTGGACACAGCTACCAGTCCACATAACCCTACTTTCTCTGAGATGAAGGGACTGGAAGTCATAGATTCTGTTTCCCGGTCATTGCACAGCATCGCGGTTCTTTTTCGCGGAAGAGATTATCCAAGACATCTAGCATCGATGGAGATGACGATAGTTGTATGTATTCAATGCGAAAAACTTCCAGTGGGTTTGAGAGGCAAATTTTGCTAGATCCTAGTCAAATTGTATTTCCCAATTCTACCAATCAGGAAATTCGCTTCATTTCCGCGGAGAATACCGGTCGGAACAACGGTGTAATCGGGAAGCGCGGTAGAATGTATGATTACTTCTATCTCGATTCCATGTGCGCGCCCCACTTTGATCATATCCCCGGCATTGATCAATGACAATCAACATCCAAAATCACCTCCACATCTAAATCTAAGTCTCAGTATCCCGAATTATCAAAAATGGGAATGAAAGCCCGCTGTCAATGCTCGAAGGTTCAGTTCGAGACACCAACAGATAAACCACTGGCTCTTTATATCTGTCACTGCACGGAATGTCGCCACCAAAGCTCCTCCGCCTTTGGCATTACAGCCATTTTCCAGTACTTTGAACTTCCTAAATCAATGTCGGCTTTTATTGGAAGCTACACGCGCCACACCATTGGAGGCCGAGATATGGAGTGCCTCTTTTGCAAGAATTGTGGCGCTAGGGTGCTCCATCGCCGCCGGGATTTCGTGCCCGCTCCAGGACAACTGCCGAGTGAATCAGCGACTACCAATGTCAAGGGTGGTTGTTTGGAAGGTCTGGATAAGGATATGATGAAAAGCGCCATTCATATTTGGACTAAACATGCTATTGTGGATATCCCCGAGGGAGCAGAAAAGTGGAGTGAGGCACGTCCAACACCAATCTAAATGGATGGAATACGTGTGCAAAATTAGAAAAAGACCCAAGTCCAGTCTATTGGTCAGAAGGGGTTTTCTGAAAATGCATTTTTCCCCATCCCTGTGAGCCGCTTCAAATGATAAGCCCACTTACGAGATATTTCCGCTCGCACTCGCTCGACCAATTAGTTATGACAGGGATGAAGCAATCTTTTCCGAACTAGTACATAAATAGAAACGATGCTCTCAATCCTTCTCCTTCCTTTCTAAGTCATCCAGCTACAGTAGTTATTTTTCATCTTCTATACCTCGGTTGAAGGTATCTAAGTTGCACGACAACACACGAAATTCGAGTCACAATGGCCGCTATAGTTTCTATGCCTCCCGCTCTTCCCAGATTTGATAAGGTTCTGGAGATCCAGGACTTTAGCAAAAGCTGTGCTCTGTACGAAACCCATTTCATATATCATACACGTAGCTAGCGTTTTATAGATACAACGAGCTCCTCGATGATGTAGATCAGCCTACCGTTGCTGATGAGCACATTGAGAATCTAGCGGAAATGTTCGTCACAAGGCTGACAAGTTTCTTGGTATAAGTTTCTTGGTATTCACTTGATTCACAGCCACTTCAAAATCCCTAGGAACACTGTCTTTCTTGGGACCAACTTCGAGAAAAACTCTCTTCAATGGACGAGAATCACCAATATTAGCGGCATTTCCACGGGCATATTTTAGCTCTCACTCAGGACGGCCTGTGCGCTTACGGGTTATAAGATGGGCCTCTTCCAGATCTGTCCTGTGTTGGACCTGGATTCCTTGATGAGTTCCTCGCGTATGTCCTCAACAGCAATCTTACTGGCCTCATTGGCCTCCAAGTCCTTGGATGCGGAGATGGCTCCATGGAAAGCTTATTCTATATGAAGGGCCTATAATGATGGATTCATTCGCCTTCTGTGAAAAACACTATACCGACCCGCATCACAGGCTAAAAATTCGAGACTTTCTTCCCGTTGCTTGTGCAAAGGAATACTGCTCGCTCAGTTGCTTTGGTTTGGGATTCAGAACAAGAACGGAAAGGCCAGAGCTTCGATCTATACTGTCCAAACATCTTGGGAAGCTTGAGAATTTCGGCCAAATACTGATGACTTATTCTGAAATTTGCTCAGCCCCAGGCTAGTATGAACCAGTTCCACCTTAAAAGGCTTGAGTGGCTCATAGTGACGGGAGTAAGTACACCACTTTTGTGCCTGAGACCAAACTAGCTCTGGTATAGTTAGATGCATTGCTACAATTTCAATGATACATTATTGGTTGAGTTGTCTCTGATAAGAATTGGAACAGGATATTAATTATTTTACTTGTGGCGAAGCACAGAGTACAAGAAATAATAGATAGCAAATTGTGGGTATTCGTTGGTTTGATCTATAGTCACAGTGTCCTAAGTGAAACTTTGCATGTTGTAAAGTAGATTACCGGGTGGGGACTTTGTGAGAAAGATTATGGATTGTCACGAAGCGGAACCTATGGTAGTCACGTGACTAGAAAGAGCCGCACTAGCTGGACTAGTCTGTTTACTAGTAGAGTGAAGCTCTTCTCTTCTTTTCTTCTCTCCATCTTCGAATTTCGTTTAGTTTCCATCTTGCCTCATCAGTTCAGGATACAAAATTAGGCTCATTACAGGATAAGATAGATCCATGGATCTTTCTAGCCTTGAAAGTACCTCGTCGACATTCAGTTGCATGTTGATTTGTAAATCTCTGTGGCAAAGTACCTACGGTAGACATATTGCCTACAATCCATGATATTTTATACGCATTTTACAAAAGCCAAAAACGCTGTAGCCAACCATCCAAAGAAAAGGGGGGTATTCCATACAAACATGGCCGGAGAGGAGTTCTTGCTTGCTGGGCAGCTTACAGCGGGAGTGGGCCAGGTGGCTGCGCACACTGTGGCTGTCATAGCGGCCGAGATGCTGCTCGCTGTAGCATTCGAGACTTTAACAGCACATGGATTTCCCGATATTTGAGGCTTCGCGTCAGATAAAACAGCACAAGACTTACGGCCGGTCCACTCCTTAGTAAGATGATCAGAGCCTCCAATATCTATAGTGCCAGTGACATTGAAGGCGAAGTAATTTGCGCTTTTACATGAAGCGGCTTCACTCGAGCTGGCTATGTCTGGCTATTGCGCGCCGTTTTGGACAGTGAAGTCGAGAGTATTAGAGAATTCCGTGTCCTCAAGTTGTACAGAGTCATCGGTGAATTCCTCTGATGAAGTGTTGTTGGAGCAGTTGCCGCCTGAGAAATTCCATTCAAGGTGATACAATGTCCCTGGATCATGTCTCGCATTCAGTGCAGTGGTGTATAAGTGAACATACATTGGGTCACTGCTGGAGAAATTGTTGTAATATAAATTCATCCCGTCAGCCTGCCCATCAATACTGGTGTGAATAGTAGCGATGTTGGGATAAGTTCCAGTATAAAGTGTGACATAGATATCAGGATCCATGGCGGCGACCAGTTTCGGGCTTTGGAAGGCAAACAAAATAGGGAAAAGTGCGATTGGAGCGTAGGTCTCGTTACGCGGGAAAACCAAGTCCACCTCGGCTCTTGATGGAAAGGCTGCTACATACATCATGTGTACCGTAAGCAGGGCCACCAAGAGGTAGATGCCTGCCATACAGGTTGAATGGAATGAAAATCGGAAAGTATTGTTGGGGAAGGACACAGACACACACACACACACACAGAGAGAGAGAGAGAGAGAGAGAGAGAGAGAGAGAGAGAGTCCCGGAAAAGGACACCACGACTTGCTTGTTCGCACTCATCTAATTAGTACTTTTATTCGAAAGACGCCTTTGTTTTGAGGCAGAGCTGGATCAAATCCTTTGTTTGAATTGCAGTAGACTAAAAGAAATATGTAATATGATTGGTTCATCAGGAAATTTACGTCAACTTGGTCAGTATTATTATCCTGAAGTGTTCTTAGTCTCTAGAGAAAAACAAAAAGGAACAGGTTATTTATGACCCAGTAATTTTCTACGGTCTTTAGAGTCTCCGAAGTCAGTGAAGTATAGTCCCTGGAGAGTCTTCGAGCAAATAAAAGTGGAATCGTAAGGTGTAAGGCATTTTTACAGTCGGACAAAGCTCACTGAGCTAAAATGAAGCCGGACTTTTTAGTTCGAATTGTTGAGACACTAACTATTTCTGATTTTCTCGAGACGGGAATATCAGTCGACAGCTACTCTTTGGATTTCTCCGTACCACGTGTATTTCCCCTGCATTAAGCGCAGCTACATTACTGACCACAGGATCTATAATGGCGTAGAAAGTGGATGTGATATGGGGAAGAGTAACCTCCCACTTCAAGGGGTAAGCTTTTCGCCCATCAACACTGAGTCCTCCTCTGGACAAGCCCAGATACAGACGAGCCCCTACAATGACACGGAAAGCTGGAAACGGGATCAAGGAAATGACGTGATAATTAGTATTCAACGAGGCTACGTCGAGGCATGACTCAGAGAGTAGGCCAGAGGTTTCCGGTCTCAACCCACTTCTTTCCCTCGAACCCTTAGTGGGTCCAGCCCTAACTTTTGAGGTGGCAGTTAAAAGTGGGATATAGAGCTATGCGTTGCAAAATTCCTCGCCTTTGTGTACATATAATAAATGAGCTAAGACGATGTTTAGGTTTGAGGGCATTTTAGAAGCGGAAATCTTCTAAGATCGCTAGGATCCCTGATCACTGTTCACTTCATGCTGTATCTCACGGGTGATCAACTCTGCTAAAGAATGCTAAGCTTTAGACTTCAGACTTCAGAGTCTTCTATGCTGACTACATAATTGCTAATTTAAAATTGACCAACTATATTAGGGCGGAGCCTTCATTACGGATACTACGGAGTAGTTAAGAACTACACCAACCCTGCGCCTTACCCAGCTGCCATTCGACATCATGTTCTGTATTCAGCTCATGATTAGTTAGAAATTATCCTTTCAGTAATAAACCATCTTGGTATATTAGAGACAGACCCACATCTTAGAACAAGATGTGGTTCCAGCAAATATTTTACTAGGCTGTTGTTACTAGGTTATGATCGACCGAGTATCCTGCTATCCACCCTGGGGCGAAGATCAGCCTAAGATTGAATGCGATATCTTTTTTGCAGGATTGGAAATTAAAAGAAGCAAGTCATGGGTTACACTTTATACTCATCGAGATTCCAGGCTTCGAGGAGCAGGCTCAATCTTGGTTAAATGGGGCTGTGAGCAGATTGATGCTGAGAGACTTGCCGCTTATATTGATTCTAGTAAGCAAGGAGCACCTCTATACGCGAGGTTTGGGTTTGTAAATCGCATTGCGTCTGGTTCTGGCGAACTTGTATTGATGGCCTGGTGCTAGATTATCAATTGTACCTAGGTAACCTTATAATGGACTCTCAACTGTGCAATGGATGGCTCATTGGATTTTGAATACTAGGGGTTGGCTCTGGAACAGAGAAGAATATGTCCAAAGAGGAATGCTCAAGATCTCGGGAGAAACATGTTATTCAGAAGAATAACACTCTGCACTCCAGATAGTACTCAGCCTTAGTCAAGATATTGAAGAAAAGGGCGGTAAAGCTTTTACGATCCTAAAGATTATGACCATCATACTTACCTGGACACCTGGCTTAAAGTCATATACAAACCTTGGAATTGAGAGTTGAGAATAATACCCTCCAGACTACTCAGTTGGAATGAAGTTACAGGCTGATTTGTCTCAGAATACATCAATTCAACTTTTTGTATAATTCCCAAACCAGACGCCATGCTGCGGTACCAAAATAGAATAGGAGACTCAATGCAGAAACAGAAAATTAAGCATCCACTTCTATGGCCTCGCCTGCGCCTTCTTCGCGGGCACCACCCTTGTTATGACGCCTTCGGCGCTTAGTTTTGGCTGCGCCAGACTCATCCTCATCGCGCTTCTCAATATCATCCTTCTGGTCTTGGGGCTTATCTTTCTTGGCCGTAGAAGCAGGAACTGAACTCTTCTTGGCCTTTTTCATACTAAGCGGATTCGGCCCCTTGGCCTTCTTGAGCCCGCTAATTTGTTTGGGCTTCTCAGCTCCCTCATCTTCTTCTCTCTTACGTTTGCCAGTCGCGGACTCAGGGTCCAATCCAGCACGGAATTTTCCTCGCTCAACATCGTCGCGAACAGTATCGGACTGTGTGCTCAGTGGCTCGAGGACCATAACCGACCGCTTCACATAGATGATCGGTACACCTGGAATAGAGCGGGCCTTGAAACGTAGTTCTTGAGATCGGCGCAGAGCCTGATCTTCCGCTTTTTCGGTCTCAGTTTTCCACTTGCGCTGTTTCTGTCCTTCGCGGTTGTCGTTGTTCTTCTTGGATATAGGTGGTTCAGCTGTGGCTAGAATGTAATGCTCCTTGTTTTCCTTTTTGCTTGAGTTGGGTGAAAGCAGCGAGAGCAGACATTCCACCTCGTCAATTGGAGAGGATTCTGGGTTGTGCGAGCAGTGGCGGAGTGGTAGTTCTGTCGGAGGAGGAAGATGCATCGGGCGGTATGGCTGCTTAGTCTTGGGATTAATTGGTTGTGCGGCCATGATGGCAGCGAGCGAGCACTTGGTCAACACTACAAACAAAAAGTCAGTTCATAAGTTTAGTTGAACAAAAGCGATCTGAAATTTGTAATTTATTTCGCATAGTTCCGGAGCGGAAAGTTCAACACTAACATGGCTTGGGTTTGCCTTGAAGAGTCCGCTCAAGTGCTGGAATTAATTCCATCTTAAAAGAGTCCACCGCATGGAGGAAGTTCGAGTCCACTGAGAGCTGATCAATATAGTTCTTTGCATCAGCTACGGGGATGTTGCCTACCAAGAACCTGGTATGGCTCACGGAAACCGAAAGTAAGCTCATACTGGTGCATAAGCTTGCGATACTTCTTAGAACGTTTGGCCCTCATTGTGAAAAATCTGGATTGAATGTATTGAAAGTTCGAGATTGCAATGTCGCGCCGATGAAACTTTTTTTTCAATTCTGCCGGGCGGTGGGTGGGGCGGTGCCATAGTCTGCTCTTACTCTGATGGTCTATGTGCTACAACTTTTCATAGCTGGTATGGTATGGAATTAAGGTAAAATCTTACGGTCATCCATGAAGCTCTGGGACTGCCTATGTCTTCATTTCAAGCCTAAAAGTCTACGTTGCTGTTCCGGCGACCATCCGGTCTGTATTTCGAGCTATAATTATCCACCAGAGAACATGGCTGTGTACCTAAGGACTATTGATAAGTAGGCATGGGTATATCAATCTCTAATATCAGATTGGATCATCATATATACAGTCATGCGTCGAATATCGTACAGACAACGTTTTGAGAAAAACAAAGTCATGAGAAGAGATATTCTCTAGTCGTTCACACCAAACTTAAACCCCCAGAGTCACGAAAACGACCAGAAAATGTACCTAGGTAGTATTGGATTACTGAGTTGAAGCATCAGTCTTTGCCGTGTTCGATGGTATCTGGTTAAGTTCCCTTTCTTTGGCCCAAATTTCCTCGATGCGCCGCCGCTTGTTGCGTGCCTCGTCTCGGTTTTGTTGGGCTCGGTCGGAGCGCTCAGAAGAGAGGCACTTGTTGACTTCAATCTTGATGTCATTGCAGCTGCCAATGGCTTTGTGTATGAAGCCTCGGGCGTGGCATTCATCGAGGGCAGTCATGATCTCCTCGCAGTCTAGTAGTGGCCTGATTAGATCATTTGTCGGGAAGAAGGCAAGTGATATAAGTGAAACAATACGTACTGACATTGTATGCGGTGTGTAGGTGTGAATGCATGGTGACTGGTAGGTGGATTAATGGTATGATCGGAGACTACAGTCCTGTACTTTGTAAAGCATTCGGTCCGGAGAATCACCGGGCGGTGAGGATATGGCTAATTTCTGCCGGGCGGAAGGGCCCCTCTTTGCGATAAAAAAAATAATATCCCGATAAAAAAAAAAAAAAACTGATCTGTCGAAGATTATACCAAAAATGACTTCGATGATTACTACCACAGCATGGGTGCGGCGTGGTGTTGCCGCCCAATTCCCTACAAAATATGAGATTAATGAGGAGGAGATGAACCGGATATCCAAGCTTGCTCGTATGCAGCTGGAGGAGGCTCAGGATGATTTGAATGCTGCCCAAGATGGCGGCAAGGATGAGGCCGATGAGGATTCTGCCATGGATGAGGATACCAAAGCGGATGATGCTATGGAAGACGTTGACGAGAAGACGACCTCGAAAAAGGGAACTGACTCTAAGAGTACTGAGTGTGTTTCCATGATATACCAGGACTCTAGAAACGAGCGCATGCTAATTGATTGTTTTAGTGACGACGATGTTTTGAAAGAGTTTGATCTCGACCACTATGACAGCGATGAGATCGACGAGGAAGGCGAGAAAATAACAATGTTCGGCAATGTGCAATCGCTCGCCTACCACCAGCCCAACGAGGAGGATCCCTACCTCGTCATCCCCGAAGATGAGAAGGACGAGGAGCGTGAGGAGCTACAGATCATGCCGGAAGACAACTTGCTCTTGGCCGGAAAGGTGGAAGATGAAGTCGCCCATTTGGAGGTTTATGTCTACGAGGATCGCGCTGATAACCTCTACGTCCACCACGACATCATGCTGCCGGGAATTCCTCTCTGTTTGGAGTGGCTCGATATCCCCGTTGGCAAGAACACTGAGGGACGTACACAAGGTAACTTTGTCGCCGTGGGAACCATGGAGCCTGACATTGAGATCTGGGACCTTGACGTTGTGGATTGCATGTACCCCAATGCCATTCTCGGACAAGGTGGTCAGGACTCTGGCGAAAAAAAGAAGTCAAAAAAGAAGAAGGCCAAGGCCAACGACGAATATCACATCGACTCGGTACTAGCTTTGGCAGCTAACCGCCAGCACCGCAATCTGCTGGCATCAGCCTCCGCAGACCGTACCGTTAAGCTCTGGGATCTCAACACAACCAGCTGCGCCAAGTCTTACTCTCACCACACCGACAAGGTCTGTTCGCTAGACTGGCACCCAACTGAATCCACCATTCTGCTGAGCGGTAGCTACGACCGCACTGTGGTCGCTGCTGACATGCGTGCTCCTGACTCCCAGGCTCGTTGGGGTGTCGATGCCGATGTGGAGACCGTTCGCTGGGACCCGCACGATCCAAACTACTTCTATGCCACTACCGATGCTGGAATGTTGTATCGCTTCGACATCCGTAACGTCCCAGCTACCCCAGCCGAGTCTAAGCCGTTTTGGACATTGCAGGCCCACGACTCCTCAATCTCATCCTTTGACATCAACCGTACCATCCCCGGTTTCTTGGTGACCGGATCCACAGACAAGCAGGTCAAGATCTGGAACGTCGAAAATGACAAGCCCAGTCTGGTTGTCGCACGCAAGTTGGAGGTTGGAAAGGTCTTCTCAAGCAACTTTGCCCCTGATGCCGAGGTTGGATTCCGTCTGGCTGTGGCTGGAAGTAAGGGCAATGTCCAGGTTTGGGATGCTTCTACCAACGGCGCTGTGCGCCGTGCTTTCGTGTCACGTCTGCCTGATCTTGCCGGCGAGGTGAAGGAGCGTTTCGTTGGTATTGTGCCTGACGACGATGAGGATTCGGATGAAGAGATTGCTGGAGACGCGGGTGGTGAACCTGCTGCTGGCCGTGATGGCTGGGAGTCCATGGAGGAAGATTAGATTAAAAAGCGTATACTCAATTTTTACCGTTCTCAAGATTATAAACTGCAATTTTATGAAAGTGAAGAAAGCAAAACCGGGCCATAATGTGAGATATAAAAGTGGAACAGAAGACCAAAATGGGTATAAAAACGAAAAAAAACCCGAATGCCGTATTAAATCATAATTTCAAAAGATACAAGACCAATATTCGAACACATAAGAATTCAAGAGTGTGCTTAGCCACCAGCCTCAACTTAGGCCGAGCGAGCGACGGCTAACCTCTACTCATGTCTCATCAGCATTCTGTTCAGCAGGAGTCAAATCAGGGCCGCGTTAATCTTACCTTCGATTTCGCGGCTCTCGCTTCGGTTTGGGCCCCTGGGACCCATAGAAAGCATAGCACTATCATCAGTTAGCTGTCGTCGATACTCTTCATCTATAATGGGAAACAAGAGAGTGACTTACCATCACTAAGGATTCATGTGGGGAATTTGCACCACAGCCTTTGCTGCAACGACACGTGACGAGAACTTGTGTATTCTTGCTATTTCTATGAAATGGTGCCGGGAGGAAAAGACCGAAGAGCGGATGATAGATGGAAGAAGGGTGGATAGAAGAAAATGGGAGAGGTAGGTTCTGTGGTGATCTATCTGGTTTGTATAGTAGCACCTAGGTCACTATCTAGAGATAAAAAAAAATCAGTAAAGTGAGAGTGAGATCATCGTAAGAGTAAGACTGAGAGTCACCTTGGAAAGCGAAAAGTAAGAGAAGGTAAGAAGAGAGCGAAGGTAAGAGTGAAGATATATGAAACCAAAATTTGCGATTGGATCTGATCTAGTATAATACATTCGATCTTTGGTCTCTAAACTCCCAAGGATATAAAACTTTTGTAGAGCAACCATCGACATGAGAAGACAAATAAACATCCAGATGGTCAAAATTTGACCCACAACGCCTGTTGACATGCTTGCACCGAACACTCGCTTCAATCACGCAATGTTGGTGAATTGCCGCTTCTTGCCCGTTCCCTCCTGTGTCTGCTGCTCCTCCCAGGTATCCTCGTCAACGTAGTCCTTGGTGCTGTTTTCGCGGATCTGGTTGCCGATGAAATGCAGGGCAGACATGTTGAATCCCATCTCATCCTTTTGGCGGGCGAGGACCCGACGTAGCGTAGTTCGGATGCTGTCGAGCATAGGACGCATCATCTTGCTGGTGACAATTTGGCGATGATGCGTTTTCAGCATAAAGAACAGAACCCGGCAGGTGAGAGCCACATTCCACTCGCGCTCGGCCCAGATGTTGAGGAAAGTGAAGAGGGAGGTTAGTTTGGAGAAGGGGAGAACCAGTAGGGCGTCTTGCAAGGCTGCCGCGGGGACCTTCTGAACAGTGTTTAGGACATGACGCTCGGCAGAAATGTTGTTAAACGCAAGGTAGATCGGGTTGCGATCAGGGGCACCTGCATTGGGGTTGATGGCCTTGGTCTGGCGCCATTCGCGCATAACCTCTAGATCCTCCATACCCAAATCTAATGCTTCCATGATCTTTTCTCCTGCCATGAGTGTTCCTGTAGTCTGTTTTCCGGCATCAACCGCCTCGGCCTTTTCACCATCTTCCTCATCCTCATCCTGTTCGAGAGATGCAGTGAGTGTGTTATCGTATGCCTCTTCCATTTCCTTCTCACGCTCCTCCTCCAAGAAGAGTGGCTCATCGGTCTGTTTCCAGATGCGAATGCTCTTATCGTGACTGGCACTGACAATGAATTCACCTGAGTGGGCCATGGCCAACGCCCAGATCTCACCATGGTGTCCGGCAAGTTTCTGAATATGCTGGAACTTGTCACCGTCCCAGTACTTGATCATGCGGTCTTTACCCGCACTGAAAAAGTTGTGACCGTTTCCTTCTTTGTTATTCGGGAAAAATGCCACTGACATCACACTGTCCTCATGCGCCAGCAAAGATTTGTGACAGTCACCAAAGTCCAAGCCCCATAGTCGAACGGTCTTGTCAGCCGAACAAGTAACAATCAACTTGGTGTCATAAGAGATGTCCATGCTCAAGACTGGAAGCTTGTGACCATATAGGTTAAGGAAGAGCTTCAGGGAGTCGGTAAAGAATATCTTGACGGTATTGTCTAGTAAAGAAACTGCCAATAAGCGAGCATCTGGCGAGAAACGAAGACTGAGAATGTCATCGTTGACCTTCAAAGTTCTTGTGTGCACTAGCTTGAGGCGCGGCGTGGTACGCTTAGTGCCCGGGATTTCTTCCTGAACGACCTGGAAGTTCCAAAATTTGGCCGACTTGTCTGCACTTCCACTGACCATAGACTTGCCATCTGGGTGCACGTGAAGAGACCAGATGGGGCCTTCGTGCGCATGGATAGTCTCCAGTAAAGTTGAAGATGCGATGTCAAATACTTCCAGCTCGCCGTTCTTGTTTCCAACTACCACAATTTTATCACCAGGAAGAAACGCAGTGCAAAGTGCGTAACCACATTCAAGAGTACGCAGACATGAACCTGTGCGCACATTCCAAATCTTGAGACTGCCATTTGAGGCAGTGGCGAGCATCCGATCCTCAGAGCTCAGGGCGACTGATCGAATGTCGGCTCGATGACCAGGGATATCCACAGCTAGATTGCGGGTATAGTCAGCTTCGTCGTCGTCTTTGTTCTTCTTGTTTGCAAGAACGATGCTATATGACTCCAGCTGATTGTTTGTAGTCGCAGCGAGGATGTTCAGACTATTCGTTTTAAGGGTCATCCAATCAAATGATCGAATCTTTCCACCAGTTCGGACAATAACGTGAGGGACGAACAATTCGCTCACAGGGGCCGACGCGGGATCTTCGGACTTCTCCTTGTCAGCCTCTGCGGCGTTATCGTCACCTTTCCGCTGAGCTTCCTTTTCCTTTCTTCGCTTCTGCTTGCGTGCCATGCTCTTTTGGACCTCGGTCTGCGAGCGAACCCGCCAAATCTCAACAGACTTTTCAGAGCCGTGGATACCTATGTAGTCCAAACGAGGGTGGAATTGAATGCCGACTGTACGATCTTTACCGTTGCGGTAAATGGTGCCGCGGTCTTTGAGAATTCTGCGACCTTCTGCGCTGACCTTCTCCTTTGAAATTTCCATCATAGCGCCCTCATCGATTGACCAAACTCTGAGCTCTCCATCATTTCCTGCTGTAATGCAGCCACCCTGGTCGGGTGAGAGCCCCAGACTCCAGCATTCTCCATTCGATTGAGCCACGTGCGTTTCAATGCAGTGCTGCGATGACAAGTCCCATACTTTGATTAGCGCATCCTTTCCAGTAGTCAAAAGGAAACCCGAGTGTTCGTTCAGCCCGGAAGCCCTAAGCAGTTCTTCGGACGGGAAGAGGAAATGAAGCGAAGTAATCTGATCTGTGTGTCCGCGGAGTCTGAAGAGACCAACTTCGCCAATCAGATCCCATAGGATGATATCCGTATCTTTAGAGCCACTGGCGAGGCGCACTCCAGCGTTGTCAAAAGTCAGGTGGGTGACAGAGGATTTATGACCGTTAAAAGAGATGATGACTGTGCTGGTTCGCGAGTCCCAAAGTCGAATGCTTCCGTCTTCGTAACTTTATTGATTATTAGCGTAGAGCAAACAGGGGATGCGATGGGTGAAATTTACCCGACTGCGAAGATATCTTCATCGGTTTTGCTCTGGGTGACCACAGTTACTTGCGCTTTACAAGCAGAATCTTGCCACCGTCCTAGCAATTCTCCTTTTTTGACATCCCAGCAGAGAACAGATTCAGCTGCACCGACAATCGCCCGACCGGCGCCCGTCTGGCGTGCAGCGCCGCCGAGGGTCTGCTCGTCCTTGGCCCAGATCGCATTCGAAGACGCCGAGGCGACGAGCCCGAAGGTATTCGATTGCTCGAATTTGCTAGGAATAAATTCAGAAGGCTATACACAAGCTTAATCGCACAAATAGACACTTACAAGTAGCTTTTTACCATCGTCGGCGGTTGATGAAAAAAATATCGACTTATCGATTAGCACAAAATTAATTACGGGCCGCATGTCTTTTTAGTGCCTGAGGAATTGGGCGTAAATACTGGGGCCCCCCACCGCTCCATGACGATTCGTGGATTCGTGGTCGCCGTTCACACCTACAGACAACTTGTTGACGCATCAACTTCCCCCATTGTGTTGCCTGCCATGCTTCTTCTAGACTACCAGAACGCTTTGATCCAATCCCTCCTCACGGAGCGGTTCTCTGGGTACAATTCCTTTCCCTCACCCCTCCGTCCCCTCATTCTATACAAAAAGCAGCGTCAGGCCCAGCTAACAATGAACCCCCCGCAGTGCCCCCCCGACCTCGATTGATCAAGTGGTCTCAGACTTTGACGGAGTAACTTTCCACCTTTCAACACCCGAATCGAAAACCAAGATTCTCATTTCGCTTCAAGTGAAATGTTTCAAGGAGCTAGTCCAATACGGCGCCCAGGAGGTGCTGGAACGGGAGTACGGCTCATACATCGTCTCGCCTGAGCCAGGTTATGATTTCTCCGTACAAATCGATCTTGAGAACTTGCCTACTGAACAGGAAGCTCGCGATGAATTGATCATGAAGCTTGCTCTGTTGAAGCGCAATGCCATGGCTGCCCCCTTCGAGAGAGCATTTGACGAATTCAACAAGCTTGCCGAGGAGGCATCTCAATACACATCCGAGTCTGCGCCACAGGGTATTAAGGAAGGTGGTGAAGTCATGTCCATCCACTACCGTGACGAGGAGGCGATCTATATCAAGGCTAGCTTCGACCGCGTGACCGTGATATTCAGCACAGTGTTCCGCGAGGAGACGGATCGGATCTTCGGCAAGGTCTTCCTGCAGGTGTGTTGCATACGAGAAACTATTCAAGGTATCATGGCCTGGGGCTAATAAGGAACAGGAATTTGTTGATGCCAGACGGCGTGTCGTGACCCTCCAGAACGCTCCACAAGTACTCTTCCGCAATGACCCCCCGCTTGAACTGCAGGGTGTTCCAGGTCTGCCGGACGGATCTAGCGAGATTAGCTACATTACCTTCGGTGCGAATCTTGTTGAATGTCTCGATCAAATGCGCATGTTCCACTAACGAAGGACATAGTTCTGTTCCCCCGACACCTTACCCCTCAGCGCCGATATGACAGCATTTCTCATATCCAGACTTTCCGTGACTATTTCCACTATCACATTAAGGCCTCCAAGGTATGATGACTTCTATTATTATCTTATCACCGAGCAATTAGCTTACCATCCATGCAGGCATACATCCACACTCGAATGAGAAAACGCACTGCAGACTTCCTCCAAGGTATGCACACTTCCCCATCCTTACACGTCATGATAGCTAAATTGAAGGTAGTTCTCAACCGAGCCCGACCGGAGAACGAAGAGCGTGAGCGTAAGACAGCAAGTGGACGGACATTCCGTGTGCAAGGTTAGATGTGAGGTTTCATTGCTATGAAGACTACCGGAGGCAGCAAAGCATTTGATTATACACCATTCCTTGCTTCTTTCCCCTTCCCCCTATCCGTACTGTAGATACTCCTGTACTGTAAGCTTATCTGTTAATAGTGAATCGAAATCTGGGAAATATTCACTGCCAAGCAGGCCTCGAACAATGGGCTCGGCGTCGTACCTTCCTGTCGAGGAAATTCTAGAGATTCAGTCTGTATCTCTGTATTTTCTCATACATTTGCAAAAAACCATACCTAGCAGATCAAATTCAAATTCAGGTTTGATTTTATCTCTTCAGAGTGCGGCTTCATCATGGAGGGCCAACGCAAGACTCGTTCGTTGCTCGCCATGTTCAAACATCGCTCCAAAAGTCACATTTCTCACTCCACTACTCAAACCACAAGCTACAAAACGGACTTTTCTTCCCCTGGTACTTTCGACGACACCTTTGAAGACCAGAGAGACGGGTTTTACCGATACTCTGAGTCAATCGTCGAAGAATCCAAGCCTTCAGGTGCGAGCCCTTGTGGCTCTCAAGAGGAGAATTTTGGAGTTTTTGATTCTCTTATAGTAAAAAAAAACCCACATCTTTGACAGGACTCAAAACTGACTTCAGATTCAAAAGATGGCAAAAAAACATCACTCACGTCCCTACACGGTGAGCAGCAATGATTGGGTGAAGATCAGGTCTTCACCAATTCCTGCATCGCCGACACATGTGCGGACCATGGAGGACTTGAATCAAGAGAACCTACAGCTACATTTTTCTGTTGTGATGAGGATTTTTAGTAGGGTCTACGCTATCGCGAAAATTTTACATGTCATCTTCCTCGCATATGGCATTGAGGTAAAGTTAACAACCCAACCTCTACATATACATGCCAATTAATGATACATTTTGCAGCTCGATAACAACGAGAACGGCTTCATGTACTGGATCAAGCGTTCGGAGAGAGGTATTCGAACGGATTCCCTCCGCGTTCTAATCGAATCGGTAGAAAATCTGTTTTATACCATCTACGCGCGTCTACAGCTCGAGATGGCGGCCGTTGAGCTGTGCGATCAGCTTCCTGTGAGAGAAAAGCGTCCCTCCATTGACCCCCGAAAATTTCAACTTCCAGGACCTGTCCATCTCTATCGGATCTATTGCACTTTCAAGAACATTTTGGACCACCGCAGTATCTGTGAGGCACCCAAGGACGACATCATTGCCTTGTACCAGGAGGACTACATCAAACGACAGATCAGCCAAAACGAGGACCGTACGCTTTTTGTGAGCGACACAAAAGAGTACCGTAACGTCGTGCTGAGAGTCCTTATTGATAAAACTTCAGTTTTTCGCGAAAAGTGGGATGGTCTCATCCCAATTTTTCCAAGCATCCCACCCAAGATCATGATATTCCATAGTGAGAATTACCTCACAGCATTTCCCAAAGTAACCCCAGAACCGGACCTTCATGCCGTCGAGCTCCCTTTTCTCGATCTGAAAACACTTGACCCCATCGCGTGGGAAAAAGAACTCATCCTGGACAATCGACAAGCCGCACTGGCCATACTGGAAGGACGGGTTATTGGAGAGTTGCGCCGTGAAGATGCGAACTATCCGGCTGTGTTCCCGGTCAAATACTACAAGTGCATCTGTAGGTCGTGCTGCATTTGTGCGGTCAGGTGTACACTTGCTGTGGAGAAACCATGTCCTTGTGCCCGACGACAGCTCCGTATCGAGATGGCGAAGCTTCGCCGAGGACCTGGACGATTCGACTTTGTGACTCGCGTTACTACTCTTGCTCTCTCTTTTTGGCAGGGTCTGGTTTTCATGAAGAGGAATGTCGATTCAGAAGCCTTGCTCGTGGAGCTTATGGAGTTCTTTTCCCTCTTTAGCGAGGAGATCATCAAGGAGCGCCATTCGGTGATTATCCGAGAGTGGGACTAAATCATTGGAGCAATTCATGTCAGCCTGTTTGAAAGCTGACAGACCTGGCTATGATTTTAATCGATTGATTACGAGTATGACTATGACAAAATTTGGGACCTTTTATTAACGGCTGATATGAAGTATGAGTGTATGAATAAGAGAATTATGGGATTTTTGATCTGGACTTTGAGACATTCCAAAAAAATGGAGTTCGTCCTTTCTGTTCTTTCTGGTTTTGAAACATCAAAATTGACTTAGAGATTTCTTTTAACCTTCGCATTGCACAAGTCCTTAGTAGTCTCAAGGTTGAATTGAATTCATTATTACATTGTGAATATATTGATACTATTGAAACAGCTTAAATGAAGTGATATTCCCAGACGCCTAACGAATGCAAAAAGTCCAATTTACCGCCCTCTCCTCGCAAGGAATGAAGTGATGTGAAGTGATATTATGAATATGAATTGTCGTCAAGTCGTAGCCTCAGAGCACAACATGTTGTTGAAAATGCCCGCCGTGGCTTTGTGAAGCATGCTGAAGGTCATTTCAGTCTAATAATGACTTGAAACGTAAGGAGGAGATAGCCACAGGCACCCTTCTTAGAGTAAAGTGTATAGCATCATACCCGAATCATACACCTCGTTTTTTGCACAAAGCAATTACGACAGATATGTCGTCCATTTTCCCTTTAGAAGAAAAGTTAGTGGATTAATTCCTGATGTGGAATGAGTGGCAAACTCACCTCCTTCAATCGCAAGTCCTTCGTCCACTGCCTTCTCCATATACGGACTTTCAGCGTATGGATCACGAGCGATAATCAAAGCTGCATTGAGCAGCTCCCTAGCTACATAAACCATGCGATCATTCGACATATCAGGAGGAATGTCAAGAGTTTTGATATCAGAGTGACCCTGGTCCCATTTCTGAAGGCTATCCAGAACGAGCTGCAATATCTCATGTTCCCACAGGTTATCGGTGACACCGTCCGAAACAGCCAACACAATATCGTCTTCTTTCAAAGAGACCCTAGACAGCACTGCATCTTTACAAGGTGTGTCATTGCTATTTGTCCCCAGCTGCATCGGACAGTCAAACCAATGCCATTGCTCAGAAGTCCGGAAAAGAACTTCTTTCTTACTAGGCCGAATCACGAGAATCTTGCAATCGCCCAGGTTCGTCACGTATAGCAGGGGTGATTTGGTACCATCCAGCTCGGATGTCCAGTGTAAGAGAGCGGTGGCCGATGTGGTAGTTCCGAACCATTCGCCAGGACTGGTGGTTGCACGAGTCGTTTGTTCGTAGGCAAGCTGGAGGCATTCAACAGGATCGGGAATCGAAGTTGTTGCAGAGACTCGACGTTCGACTTCGAGGGCCCAAAAATGTAATAAAAGGCGCGACCACAGACTTTTTGGTTTTCAATTGGCGTGAGATGATGCGCACAACACTGATAGGCTGAAGAAACTTACCCTGCATGGCCACGAGGCCTCGTAGCCCAGGCTCCTACACCATCGTCAACGCCGAGTAGGTACTCTGATGCTATAATCGCATCATCTCCATTGCTCAGGCCGCGAATCAGCTCTCCTTCTACGGATAATCTCTTATCTTTGTTCAGGGAGTGTGTGGTGAGAGGGTCGGAAAAAGAAGAGGATGGCGGGGAGAGAAAGGGTGGAGGAAACGGGCGCGGTGGGCGTTTGGCACAAACAGCGTAGCCTGTCTCGAAGCGAAAGGGCGAGAAAGCGAAGCTGGGGCTCTGGTGGTCGGGGACGGGCGTGGTGATGCCGTAAGATGGCCACACTGTCGCATGGTATCGCCGCACTAGCGGCACTACCGTCCTTGGACCGAACTGGTCCTTGGTTGCAATCGTGGTTCTATAACAACCTGAGATCCATCGTCTCGAAGTTGGTGCGAAGAGGAAATGTCGAACCCTTGCCGTGGTCACCATTCCTGAGAACCTGTTCAGTGCAAGTGAATAGTCATACCCTATTCGATCGATGAAAAGCAGAGAAATTGAGGAAGAAGTTTCGTCTTGCAAGAATATTGAAAGTCAAAATACTGGAAGACTGTATTTCACCGGTGAGGCCGATCGAGAAGGTATTCTGAATGCTGCGGTTTCACTGGCTTGCAACGCCGACGGCTGTACTCTGGTCTACGTTGTAGGGCATATCCTTGTATTCGTATTCAAACCTCAACACTTTCATCTCATATACTGAGTCTGAAATGTACACAATTCACCTTGAAGTAAATCTGATACCAAGGATTAATGGAATCTACGATAAGTAATCGTACTAGAATGATTTCCGGTTTCATACTTCACTTTTGTCTCTTACATCACTTTCACTTTACTCTCAGCCTCACTTTATCCTCTACCTATCCCTAGGTACTTATGTATCTCTTACTTAGACTTACTATAGGAGTAGAATTCCTATAAATAGTACCTCTATACTTTCATTTCAATACTCTTCCATTTACTGTTAGTGTGAGCGGTAAATGATACTGCCATGTAGTCACCTGACCTAATCATGACTAAAGATAGCTCACCAAATTAGGCTTAGACTGAGCCTGAGTCTTTTTTCGCGAGCTCGCTCTTCAGCCTTTTCTCCCTCCACACACTCAACACCAACACACCAACACCACACAGGCAATAACAGGATCTCAAATATTCAGATTTTTTGTCCATCCTAGCACACAACATAACTGGTATGTATCACACATCTCCCTCCATGGAGACGATACAAAGAACAAACACAAAGGCCGAAAACAACTCTTATATGATGAGATTTTTTCCACGAACCGATTTTTTTAGGAAGAGCCGGAAGAGGTATGACATTGACGTCCCCATTGGGCGCTTTGTTGTCGATGCTTATAATGGTTCCGCTGAAAAGAGTATTTGAAGCTTGTGTTCTTGTCTCTTGGTCGTCTTCTTGGAGGAAAGGGTCAAGAAGTGGAATGACTGCTAACAGCATTTTCCACATAGACAAACGCTACCTCGAAATAGAACTTGGATGATGGGAGGAACAGTACTACAGACAAATTCAAAGAAATCTACCTTTGCAACTAGATTTTCGGAGTAAAACTAATATCCTAGACCATTATTATAATATTACGCCCTACTGCCCAGACGCTAGTCCAGAAGTTAGGAGTTGTTTAGAGATGTCTCGACATCGATGGCCAAGTCAAGTACATACCTAGATAGCTACGGCAGTCATTCTATTTTGCAACCTAATACTTTACGCGTAGTCTAAAAACGAGTGTCGAGGTAGCGTTACTCAGCTCCATGAAGAACCTTGAAACACTTGAATTAGGAAAAGTATTCAAGCTGCGAAACTTAACTCTGCCGTCTATCAAGTACCCTAAGCCTGAACCTTCTAGTATGATCTAACAAGTGGATATAGAAGTCGTCAAATCCATGCGTCACGCAATGGCGCGAGAATGGTTAGTGTAGTTCTCTAGCTCACGGTATTTATTTGTGGTTGATATAGTGAACACAGAGAGAAAGAGAATATCTGTCAAAAAATGCTTTACAAGGGCTATGGACAGGATCTGGAATTGGAATAGCTCTGATTATTGCTCGGTACTCAAATAGCCAAGATGGTAGCAAGTTTGGTGCTCGGGGCATTTGACCGAGAGATCAGATATATCACTAGGATCAGCTTATGGCCAACTAGGTTTTTGGACAGATTGAACTTGCAATTCAACATCGAAGTTGTGGGAAATTGAGAGCTGGACCCGAGAATGGCCATAATAGCGATTTACCAATATATTATGGAATTATAACTCAAATACCATACCACCCGGACGGGTGCAGTCGCAGACCAGCAGTGCTTTTATCATGAAGCAAGTAACATTAAGAAATAGAAAGGTATCCAAATCCAAACCTTAGAAGCGACTAAGATTCATAGCTAGCGTGCTTCAGGCGCTGTTTAATGGCATAATTTGTAGAAAATATTGTCTTTCAGAAGCCCAAATCTATGCCTCAAAATTAACACCAGCACCGTGACTTTCACGCTTAGCATGGTCATAATGTCTAGATGCTTCAAATTCGAGACGATCTCTCTCCTCCTGGCTCAGATGGTGTTTGTCATCGTGCTTTTTGTGGAAGAGGCTGTAGTTGGAGTGCTTATCTAACAGGTCTCTGTTAGCGCCTTGTATATGGCGCATTTAAAAGGCAGAAACAGCTTACCACTCTGAGTAACAGGTGTCACATTGGATGTATGATTTGGCTTGTTCGTGTCGTGATGATGATGGAAGTGCATCGACTCCTCGGCCTTGTGTAGGAAGCCTGTCATGATACTGTGGTATAAGATTTGATGGTATTATAACAGATTATAGGAGAGGGCTTAAGTAGAGCATTCTACAGTAATGAGCCTCAGAGCTGGGATATGTGTGTATATAAGTTGATAAGGTTGACATCTGGAGCTATCAGGTTTTTTTTCGTCAACTTGGAGCTCATGACGTATTATGGGCTGACGCTAGCGTCGTTGGCAGTTATAACAAACGATACAATCAACTGGCTAGTTATCGGTGCATATGAGCTAGTTAGTGCGCTAAATTCATTACATTATGTAGATCCGGCTTTTCACTTTGAACTTAGCAACCCTTTTTAGCTTTATAGTATAGGACCTTGGAACATGGGACAGCCCTACTGAATAGCAAAGCTTGAACCAATGGAAGGAATTTAGGAGATTATTATTTACTTCTGTAGCTAATTATCGCGATATCAGAATATCGGGTTATGACCTCGGGATAATTGGGGTCTAAAATACGGGCCGGAGCTCCAAGGAAGGGATTCCAAGGTTGTTAATTATGCTCCACAGACTCCACTGGTTTATGGCAGGAAACAGTGCTTGCCCAGGTGGAGCAGAAGGATCCATTAGCTGAAAGACATGATTACCCTAGAAAAACTGTATTCTACAGGTCACGGAATCGGAATGAATGAATGAACACTGCGAGGAGAAGGAAACATATGCATTCCTCTTCCTCTTTCTATTCCTGAGATATGAATATCCTCGTCTTAAACTGAAAAAGTAACTTTGGAAGGCTGTATCCGCTCCTTCAAAACGCAGGGATTCCAGTAAATCTCAAAAACCATGGATTAACAGTATTCTATTCCACGTCCCTGCTTAGGAGTTCCATCTACGCTTCTGTCAGCTTTGAGCTCCCCAGAAAAACTTATAGGAGACTTACATCGAAAGTGCCGAAAACGGCAGTGATGAGCTTATAACTCTCCAGCTGGGACAAATAACTTCCAAGACAACTTCATGATCCAGCGCCAAAGATCAAGTATGTCTCCTTCATTTTCGAGAATCAAGCCTGATATACATCTTCTGGCTCTTTGGGCCTTAGATGCCATCTCTCGGGGATAAAAGAACCAGTATTGATACCGAACACAGCTTCGTTTCTATTGATAACTCACGGACTCATACCGACAAAAGTAACTTCTGGCACAAATCAACCATCTGGAAGCGAGACAAATCTTGGGAAAATACGCTCAAGCATAAGCCCCACGTGAGGAGTGACTCGCATCACCTCCCACATTACAGCGTCAAGGTACTTGAGCCTTGCAAATCCGTTGATGTACCCGGCATGGTTAAATAAACCCTTTAAAGCTCCCCACGCAGTTTCCTGTGCACTGTTGGGCTATTGAGAATGCATACGTGGCGCTGCTTATTGCGCTGGCTGCAGTATCACTACCAACCCAGACGTTAGAAAATAGGTAGGTGACAACGACATTGTCGTCCACAGTATCTGGCGGTCTTTCATTATTTTCGAGCAGTTTGTCAAGAAATTTAGCTTGCGCATGATTCTTTCCACCATTCAGACCCTTTTGAAGTTGCTCCTGACTAAATACGGTAGCCCAACCAAAGGCCGCTGGACCAATCTGCATAATCTGATTTTTGTCAAAGCTCATGTCAAGGAGAGAGGTCTGACATATCTATAACTTTTATATAGGCATTCTATCAATTAAGCCTGGTGAAAGATTTTACTGATACAAAGTAGTCAAGAACCTTGTTCGATCGCCCCAGGAATTCATTATAGTCCCATCTAGCTTCATGGATTCCTATATCCTTTGAGAAAGTTATCCGGCTCATAACACCCCATGCGACTGAAACACTCTACCAGATGCTTACCCCACGGGAAAGGAATGCAGATCGCTCACGTGAATTAAGGTAGTCGGACACTCTCCTGCAGTTGATCAATCAGAAGATTGATAGTTAAGTCAACAACCAGCCCCATATCTAGGGCTTACTCATGAACTACAAGTCCTACACGAGTCGAATAAATGTTGAGTAGAACATTTAATACCTCAGTAGTGCCAACGGCGAGGAGATCATTTCCGATCTTTGAATTGCAACCTGGAAGTGCTTTGTTTAGGCCACGTGCTGTGACACTAGACATGGCATGCGTACATATACAGCTACAATATCTTTCCCAAAGTTCATTCATGGATCTAATTCACTTGGGCATGTAGGTGGATGATGGCCTTGGATTGATATAAATCTGGAACGCGCTGGCTCGGGCTAGAATTCTAATTATTTGATGCAGCAAAGCCTAATCAAGGGCTGAAAGATATGTTAGGATCAACATGGTCTATATTCTTAGGCAATATATCCAACGGCCTCTCTTTATGCTCCGTGCGAGTACATCGGCTGTCAACATAGTGGTGATATTAAACCCATTTGCCGAGACTTTTTTGTTTCAATTAAAAGATGTGCTGAAAGAGAACTGACAAGTACTTGTCTTGAATAGAATATTCAAGAGTGATCGGTACTTATGTACGTACAAAATGTTGACAGGTCACATATTTACTTGAACACGATAAAGAACAACGAAGGATTCAGCGTATTCTGCCCAGATGTGGAGACAAATCTAACGGCTTAGTGGTAAAGGGACCAATCATCTGTGGATAAGTACAAGTTCACCAATATTTATTTCGGCCGGTGCTAATCGTAGGTACGGACCTCGGAACATATGTACCTTTCTGATCGCCCGAACCTAGAAGTAGAGTCGTTACTCTAAATAAATATGTAGCTGAAAGCTAATACGCATAATTGGACCATGACAAAATACCCACAACCATGCCCAAAGCAACGGCCATGACACTGAAGCCGGAACGTGGCCTATGCCCTACATGCACGACTGTTTCAAGCCCCCGCTATTTCCTCTTTATCCGGAAAAGCTTTGGAACTATTAGAAACGCCTTCCGGGGTCTGCCCGGGATATATCGTCGATCCTAGAGTCTACCCAATAGTCTAGAATTGAAGATATTGATCAGTCACTTCTAGGTTTACCTATTCCATTTTGCCATGCATGGACTGATCCATCAAATGCACTTATGTGCTCCCGTTGGGAGAGATTTTACTTCGGGGCTCCATAGCGGCAGGGTTCAGCCACATGTGATGGAATACAGTTTGGATGTACATGTTTATTCGATATGAGCGGTTTTCTTATGTGACTAGTACCTGTCATATAGCGGGAACATAGGATCCGCTCCGCGATATTGCAGGCTGGATGTCTGTCGCTTATTTGCATGGTACTTTAAAACGTTAGAAATTTGAGCGTTGAATGAGGACTCCTATTCGATAGAGTATCTAGGTACATATGTAAGTACTTTTTAGGGGTCTCCGCTGTTCAGATCTAAGGGGGAATTAACCCAACCGGAGACTATATCCATTGGACCTGCTTTCTTTGCTTTCGCGAGACTTTTAGATCGTCTATTTGAACTGGGAAGAGAGACCAAAATCTGACAGTGTGTCTAGCCTAAATTTTAGGTGCTTCCAATTATGACCACCGACCAATTAATTGCAGAGGCGGCGGAAAGTCAAGGTCCAGAGATTCTAGCGGTTTGCTGGATCTTGGTCATGGTTCCTGGATTCGTGGTAGCTCTACGAGTCTGGTGTAAGTTCTATCTTAGTCGGGGGTTTGGATGGGACGATGTTATCGTCTGTATTTCCTGGGTAAGTCATCCATATATATCGTTTACAAAGGAGATAACGAGAAAAAGCTGATCAGAAATGGCAGGTCATGCTTCTCATATTCACCGGTCTAGTCACACAGGCCGTTAATTCGGGAGTCATTGGCAGACATATTGATACGATCCAGGACCCAGAAATTGTTGTACCTCCATCCCTCAAGTTGGTTTACATATCCTTTGAGTTTGCTATCATCAGTTGCGTCCTCAGCAAGACATCATTTGCTGTCACCCTTTTGCGAATTGTGACGAAACCTTGGGCGAAGATCCTTTTGTGGTTCATTATAGTATCTATAAATATGATCATGTGGCTCTGTGCTATATGCTATCTAGTACAGTGTCATCCACGTTCTGCTCTATGGGATATAAAGCTCATGGCTACGGCAAAATGCTGGCCCTCCCATATTTACGAAACAATCGCTCTGACGGCTGGTGGTACGAACTCTTTACTAACAAATATAACCTGGAGATGAACACTAATACGTTCGAGCAGCATACTCCGGTTCCATGGATTTTATTCTTGCACTCCTCCCCTGGAAGGTTATATGGAAGCTTCAAATGAGACGACGTGAGAAATTTGGCATTGCTATTGCAATGTCCTTAGGAGTTTTGTAAGTAGGCTTCATTCATTGGACAAAGGACCATCTACTGATGAAGATGAACAGTGCGGCAGCAGCTGCATTTATCAAGACATCTAAGCTTGTAGATGTCGGAAAATTGCAAGACTTTACATGTAAGATTCAATAACTCTGATTCATCTCTCACTATCACTCGAGCTAATCAATCTTAGGGTATTCTTCTAGCATTTTGATATGGTGCTCTGCCGAAACAGGTCTTACTATCTTCGCCGCCTCTATCCCCTCTCTCAGAATACTATTTATTCGTATGCGATGGATATCAAACCGCCAAGAAACACCCGCACCAGATTCATACCAACTTTCTGGTAATTTCTCCAAAATTCAAGGCCCAACTCGTCCAAATCCCTGTTACTATGTGGGCGGTGAGGTAGTCGCACTCAGTGGTACACTTAATGGCTCAGACAGTGACAGTGAGAGGGGTATACTGAAAAAGCCAGCTATCAAGCAAACCCAGGAGATTTCAGTAGTATTTGAGAGAAACATGGACGGGGAAACTGAAGTGGAAAGACAAATGAGAGTTTTCTCGCAGCCTCCAAGTCCACGGCCGCTATGAGGAATTTACATGTTTCATTATTAAAGATTAAATTTCGTTAGACATTACTTAAAGTCCGTAGTTTTTTTTGTGGTTGTCCTGCTTGTTCGCTCTGTTTAATAATTTACTGATACCCCAAATAATGAACGTAGAGGGTTGTATACCGTTTACTTTAGTAAGAAAGCCCGTATGAAGTCATAGGACTACGGCTGAGACGCCCATTACATTCTACTGAGAGCGCTTCCAGAGTTTTCAGGACTTAAACCATTTGAAATACTGCATATTCCACCGCCTGAAAGGAGGTGACTGACTGCCACTATGGATGGATGGAATCTACAGGGAAAATATGAGCTGGTGTTATATTGTTGTGCCGGCTCCAGAGCTGAAGAGATATTTTGAAGAGAAAAGAACGAAATGGGGAATATGGTATCCAAATGCCACCTGGGCGACAAATTGAGTATTTCCCATCGTCATTGTTCTCATCTTTTATCTCATATCGAATACCTCCCTAAGAAATATTTTTCTATTGGATTAGCGGCCTTATACGGCCGGACAGACATCGGAAGCACCAAATTCCGAATTGTAGATTTCTTTCACTTTTAAAACCCTGGATGATTTTCATTAGTCAATTCTCGATAATATCTGCCTATGAATACTGGGATGATGGCAGAATTTGCTCTGGCCTGTGCTTATTTATCGACCGCTTATGTCAACTTCTATCTCCGCAAATCCGCAGTATTGATGTCGAAATTCACAAAAAGATCTATGAGACCAGCAGTAATCTAGGTGTCACAATGGAGTGGGCAGAAGTGCAAAAATATGGAACAGACTAGGTGCCTTGGGCACTTCACCTTATTTGGCGATAATTGGACTGGAAGTTACCTAAACAACATTTGCTCGCTCGGCTTATAGGAATTCATTCAATATTTCTGACGAAAAGATAGTGGCACTAAGTCAACAACTTCTGAAGTGTAAAGGTTTACAATCTTTCACAACTATACATATCTCTATTTAAGTAGTTGCAGACTCGACCTAAACTCTATGTAAGATATCATAAACGAGATTGGGAGCAATAACATGTGGGTTTGGACGATAGTCAGACTGATTTGTATTGAGACCTCTAGTAGATTCAGCCGCGGGTGAAACTGTGTGCTGAAGCTATTTCAACAACTGCGGTAGCACAACCGACTCAGTGAAATTCCAAATCAGCGATGAATCGTGAGACTGGAAGGTAGCTCCAGAATACCATGTATTCCGATGACCTTGCAACGCATACAAGTCTTTATAAAACCCAGCCGCAATACTATCAGATGACACCGTCAGTTCGAATGGAGCATGGCTTTTGAACTCCACAAAATTAGGATTTCCTTCTACGGTTGTTGGGAAACCGTTGGCTTGCAGCTTCTTGATGTAGGAAATTATCTCTTTCTGAACATCGACGTCTGGAATAGACCTGGGGCTTCCGTATTTTATGTCAAAGACTCCATCGATTGCTGTCGCAGAAATCGAGTAGATACCAGGTAGTTTGGGAAGATGGTATGCAGTATTTTCGCTGACCGAGCTTGAGGAGAAGCCTGCCGGTAACCCAGTATTGCTCACTAGACTTGTGTAATATGCTGCATTTTTGAACTCGCCGAAGAGGCTTGATTCCCGCTTATCGAGTATGAAAACTTCCATATTCTCCAAATTCTGCGGAATTGTGATCAGCAATTTGTTTACTCTCACCGTCTGACGACCGTTTGCAGTTCGAATTATTAGCTCAATGCTTTTATTGTCTCGGCTCTGTGTTTGCTCCACCTGGCTGTTGAAGAGGGATGTCTGACCCAAGCAGCTGTGTTGCATGGTCATAGATCTCGTAGTTGTTTTGGCTTGTTGTCAACAAGAATCCACCGGCTATATCACTGACGACGCTTATTCCAACACCCTTAAAGACGTATAATGTGGGAAGTTGTAGGAAGTCGCCTAGACCCTGGCCATAGGTGAATATAGAATAGGTGGCATTTGCAATAGTCGGGTACTTGGCAAGGAACTGGGCAAATGGCAGTAGTAGGTCCTGAGGTACAGGGTCAGGAAGGAAGAATCCAGCTTCAAGTTGAGGGTATTTGCTCAGTTGTTGTGCCTGTCTGTAGTTTAGCGAGGCGTTTCAAAGCCTGAGATAGGATAACCCTGGAAACTTACATATGCGGCGAAAGCAGCTGAAGGATCGGGGCTGCTATAGTTGATCGTCTTGGTAGTGTCAACATCTAGCCAATGGGGGGCAGACGTGCTGAAGTCTGGGACTGCGACAACCCAAGATACGTTCAAACGATCGAAATAGTCCTTGACAAGTTGGTTGTTGTGGAAGACCACAACGCCATAGTCCACAGTCTGATTGGTGACTGGATCTTGGTATGTGTTTGTATGGCCTCCAAGGATATCTGATTTCTCAATCACAATAACAGACTTTCCTTCATCTCGGAGTCTCACAGCAGCGTAGGTTCCAGCTGATCCACCTCCTATGATGGCGACATCACGGACGATGGTGGTATCCTCACATCTGCCAGAAGGAGTGTGCAAGATAATGCCAAGTAAAAAGAAAGCTTTGGGTATAGATGGAAACATGGTTAGCCTCCACACGTCTTTCTGGAGGCAAGTGAAATGTGTAAAAGCAGATCAGCCCAATTTCATGCGGACCAGCTCGATATAATAGTCGTAGTTATTTGCAAGTCTCTTCGGAATTTTGGACTTGATTCGCTACTCTGCTATAAGAGACTCCACAATCCTTGACCCCTCTCACGATAGGGGATGCCTCGCGTGGGCTGCATTCCACGAACCTATTGGTTCTGCAGGTGATCTCGCCATTTTCGTATTACTTGCAGTCTTTGATGCTTATCTGCAGGCAAGTCATCAAAGCATTTGATTTCGCCTAAAAAGCTAGTAAACTTCTTAATTCCGAGTTTTCCGAGATCAAACTCTAAGTTCACATTCATTTAGGCTTTACCTAAGTGGGTAGAGCTAAATTTGAATTATAGTGTTATAAAAGGTATGTAGGTGTCATCTGTAGGTGGCTCCCGCTTTTTTTCTGCGCTGAAAAAGCAAATATAAGCTGAAAGTTGACACGAAGATTGGTCAGTATTGTATGAGTAACAAAAATAAGTATTTTGAGTCGTACAAAGCACTTAAGCCTTCTTGGCAGGGGTTTTAAGGAGATATCAGCCTGATATCCCTTTTGACTTTCTCCAAGGTCTCATCTTGCTCAATTAAACTGGCTTTTCAGCTTCAATGTTTCACGAACGTGTAGTTGATAACTTAAAGGAATGGATGCAACTATTTGATCGAAGATTTTTCGTAAATAGCAGTCAATTTGAAGATTGAAGCCGATGCATTCGCTTAGTAGTGACTCCCGAGCCAGCCACTTAACTATGTATCATGCTCAAAACCTCTTCTTCAGGTATAATAGTCTAGTGGGAAAGCCCTTGACTGTGGGTATTTGCTGTCTATAGCTCTGATTATAACTGCCGATTTGTAGCTTGATGATTCTCTAAGAATCTATATTTTAATTCATTTTGATGCACACTATTGTGCTTGTTATATGATTATTACTGTGATGAATTTTTATCGGCTTTTTGGTACTATTCATGATTCTTATCAGTTTAATTAACCCTTTAAAAAACTTGGGGAAGTGATTATCGTTACAAGTCCTCTGTCATTCCCACCCTTTATACCCCTTGTTCTATCATTTGCATCTACTCTCACACCCATTCTCTCTGCATATCCCTCTGTATCTATCTACTTCCCTATCAATTCAAAACTGTTCATTTCACTAACTCCTGGCCAATTTTACCTCGAAGGCTTTTTAGACATCTTGCACACACAGAGAAATACACAACTAGACAGATGTCGAAACCTGCCCCTCAATATTGTCTAACAATATTACGAAGGATTCAATTCCAAATTATGAGGCTGATTGCCGAAGAATTCAGTGACTAAGTGATATCGGATGGTGAGCCTCTAGACTTCCTTTGAAATCTTTGGATAACCACTCTCCCAATTTGAAGAAATCTATGATAGAATCTTCCATGGTTGAACATCAATATAACCTCACTCTCCCTTCCTCAGATACGACACTTCGCCTGGACAGCTCCTAATGAATATATCCTCAGGCACACCCCCATATCTGTATGGGTTGATGTTCGAGTCTTGAAAAGGCGAGTAATGTTACTTATGAGGTCGTAAACATTGGAAGTTTGAAACCTGGGAAAAAAAACACAGATGGCAACCTTGAAACCGTCATTGAGTGTTGAAACCTCATACATCATCTAGCGCCTAGGCAGATCCAAATGTTAAATACCTACTTTACCTAGGTAGTAGGTATTAACTGATTCAAGGATCAATAACATGTTATTGTTTTCGTTGTAATCGAAAAATATATCGGGTATGTATGGTATCAATGTATTGCATCGGAAGTATGGAGTTTAGTCCATATTACGCTAAAAGAATACTCCATACCTGGGTAATAAACGTAAAATTAAAGCTAGTCAAAAAGTCCGGTAAGCATTTAAGGTTAAAAACGGTATTGCAATGCAGTTCGTGGATACCAAAATATGGGGTAAAATGGCCGATATAGATACCGCCAGACCGCTTCCAGGAGTATTTTTACAAAACAAATTTGAGACATTGAGGAAGGTATTTTACACAAAAACACTGTACACAATATCCATATTTTAGGTTTTTATACTCGATACTCTGTATAAACTTGACTGCTGCATAATATCCATTCCAAGGGATGGCAAGGCTCCCGCCTATGTGTTATCTGAGATATAGAAAGCCAGATCCTAAACCCATCAAGTTGAGCCTATTGGGTAGATCCAGATTCCAAAGCTGCAAATTCACGACGAACCTTGGAATTAGAGACCGTATGATTAAAATCCTGATAAGTATTGCTTCAGCTTGGGCCAGTTTGAAAAATTTGGGTGCCCCTTTGGGCTTTAATTGGAAATCATCTCAAAAGCGTTCCAAAGTCTCCCGCCTTCCATGTCAGTTTTGATCCCCTTCACATCTTAGTCAACACGAAGAATAGTCGTCTCATGCCCCTATACTAATTCTCATTGCAATATACACAACAGAATTAGATCAGATGGAGAAGTCAGCCACTGTTGACTAGCTGTCAGCTCTGGATGTCGAACGGTTTCAATTTTTGGGATTTGATAAATAACCTTAGAGCCCTTCTAACTAGGGCACCTGATTTATTTGATATCTGATATCTGGTCCTAGATAATTCACAGAAATGAAGATTATAAAAAGTGCTCCCTACATAAATGTACGAATCGCAGCAGTCGACATCACAATGTCATTGACTGAATGCCTGCCTAGAAGATATGGTAGCAGACAGATCTGCAATCTCTAATGCTGTTTCTTTCACCTAATGATAAATATTGGCAGAATACATTCTTATAGATACTCCTGAGTCCCAGAGTCTACATCGATTGTTGAATATTGATACACTCTCAGTTCTAGCCCCCAAGGCCGCTGATATAACGATCAACACGCCAAGCTAATCTGAAAGTTTCACAAGAACGTTGGAAAGAGCGTCCAGGTGAGCAATTAGAGATCTCCAAATATTTCCAGTATTAATACAGCGCTATAACACTGCCTACCAATATCGGTACGATAATTACGATATTGATTCTGCCGAGAGAATAAAGCGGTGAATTGAGCAGAGTTGTACACTGAGGCCCACTATTATTTACACTCTATAGAGTATCTGGTATGGAAAACGAGGAAATTGAAAATTTGATTCATTTCAAATGTCAGACTGTGGCAGCTCAAATTATTGTGATAATTAAATCACCATCAAGCAGCTCATACCTGGCAAGTCCATACCTGTCACATTCAAAGTGGTAAAATCTTGGAGAATGGTGAAAATCCACGTGGGAAAACATAATCAGTAAGAGATACAAGAGAAACGGAAGTAAATACTAGGCTTCAAGAATCCATGTTGGAGCAAAAGGGAAGTTAGTCAAAATCATGTCGGCGATAAGCAGGTCATCATAATAAATAAAAAGGGTGTGCGCCATTTAATAAAACTTGAAATAAATGCGGGCGCCTGTTCGATTCACGGGCAGTAAAGATATCGCTTAAGAACAGCAAAAGATTGGATAACCCGGTGTTCAGTTCACACGGAACGCGTCGAAAATGACTATTTCAAATATCAGTAAAATATTAACGATATCGAAAACGGAAGGTCTACCTTCATGACCGCGGCGGCAGCCGCTGCCAATCCACATCAAACTGTTGATGAAAATGTAACGTTCATCACCGGTCTCCATTGAGAGGTTGATGCGATACTTATAGCTGCTAGGGTTGATACCATCAGCCATCCCGGAGTCGTTAACCTTGTCCAAGACATCCTTGGATCCAGTAAGCCATCCATCGGCGCGAACCATGATGAAAGCAGGCGGTTCATCAGCAGTTTGCAGAATGTAGCTTGCGTGAAGATTGGTGGTTGAGTCCTTGGTGATAACTTGTGTGTCTTGACCGCCAGGCTGTTCCAAGAATATTAGTGATTGCAAAATGTGATCAGTGATTGTGTGCACCCACGAGAATAATTCCCTTGCCCCATCGACCAGCCCACTGGCCACCAATGAAAGAAACCCATTCGCGGTGACCCCAGATACTCGGGCCAACAGCGACCTTGGGGTTCATCTTGATGCTCATGCGGAAATCAAGCTCGAGTGTAGGTGCAGGAATTTGAAGCGATCGAGCTACATCACCCTCCGGGAAGGTGTGCAGCAAGTTGTTGGCAGGAATTGAATCCTTCATGACACTGAGATAGGTGGGACACTCAAGAAGATGCTGGCGCTGGCGACTTGTGTTTTTTGCACGAACTTGTTGACAGTAGATACATTGCACCGAAAGACACTAGTATCGCGTTAGTTTGACTTCTATTAAGACTTCCACTTCGGGTGATCAACAAAATGGAAGTTGACGTCATTCTGCTTTGGACGCGCCTACCTTATCTTCTTCTTTTGCGCGAAACTCTACAAAGGCGGCGTGAACATCATCTAGAGGTGGCGCAGGAAGATTGGAGCTTGCTGATTTTGGTTTTGGCTTTGGGGTCGGACGCGACGTTTGCGCGGACTGCGGGGCCGAACCTGGAGGTCCTCCGACGGGCGGACCAGGAGTCTGCATCGGGGGCCGATTTTGCAAAGCCTGCAGCGGAGTCTGCAGAGGAGTGTGAGGGACTACACCGTTGGTCATCATTGCGCCATTAGGTGTAGGAATAGAAGGGCCATTGGGACCGGGCGCAGAAGCGTTAGGGCCGTTGGGTGTTCCGGGATAGCCATTGGAAGTGAGACCATTGGGCGTCTGGGTTGGCTGAGAGGCTTGGGTCGCATTCGGGTGACCACGCAGACCAGGACACTCAAGAAGATGCTGCTTCTGTCGCGAAGTGTTCTTTGCCCTTATCTGTTGGCAGTAAATGCACTGGACGGAGAGACACTACAAAAAAAACCGGCCTGTGTATTAGTTTGTCTGCTTGGTATTTACCGAAAATAACAGTCACGCACCTTGTCATCTTCTTTGGCGCGAAATTCAACGAAAGCCGCGTGGACCTCCTGGTCAACAGTGCGACCCATTATGAGGGAATCCCCAAGGTGAGAGCCCTGAGAAGTTAAAATTTTGATGAGGGTTCCCAGAGTTGGGATAAGAAAAGTGATAGAAATTTTGGTGGGGGGAAACCTGGGTAAGAGAGGAGGAAGGAGGAAAGAAATCGAAAGACCAAGACGAGATTACCGGTGGCGAAGTGTACCCAGTCCGCGTAATTTTGAGTCCGGTTTCCGAGTATTTCACTTACATTTCAGGCGGTCAGCACGCCATCCTCAAACGCAGGTATTGGATTGAGTCCTACAAATAATTCAAGATCTCATGTCTTTTTGTTATCTAAATATCTTTAGTACAAATTTCAGATCATTTCAGATCTATTTCAGTCCTCAGGCTCCAAGGCTGCGGGATTCACCCGAACATCGATCAGGCAAAATATTGTCAGCCCAGAGTGAAGTTACCTGCTAGAAAATGTATAGATGCTACAGATATTTAAAATTCTACCTAAGGAGTATATAGGATATCTAGAATAGGTAGCAATAGATTCAATGATAAATTAAATCCATAAAGCCATATGATCCAAGAATCACCTGTCTAGGTGAGCACTATCATCGCCCTTATCACGCCAACCAGGCTGATTCTCGACCGCGCACCTGGGCGCACCTGGGCGCACCATTTAGATCACAGATGGCTTGAATGATAAGAAACAAGCATAATCTCAGTTGGAAAATCTATCCTCGAGATACCTAGAATATCGAGCAGTTTCTATAAAATCTTATCAAAATACACACTGGTATACTATACCTGGTAAAGTTCGAGTGTTATTACTATTACTGTTCCGACCATCCCGTATCCTATACGTGATACGCCGTGACCTGGTAAGATTCACGAACAGAACGCGTAGTGTAAACAATCGAACTTGAAACGAAGTATACAAATGCCATGTGGAAAACCTTGAGCTTAAATATAAAGATCATTGAAATTGTCCGAATCATACTTAAGAAAAATGCTATCTCTTTCCTCATCCACCAAGAATATTCAGCTGAGGGACATTTCACCTGAGCTCATAAATCATAATCATAAACGCGAATCGAGAACTTAAGCAGATAGAAGGATGATCGACATGGAAAAAAGCAACTGGAAGTGAAGGAACCATGAAAAAGAGTCACTGGTAAAGCTTCCATGCAGATGAATGAAAGTCGACTCTGCAAAGCATGTTGTTGAATAAGCCATATAGGATCATAAGTTGTGACTGCTGCGTTAAAAATCATAGCTAGTAATGCTGTCGGATAAAATGCGCTTATTCGAATGGCTGCATGAAGATCTCTCCATATTTGAAACGGTCAGGCCACACATACGAACCAGCATCCTTGCTGGGGCCCTGAGACACGTCCAGCACACCCCGCGTAGCGAGGGTAAGAACGTTCATGAAGCCCTGGGTAGCCACAGGACGCGTCGTATGGGTAGGCGGGAGAAGCTCTGAGAACGAGATCTCTCCAGAATACCTAGACTGCTCAGTCTTACTCTTGATGAAGTCAAAAAAGCTCAGGCTCTCCTGATCGAGCACTGCAACGGCTCGATCGATCGCCACAGCTCGTCGCGATACGGATAGCATGCTAATGTCTTCGTTGTCCTCTGCCAACTCGTTTTCCAGGTACTTGGTGATTTCAAAATCTTCCAGATCGGCCTGTCCATCTTCTTGGAGGGTAAGGCTGCTCAGTCGTTCGCGCAATCCTCGTCCAGCAAGGGGACTGGCGCTTGTGAGACGACCGCGGATTCGGGAGCCGATGAAGCTGGCTGAGTCGTGGAGTCCGCGGGCAGAGAGATCACTTGCACTTCTGTGCAGACCAATATTAGAGCTTTTGATCGAGGCGGTGATGTTCCACGGCGCTTGCGAGCTGTGGTCATCGAAAAGGACGTTTGAGGGCGCGTCCCGGCCGATTTCCACGTCCGCTTCATCAGATTGGTGGCCCCCTCGGTGCTTGTTTGTAGGCGTGTTGCTTTCTTCGTCATAGTCTCCCCTTGCACAACTCATTTTGATCGTGTTGCTATCGCCGGACAGCATGCTGTAGAACTGATTGCCCGCATAACAGCTCAGAGGGTGGACTTCTCGATGTGCACCCAGCCCAGTTCCCACAGCGCCGATTCCCTGGCCGAAAACCCAGAAAGCTGCATTGTTCTTGGCGATCGTGTGCATTTTATTTTGATGCTTGTTTTTCGCTGCCTGCTCCATGAATGCTGTATAGCTCTCGTTCCACTGTGAAAGGTCCGTATTGCGGAGAGTGGTGTTGTAGTCAGAAGGCATTATCGGACGAGCTTTTTTCGTCTGTACCTGTTGTCTTTCTTCAGGACATCCAGGTCCAGGTTTGCACTCTTCAATAACTGCACTCTCTCTAAGCAAAACGTTGTTACCATTCGTGGGGAGATCTACCTCCATCAGGTAGTCGTCCAGCATCTGTATCTGTATGATGTCAGTTAATTCCATCCAGTTTTGTTTAAGGCATTCAAGCACTCACTTCATGAAGCTGATCTGTTTCCATGGTGAAACCTCCTTCTCTTCCCAATTGAGAATGCGAGCCCATCTGGGCTGGAGTGATGCGTCTTCTCTTTGTTGGAGATATATGGCCCGCATCAAACTCGACGATATTACCGTACTCATCGAATTCAAAGTCAGGCTGCAGGAGGATCCCTTCTTCATCATCAGGGCCTCGCTTTCGAGAAATTGTATCGGTGTCATCTTTCATGTTGGGTAGATCACTGTCCAAGAGAAGGTCGGAGGGAAAATCAAGCTGAATGCTTCCGAGTTGAGACATGCTGGATTGACTTTGATCTGGAGATTTAACCCAAGCGGCTGACTTTTTCAAGTCAGGGAGAATATCAATGAAGGAGAGATCGATTCCCTGTAGACCAGTCTCAGGGAGAAAGGCCAGATCGTATGGGAGGACGATGTTGCTTGGCCTGCATGAGGTTAGCTTTGCACCAGATCGAAGTAAGAGCAAATCCAGTGAGGATTGAATCAAACTCACTTAGTTCTTCCAGCATTTGGGTCAAGACCACCTTTAGGAATCTGCTTCAGCATACTAATCATCCGATCGTGCATAGATTGAGTGTCGAGCAGAGTATACCCGCATTGTTGATGAAAGACTCTCGAGACTCCGTACCTGCAAAGATTAAGAATATGTCAGTCACGACAGCTCTTTTGATATGGTGTTCATGGAGAGATTAAGAGAGATAACATACAGTAGGTTTCCTTGAAGTCGCAGCGCCATAGGCGCATCAGGATTGATGATGACACGGCATGCTTCGGTAACGTCGACGTCAAGAATAGCTTTTCGATTAAATCGTCTAGTAACGGATCGAGATCCTAGAGTTGCTACGAGCCTATCATTATCAGTCAGTATATTTCAACACGGAAAGCGGGTTGTTCATGGTTACCATATGGTGGCGACGCCATGCTCCGGAGAGGTGAGGACTGTTTCAAGGCTCGAGAATTAGCAACAATTGATCTCCTATCCTGGGGCTTTGATAATATCATCAATGAATGGGAAAACTTACTATCGTGGCTATAAAACATGTTGGCGGCCGGTCCTTAGACTTAAACACTGGGGTTATGAGACTCAGCGTCGATAACTGATCTTTGAAACAGCTTTGCCGACTCGACAGTCTCAAGCAATGCAAGATAGTGAAAAAAGATGACGATAATGGAGAAATGATAGTTATGAAAGTCGTGGTTGAATAGAAGTCCAAGTCTGAAGTGAGGATGGAGTGGATGCTATCAATCGAGAATCTTTGAAGGTTTGATTGACTAAATTGATTTCCGTACTCACTCTGAGCTGATATTTGAGGACAATCGCATTCCTGAAAGAGAGGGTGTAGGAGGGAGATTGTTGGTTAACAATGGAGTGTTGAAGAGAAGAGTCGCGCGTGGTGACGTTGAAACATAACACTGGTATTTCTACGTATCTGCCTGCGCAAGTAAATAAGTATTTGCATTATAAGACTGTATGTATCCTAATTAAATATGACTGATACCATTATTCTAAAACTGTACATAAGTAGATTTGAATAGAACACAATATCTTCAGCCTCTTGTCATCACATACCACTCTTTCTTAAATACTACATAAGTGAATTTGCCCAGGTGCCTCGGTGTATCCGGCTTTCTAAAGGCTCTCAACTCAAAACATATCAAACTACTACCGGTACGTGGCTAGAGAGGAACTTCTATACTTAGCTTCATGTACGTTACTTTCGCCTCGTATTCCTGCAGTCACTTGTGTAATTGTACCTGGGCAGTAGTACCTACGTATTTTGGAGGCTAACATGGAAAATTGGAAATTCATACCGTAGGAAGAATAGAATGTAAGAAGCAGATCTACTTTTGTTTGTGCCATTGAAAATCTTCCCTAAAACGTTGGAGGCATCATATACAACCTAGAAGAAGATAGTAAATCCGATATAAACGGAATGTAATACACGATAAATCGACATCAACAGAGCTCCACAGAGCAACACTCTCCAAATTGCCAAAAACAAAGTCTAGGGTCGACGTTGTCAGGAGATAAATGAATATCAAAGAAATCCGAGATCCAGTAAGTGTAAGGGGGAAAATAATCAAGACACTTTCAAGCTATATTCTTTGCAACTCAAAGAAACTCGGATGATGCATGTGGATATGACTAAAATAACGGGCAGACACGAAGGCATTACACCTTATCGCTTATATAGCAATCAATCCAGGGGAATGCCCTCGTACTCAGAGTAGCCCAGAGCCAAGTTCATGTTCTCTGTTGAATTGTTAGCTCTGCTTGGAAGTATCTGAAGTTTAGGACTTACGGAGACACTGGGTAGCGGCACCCTTGAGGAGGTTGTCGATGGTGGCGCAGACAACGACACGCTCGCCGCTTGAGTGGACAGCAAATCCACCAACTTCGACACCATGGCGGCCGGCAATGTTCTTGACTAGTGGAGCCTCGCCAACGATCTTGACGAGCTTCTCTCCGGCATATCGGTCCTGGTAAAGGTTGCGGATGTCACGAGATGTCATCTTCTGTTTCAGAGGGATGCTGATGGTGTGCTATGACGACGAAACATTAGTATAAGGAGATCAATACAGGTAATGAGAAAGAACTTACGTGGATACCCTGGAACCAAACAGCGACGTGGGGGATGAAGGCGATGCTAGCACCGAGCTGAGCGCTAATCTCACGCTCGTGAATGTGGTCAGTCAGACTATAAGGAATGATGTTGTTGGTCAGGAATTCAACGTCGTTCTTGGGGCTGGGCTTGGTTCCAGCACCAGAGTAACCGGAGACACCAAAGGCTGTGGGCTGGCCACCAAGGAAGGGAACGAGTGGGGCGATACCGAGCTGGGCAGCGGTGGCGTAGCAACCAGGATTAGCGATGCGAGTGGCACGGGCGATCTTGGAGCGGTCGACCAGCTCGGGCAGGCCGTAGGTCCAGGTGGGGTCGAAGCGGTAGTCGGCGCTCAGATCAATGATAACGTTGCCGTTGCTGGCACCCTCATTGACAGCCTCAACGAAGGGCTTGCAGACGCCGTTGGGCAAGGCCATAACCCAGCAATCGACATCGCCATTGGCGGACATCTTGCGAACGTCCTCGGCGCTAAGATTCTCGTAGATGATTTCGCGCTTGCTGTAGCCCTGGAGCTTCTTACCAGCCAACTCGCGGGACGAGACGTGGCGGAGATCCATGTTTGGGTGGGCGTCGAGCAGATTGATCAGAGCCTGGCCAGTGAAGCCGCGGGCACCGATGAGAGCAACCTTGGCGGGGCGGGTGTTTGAAGCGTTCTTCTCACCGAGGGGAGGGTTGGGGTTGGTGGTCGCATATGTACGAATACCGCGAACGGCCACGGCAGGGCGCTGGGCGCGGGAAGCGCGCAGGACGTTGGAGCTGGTGGAGAAACCACGCTTCTGTTCAGCAGAGGCGGCGCTGGCTCCGTAGCCCTTGGAAAGAATGCTAGAAGCAGCCTCGTGGGCACGGTGGAGGCGCGCCTCGAGGTTGATATCACCGAACATCTGGCGGCCGTTCTTGGTGAACTCCTCGACCAACTGCTTGACCTCGTCACCGTTTTCGACGCCGTACCAGAACAAAACCTGGCCGTTACGGCTGAGGCTACCATCAGCCTTGTCGAAGAACCAGGTCAGGTTCTCATCATCCTCCTTGACAGTCCATGCCAGCTTGGGGAAGTCCTTCTTGATGCTAACAAAGACGTTGTCAGCCACGTTGGTTAGCCAGCCAGCCTTGGTGATAGTAAAGGTAGCCAGCTGGGCAATCAGGGAACCCTGCTGAGGGGGCAGAACCACAGCCAGGGCCTCCATGGGGTCATCGTAGAAGATCTTGAACTCATGCTCCTTCAGGCCCTCGACGTAGCGGTCAACAACCGCTTTAGCATCGAGACCCTCACGGTCACGGATCAAAACCTCCTTCAACGCCTGTAGGTCCTCGATCTCGGACAGAGAGCTCTTGACGTTAACTTTGTTACCACGGCGAATCAGGGTTCCAGCACCGGAGTCAGTGAACAGCTCCTTCTGGAGGTCAGCTGGGTGTATGATAGCGACACTAGAGGTACGGGGAAGATCATCCAGGAGATCCTTCATCTCCTTGATCTTCAGGCGAGTACCGTGGCGCACCCACCACTGGGACATCAAATGGTCGTACTCCTCATCGAGATTGATGGCAGAGATCTTCTCACCAGTGTCACCGTTGAACAGACCACCCTTCTCAGCGAGGTAAACGATCTTCAGAGGCTGCAGAGCGCGGGCCAGCTCACCGGCAGCAACATCAGCATTCACGTTCAGGACCTGTCCGTCGGGGGTCTCAGCCATAGAGGTGAGGATAGGCAGACATCCAGCAGCGATGGCCGACTCAATCGGCTTCTTGTCTACGCCATTGATCTTGCCGACAAGGTTATACTTCGGCTTGTCCAGGTAGTCGGCGGAGAAAACACCAGCGGTGATGGGACGGGCACGTACACCCATGCGCTCCAGTTCCTCAACCAGCTTCATGTTTTCTTCAAGGAACAGCTTACGGGCCAATGCCAAGGTCTTACCATCAGTGACCCGGATTCCATCTTCGAACTGAGGCTCAACACCAGCGGCCTCCAACATCCGGTTGAGTTGGGGACCAGCACCGTGGACAACGATCGGGTAGAGGCCGACATGGTTCAAGAATGCGAGAGCGGACGACAGGGTCTGGAGGTGCTCGGTAATGATGGCACCACCGACCTTGATGACAGCGAACTGCTGAGAGGACACGGATGTAAAGTGGGACAGATACTGCTGGACCTCACGCTTAGAGCCGATGTTGCTGAGCAGTTGAACGACGGTGTTACGTGTGGAGTTGAGATGAGAATCGGCAGAGGGAGAGAAGTGACGGCCATGACGCAGAGGAGTCGAGACGGAGCGAGCAGCTACAGCTCGCAATGGCGAAACAGTGTTGGGTGTGGAGAGCGATCGGAGGGGCTTAGTGGAAGCTCTCCGCACAGCGGAGCGAAGGGACAACATCTTCAACAACATGCGGCAGCTGCAATTGAAGTAATAGCGAGGTCAGTAGGGAGGCTGCCCCCTAGTTAATTATGTGGGAAGGGAAAGTGGTGTAGAAAGACAAGAAGAGAGAGAATGAGGTGTGACTAACAAGTTAAAGATTTTAGAGATTGTCGGCCGGGCCTCGGAGCGATAAGTTGCCCAATTAGAAGTGGGGACTCTAGCGAGTTCGATTTAGTTCTGACTTTGTATCAGAATAACTCACTCGGAGAATAGTAGTTAATCATGGGAATTAGTCAATTGTGTAGTCTGTGTTTTACTATGAAAATTCTGATCTATTGGTGCATAATTTGTTTCCGGCAAATACGGTATAAGTTACCCTACAGGGCTCGGGAAAGGCTATACTCCGGAATAGGTAGGGTCAGATCTAAAGAAAGCAACTAGGTACTTTATAGGATCGAGGCTTGTTAGTACTTTAAATCATTCCATTTCTCCATCTCAAAAGAAGGGGCATATACATGGGAAGCTACCCCAGATATTTCACGTTAATTCTTGATCCCAGTTATCTGATCCAGTCCGAGATTCTTACTCGTTAATTAGGCCTGCAACATAATATCCACTTCCTCCACTTCTATTACGGCATAGAAACCTCTGATTACGTCTTTTATCGCTTCACTTTTGAATCACTCCGACTCTACGTCTTGGCAGTATTATGCCTATTTAGATTCGGATTTAGGGCTTTCCATTAAATGGCGTTGAGATTTGAATAGAATAAGCCGAGCTGGGTTGACTGACTTCATTGGTGCTACAACAATTCGCAAAAGGATAGTAACATAACTCAAAAACACAGGCATGATGGTAAAGATCATTTACATCTTCACCCAGGCGATGCCATAGGGGAAGATCGGCGCATTTCATCATATGGGAGGGAGAGAGTTCAAGAGGGCATATTTGGTCATTCAGAACACGCGAAAAATCAAACAGGAGGAGGTATTAGCGGTTGGGAAGAAAAGACGGAGCGCCATGGCTTCAACGACAGTAAACCGGGTAATAAAAATTCAAAGATTCCGTATTCCCAACTAGAAAACACAAAGCTCGTGGCGGCATGCATGGCGCGAGGCTTTCCATTTACTTGGAGAAATGAACAGCAGCTGCAGGAGATGGGTTAGCGTCGCATTCTTCTCTTGAAATTCGAAGATCTAGGCAATTGTAGCTTACTAGGCACGATAATGACCACTAGCAGAATAATGACCACAACGATCAAACAAGCACGCATCTTCATATCCTTCCACCACATTTGCTTGCGCACGCGATTGGCACCTCGACGGAAACCCTGGGCTGATACTGCCAGGTTGTCCGTCTTGTCCTGCAAAGAGTCGAGGCGCTCACCACGTTGAGAAACCTTATTGATGTTTTCGCGCATCACACCAACAGTGTCATCAATTTGCTATGGCGAAAATGTTAGTGTGCATGGTAACAGATGGACGCCACCGAGTGCCTCTTGCCCCCCTTCGACTTCAATAGCGCGCATTTTCTATGAAGTTAAAAGCAGTGCAATGAATCGCATGTCTGAGGGATTCGTCCGAGGAATTTTTTGGAGGGATCGCTAGGTAACAAAGGGATGAGACTAACAGCTTGCAAAGCGGCGGTTCGCTGGTTACCATTCGGCGCAGAGGCACCAGCGCCTCCAGCGGGAATATAAGGGTCATAAGGGTGTTCGGAAGTCATCGTGAAAAGTGAAGCTATTATTCAGAATGTTAGAGATGAGTTCCTGAAAAGCTGCGAGGGCCAGACTACTTTCAAGTAGTCAGGGTCGCTGTGTTTTGATTGGGGGTCAACCAACCGGGCGTCTTTGACCTGGAAGCCCAAGGAAATCGGCCTGACTTAGAAGAGTATGGAATGAGCAATTTAGAGGCCTTGGAAGATATTGAAGGAGAGAGGTAGGGTGTGAGAATGATTATGAGATGAGAGTTGTTTAGCGTAAGAGCTGGGTTGGGAAGGCTAGGTTGCCGCGGATGGCGGGTCGATTTGTCACGTGATGTAAGTGGCGCAGTGTCTCAAATGGAGTTGGAACTTACAGAGTACATTCTAGCAATTATTGGACATTTAAGAATAGATAATCTCACATAGTCTCTAAGTAGAGCTGCTATCTTGCTCGTGTTTTATGTATTTGATAAGTGTTTTAAGCACTAGATCAATATACTACAAATAATGTGATCCCATTGGCCGTGATGCATTTCGCTAGGGCGATAAATACATGCATGATGATACATTCTACTTTTAGATTTGCCAAGACCTGAGTTCATCCTCAATACTCTTCTTCCAGTCTAATAAGTAAACGTTCAACACTGTGGCAGCCTATACTCTTGGAATCGTTGCTCGAGAAACAGCTATACTGAGTAGCATGTCCCGATGTATAGAAGAACTAGACTTCCACTATTTGCCATACCGTAACCGAATTACCAACAACCTACTCGATGGGATCTTCATTCTCCACAGATGTTTGAATTTCCTTCGTTGAATCAAGTCCTCTCTTTCCTGACAGGCTGATACTGGACTACTGTACTAGACTACGATGGACCAGTTCGGTAGGCGTGTGATCTACTACCCTAAATTATTAGAGCAATAACTTCATATTGAGGCCCAACCTCGTAATGAAGATGCGTCAAGCCTTGCAAGATACCACGACCTGTCTTTCGATCTTCATATTTAAAGATATTTAGGCTGTGCACAGTGAGAAAGTTGAATTCAAGTCCGTAAAAACGATCCAACCAAGTGATCTTTTCAACGGTCATAGAGATCTGGATCTTCTGAGTCTGAGCATATTCTGCCACCTAGTTGCGCATAATCCTACGACCTTTCTCACAGTCATGAATTTATGTAAATCTAGGCCTTGAAACAAGAAGAAGGCTCGCTCAGATCCATAGGAATGACGGAGTCGTAGTTTTTCGGTCTCATTTAGAGGATGGGAGACGTATATAGCACCGGAAAGAGGTCAGATCGAAACTAAGGGAAAGGATGGAGGGTTGGGAGCCTTCTTAAAACCTTGAGCTTGATACGTTCATTATCAGCTCAGTCGGCGCAAATCAATTTTCTTTGTCAGAAAGAAGAGGCTAAGGAAAGAGCCAACAGGGGACCCAGTGAGCTTGACTGAGACGAGACCGCCTTTCTCAGTGGTTGAAGCAGACAGATCACTTTTGAATAGGGAAGTCAAGGATATAACTATTGGCAGTCAACGTAGTACATGTTGCAAGAGACCGTGAGTGCATGAAGCACTAGTTCCAAGCAAACAACGCTTTGCGACGATTCCGGCTCCAATCACTTTGAGCATGTTTCTCTTGAAATCGGTAAAGGATTTGTTGAATGGGATGTAGTAACCACCAAACCAACTTCTATCTTTGGCAACCCTGATCTTGTCAATAAATCTGAAGATTTGTAAATTGTGAAGTGAATCTACTGGATGTTAGAAGTTCTGCAAATGATCTATTCAGAGTTTGACAGAGGCGTCAAAATATGCTCCATGTTTATTTCGAAGGGTGATAAGAGTAATGAAAGTGAGATGGAATTTGAAGATTCACTTGAGAAAGGACCTGAGAACTTCGGAATGTTGAGGAATCTGGAAAGAAAGAAGTGAAGAGAATATTCATTGAGACTAACTAGGTACTCAATTGGCAGTGGATTGGACGTCAGACCTCGACAATCCTAGGTAGGTAATTTTAGGTAGGAGATTTGAACTTCACGAACTTTTTGATGCCACCTAGGCGGGTGAGTCCTCAGGGTAGCGTAGGTTCAAAAGTTCTCCAACCTCTTTGGGTTTCAGTAGGTATCACCACCGTGAATAATAACCAAATGGTGTGTATAATATCAGAGCTGAGGCTCACTTCTTTTGAAAAGCACCCGTGGAATTCTGACATGAACGTTTCAAGAGTGCAATCGATCTTTATCTAGCTTGACTATATAAAGCCCGTACAAAAGTAACCATGTCTTTCCCATTCAAACACCACATAACCCTTTTTTCTAAAGAAAAGTTAAAAATTAAAAATTATCCGTCTTCAGAAGTCCAAGACATCTACGGAGTACGGCGTAGTATTGTAGTTACAGCACTAGGCCTAATAAGGTAACAACCTGTAGTCACGTTTAACACGGCTCGAGAACGGTAATGATCTGCCCTACGAACGGGACACAGAATATCTCATGCCTTGTGAAGAAGGATGGAGAAGGATTTGATCCGACTGGGCATTCGGCCTCGAGTCACACAGTCAAAGTCTTCAAGAGCTAATCGGCAATTTGATGCAAGTCGAGGCGCAGAACTTTGAAAAGTTTGTTCTTGCTATCCTCATATTACGTGTGTGTTGAAGGGTATATGAACTTTGAAGTCCTAGTTCAATGTTCAGCTGATCCAATACAACCTTGGAAATGTCTACTTAAGAGCTGTGGAAGATTTTTAAAGTGAAGGGGGTTTCGAGAACTGCTTCAATTGCAGCTAAATTGAATGACTCGAGGGAATCTCATCCACGTGTGCAAAGAACCCTTGAAATAAATCTAGTCAACTACCTTGTTGACTGAAACATCACCACTATTTCATCCCGAAATCCATGCCCAGATGGATGGATGTACGCATTCGTTGTTGATAGTGCATGGAAGCTGACACACGGGTTGGTTTTACCTTGAAGCTGCAGCCCTGTCTATACTTCAGACTCCATGAAGTGCATACCGAAACGTCAATTAATCTACTAGTATGTTTAGAGCCCCTTGACCTCTATTGGATGAATTCTCCGTGCGCACATTATAACGAACCCTCGAGAGCTTGCCAGTTTAGTGGCTAATCTAATAAAGCTCTGAAACCCAAGACCTCGGGCTTCCGTGTTTCATAACCATAAATATCGATAGGTATTTGGAAGCTGTCTATGCTTTCGAGGTTCATGACTGCTTATAAGGCTTATGATTGATATTTTTACCAAGACTTCCATACATATTGGAGATTGTCATGATGATGGGGGGTGCTGATTATACCTTGTACCTTGATGGAATTGGATGATTACCTAGGTAACCATTTCGGTCAAGAAAATACTACCTAGGTACTTTGCGACAAATTTCAAAAAGAGATATGAGACGAAAAGGGCTCGAGCCCCTAAGACCGAATTCTAGACTGTGATTTTCATTCCCCACGATGCTCAATATAGTTTATTATGAGTCGTTGCACTTGATGGTTCCGGTAGCTCCTACGAGGTAGATACTTCCAATGTTCGAAGGGGATTCTATGATCAAGCTTCCAAGCTTACAGATGGAATATTCATGACTATTCAATTATTTTTCTGGATGAAACTTTTGAGTAGGATATAAAATTGATCTCGTGCCCATTAAACAGGCATACATAGTGCAGTCAACCATCTGGCGTTCTGTATCAAGTGCAGCAGGCAATTGTAGTGTACACACCATAATGACAGCATACAGGATAATATATGGGATATTTTGAGAATCGGTGCCCCGAAGAGAATTAGGGAGCTGTAAAGCGTTAGATGGGAGAGAGTGGAGATGGGGAAAGTAGGCAGTAAAACGACAACATAAAGGACTTTTTGGGAGGGAAATTTTTATTGAAATCATTTTTCGCCCAAAAGCTCCTTGCGCATCTCGTCCCGTTGTACCTTGGATTCCTCCTTGGCCTTGGTACGTTGTGCCTCTATCTGGGCGCGCTTCGCATCCAATTCTTCCTGCGCGGCGAACCAGACTAATATCGGGGCATAATGCATTAGCTATAACATTCTACATCTTCAAAAGGTGCGGGCAACAATACTGGACTTATCGGATTTGGACCACTCCTTCAACTTTGTGACATAGTCGTCAAACTCCTGCGCACGCTGCTGTCCTTGCTCGGCGCTGCGCTTCCGCAGCTCCGGGTTGTACCGCTTGACAAGCTCCTCATCAGTGGGCCGGATATACTCGACAAAGGCAGGGCCGCCGATTGAGATCAGGATACCACTAAGCGAGACATGTGACGTTAGTGAGACTAGTTATATACCGAGGATTTGGGAAATCTGTCGCATTACTTACCCTGCGATGACCTTGAACCACAGACCTGCGCGAGACATTGTGGAGTATTCTTAGGTGTGGTGGGTAACTTTGCAAGGATTGGAGGATTGAATTGGAAGTAATCTCGTAATAGACGAACAATGGTGTGAAGTTGGATACTGAGCTTGGCATCATTAACATCGTCGCTTTGATTTGCGGTAGCGTGGCGCAGTAAATGGGGCTGGAGTATCGTGGCGCAGCGATATTATAAGATAGAATTCCACCTGTAATATGCACACTAATGCTGCTGATTGTACTACACTATTCATAGTGTCTCGTATCATCTTATTATCTGTATCGAGAACAATCTCGTATATCTTTTGAGATTCATCGAGCTGAAGACTAGAAGAACCAGTCACTATGATTGATTATTGGTACGTACATACGAGTAAACATTACCGTGCCATTTGAGAAGTCTGTCATGGTTTGATTAAAGCTGAGCCTTTTAGACACTTGGTCGGGGGTTCTATCCAGGAAGCTGTTCTATACAGTATAGTTGAATAGATGATATAAGATTCAAAGTAATGGATGTGTACTCCGTAGTAAGCCCCCATTCGGCAGCCGTTGTACCCGTACGGCTGGCTTACGTTTTAGATTTAGTTAGTGCTTTCGTACTAAGTAGAACCCCTGGATCGACAGGCACGTTATATGCAGATGGGAGTACGGGGTAGCAACCGCGCGGCTTTAAGTAACGAAACAAGAGTCTCGTATATTTCCTGAAACAATTATCAAAAAAGAGATGAAAAGCAAAGTAAAAGAGAAAAGAAAAAGAAGAAGAAAAAAGAACCAAACTATGACGGCGGAGGTGTGGGTCACAAAGATTTAATAAAAGTCACCTGCCTTCCCTCTAATCCCTTCGCCCCCGCTACACTACTTCTACTTTCAATTAGTCCGAAACAAGGTATCAGAAAAGTCTCTCTCATTCCACGTGCTCCTTCCAAAAGAGTCTCGAGAATTTGGGGGTGAGACTGGGCTTTACATCATTTTGCAGCGTCTACCCTCCTTGCATGTGAGCTGTTGCGTACACCGATCTCTACTTCGACTTCGCCAACTGCAGCCATCACAGCCATGGCGTATCCTTCCCACCAAACCCAGCGAATGCCGCCTATAAGGCAGTATAACGCTTCTCCCATATCCCCTGTGTCAGGCCCTGGGGGGTATGCGCCAGATGCTATGTACGGCGCAGACCCCGCATATGCTGCTCCCGACACGCGCTCTGCAAATGGAGGACATGGACCTGGAAATCCGACCTATAATCTCCGATCAGGACCTCCAGGACCTCCTGGCCCTTCATCTCGCTCACGCCCGCCCCACGGTCCATCAAATTCACAACCCCGATCGATGCGACCACCAGGACCTCCGGGTCCAATGAATGGTCGTCCTCCCAATGGAGGACCTAGAGGACCTGATCCTCGTCGTCCCTACCCTCCTGGTGCTATGCCACCGCAGAAACGATCACGAGCGCCTCGTAAGTATTCCGCTATTGTCATGTGACACGTGAACTAACAGGATTCAAGCGGGGAGTCAACCTCGGCCTGGCGAGAACTATGATAATCCATTTCCCACTGTTGCCCCCAGAGACCCTAGAGACCGACGTGGACCTGATCCTCGGGGCTTGGAGAATGGTATGGCAGCAATGGATATCAATGGTAATGGTAGAATGCCTCCTCGACCGCATACTGCAAATGGACAGAGGCAAGGCATGCGACCACCTCCCCCGCGTGGACCGCCACCTGTGCGTGGCCGCGGAGGACAGTATTCAGGCCCTGGACGCCCTCCTGTCCGCCCAGATCAACAGGATCGATCTTACACGGATCCAAATTTTACTGGCATGCACCCTGCTGCGTCCCGACCTCATCCTTCGCGAAGCGCAACAATGCCTTCCCAAACACGCGAATATACTGGTCCAGCAGCCTATGGAGACTTTGAATACCAACAAAATTCGATGGATCATACTCCATCTACGCGTTCTGATACGACCGGCTCTAGACGATACCCTATGCCCCGACCTGGTAACGACATGGACTCTGGGCTAATGGTCAGCCATTCTGATGTCAATAATCGTGTGTCATATGCACCCAGAGAATTTTTGGATAGTTATTATGAAAGCGGTCCAGACGAGGATCCCGACATGCCCAACTTTGATGCGATTCCGGAAAGTGGTCCCGTTGATGAGATGGGACTTGACACACATACAATACAAACTTCGTCGTCTCCACCTTCGTCATCGGGTGGCCAGTATGCAGCCTTTTCGCCCACCTCCGGCAATAGTTCGCTAGCGCACTCCAAATCCCAGCCCAATCTTCGAAAGGGCAGTGTTCCCAATCAATTTGAACATGCTGGATTTCAATTTGATATTCCCAGTGAAATGCACCCAGGCCAGGCTGGATATGTGCCCCAGGGCTATGAGGCCCATGGCTATGAACAGGGTTCCCCATATGACCAAGTGAACCCATATGCCGGTCATGTCCAAGACCCGTATGCTATCAACCAACCGGTACATGAGTTCGAGCAGGCTCAGATTCCGGATCCTCAACAAAGCCCTGATACTCTGTCTAGCCACCCTACACCGTTCAGACTTGGCCATGACCCATCAGGCAAGCCTGCACCAGTTCGACAATACACAGGTGCCCCCAATCCAGCCCCCGCGCAATCAGCGCCGCAGCCACAGCCACCAACAGGTCCTGATTCGACTCCCGTCACTCAGCAGGAAGTAGAGAGACTTCAGCAGAAAGCGCGAGCTAATCCGGCTGATCACAAAACTTCACTTCTCCTTGCCAAAAAGATGGTTGAGGCCGCTGACGTTCTTGTTACCAATAATGCTCGACTCGATGCAAAAATGAAGGTCAAGGCCAGGGAGAAGTATATTTTGGACGCGTACAAGATCGTGAAGAAGCTTGTGTCGGCTGGTGTTCCCGACGCACAGTTCTACCTGGCCGATTGTTATGGCGAAGGTCAATTGGGTCTGGAGGCTGACCCGAAGGAGGCATACTCGCTGTATCACTCTGCCGCGAAGGCTGGACACGCACAATCTGCGTACCGAGTGGCAGTTTGCTGCGAAATCGGCCAGGAGGAAGGTGGCGGCACTAGGCGAGATCCAATGAAGTCTGTACAGTGGTACAAACGTGCCGCAGCTTTGGGTGACACCCCGGCCATGTATAAGATGGGAATGATCAACCTGAAGGGTCTGCTGGGTCAGACCAAGAATCCACGCGAGGGTGTTTCGTGGTTGAAGCGTGCAGCCGAGCGCGCCGATGAAGAAAATCCGCACGCGCTACATGAATTGGCTCTCATGTACCAAACTGCCACTGGAAATGACACTATCGTCCAAGACGAGGCATATGCCTGTGAACTATTTCACCAGGCCGCGGACTTGGGTTACAAGTTCTCCCAGTTCCGCCTTGGTACTGCCTATGAATATGGCTTGATGGGATGTCCCGTGGACAACCGAATGAGTATTATCTGGTACACTCGTGCTGCTGCCCAGGGTGAACATCAGAGTGAGCTTGCCCTCAGTGGTTGGTATCTAACTGGATCGGAGGGCATCCTTCAGCAAAATGATACGGAAGCCTATCTTTGGGCCCGGAAAGCGGCTACAGCTGGTCTGGCCAAGGCTGAATATGCCATGGGATACTTCACTGAGGTTGGCATTGGTGCTACTGCTAATTTGGATGATGCCAAACGATGGTACTGGCGCGCAGCGGGTAGGCGAACTTACTACATGATTCTTGATATGCGAAATAACTAACAATTATGTTTCTTCTCTTAGCGCAAGGATTTCCAAAGGCTCGTGAACGTCTTGAAGATCTCAAGAGAGGTGGAGGTACGATGCAGAAAACCAATCTTTCACGCTCAGCTGTTAGCAAGCAGAGCGATGGAGACTGTGTTTTGATGTAATTCTGCCTCCTTCCCCTCTTACTCTATTCACTCAGTCACTCTCTACCCTACTTCCATTTCTGCCACAAGTGCATGTACGCCTGGTGCATAACCTTCGCCCCATTTTCCACGAAAGAGAACTTATCGAGTTGGGTTTGTTTCGATGTACATTATCTCTTCCTTCAGTCCCAGAGAAACATATTTGTGTTCCCCGTCACCATTTTCGTCCTTTCGACTTCTATCCCTTCCCCTTTTACACCTTATTACTCTGATTCTTGATTTATTATTTTTGTTTATCGATGGGTTGCATTATGACTCCTTGGAGAAAACCATGGCTGAACGGAATACATTGAAAACGGAGCGAATACCCTGGAGCAAGGCCTGCAATTATGTTTAATGAATAGTTTTCTTCCGTTTGATACGGGAATCATATATTTTCCACATTGCTTTTCATTAATTCGTAGTTATCTAGACAATATGCGATCACGGACCTTGGAATGAGAATATCGCTGTCTACCCATCACCATGTCTTCACATTATAAAAATCAGGATGAACGAATTCTTGAAGCTATCAGCGCATTCAGAAATGAAGATTGCTCTTCAATGTCATCAAATACGCGAGATTTAGCGTAAATTACTATTGGTTTCGAGGACTAAATAGGCCCAGGATTAATGAAGCCTACGACAAGCCTCTAGATTGATTATCACGATAAGACTGGAATGCTACCTAGGTACTTAAAACATCTCTTGGGCTCTTAATCCTTCAATGAAGCCCTGAAGCCAAGATTGAGTTAAACATTCCCTAAAATATAACCCTGAATAACAAAAGAGGCTTTGAAAAGCTCTTGTTATTGAACGCTAGCAGGCTTTTTATAAATCAGCGATCAAGGGTTGGTTTAAAAGCTATCAATAAGTTATTAAATATGCTGGTATCGACTTCTGATAGATGTACAAATTTGATGAGACTGGATTTTATGAATCGGCGCCGGAAAATACCGATGGATCATCAAACAAGAGCTGCACAGGAGATTTTTCTAGAATAAATACTAATTAATATTCTAGTACTGTGGTTAAAGCTATCTTAACTGATGGTTTTACCTAGGTGGTGTCCCATGAATGGTTATCCTCTCTACAAAACAGCTACTTCTACGCTGATTTGATCGCCTACATAATGATGACATTGGCCTAACTATCTCTGAAAATGGCTAAATGACTATTTCATTGGCATTTCAATGGATTCATTATTTTGAGAAATCCATATAGTCATATACAAAAGCCTCATAGGGATCATTACTATATAATATCTTTGAATCATATCTTACAATGGAATCCTTCAATTCAACTGAAGTCAGCACCTCAAAGAGCGCTCTCAAAAAGTTGCTACAGGCTTTTTGAAGCTAGTGGTAACCTTACGAAGTGATATCTTGCGGCTAGAAAGCTCATAAGAGGCATTCATAGTCTCTACTATAAATGAGAAGCTACTCAAGAGGAGCTCGCTCAATGATATTAGGGAGTTATTTGCAGCGCTCCAGGCGCGCTGGGGCATCTCACCTAAAGCCTGCGACCAAGAATCATAAACTTTAAGGGGTAGAAAGAACGAATATATCTATAGACTATGGCTAATCAATTTGGATATGAAGATGGAGAAGTAGACGTTTTTGATGCGGGCCCGTAATAAATTGGTAATATATGAAAGGGGTTACCAACATCCGACGCGGCCAGATTCCGCGCTGACGAACCATCGGGCCATCGGCTTCGAGTATATTTGATGCAAGCCACTGATTTATCAGACTTATATCGAGATCTAACAATGATGCCATTGTCTTATTCATTTTGACTTTTTCTTTATCAAGAGCTCTTCCCAGATCCCTACCTACCCTTCTACTTACTCTTCGTTATACATGTCTTCCGAGATACATCCGCAAACCAATCTGCCAAATCCCTCAAGATCAAATCCACCTGACTCTTCTCGGAAACTCATTTTTATTTCTCTACTGACTCTTGCTGCTGCTGTGCTGATCGCACTTTTCTGGAGCGACGCCGTCAATCTGTCTGCCTTCCGCCGTCTATTCGGATCCTCTTCCCGCGCTGCTTCGGCTGTAGCTCCATTGTCTCTATCGACTGCAGCAACAGCGTCACTTGCAGCTGCGACGACCAAGGGAAGAACTGCATCAATTGACAATTTGGCTGAATCCAAGATGACCGGGAAAACACCCATCTACTTCTTTAGTCATGGCGGAGTGAGTTCCCCTCATTCTTCGGTCTATAAATCTGACGAGGTTGATCTTTGGCATTCCGATGGAAGTCGCTAACAATTGAGATTCAGCCCAACATCATGTATGATTATGACCACCCGGCCTACAAGAAGCTGGGTCAGATAGGGCGAGAAATTACCTCGAAGGTTAAGCCTGATGCTGTTGTTGTGTTCTCCGCGCACTGGCAGGGTGGTAGGGATACTATCTATGTCAACAATGCTGAGATCACCGAATTGATCTATGAGTATGTCTTTTCTCGAGTCCGCGTTAGATGACCTTGCTAACACATGCCAGCTTCTACGGTTTCCCAGATAACTACTATAAGGAGAAGTATCCTAATGTGGGTAGCAAAGCTGTTGCGAACAAAGTGCTTGATGCTCTCAAGAATGCCGGTATCGACGCGAAGGGTACGAAGCGTGGACTGGACCATGGAGTTTGGGCCAGCTTTAAGTGCGGTATGTCACCTAATAGCAACGACAATTTCATACGAACAGAGACTGACTCGGCACAGCATTTGCGCCGGATGACAACCCACTAAACGTACCTATTGTGCAGGTTTCCCTTTTCGATAACGAAGATCCGGTGCAGCACTACAAGCTCGGTCAGGCAATCTCCCACCTGCGTGAGCAGAACATTCTCATTATTGTTTCCGGTATGGCGGTGCACAACCTGCGCGACCTGCGCTTTTCATTCGGCAGCTCGCGTCCAATGCCGTACACAGTTAGCTTCGATGAAGCTCTCAAAGAGGCTGTGACCACTGCGCCGGAGGAACGTGAGCAGGCCCTGGTGCAGCTTTTAAAGCGCCCAGATGCTCGCCAGGCCCATCCGACATTCGACCACCTGCTCCCTATTCACATTGGAGCCGGAGCTGCGGGTGATGATGTTGGCAAGAGACTTTTCACGTATCCGGAGGGAAGTATGAGCTGGTCGCAGTTCCGATTTGGAGATCTTGCAAATGCTAGTACCTCTTTATAAGACATAGTATAAACAGAGATTGAATATATCGGCATTTGCCGCGTGTTAATTTATATCAATTGGCGGTGAAAGAATCGTTTAGAAGGATCCGGTTTCATCTATAGGTACATAGGATTGTAGAACAGGGAAGTCGCAGTAGAAACATAAGATGAGGGGCTAGTGGCGGGTTCATTATGAGCTCTGCTTCACAAGGTTGGTGATACGCTCTTCGATCTGTGCATCCGACAGGCCTGTATTTGGTTAAGAAAAAAAAAATCAGTATTGTTGTTTTCAGCTTCGGATCTCACGGAGGCACTACTCACCAGCCAGGGCTTCGGACTTCTCCTTTCCAAGGTCTGTGAGTGGAAATTGAACATGTTAGCTGAGCTCTTCATTATGCGATCGATATTGCACTGCAATAATTCGAGAGTGTGTTGGCGTACCATAGCGGGCATAAACTCGAGGCTCGGTGCCAGAGGCCTCGCGAATCATGATGGGAGTGTGAGGGTTGTGCTTCTTCATGGTAGGGTAGGCACGGTTGATAAAAGTTCTGAATATAAGTACTAAAGTTAGAGAACAATGTCGCAATATTAAAAAAGCAATGGTCTGAGCGAGGATTTGGCTTGATGGCGGGAGACATGCCTTGTGGGAGCGCTCTGCTCGGAGGTTTGGCAGAAGAGAAAGCGGAGCTCTTTCAGACCCTTGGTGAAGACGTACTTTCCCGACATGGTGGTTGAATCGCGCAGGTAAAGGAGGGGATGAGGAGAGGTCAATTATCAAGTACGGTCTTGACGGGAGTTGCATTATTCACGACGGTGATGATTCGCCAGGTTCATTCGGCCTAAAGTGGTTTAGCGCATATATTATGTCATCCGGAGCAGGACCGCAGTTTAGATCGTTAACTATGTAACTAGTATTGCGAAAAAGATCGATCAATTATCGAAAGGCTCTGAACAATCTCCACTCTTTGTGAATAATTTAATTCCTTGTTGGTGGTGATAACATTAGTACCTACCCCAACCCGGAACCCTCGCTTTCCGAGCCCAGTCACCGGTCCCGAATCTCGCGCCCTTCGCTCCTCAACCCTGATCATACCCCCCAACAATCAAAATGTCGTCTCGTATGGGCTTCCGTTTGTTGAATAACTCTCGCTTTGCGTTCCGCAATGCCTCTGGACCATTCCGCCGACAAGGCGCCCAGGGCTTCCGCTTCAATAGCTCCGAGGCCGGCGCCGGTGCCGCGGAGCACCAAAATGCTTTCCAGCGTCTATGGAACAGCCCTATTGGTGTGAAGACCGTTCACTTCTGGTATGTCGTGGAATATACACCAATGACGATCTGTATTCAAAGAAGACGTGACTAACGACGATATATGGAACAGGGCTCCCGTTATGAAGGTACGAACTTAACTCGACCCCATCTTTCCATTGTCGAAGCCTCTTTCCGTGCGATTTGTATTAGCGCTGGATCTATGCGAAATCGTCGTTTTTCACTTGCTTTAATACCTGGGAACTAATATATTTACTTGCGAACAGTGGGCTCTCGTTATTGCCGGTATTTCCGACTTCTACCGTCCACCTGAGAAGCTGTCTCTCACCCAAAACGCTGCGCTGACCGCTACCGGAGTTATCTGGACTCGTTGGTGCTTCATTATCAAGCCCCGCAACGTCCTGTATGTCATCTGAACTTGCACGCCCCGTTTCGTCTGAAAGTCCCCCGACTGACCCAAACTGTTCAATAGCCTCGCCGCCGTTAACTTTTTCCTCGGATGCGTTGGTGTCGTCCAATGTTCTCGTATTCTGCTGTGGCAGCGCAGCCAGAACGGCTCCACTGTCGAGGCCGCCAAGGAGTTCGGAGAGGAAGCCAAGACTGCCGGGGAGAATGCCGTGAAAGCTGTTGAAAATGCTGTTGAAAAGTCGACCTAGATATTTGGGATTTACTGATAGGTGTTGCTGATGATGCGGATGTAGAATGACTTGAATTAACAGAGCTGATATAGATATCATCTATAGACGATTCTCATCTGAATTATCCCGGGCTCCATGCCTTTTGTATGCTGGAGTCCAGATTATTATCTATTGAGGAGCCGCGCTGTATATACTAATTCAACAACTTCAAGTTTTATTTCAAGAACAATTAAATTTACTCAGACTGTTCGGTAATGAATAAGCGCTCGTATTTGGGACCTTGTTCAATTACCCCGATTTATCCTCCCAATCGGTTAAATGGGAGAGGAAATTCCCCCCTATCAGAATGATGTTAACATCGATAGAGCATCATAACCTCCAACAACATCGCTAAAAGGTCAATACTTTCATGAACACCCTCATTTAACATTTGCATGTCCCCACAAATAATCATGCAATTTCCCCGGATCAAGTCAGTGCTTACCCCCACGCTATACGGAAATGCTGTGGAGAGCGCACTGGATCTGTAATTCCCCATGTATTCAGCTTGAAAATCGGTGAATCCGGGATAATTAGTTGATCGTCTTGGAATTAAGTCGCACTTTCTGCAAGGGGTCCTGGGAAGGAACTAACTATATATCGCGGATACACCTGTTTGTACATATTTGCTCTTCCAACTCTAGTCGACTAAGATATCCCGCTACCATTTTCATAATAATGAAATTCTCAGCTATCACTCATGTGGCAGGACTGTTCCTATCGCTCAGTCTTGCCGTCGCTGGTGGTAAAGGAGAGTCGCGAACAGACGCGTGCAAGCCACATCATCCATTTAAGCCTCTTCCTGACAGTCAGCCCAGAACTCGAACATGTCGTGTATCTAATCATGGTCATGGAATCGACGACTCCAAGAACATTCTCAAAGCCTTGAGGAAATGTAATAATGGCGGCAAGGTTGTGTTCGACGCTGATAAGACATATACCATTGGCACGGCAATTGATATGACGTTCTTGAAACATATCGATATCGGTAATATTTCACGAAGAAAAGTAGAAACGCTCAAGGTTAACAAATCTGTGCAGAGATCGAAGGTACAGTTCAATTCACAAATGACACGGACTATTGGCAAGCCAATGCTTTCAATCAAACTTTTCAGAATGCGACGACATTCTTCCAATTGGGCGGCGAAGATGTGAATTTATATGGCACTGGTACTCTTGATGGCAATGGTCAAGTATGGTATGACCTTTACGCCGAGGATGCCCTAATTCTGCGTCCTATTTTGGTGGGAATTATTGGACTCAATGGCGGCACCATTGGTCCTCTCAAACTACGATACTCACCTCAGTGGTATCAAATTGTGGCCAACTCGTCCAACTTACTGTTTGAGGGCATTGATATCTCTGGCTATAGTACGAGCAACCATACTGCCAAGAATACTGACGGATGGTAAGCATTTATTGGTGGGCCATATGGGAATTGTTCTCAGACTTAATGTGGATTACAGGGATTTGTATCGCTCATCAAACATTGTGATTCAGAATTCAGTGATCAACAATGGTGATGGTAGAAAAAATTCTTCTTTTTTGTTGAATTGGTCCATGCTGATAGTGTCTAGATTGCGTTTCCTTCAAGCCTAACAGCACGGATATTATTGTTCAGAACCTTCACTGCAACGGCTCCCACGGCATATCAGTAGGCTCACTTGGTCAATACGAGGGTGAGGTTGATATCGTCGAGAACCTGCTCATTTACAACATTTCCATGTTCAACGCTTCAGTAAGTCTTCCTAAGAAATGAATATAGAGGATTTGAATATATCTGATCTTTACATCAGGATGGTGCACGCATCAAAGCTTGGTCAGGCGTGTCCTCTGCACTATCAACAGACTTGCAAGGCGGCGGTGGTTTAGGAAGCGTGAAAAATATCACCTACGACACCATGACAATTGAGAATGTCGATTACGCTATTGAAGTAACGCAGTGCTATGGCCAGTCAAATCTCACCTTATGCAACGAATACCCGGTGCGTGATTCTTTTCAGATTCCAATGCAATACGCGTATCACATACTGACAAGTTTTTTCGAGAGATAAAGAGTAACCTCACAATCTCTGATGTGCATTTTAAAAACATCAAAGGTGTTACTTCCGGGAAAAAGTCGAACGTGGGAACAATTGTTTGTTCGAGCCCGAATGTAAGTATCTCCAAGACCCTTCTCCCAAAAAAAAGAGCGGAATCTGACTTTTAGTAGACGTGCTCAGGTATATACGCAACTGATATCGATGTTGAGAGTCCCTCCGGAACTGATACTTTTATCTGCACGAATGTATGATATTTGAAGCTCGTGAATGAATATTTTAGCTGACATTGGCATGACTTTATAGGTTGATGAAAGTCTGTTGGATGTCAACTGCTCCTCCTAGGCTTAACAATTCTTGATCTCATATCTCAGTGTACGTCCATGGATATTTACAGATTGAAACAGCTCACATATTCAAGGGCTATCGGTTGAAAACGCCGGCTATGGATCAGGAGGTCAAGGTCCCGGTGTTCAAAAAACATGTCTAGGAGGAAAATATCGAAGCCTATCTTTTAAATAATCGATTCTTCTTTCCCAGGTGTCTACAAGTCTGGGAGTGCTACACTGTTACCTACTATGGGCATCAATAAGGAGACAGCAAGACCGAATAAATCGAGTAATAGTAACCTAAGGGTCATATGGTCCTTTGCTCTTACTGATAACAACTACGTAAACTCATATAAAAACCATTTCCAGGTGAGTATTCGTGGATAGTAACGTAAGTAGCTATGGATTGAGACGGTATAACGGTATATATACCTCACATATAATAGAGTGAGAAGAGTGTGGAGCGAGAGAACACTTTCTTACACCAGACCTATTTCTAAGATTGATACAACATCTTGAAGAGCTACCAGTTAATAGGTTATCTAAAATTGATGACATAGAGCACCTAGAACTAAAGGTTCCAGAGCTGTTTCCTTAGAGCCGTGGATAGATGGAGGGTAAAGTAGAATTTCATTGGCAGGCTGCTCGGCGCTTGGTCTACTTTTTTTTTTTTAGTTTCAAGTATGGAGGGTGGGAACGATACGTCAAAGAGAAAAGATAAGATGGAGCTCTGACGGACGACCCACCTGGGGGCATTTCCTTGGAGGTTTTGGAGATTTGGAAAGCATGGCATGATAAGATTTGATTTCCAACATGCCCAGCTCAAAATTACTAGGAAAGGTATGCCAGAGAATCCTCCCCGATCGCTACGCCCTTGGTCTTGACTTTCTAGAGACGAAATTAAGGAAATGAATGAACGAATTTTGAATGGAGGGGGACTTGTAAAGAATTGTCGGATAGTGATGCAGACGCGATTAAAATCAGTTTCACCTTTTGACTATCAGAAATTTCTTATTGTACAGGATGGATCTACACAGAGAATCTTTCTCGAACCCTCTTTTGAAATACGCTGTGCCTATTTCAGCTACTTAACCACTGGTTATTTACAGGTTACAGTTGAGCTGACAGGAGAAAAAAGTTCAGCTGACAGGTTTTTTTGCCACGACCCTAATCCGGTTAGACCTCAGCTGACAGTGACTAACTAGAATAGGATGCTTTTTTTTGCTTTTTTCTCTATTTACAATACATAACAGTAATTTATTATTAAAAACGGGAGTTTCTGCCATAGATAGCTGGTTATTTGTATGAAATAGCTTGTCACGGGGCGGGCAGGTGAATAGAATTATACTAGAACTGGACAGACAGTATTGCATTGACTGATAGGCTAAGACGAAGATGTAGCTTGAAGAGCTACATTCAGACAAGGTTCTGAGTTTACATGAGGTTGCGGGTCACATGGCCCGCACTATCTAATCAATCAGTAGTCGTCTGAGCTGGCACTGTGACAGTATCCCCCTCCTTAGAGCCGAGCTCTGTAGAGGCGTAGACAGGACCTGGCTTAGATGGGTAGCGGAGGTGGAAGTTCTTCACTAACTGTCCATAATTTTCTAGGTGAGCAGCAGGCTCTTTAGTTGGGTCATCGTAACCGGTCTACTTAACCACGTATTTTAGATGTGGTGTTCCCCGGCGACCACGTTTCTCCTAGTGGGAGTCTAGGATCTCCTCTACCTCCTACTCGTCGATTCCGTCGACTTCGACAGGTGGGGCAGGTTCTTGTTGCTGCGCGGGAAGCGGGTTGTCGTCGGCAGGGTGTAATAAGGAGACGTTAAATACTAGGTGGATCATCATTCCAGGGGGAAGCTGTAAACGGCAGGCGTACGGGCTTAGAACTTCGGTGATTTCGAAGGGGCCTAAGTTCTTCTAGTCTAATTTCTTCTAGGGGCGACGGGTCTTGATGTTCTGGGCGTCTAACCAGACTTTCTGTCCTTTAGTGAATGTTTGGGCAGGCTGGCGGTGATGGTTGGCGAATTCTTCGTGGCGAGCTTAGGCGGCCAGGATCTGGGCTCGTATAAAGTTCGTGATCTCCTCTATATGAGCCGCGAACCTCTCTGCATCGCGGGCGGCGGGGTGATTACTTAGGCGGACAGGCTCGAATCCAACGACTGGGTGTTGGCCGTAATTAGCAAAGAACAGGGTGACGCTAGTCGACTCGCTTCGTACAGAGTTAGAGGCGAATTCGGCTAGCGGAAGCCAGTTAGCCTAGTCGTCCTGTAGGTAGTTTATATAGGCTCGGAGGTACTGTTCCAGGATAGCATTGGCTCGCTCGGTCTGTCCATCTGTTTCCGGGTGAAAGGTAGTAGATAGCAGGCTCTTAGTCTTTAGGTGGGTCGTCAGGTGTTTCTAGAACTGGCTTATAAACTAGGGGCCTCTATCAGATACAATTATATAAGGGAGTCCATATAGCTTCTAGACGTGTTTCAAGAATAGGCAGGCGAGGTCTTCAGCGTTATAGGTCCTGTGGCAGGCCAGGAAGTGTTTCATTTTAGTCAAGCGGCAGACTACTACCAAGATTGCGTTAAATCCTTGGCTCTTGGGTAGGTGTGTGATAAAGTCTATTGACAGATCTAGCTAGGCGCGGGCAGGGATCGGGAGTGGTCGTAAGACTCCTTGACGGGCTTCTCGGGATAGGGTAATTCTGCGACAGGTATGACAGTTTTTGGTCCATTGCTCGACATAATGGTAGAGGTTCGGCCAGTAGTACTCGCGAGATATAAGCTCGTATATCTTTATGCGACCTGGGTGTCCTGTTGCTGGGTTGTCATAGCAGAGTCGGGCTAGTTCAGCTTTAAGGTCGTCGTTGTCTAGGACATAAATACGTCCTTGGTATAGCAGGTTGTTCCCATCTCTCACGTAGTGCGCGAGCGTGATATCTGGGTGCCGGGTTTTCTTTTCGTCTAGGGCGCTTAGGATTGACTATAATATCTGGTCTCTTTATAGGGCAGACTTATATGCTTCCTTCACAGCGACTAGTAGTTCTAGCTGTAGTTTGTCTGCGAAGCGTATACTTCTTACTGTTTCTGTATCAGGTGGAGGTGGGTTAGGTTCTAGGCCTATCAGGGCGTCTAGTTTCAGGGTTAGAGGGGAGTCAGGCAGTAGTGAGGCAGGCGGGGTCAGTATTCCTAGTTCTCCTTGGATCTGGCTGTCCAGGTTTTCGCGCTTCAGGATTATATAACTCTGGTGCTTTAGTCGTTCATCCCCTTCCTTAGGTAGATCTTCTGACCTCCTGGTTAGTGTATTAGGCTTCGCGCCCTGTTTACCTGGGCGGTAGATAATCGTAAAATTGAAATAGGACAGGAACTTAGACCAGCGGGCTTGTCGGCGGTTTAGTAACTTAGTGCTTATGAAGTGTTCTAGGTTTCGGTGGTCTGTGATAACCTTGATCGGGGAGGTCGTGCCCTCAAGTTTAGGGCGCCATTCTTCGAAACAGCGTACGATAGCCATAAGTTCCTTATCATAGATTTTGTAATTATACTCAGCTGCTGAGTGCTTCTTAGAGAAGAATGCAACGGGATGTAGTATTCCTTTTTCGTCGTACTAGGAAATAACGCCTGTAGATACATAATCAGACGCGTCGGTTTCCAGGATCATATCTTTAGTCTAGTCTAGACATATGTATAGGTTGGGTATAGGTCAAAATTCATACCTATACCCAACCCATCAGGGGTAAGGTAAACCTATATCTATACCTAACCCAACCCACGTGGGTATGGGTTGGGTATGGGTCCTATATAGGTATTTTTGATGCCTTAATACCTGATTTTCGCTTTAACCTAAACTAAATTAGGGTAATTAGTGCCTTAGTGCCTAATTTTTGCCTCAATCTAGTACTAACTAGGTGACAAATATCACGTGAAATAAAAGTCTTAGCAAAAAGATGGGTTTATGGGCTAGGTGTGGGTTTTACTTCAAACCCATACCCAACCTATATAGGTTTTGGGTAAAATTTCTGACCTATACCCAGCCTATTGTGGGTTGGGTTGGGTTGGGTATGGGTTTACCTAACCTAATGAACATGTCTAGTCTAGTCAAATGGTGCCAGGATTGGGGCGGATATAAAGGCTGTCTTTAGGGTCTTAAAGGCTTCTTCGCAGGCGGGAGTCTATTTAAAGGTAATATCCTTCTTTATGAGTTCGTTCATATAGGCAGTCAGTTTCGAGAAGTCTCTTATAAAGCGTCGGTAGAAGCCAGCAAATCCTAGGAATGCTCGGATATTAGTCGTGTTCGTCGGCGATTTCTAGTCCATGATCGTCCGGACCTTCTTAGGGTCTATACAGATTCCTTCGCCTCCTATAATCAGGCCTAGGAATTTAGTCTTAGAAACACAGAACTTGTATTTAGCTAGTTTCACGAATAGCCCTGCTTCGCGGAGGTGGGCGAGGACCTTACGGACGTGTCCGATATGTTCCTCCCTTATACGACTATATATCAGTATATCGTCAAGGTATATGGTATAGAATAGGTCTAAGTAATCTTATAGGGAATCGTTGATAAATCTCTAGAATATAGTAGGGGCGCCTGTTAGGCTAAACGGCATTACTAGGCTCTCGTAGAGACCTAATCTCGTACGGAACGCTGTCAGGTACTCCTGCCCCTCCTTCACCCGAAGGTTATTAAAGGCGGAGATGATATCTAGGCGAGTAAAGTATTTCATCCCCTTTAACTGGTTTAGGGTTTCTTTAGTCAGGGGCAGGGGATAGCGGTCCTTAACCGAGATCGTGTTAAGGGCTTGGTAGTCTACACAAAATCGGAGACCCCCTCCAGGTTTCTTCATAAATAGGATAGGCGAGGTAGTGGGCGAGGAGCTTAGGCGGATAAACCCTTTCCTTAGGTTCTCGGAGATCCATTCCTTTAGAGCTTCTAGCTTAGGGCGGGATATAGCATAGAGGGGCCTAAATGGCAGGGCCTTCCCCTCTATTAGTCGAATATCATGGTCGTAAGGTCGGTGCGGGGGAAGTC